CGTCGACGAGGGCGGTTGAGCAGATACGCCGGCGAGATCCGACGATGGCGCCGACGAGTCGGTGGTGTCCCAGCCGATGCTGGACGGGTCTGTCGATTCCCAGGACATTTTTAGCTAGGACGAAACGAGGAAACGGTACGAAGTGAAAAGAAGAGACGAGAATTGAATGGGTGGGAGGAAAAAACGGGCAAGTCAAAATAGAAGTGATGACTTAGCTCGTTTCGAGAATGGTTGGTCGAATCAAACTGTAACGGTGCCGGAGATCGATATCGAGACGAGAGGAGTCGAAACGAGCGAGACGAAGAGCACGAGTATAATGACAACGAATACTGGCGTTGATTCGACGAAGAAGAAAACATAAGTACGATACATGTCTTGACTACTCGTCGAATGCGTGAGAATATAAGTAAGCCACTGTACAGTTACAGGCGCGGGTGCGTCAAAACCCTCTGCGAGGGAAAGCTACCGGCCGACTACATATGAGCAATAAGACTTCGTAGCATTGTGACGGCCTACGCCGTCACACGTATCTGCCCGTAGCAAGTTTGTAACCTTATTGGGTTGCGATAGGCGCTTACTTCATCGACACCATTCGTCGACGATACTACGTTGTCAGACCATCCATCGAAACACTGCAAGGTGATGAACATCATTGATATTGTTGGAGTAAAATGTGGAAAGACTCGAAGGGCTTTCACTGATAGTGCTAGTAAGCCACGACAGGAGTACTTTTGGATAGGAGATAGATGATCTTCGAAGCGAGTGTCCTCACATTCGATATCAAGTACGGAGCGTCCGCGTCATGTAAGGTAATCATGAAATAGCGAGTATGGTCTGAAACCTAGCAGTAGGTAGCGACTGAATTGAACCCCATATTTTTTCCTTCCTTAGACCATCATACGCATTTGAGGTACTCACGAGTCACGGCTTCTTGACTATGCCCATCGGCACACATTGCGATGCAAGGTATTGGAGCTCCCTGGGCTTAGTGATTGAGTGTGTGTTTCAACTACAAAATTACTGACGCCCATAGAAGGGATGCTCTTGCACATGGTAGCAGGCACACCACTGACACGCCCTTCATCTGATCGGAGAACTACGCGGTCTTATCCGGTTGCAATTACTCCGATCTTGCTCAGCGACACATGGCTGTTCCCGTGGATGCCGCACTTTTAAACTGTTTCCACCTTCATTGAGATATTATTGTGCTTACCTGCTTGAAAGGATACATGTATGGATTTAGGCTGCGTAAAATCGTCTTGCAAAGCTTGGTGACCGTCGCAATCTGTCAAAATCTAGCCAATGTATACTACCCCTGTAGAAAGCGATTCCAAGTGATGACTCAATGCAACTATTTTAGCACTCGCGGCGATGCCCATCTCCACAGCACGGCACCTCTCTATCTTCTTCACGTTCTCGGTTAAATGATATGCACCACTATGGGTGTCGGGATCGTGCGGTGTTTAACCCTGTGGGTATTTGGACTGTCCTACATACGGAGGCGTTCTTGTCAGAGCCGTCCAAAATATGGGATTGCCACATTAAATTAGCAAAACGATAAGGCTAAGCTGTACCAGTACTTGAGACAGATATGTAGCCTACTCGATTGGCCATCTGTTTCAACCACTACATACTGTATTTATTCGTTTTGCCCGTGAAAATAAGTAGGCACTTACGAGACAAAAACAGAACAAGGTACGTAAAGCGAACACAAGAGGCCGATGTAAGAACAAGAAGTCAACCCGAGCCGCATGGACGCGAGGTTGACAGCGGGACTATTACATAAACCCCAAGGCAACAACAAAAGGCGCAAGCGGGCCGTTCACACACATCCTCTCACGTCAAACGCTTGGTGAGCTCGCTTGTGAACTGCTTTCTTTTGCGGGCTATTCGTCTCATTCCTGGCCTTGGAGGCGGCAAAGTATATATGTGCAGCGCCTAAGATGGCGGGACGCTCATTTTCTTTCCCGCTCTCGATTTTCAATGCCCGACCTTCCAAGCGCGCAGCTGGCTGCTCTCGCTCATCTTCAGATAGTAAATGTGAGTTCTCATTCTAAATGAGGTTGACGTTAGAATGCTCATGAGAGGTCCAGTATTGCAGAGGTACGTCGCGAGCACGGCATCTCAGTTGATACTTCGAGCTGAAGCCGTTTTGGCAAGTTGCTCCTGCGGCGATATGGGTGAGTACATTCAAGCGGAGTTGTAGAAGCATTGTAGCTGAAATATGATCAACTACAGGCGTTGGAATTCCTTTTGACGTTTGATGATGAGGTACGCACCACCGGATATATGTCGAACCCTCAATCACGACGATGCATACTAGTTAAGGGTAATTTGGAAGGCAAAGAAATGGAGCTATACCCACGTCATGTTCTTCATCGTGAGGTACCTCCCAGTACTCGGCTTTGCGTTTTCCATCATACGTACGTGGACATTGCACCCTTTTAGTCTGCAAGGTCATAACCACGTGAAGCAGATTCTTTTCCCCGCCAAAATTTCTCAATGGTAAGCTTCCCAGCTATATAGCGAAGCATTCGCTGACCTTTCAACGGCATCATGTAGTGTCTATGGGCATACAAACTTAACGGATGTAAGTTCTGCCGCTGCCTGATATTGTCGGGCTTCTACAGCATAATTTTCAGGCGCGCTAGTGATCCTCATGCTCACGACCGAAGGTACGCTCTTGAGTACAATGGTGACTTCACAAGTAACTTACCAGTTCACCAGGCATATTATGCCTCCGCACCCTCGCGCTTTGGTATAACCGTCGGATGGTGAAAATTGCTCTGGTGACTTTATACCTGGTTTGTCATTCCCGCCTCGTACCCCCAATATCACCAACTCTCATCCTTTATTAGCTCGTCTGCATAGTGACCACTGTATGCATAGCGGTGGTACGATTATCCACCGACCCCGATGGTATCTGCTCTGCGTCAATAATGCACTCGCCGATGCCACACTCGACGCTTGGGAGCACTGAGGGGAACCTGCTAACTGGGGGGTTCTCCACCGCTGCCGGATTCGAATTTGGTGCGTAGTCCAGACTGCCTGAGTGTCAGATGGACAAGACTGATGGTACTAAACAATCAGTGATTGTCTGCTTGACGCTGGCGCGCAGCTCTGAAATCGGCGGGATTAGAACCTCCAGTCGCCTTCTAATGTCGCTACGCGAGGGAAACTTGTTGTATGCGGTGACCCTTTTTGGTGGGTGTGACGTTCCCACTTTCCTGGAGCATTGCTGATAGCGGGATGACCGATGATCATTGACAGCCATGTCAACGGCAAATATGGTTTTCTCCCATCTTCCAGTAAATTGCTATATATAGCTCCTGATTGTATGCCAAAGCCTCGACTGACTTTCTCCTTCATCTTAGATGAACGAGGGCTGGATGGGCCTCCTCGACGGGTGAGTCGTTTTGACCTACAAACCTGCAATGTTTATAATCGCCACGCGGAACTAATCAACTATGGTTTTTGTCTGACTTATTGGCAGGTTTCAAGGCGTGCTACACGGTGTTATGGCGTCACGGATCGTCCTCTCGTTGAGGAATGCCGACAGCCTTACAGGTGTAGACCGGCTTCCGGAGTCGGTGGCCAATATCTCTGTAGGGCCTATACAGTTTGCGTCGCCACCGGAGGAGGCAACTGGAGTTGTCAGCACGCCATCGCAGAATTATTCCCATGCATAGGTAGAGAGGTGAGCAAGTCGAAGTGAGCGATAAGGAGTCATAACTTGTAGGTGCTACACGGGCTAACCATGGTCTCTCTCCAGCATCAACGCCAAGACTTGTGCCAAATCTTGTACCGTGGCGGTAGCATCCAGTTTCCCTAAGGAGAAGGGAGTTGGGCTGACCTAGAGCTCGAGCCTCACTTCCACATAGCCGTCGGACTTAACGGCGCTCGTCGACGAGCAAGCCCATCAAGTAGCGTACAATCCTAAGCCAGCATCCACACGCGAGGACAAGTTGTAGAAGGGATGTACAGGGATACACAAGCAGTTGAGCTGCTGTGATGTGTATGAAATGGCTCAGCGCTGGCGCCGAGCCAGGCAATTTTAAAGATGGTTGTCGAACGCGGAAGGTGCCTTTCGACAGCAAGGGGCCACCAGTAGTCCTAGAGCAGGAGAAGGTCGAAGGAATTCGTTGATCATGAGGGCATGTATTGAAGGGGTGTTGTCCACGGCGGGTCCGGGGCTGCATCCGTCACTCCGGGTAGGCGCAGAAACATTCGGATATATCAGTTGTCGACCGAGGTGGTGTAAGCGAGTCTCGTAGCATCCAAGGACATAGTTTTCTGCCATATTGTTCTTTCTCGAAAATTTCACCTTGTGTCAGCCCTCGTAAACGAGGAACTTTGAATGGTTCGCCCAACGTTCGCCTGAGGCCGAGAAGATGGTGGTGTTAATTCTTCTCCAAGCCTAGCACATAAGCGCCGTGCCACGATTCTCCCCGGCTTCCGGTTCACGTTCTGGATCCGGTTTGCCGATACCATCATCTTGTCCTACTCCGAGCGCTTGCTCAAGCTCAAGGTTAGGGGCAAGACTTTTATGGGATCTTGTCATAGTTATTCACGGGTCCAATTTCACCGTCACCAGCGAAGAGCTACACTTTGAGAATATCGCATGGTTATTAATCTCATTCACGGGAAAGCTCTACTGCGATTGAATGCACTCATATATTAAATCTACAAGCGGATACAGGGTGAACTTGAGAAAAAGTATTAAAAAGCATAATAATAATCATGAAACCCCCTCGCGCCCCTTAGCGCCATCCTCATCGTGGTGCGCTAGTTCGCGCCATCCTCATCGTGGTGCGCTAGTTCGCGCCAGAGCGCCTTGTAGCCAGGATGTTGGACACCGGTTGGTCATTTGAAGACACAGAGTAGAGTCGGAAGACTTGAGCGAGCAAGCGAGCGATCAGCACAAGTGCAGAAGTGCAAGTTGATCGCGCAGCCAGAGTGAGAGCTCAATTCCTTGTCCAGTCGGCGGCTAGGGCTGAAGATGGATTCCATACACCGGTCGCATGCTTCCGGGCTTCTTCTTGCCGCCGCTCTTCTTCTTGGATTTCTTGTTCGATGATGGAGGCTGGGTGGAGGATCCCTCGGACGACTGGGTGTCCTCCGTGCGACGTTCGGCGCGCTCCTTGTTGCGTCGCCGCTGGTTCCTCTGTTGTGTCGCAGTCAGATGCTGGGAAGGTGCGTCTGCGTCGATTGGCTGAGAGGCTTGGAGGGCGCCGACAGCGTCGCACCCGGTGGCCCAGTCGAGACCCTCTTCGGCCTCAGGCACGGTGAATGGGTCAGCTGCGGCAGTGTCGGTCGCTGGCGTGGCCTCCTCGCGTTGACGCCTCTTGAGATCGGTGCGCTTCTGAGCCTTGGTGCGCGTCACAACAGACGAGGTCGGTGCGAAGTCGTGGAGGAACGCCTCTGGTCCCTCCTCGAGCAGCGACTCGCGCGTGACCTCTACATCATCTTGAAAAGCCGGCTCCGATTTGGCGGTGCCATAGAAGGGGATCGCCATCTCCGCATTGTCGGGCAGCGGGCATCGACCACGGACCGAGACCAAGAGCGTGAGGAATGTCGGCTCGCACCTCGCGAGATCAAGATGGAGGTGCTGCTCGGTGCGGGCTCCACTGGTAGGGCGTGCTCGAGGGCTGGCAAGTAGGAGTGCGTCGATCGAGAGACGACGGAAGTCATCTCGGCGCGCTGGGGGCTCCTGTAATCAAGAAACCATCAGTTTACGCCCCTCGAGGAGAAGAGAAGGGCGTACCTTGTCATACCGCTCTCGCCAGTACTTCTTCTTGTCCAGAACAGAGTCGAGTCCAGGTTCGGAATCGTCAGCGCCCAAAGAAGCGATGGGACGTTCGCAATCCATGGCTTGAGGCTCGATGGGGAGGAGGGAGCCAATCTCCACCAACGATAAAGCAAGGGCGGCCATCTAAAAACCAAAAGTCAACAACATGGACAACGAATTATGTTCAAAGTGAAGCACAAATCACCTTCTCCGAATCATCTGCTTCCCGTCCTCGCTTCCTATGCCTCTTCAGCTGACTCTTTGTCTTACGAGCAGGGGTGGCCTCATCATCAGTAGTCGGCAGCACGAGCACGAGCACAGTGTCCTCGAACAATTCCTCCGCGTCGGGAACGGGAGTTGGGGTATTGATTGCAAGAACAGGATCTTCCTTGTTTTCGACAAGCGGCAGTACCATGAGCAAATCATGCTCAGTTCCTTTCCCGAGTCCGATGGGAGGGAGATCGATTCTTGCTGTGTACCCGACGAGCTCCTCGTCGTTGACTGGCGGCAATGACACGGGCGCGGCGTATTCGAATACTTCATCCACGTTGGGAGTGGGGGCCGGGGTATTGATAAGAAGCACAGGATCTTCCTCGTTGTCGACAAGCGGCAGTACCGTGAGCAAATTGTGCTCAGTTCCTTTCCCGAGTTGTCAATGAGGATGTCGGTGGGGATTGCGATGCTCTCAAGCTAACCAGCCCCCTGGTGAAGAGGCGTCGTGTTGGAAAGAGGGCGATGTAGCTGGCTGAGTGGATATGTGCAATCTGGACTGATTGGGATGGTTCAACCCAGCGATCGAGCGCGAACATTAGGTGAGTTCCCAATCTAGACATATTTCCAGCTAAATTCCAAACCTCTCCGCGGCAGGTCTCGGCCCAGAAGTTCTAACATGGACCAAAGTCAGCCTCTTCCTCCTCGGTCCGCCCCGCCAAATATTACCAAAGTGTTGAACTCCAGACGTATATAGGATGGCACACCGAATGCCTTCTCTCCTCATCGTAAACATATCACATCGCATACAACATTCAACAATGAACTTCCTCGTCTTTGTCTCCGCAGCCATCCGTGCCCTCCACGCATTCTATGCGTTGGCTGGGTCCGGTACGCTGACATCCTCCGGTCTACTCGGTCTCCCCGGTGGGCCGCTGCTCTCCAACGCGCTCGCCGAGCTCGGTCCTCAGCTCGGCATCCGCACGCTCCCTCACGTCTTCGGCCAGCACATCGCCCAAGGGATCAAGAGCATCGCCGACATTGTCTCACTTCGACTGTCGGCGGTCGTCATCCCTTTGCCCTCGGTCCTCAACGATACGTCGCTTTCTGAAGACGGTGTCCTCGCGTCTGGAGATCCATCAAGTCCCGACCTCGTACCCGGTCTGACAGCTGATAATGGTAACGTCTCTCGTCCCTTCCTACGATACATAGCTAACACCTACTACCAGTCATCCTCTGGACGTCGTCTAACGAGACGTTCGAAGAGCCCAGATCCTCCTGGTCTACCTCCGCCACGCCCTCCATCGCCCTGCTCCCCGTCTGCGAGTTCAAAGGTCTCGAACTCCTCAAGTTGGACGTGTGCGCGGCAGTCGACCAGGCCATTCCGGTCGTCCAAGCTGTCGGTTCCACGCCTTCTGTCACTTCGCTTCCCATCTGCGAGTACAAGCTCATCAAACTCCCCAAGTTGGATGTGTGCGCAGTGGACGAGCAGCCCCCCTCGGTCGATCAGGTTCTCGGTTCTACATCTTCCGCCACTCCGCTTCCCACCTACGAGTTCAAGGTTCTCGAGCTCGGCCCACCGGAACTGTGCGCGGCGGGCGACCGGCCCACGTCAGTCGACATCTTTAGACCCCAGGATCTAGCCAGCATCCCTCTCCGGGATCCATTCGCGTGTTTCAACGCCCAGGATTTCACGGCACGGTTTATTCAGCTCATCCGCTACGTATATTCCCCGAAAAGGCCGCAGTTATTCTACCTCCTTCAAGTTTCCTTCATTCTCTGGACAATCAAGGTAAGCGCCTCGAACTGTCTCGAGTGGCGTCAGCTCATCATGTTTCTAGGGTCGCCTGTATCAACGCAAACCTCGTCACGTCTTCATCTCCATTGATCAGCATCTTCTCGACAACGTCCTTCTTGTCAACCTCTCGCCTCCCGAGATGCACGGCCCCATTGTTCTCGACATCTCGCTCGCATCCAGCGCTTGGCTCCCATTTGTTCCGTCCACCCTTCTCCCTCTCCTACCCTCAAAGAAAGGAAATGAGCATACTTTGCTCACGGTACTGCCGTTGAACGACGGCGAGGAATACCATGGACACGCAGCCAGCGCACTGGTCTCCGCTCCGGACGCGGCCAAAGAAGTCGAACATGCCATCTACATGGCCCTGCTACCAGTCGGCAATGAGGAGCCCATCGGGTACACAGCAAGAATCCATCTCCCTCCCATCCGACTCGGGAAAGGAAATGAGCATGATTTGCTCGCGGTACTGCCGCTTGTCAACAACGAGGAAGATCTGGTTCGCGCTGCCAACACCCCGCTCCCCGCTCCGGACGCTGAAGAAGAATTCGAGCACGCTTTGCTCGTGCCATTGCCATCTGTCGACGACGAAGAAGCTCTGGGCCACGCTATCGCCATGTCGCCCGCAACTCCTGGCGCGGACGAAGTATTCGAATACGCCATGCTCATGCCATCGCCGCCATCCAACGACGAGAAGCTCGTCGGGTATACAGCAAGCACTCATCTCCCTCCCATCCGCGTAGTACCAGAGGCGTACCCGGGCGAGATGGGCGGCGGAAAGTGTATCCTCCGCACAGCGCCAGATAGCATCGCCGTATATTTCGCCATAGAGAGATTGCAGGTGTCAGTGTGCGCATACAAATTTGCCGCGATGAGCCTGACGAAAGCCGGCATGGCTCAGCAAAGGATGAAGACGACGTATTGGGCTTTGATTTAAACTCGGCAATTGATGGACAGTTAAGTCTACATTTTTGCGTGAAATTATAGTTTCTCTGTCCTCGGAGAGGCTGACATGGTTCTGCGGGAGGTACGCGTTAGTGGAGGATGTGTGAGATTTTGCTTGGAGATGGACTCACAGGATCCGAAGACGACGTGACGCCGTATTTGGTGGGATCTACGAATGCATGCGTACACGTTAGAGCATGCTGAGGAAGTTGGCGAAAGGACTCACGCCTGTAAGCGACGAGGTCTCAGGCTGTAGGATTCGTGAAGTCGACACGGGTATATGCAGGGGACTCGTGTATGGGAAGAATCAGTAACTACCCATGGCCACACACACTCCATCTACGAAGACGCGCCTATCGCAGTGACTATTCGCATGTAGAGACACCGATCATATACTATGACCTCTTAACAGGACAGTGAGAGATCCCAGGGTGTCCGTCAAGGACGTGATGAAACCGCCGTGCATGTCTGAGAGTGGATAAGCGAGAGTACGACGATGAAGAGAAAGACACGTAATCTAACCATGTTCACCTGACTTTGGTCGTCAAATACAAGCTCGAGTCGCGCACCAAGAATGCCCAAGCTCACGGCTGTGCAGCTCGATTCAAAGACGTTTCGACCGTTCCGGGGAGTACACGACGAACCTCGAGCAGTGGCGCCGTTATTCAGAATAGCGTACGTGCGCAGACTGGTGAAGTACTATCCATCGTGGCCTATGTCAAACAGTACCAAGAAAGGACGAGGAGCTTTGAATGGTTCACCGAGTTGCTCACCTGAGAAGATGATAGTGTTCTTCTCTAAGCCCATGCACATAAGCGCCGCGCCACGGAAATTCTCCCCGCCGGTTTCCGGTCCCCGTTCTTGATCCGGTTTGCCGATACCATCCTTGCCTAGAAGGACTTGGTTATCCCCGAGATGATGTGGTGATGCTACGCTCGGCGCTGACCAGTTGCTAGCAGGCTTTAACAGGCTATACCATCACCGCAACATGCGTCGCCGACTCAGTCATGGCACCGAGCCCCGAGTCGAACGACCGCGAAAGGCGGGATTGTATAATATGGCGGTCGTCATAGGGTTCAAGTCGACTCTACGCCAGCATCTCTGTCAGCAAGAAATCGTCTAGCGACACCATGGCTCACCCCACCCCCGTCATAGACTCAAATGCGGCTCATGGCGCGCTCTCTGTAGCTGCACTGAGCGATGCGCTCCGTGCGAAGCTCCAAACGCGCGTCGAGACCACACTCTACGAGACCATCTGCAAAAACTCTACCTCCAAGTTTGCCCGGGCCTCTAATGCACTATCGACTTTCCGTGACTCCTGCCCAACCCCTTCTTCCTTGGAAAACCGCCAGACTACCCTCACGTCTTTTCGTTCAACAGTGCCGTTGACGTCTTATCCCGCGTACGAGCCCTACATTGCCCCTCTCCTCCGCAGCCCATGCAGTGTGTCCTCCGCTGCAGACGCTCTTAGCCCGGGAATACCAACGTTCATCGGGATTTCGAGCTCCACGTCTGGCGGGACATCCAAGTTTTTCCCGCGGTACAGTCGCACAATCGAGGAGATGAGCGATCTACTTGGCAGAAGGCATCCGTTTGCGGGGACTGGGTATACGAGCTGGATGATGGGGTTGGGTGTCAAGGATGTTGTGGAGGTCTATGTTGGTGGTGGTGATGATAGTGGAGAAGCGAAAGCAAGGGTGCCCATTTGCAATGTCTCGACTGGACAAACGCGCGTTGGTCTTCAGCTGGACCTGGATGGAGAGAAAGAGCGTATGGCAGTTACCTATGAGTGCTCTGATATCGCACTTTTTCCAATGCATCTCACCGATGACCAAGTCCCCGGCACCTGCTTTCCGCTCGCCGTTGCTTTCATCGCGTACTACCGCTCATTCCTTCTCACTCACGCGCTCTTCGCGCTCTCGTAGTGCGAGCTCACAACAATCGCGGCGAACTGGAGTGTCAACATTATTGATATGATGTGATACATTGAGGAGGAGTGGGAAACGCTCTTGTATGCGCTCGAGAAGGGGACGTATCCGGGATGGCAAGGAACAGAGCGCGTACGGCGGTATTTGGAGGTGAGTGTCGCAAAGACAGACGTTTTGTTGACCATCTGCTCAGAATCTGATGATTTTTGTGTCTTAGAACAAGATAATAGCCGATTCAAGCAGGGCTGAGGAGCTCCGCACCCTAGGACCCCCATCGGCGGTGGAGATGTGGGCTTCGCGGGCGTGGCCCAAGCTTGATCTCGTCATTGGGATATGCAGTGGCACGTTCTCTCGGTCTATCCCGCAAGTAAGTCGTTGCTTCCTGTTTGGTTTTTCGATATCGTCTCTTACAATGCTCTGATGCTGTTCTCAGCTAAGATCATATCTTTCACCTCATGTTGTGCTTCGTAATCCAGTCTACGCCTCTACCGAGTGCCTGTTGGGAATCACGTACGACGACAGCATGCTCAGCGTGTTCAAAATCATGCTCGATGATGTCATTGAATTCCTCCCTGTCATACCAAGCGAAGGGGACTTGGACATTTTGAACAGTGTAAGCGACTTTTGTGGCAAGTCTCCGCATGTACCAGCAATAGTTAACATGACCTACAGTGGGAAGTCGAAGTCGGAAAGCTATACGAACCGGTAGTGACGACGCGCGACTTGCGCGCGACGGGCTCTGGCGCTACAGGATGGGTGACACCGTCAAGATCGTCGGGTTTGCGACCAGCGACGGCGCACCGCTGGTCGAGTACACAGGGCGACGCAAGTGAGCTATCCTCCAGTCCTGGCCATGTCTGATGTTAGAGACAAGTGCTGATAACCCGCTTCAATCTCACAGTGCATCGTTGCGGCTCTCGCACGCGCTCCTGTCGGAAGAGGACATCATCACTTCCCTCGCGTGTGTCGAGGAGCTTAACGGGTGTGAATTCACGACGTGGCTGGACGATCGCCCGTTACCCCCGACGGTAGGATATATCATCGAAGTGAACGCTAAGATCGCAGGTGAGCTGTGCCACCACTCAGCTGCGAGTGTCGTTGGTTGATATCGAACTCTTTCTTAGACACAATTTCACCCTCGATGCGCGATCAACTCGCCCACGCCCTCTGCGCGTCGAACGAGAACTTTGCCGTGGGCTATAGCAAAACCATCTCGAGCAGGCCGACGATAAGACTCGTTAGCCGGGGCACGTTTGCCGAGTTCAGAAGATGGAAAGGAGAGCGGCTAGGTTCGGGGAGCGGGCAGATTAAAGTGCCTGTGGTTATGGGGGAGAACCAGGGCGAGACGAGGGAGGTGTTGCTGACGAGAGTCGTTAGGGAGCTGTGAATGCATGGAGCGAGGCGGCATTTGGGCAGATTTAAGCGGTTTTCGGTGCGAGGTTAGGGGAGGAGGCATGCAGTGTTTGGGTGACGGGGTGGCGTAAGCTCGGCGATTCGCCTGTTGACTCAAATAAAGAAAAGATACACGAATCTCATCTGTGGTAATACTGTACATGAGTTGGTAAGGACGATCATTTTGCTGTAGTTTACACTGAGACCACCATCCATGTCTTGTCCGCTCGTGTTATGACAATATAGAATTTTGACATCTCTATCTCCGTACATTCTGGATCTGACTTCGTCGGAAAAAATCGTCGTGTGAGACCTGAGCTGGGGGAAGGATTAGAGGTGGGTGCAAAACAACGGCCGGGTGCGGGAGCGGGATCACGTCGCTGTCCGGGGAGCAGAGCGGCGGGTGAAAAGGAGTGCTGGGGCGCGACGGGTAACCCGTGAAGTCAGTAGAAATTGATTCTCGGTTGTAATGAGGCTTTTCCATGGTTCGTTCTCGTCCATCGTGCCCGGCTTGGCGTTCATATTAGCGTCAGCTTTTTGGAGCTCAAATTAATTGCACAGTGGATACTCACACACGATGTCCCTCCAGCGCACCCTTTCTGTCCAAATAGGAATTACCGTATCCTGAGGTGTGCCGAATGGAAAATAGCTGATCCTCTGGGGCAAGAAAGCCACGAATACGACTGGGAAGGACATTGGCTGCAGACATGGTATTGCATAATTCGCCTTTGGTTCGTCTCGTTTGCGACTCCCGCTCTTTCGCTGCTGGTTGCATTCGAAAGAGAAAGCTCCCATGGTTTCGATATCGTCAGCTGCGTCCATGGGGACTTGACCTTGAGGAAGATTCCCCCATACCTTCAGCATGGATCTTATCGACCCTAAAAACGTACTACTCAGATGTCGACACTTGTTGTAGTTTTTGACCTTTTCGCGCGTGGCTGGTGTATAGGTCGTCATTAATTCCTGTAGCGACGTGCTGTAGATCTGAGCAGGGTTGAGTGAAGAGGTAGGAGAGACCAATTGGAGCGCCGAAAAGGGGCGAAGATACGGAGTAACGTCAACGCCAACAACCTTACGCAGCTTCGGATTTGCTAGCTCTTCGACAAGATCGATGATAGTGTAGAGGTACTGCAGTCCGCGAGTGCAAGCCTCAGCTTGATCAACGTTAACTGGTATCTGGCGCTCGATCGTTTCCCAGACGTATGACACATCACCACGCAGCATGCTGAAGAGGAGAGAAAGACGGCCCGGACGGTGACCCTTGTTTATCATGTTAACTAAGGCTGTCGCAGAGGCAAAGCTACCACTGGTGAGCTCGACGAGCGTCGAGAGATCGCGTTCGTCGGGACACGAAGCAGAGATTCGGTGGCTGCTGCGCATCGTATCAAATGCCTGTCTAAGGGATAAGTTGACGTCGTCTGGCGAATCATATTCTTCAATCCGAACGATCTTGACGACGTCTCGAAGGTTGGCCCTCTGCATCTCCGCATTGATATGGGGCTTCGGTGTGCTGGAGACAATAATAGTGTCGATGGGGAGTGTGGCGTCTCGCACGAGCTTAGCGAGCTGCGTGATGAAAGGACCAGCTTGCTCCCCGGTCGCTGCGTTCAGTCCGTCCAAGATGAGAGTGACCCCCGTCTTGGAGGCCCATATCCGACGCATCTGTCTGAGAGGAGGAATGAATAACTTTTCTAGCTGGTCCTGACGTGACTTCTCCGCGAGGAGGAGTGCGGGGTCAGTCGCGATGGCTTTGGTGATGGCTTCCTGTGCGCGAGGGTGCTGAATGGCGAGCTGATACGCAAGGGTGGGGAACACATAGTCGAATGAGTTTCTCTTGGGATGTGCTGATGAGAAGAAGAATGTGCCTGCAAGCCTGTCTTCCTGGCGGAGTTCATCCGCTAGCGTGTGCAGCACGGCCGTCTTTCCTGAATCTACCTTCCCAACCAACCAGATGATCGACCGCTCTTTATCCTGTGCCATCGTCTTGAGTCGTTGATGGAGGTCTATTCGTGTATCGGGAAGGCATTTGATATGAGGCTGTCGTTCGTTGGAGTCGTAGATTGCGCCTTGAGCGCATGCTTGAGCAAAGCTTTGCCACGCATCCGACCTGTCTTGTGGATAAATGGGCGTCATGACCAGTCTGGATGAAGTGTAAGATATGAACGTGTCGGCGATGTAGAGCAGAAACCTGAGAAGAAGGTCTTTATGATAAGTACTTCATGAAGGCCTAACACAGGAGAACACGAAGGGGTGGTTGTTAGCATAGCCTGGCGAACATGGCCCAAGTATGGAGGAAGTTATTTTTAGTGCATCGACCACATTTGAGAGACGTATATCACTTAAGCTGTGATTCTGATAAGAACTCCATCCTTGGGGGCATGATGGGGTGAGAAATCTAAGTTTGAGGGTTTTAGATCCTCGGCTGCCTCCGTCGTACCTTACGTCGTACCTTACAGTACACGACACTGCCGGGTAATGACAGTCATAGATATTTCGCATCGAGACTCCTGCTCTAGTGCAGGTGGTGCTCTCCATACACGGTGGGCAGCGTTCATAGAGGCGTAGTAGAATGTAGCTCATGTGAGCAGTGGAGGACGACTCACGAGTACCGGGTCGCTGAATGTGCGCTAAGCAGCAGCTAAACCCAGGGCAGAGAGAGACAACGCGTTAACGGCGCGAGTGACGAATACCTAATTTCTTCCATCTGGCTTCCAACTGGCTTCCGGGTCCGAACCTCCGAGCTCTACCGAGTGCTTTGGAGTTCTGGGTTCCAGCACTGCAGGCAAACGGCGATGTTATCTGGGACTACTGTACTTTTTCGACCTTAAGTTCGTGGTGGCGTGAGAATTCGGACTTTAAATACAGTTTCCTTAACCGTTTGTCCCCCCCCTGTAAGTTCGGAGGGCCAAGCCGAGGGTGGACAAGGTTCGTGTTGAGGGATTGCACCAGCGACCTCAACACCAATTGAAAAAATGACCATGGAGTGGAATTGCTAGCACCTTTGCCTATATTCCTGGCAGACTTCCATCTCGCTGCCTCTTTTTCTCGATTTACTGTACTTTTTCGACCTTAGGTTCGGTCCCCTGTCCCCCCCTCCCCACGAACCGAACCTACCGTGGGGGGACAGTCCACCCCAAGTGTGAGGTCACGAACTTAACAGGGGGGACATGCGGTAAAATAGGGAGAAAAAACTGATTAAATTGATAAAAAAAATCCGAAAAATGCTATAGAGTATTTTGATAACTTAAAAACCTACTGGTGTGTCTGTTAGAACCTCTGGCTAATTAAGCGGCATGTTTCATCTACTTAAACACCTACAGAGTCCTGTAAAACACATTGAGCTTGTCCATGTTGGGGCCACAGTGATGGAAGACAGCACCTTGACCTTAATACAATCAGAATAGCCTTGTCGACACAGAGAGGACAGAAATATGGGGTAAGTAAGCAATATCAGCAGAGACATGCTGAATTCAAATACATTGAGTGATTCTACTGACATGGTGCCATTGAGCACAGAGCATGCAGTGGGAACAAGGCCCGAGGAATGTATGTGGTGGCTCGAGTGCATGTGCCAACAATTTCAGCTCGAGATTGATTCCATTTGTGCCAATGTCAGGGATGTTTCTGAGAACGCTTGCTTACCTCCAAGTTTTATGTTGAGTTACGACCCTTTTTGGCACATGAAAAGATATCTTCTTTGGCCAGCATTTGTGTGGATTCCAAGTGGATTCTGCGTCGCAAAAAAGTACGGATTATCGAATTTGGGGTTAACACTCCCAATTTGGACATTTTGATATTCGTTCTCCGCCCTCAAATGCAAACCCCAAGGGCAGCACAAATGCACCCGAGGATAGGGGGGTGGTCAACCTTGCGGTAAACAGTGTAAGGTTTGTTAGCAGGGGCACGTTCGCCGAGTTCAGGAGGTGGAAAGGCGAGCGGTTAGGCTTGGGGAGCGGGCAGGTTAAGGTGCCTGTGGTCACGGGGGAGAACCAGGGCGAGGCGAGGGCGGTGTTGCTGGCGAGAGTCGCTAGGGAGCTGTGAATGCGTTGGAGACGATTTGAGCAGACGAGGTGGCGCGGTGCCAATTTCTGTCTAAGAGACGGGATGGAGGACCGGCGATTTGACTACTGATGCAAACCCAGCAACATGGTTTTCCAAAGTGTTGCAAGCCGTAGGTTGTGCACAAAATGACAATGGAAAAAGACACTCAAACAATCTCAGCTTCGAGAAGTCGGTCTTCTTTTGCGGCCACAAAACGGTCTGTTCCCTTATTTACGTTTGTGTTAGTATACCAGTTGTTACATTCGTATCCCGTTCGCTCGTCTGACTACTCCCTACAAACCGCATGTCCCTATCTCCCCGCATCCCGAGACTGCCTTGGTCTCATCGACTCGTCGCGCGAAAACTCGTGTGGCGGTGGTAACAGGATTGTGCTGCTCCCTGGGGAATGGAGCGGGATGAAGGGGCTGGGGGGCACAATCTGCACCCGCCCTTTCGACGAGAATCGCGACGCAAACTCGCCGCCCACCCCGCCGGCGCCCTGTTGCTGCTGTCGCTGCGGAGGTGGTAGCGGGATGGTGTTGCTCTCCGGGGAGGGAAGCGGGGGGATGAAAGGGGTGCTAGAACGGGATGGGTAGCCTACAAATTCAGTAGATATCGACGGTCGGCTGTATTGAGTCCCGCCTCTGGTTCGTTCTTCCGTATCGTATATTGATGCGCGTAACATTTCGCTTGAAGGTATATCTGGGTGGCCTGTAGAGTCTGCTCGGGTTTCGCATGAATATCATGAAAGACAGGTCTAATACTCACGCATACGGTCCATCAAGCTCAGCTCTTCTAGCCGATGAGGGCTTATTGTATCCGGAAGTGGACTACTTTGAAAAAAGGCGCGATTATAATTGGGAAGGATCTTGACTGCAGACGTGACACTGCTTGGCTCGCCCTTGATTTCTCTCGTATACCACTATTGCTTGCTCGCTTCGTACTTCCTTCGAACGAGAAATCTTCTGTCGTTTCTGCATCGTCAGATACGTCCGCGAGAACTAGACCCTGGTGAAGCCTCTGCCAATTTTTCAGCATGGACTTTATCGAGCCCAAGAACGTACTACTCAAGTGCCGACGTTTATCGTAGGGTTTGACCTTTTCGTGTGTGGCTGGTGTATACGTCCGCATGAGCTCTTTTAACGACATGCTGTAGATCTGCACAGGGTTGAGTGAAAGGGAAGGAGATACCGATTGAAGCGCTGAAAATGGGCGGAGATATGGGATGACGTCAACGCCAACGATCTTGCGTAACTTCGGATTTGCTAGTTCTTCGACAAGGTCGAGGATCACGTAGAGGTACTGCAGCCCGCGAGTGGAAGCCTCAGCTTGATCAACGATGATTAATATCTGGCGCTCGATCGTTCCCCAAACGTATGCCACATCGCCACGGAGCATGCTGAAGAGGAGTGCGAGACGGCCCTGAAGATGGTCTTTGTTTATCAGCTTGATTAACGCTGTCGCAGAGACGAAGTTGCCGTTGGTGAGTTCTACGAGGGCCGAGAGATCGCGTTCGCCGGGACACGAAGCAGACATTCTGTGGCTGCTGCGCATCACGTCGAATGCATGCTGAAGGAATAAGCTGACGTCGTCGCGCGAGTCGTATTCCTCCATCCGAACGATCTTCACGACTTCTCGAAGATTAGTCCGTTGCATCTCCACATTGATATGAGACTTCAGTGTGCTGGAGACGATGATGGTGTCGATGGGGAGTGTAGCGTCGCGGACGAGTTTAGCGAGCTGCGTAACGAACGGACCAACTTGTTCCGTGGTCGCCGCGTTCAGTCCATCCAAGATGAGAGTAGCACCAGTCTTGGAAGCCCATATCCGACGGATCTGTCTGAGGGGAGGGACAAGTAGCTTTTCTAGCTGGTCCTGACGTGACTTCTCCGCGAGGAGGAGTGCGGGGTCATTAGCGATGGCTTTGGTGATGGCTTCCTGTGCGCGAGGGTGCTGAATGGCGAGCTGATACGCAAGAGTTGGAAACACATAGTCGAATGAGTTTCGCTTGGGATGTGCTGAGGAGAAGAAGAATGTGCCCGCGAGCCTGTCCTCCTGGCGGAGTTCATCCGCTAACGTGTGCAGCACGGCTGTCTTTCCTGAATCCGCCTTTCCTACTAACCAGATGATCTTCCGTTCCCTATCCTGAGTCATCTCCCTGAGCCGTTTGCGAAGATCTAGTCGTGTGTATGGAAGGCATTTGATGTGGGGTTGGCGCTCGCTGGAGTCGTAGATTGCGCCTTGAGCGCATGCTTGAGCAAAGCTGTGCCAAGCACCTGAGTTGTTTTGTGGATGGATAGGTGGCATGACTGAGTGGATCAAGCGAAAGATATGATGCTACTGTCGACGCAGAGGACTTGCCCTAGGAGTAGGTGTCTCTGTGAATTGGTGAGTGCTTTGCACAGTATGTCACCGTCCAGGAATCGGATGGAGGGCTTCAAGGCAGCGAACACGGCCTACTACAATACCAAAGCTATTTTTAGCATCTCAAACAGGTCGGGCCGAAAGCGCGGGTGACGATCAGGCTATGATTCTAGAAAACAATCCATAGTGGCGTATACTGTAGTACGATAAGAGGAAATGCCCTGGTCATGTTTCTCTTGTACAACACCGCAATGAACTTTGTACATGGGATATATTAATCGGTTAGCATCCAGCACCCTTTCACTCTTCTGACACCGAGCGCTAAGAATTTGGATAGATGCTGATGTATCAAGTCTTGTGCGCCTGGGACTGCTTGAGTTATGGGTCGAAGGCGGGAGTCCCAAGGGTGATCCGTGCAAAATAGTGTCGATACTTGCCGAGCGCAGCAATGTCCCTGCTCATCCTTACACGGGGGGGAGGATACTAGTGTGCATGGATGTCAACGGCAGAACGATCACCTTCGACAATGCTCGTACCCATCTCATTGGATGTTCGAGAGATGCACACCTAGCAGCGATAGTATAACACACCTCTATTGCCAGCTCATTGCAGACGCGAATTGGATGTATGCCCTCCGAATGTATCGGCGCCGATGAATCTCACTGCCGGAGAGATCGATATACTGCTGCGGTTGTCTTTTGGGTTGTCGTGAGCGTGGATTGGCCGCTGGTACGATGATGGGCGGACCACGATAGGCACGGCACTGATGGTGTGCAATACGAGGATCGAAGAGTTGTCCATGGAGAGGGAAGTGGTAACGTCGCGTCGTTTTGGAAGACGAACCGCAACCTCGAAGTACGAGGTCCTGCTCAAACGCGTCGCGAGGTGGCTGCAAGGTAGAGTATGCCGAGATGCCCATGGTTGAAGCGCCAACATCCACGGGGTCATTCTATCCAAAGTTGCAGACAGGCTGAAGATAGACGCTCATCTATCCGACAGGCACGGCGAGAAGCACAACGACGCAGTTTACAACTGTGGAGGAGAAGGCAGAATAGAAAATTGTCATCAGTGGGGTCAACATGGGGCGGAGGAATCTTCAATTTGCAACGTGCGAGTGCCGAATCTTACGCATCGGCCTATCATAGTAGCCGTTGTCAGAGATTTGCGTGCCCGAGTCCGTGGTGCGCGAAGCGAAGATCGTAGCTAGCCGCAGCCGCAGTGGGACGAGAGCTGTGTTGCACGAATGAGAAGCAGGCGACTCCTGAGTTTTTTTGGGGGGGGTTGAGGTCGTCATTGCATTTGTCGACAGACTTGTAGCACTACTTGCCAAGGAAACTGAAGCAGACTCTGGAGAGGTTGACGGACACGATGATTGGATGATGGGGTCGGGAGGACGAAGCGCGTCAAAGAAAAGCCCCTGTCTGTTGTTTCCCGCCGTAGCTCCGAGGGCCGAGGGCGACATACCCCGTTGGGTGATTCCGCGATTGCCAACTGGCGGGCAAAATGTCCTGTTCAAGTTCGCCGGTTACTCTCCTTTATCTGCTCTTATTTGACACTCCAATGCGCTTGCGGCCATGGGCATATCCTTTCGCCGTGAACTCAGTGATCTGACATCTTTCTCTTCCTCCTCTTGTGCATTCGCGTTTATCAACTCCCAGATGCCTCGTCAGTTTCTCATGCCTTACCCTGCCCGTTTCCACACATATAAGATATAGCCTTCCCTCTCCCTCCTTGTACTTTATCTCCCCAGAGCCGAAGTCGAGAAGCTCTTCAACGTGTCCGCAACATTCCAGCGTCTTCCTCCACGGTCGTGCTCTGATAAGACCCAACTCAGCTCGTTCCTGACCACCCACTGCACCGGCTCGCCCATTGCCCACCCCTTGGCTTCTGCTATCATCTCCCATCGAGTCACCGGCATCTCTCACCCATGTTCGCCCACCTTCCCGTCGACGTCTGGCTCAGCATCCTGCAACACCTTCAGGTGGAGGACATCCTCGTTCTCGAGCGTGTGCGTCCTGTGCTCAGTTATACCCACGACGTCATCTGACCATTTCTGTTCTCTCGCAGGTCTCAAAACGCTTCCACAGCTTCATCGAACAACGCAGCATCTGGAGCGACGCATACAAGCGCTCCCTCCTCCCCCGCCCGCCAGGGCCCTTTCCCTCCCAGTCGACGCGCGACCTGCGCTCCGCCCTCATCAAGAGCGCCCGCCTCGACCGGTGCTGGCCCCCATCACCTACCCAGCCTCCCGCGTCCGTCCTCCCGCTCGACCTATGCAAACACGCGCGCCACTTCAGCCTCGTCCTCGATCGCTGGCTCTTCTACACCTGCTGTCCCTTGAGCAACCACGCCCACCCCGTCGATGCCGCTGCCTCGGCCGCTCTCACCCCCGAGATTCTCTATATCGACCTCCACTCGTCCGACAAGCGTTCATATCCCGTGGCATGCGATGCGTTGCCCAGCGGGATCTCGTTCTTCACGTGCGTTGGCACACCCAGCCCCGATCCCGACGTGGACGCAGGCGGGCTCGCGTTCGCTGTCGTCGAGGACCGCGTTTCTCGGACTGTGTGAGTTGCATACGCTCTTTCCGGATCATGGTGTCTATTTTTGGACTAATCAGCTCTCCTTCCTTTCTCGCATTGCAGCCGGATATATCGAGTGTCTCTCCCTTACGACGAGGGCGAGAACGATGAGCAAATGTCGAGTGTAGGACCCTCTCTCAAGCTCGTGAAGGAGATCGCAGCGTGCGATGTGAACCTGCGTGACGGCGCTGTCATGCTCGCGCCCGGGGCACTGGTAGTGCAGGGCCACAGGGTGCACTACCGCCAGTCGTTCGCGCACGTGTGGGTTATGCACACCCGCACGCTTGCGCTATGGAAGCTGCCCGTGTGTGCAACGACCGCCATGGACGTACGTCCTTTCTCTCCTGTTTTCTTTATCGCTGTCTCTAATAGTCACTGCAGATCCCACTCTCCCAGCTCCTCTCAATGCACTTCACGCCCACGCATCTCCTCGCAGTGCTCTCGACCCGTGCGTCGAACGACACACGCGATCTGTTCAGTTTTGTGCCTGCCATCTTGGAGGCGTATCCGCTCCCGCTCCCCGAGACCTGCGCACACGACGAGCGCCCGCTGCAGGCCTCGCACGTGTTCAGATGCAGACCCGCGCCCGCACTACAAGCGCAGATGGTGTCGGCGAGCGCGAGCAGGGACGTCGGGACCCGGTGCGTGCGCTGAAGCAGGCGATGTATCCGGCGCAAAACGAGAAGGATAAAGAAGGCGAAGAGGAAGACACGCTCGTCCTTCCGCTCGTGTACCGCAAACACCCCTGCGTGCACCTTTCCCTCGCGCGTCTCGGCCCCTTCCCGCTTCCGCTTCTTCCACACATGCCCTCCTCGTCTTCTTCATATACATCCATTGCATCTCCCACCCCCAACGCCCGAGAATCGGCAAGAGATGAAGTGGAGGGGCCCATCGAGGGCGAGCTGCTCGTTTCGTCCCTTCTCGCGATCCCCAAGCTCGATCTGCCCCGCAGCTGCGCACAGCCGTTTGCGCTGGGCGCGACGCAGCGCGCGCTGATGCAGTACGGGTACGGCGAGACGTGGGCGGCGGGTGTGGCGTTTGCCAACTACGAGTACGGTGGCGCTGCCACCGTCACTGCCAAAGAGGTGCGGGAGGTAGTCGACGCCGAAGGGGAGACAATGAGCAAAGAGGAAGTCGAGGAGGGGGAAGAGAGTGTTAAGATCCCCGGGCTGCCCGCATTCGAGGCGCTGGAGTGCTTTGATGGTGCGAGGGGGCGCGCGTGTTTGTCGCGGGGGACGGAGCACGGTGTGAGAGTGTGTGTTGTGGACTTTGTTTGATGTGGGCGTTTTGTGCAAGGACTCCGTTATATGTGCTGTTCTGCGTTTTTTTTTTTTGCTGCTTGTTTATAGACTTGTTGTATACCCAATATAGTGTATTATTATGTGGCATCATTATACGCGACTGCTATCTGCTGTTGTTTCTCCAGACGACATCGCGAAGTGTAAAGTATCAAGTGGTTGAGCCCTATCTGCCTCATGCGAGTCGGATAGATGCTCTCCGCCATCGACGGTGTCTGCCTTGCGCAGGGACAAAACAATCCGAGACGCCATTACACCGTGCAGCACGCCTTGAAAGCTTCATCGAGAGCCATCGAGAGCCAGCGAAAATATCAATTTTCTGATTCCAGGGAAGACACAATGCCTTACATGGAGAGCAGACCGGTCCAACCCTCCGTGACCTGACGTGGTCGTGGAGAGGTTGTGGTCAGCTTGAATAGACACCGGGATTTGCAGCGGGGGTGAACGTACCGGGGTACCGTAGAATGCCACGTTGGCTATTGATAGTGCTGTAATGAAGGGGATATCATATGGTCTTGCTCGTTTGTTCATTCACCCTATGCTTACCGAGGAGTGTTGAGGAGTAGATCAGGTTTCCTTCATATAGTGATGCCATAAGGCGACTTGAGGACCTTATGCCGAAGGTCATACATGCGTGGAGTAGGGTAAAGCACACGATCGCTGATGAAATGAAAATATAAGGATATATATAAGGTTTGCAAGAAGCAAGATCAAGTAAACACGTACCAAACTCAAAGACGGCGATTGCTGAAAACGCCCCCGCCATGATACGTTCTTCGCGTCCTGCTGTAGCGATCGAGGAAGCGCTCTCTGAAGAAGTCGAGCAGACGCCGTCGAGACCCAGCGACATGCCCAGCGCCATGCATATTGTCACTACTGTGCACACGACCTTCACGAAAAGGTAAACGTCATAAAACCACTGCGAATGAGACGTTGTACATACAGTATACAAGACGATAAGAATGGTTTTAACCACGCTAGACAGGTTCCACAAAGCCCGCGTGCGGATACATAACACACCTGTTGTACGGTGTGAGTGTGTGCTTAGTTTATTTTTTAGACGCCACAAGAACTTTACCTTCGGTCATAATCATGAGAATCAGGGATACACCTGCAAAAAGTGGATTCAGGAGCTAGCTCTACTTCATCATCCAGCTAGAAATCTTCACCTCCCAAGGCTTTGTACAGCCTGAAGCACTGTGATTCAGCTGTTAGTCGCGGGTATTTCCTGGTGCGCCGAATGATGTGTGCATACACTATCGGTGCTTAAATGCAGAAATGTATCTTACATCCGTGATACTGTTAGATCCCGACCATTAAACAGTGGCGGGGAGCGACTTACAGATGCTAGCGGATATGAAGCTAGCAGGAGGCAGGTAACGCACTACAAAGAATATACCGTGAATGTAGCTCCAGCGTTTGGCTTCCCATATAATTTCAACCTGCCTCAAAGCATCAGTTAACAATCAGATATTGCGGGTCAGAGATATGTGCAGACCTCATCATCAAGCGTTAGGAGATAGTCCAGCGCCTATTTGATTCTTAGATTGTGAAGGACCTATTGATAAATGACTCTCTTACCCATACAGCAACAGGTGCGACTAGTAATCGAGACCATGGTCAGTTTATCCTAGTTGGTCAGAGTAAAGAAAGCGATTTCACACCTCTACAATACTGAAAACAAAGGGATATATCAGGATGATGATAGTAAATTTTCTGCGGAAAAACAAACACTTACCTCGACTATCTCCAAACGAGCCAAAAGGGTATTGAGCTGAGCATTCGTGGAGCTCGCCATTGGGACGGCGTATTGTAAACTCTCGACGGCGAACTAAGTGTCTTAAGTATGGATATCAGCGATCACGGATCTATTGATGGTAAGGGAACTGATCATATGGGTTTTGGATAACAGGCGTCAATGAGGTCTTGCGATAGCGGCTGGATGCTGGACCAGGACTTCAGAACGTGCCAGGGAGAGCTACAGCACCGGTACCGCTGCAGCGCTATGCAATGCATTAAATAGAAAGGCAGCGTTTTTCAGTGCAAATATTGACATTTCCATCTGACATCAGTGTTGGTGAAATGGCATCCTGTGTACTGAGTGATGATTGTAATATTACTATCCACACGCTTGACAATTCCTGGGATGCTGGTCATGGGGCTCCGGACCGCGCAGTACCGTACCGATGTAGCTGTAGGATTCAGCGATTCAGTACAGGAGGAAGCACGAGGTACGGCCTGACAGCGAGGGAAAACTGCACAGATATTCGGGTCCCACCCCCTTCCATCACAACTCAGATAGGCATATGCTGTATATAGGCCAAGCAGTCAGCCGGTGCTCTATCAAGGTCGTCTATGTCACCTAACGTCTGCATGAGAAGTGCATCGCTCTCCGGCTTGGATCAATCGGCTTCATTTAAAACCATCTTCATTATTCATTCAATACGATTATCACCGCTGAGTGCTCTCTGAGGATCTGAGTCGTGTGGTATCGTCTTCTGCCGACGACGCAAACTGCATAGTACGGATCCCACTCATTCCAAACGACTCGGGGATCCGCTCTGTTTCTTCGAGGCTGTCTGCGTTTCGTAGAGAGAGAATTATCCGAGAGGCCATGACACCATGTAAAACACCTTGGAAGCTTTAGTCCAGTTAGATACGATAAAAGGCTAAGAGATTTACTGTCCTTACACATCGAGAAGACCTGTCCAGCCATCGGAGAGCTAGTTTGGGAGTTAGATGTGTCGGAGTTGGGTCCCGTTAAGAGAGGACATACCGGGAGATCAAAGAAAACCGCGTTGGCCACCGACATTACTGGTATCGAATGATAGTTAGACATCTTCGTAGTCACACCATCTGAACTTGAATGTATCTCACCAAACAACGTTACAGCATAGAGCAAGTTGCCTTGTCTGAGAGAGACTGAAAGGCGACTAGAGGGTCTCGCGCGCGAATTCATAAATCCGTGGAGTAGCGTCGAACAAACAACCGCTGTAGTGACTGTTCACTACACATATTATCACCGGGAAGGGGTAAATTGCGTACCGAATTCGAAAACTGCTATCGCTGAGAATGCACCCATGAGCACTTTCTCAATCTGCTCTTCCGCGGATGACGAGCTCGCATTCTTGGCGGATGTCGAACATACACTATCGAGGTTGAACGTGAGCGCCAGAGTTATGCAGACGGTAGCTGCGGTACAGGCCATCTGCAGTGACAATAGGTGAGATGCGTTAGAATCACTAGCCAGTGAAACCGAAGTTACGATGTATATTGAAACGAAAGCAACCTTTACTGCGCGATGTTGGTGCCATAGAGCTAGGGTCCGGAGACATAAGAGCCCTGCGAGGAGATTATATTAGATATTAGCTGTGGGTAGAGAGAGACTGAAATCGGTACCTTCAGTCGTGATCATGAGGATTAACAGTGAGGCTAACTCAGAAGCATGCGTGACAGATTTACTACGAAGATTATGGAAACGTACTTCCTAGAAGCTTGTACAGTCTCAAGCACTTTAAGCGCGAAGATTACTCGAACGGACTTGAAACCAAGAGCGATCGGGTCACGTACTAGCGCCATTTCTAGGCTAAGCAGTGTATCTTTCAAGCAGAGTTGTCAGTTTCTGCACCCGGAGGATGAGCGCGTAGCCAACGAATATATGATGGCAGCCAAGAAGCTGGCCACAGGTAGATACCGAACGATGAAGAACATCGCGTGGGTAAGCCTCCATCGCTTTGCCATCCATATTATCCTGAGCTGGTCACACAATCCGTTGTTAGCTGCGTGTATTGCTCCTGAGAATGCGGAAAGCTTGCACCTCATCGTCCATCGTCAAAAAATAGTCAAAAGCCTAGCCCGATATTAAAAGTGGACAATAATAGAAGCCTGGAAATACCCGCCCATAAAGCGGCCGGAGCGACTATTGATCGCAAAAATAAGATATATTGATATTCGCTCTATAGGGCTGCTTTCATACCTCTGCAATACTGTAAGAGGTGAGTCAACCGCGGAGGCTGGACGAGTGTGGTACGTACCCTGACAATCTGAGAGTGGGCTGATGCAGGAGGATGGGCGTTTATGAAGCTTAGCATGGCGAGCAGGGTAAGGAAGACAGAGATGCCCCTAGGTGCTCCCCCGGACTATATCGGCTCCCTGGTGTCCAAAAGACCTGCTCTGAGCTTGAGGCGCAGCGTCAGCAAACCCTAGGTAATATAACCTCGAGGGAGCCGAAGATGGTGGCATACGTTTGGCCGATAAAACGAAGTCATGGGTACGTTGGTGCGCTGGGCAAAGGACCAATCATATGCATGCTGCTGTACTATAATGGTGAATGACCGAATAAGATAAAATGAGCCTAGAGCTTAGCGTGCAAGTAACTCTCGCCAGCGTCGCCCACGTGTGTAGAACAGTCGGGTCCGGCCGAGGACTTGAAGATGCTGGTTCCACAGCATCTTGCCGTATCCCCTCGACTCGAGAATCAGCAAGACCACCATCGTGCACCCGACGGTAGCACCGTGCGCGTGATCTACCCCCTCGGATTGCCGTCACAAACATCGCGATGCCAGGGATTTTGGACTTCAGGCTTCTATATGCCCGTGACACATTGCACCCTAGTATTATATCGAGAAGCCGTTTCAGATCCACATGCTGTATAACATCGATTGCGATCAGAGCAGATAATAAGAGACACCGAGTTGGCAATCGCTGGTAGTTTTGGCTCAGGTTAGTGCAAGGGTTAGTGTATGGGTGAAAATCTTGAGTATTCATATATACCTTTCATTCGTTACTGTCAATGACTAAACATTGCTTTAGTCGACACACGGACACAGAAATCTGAAGCCTCGACTGCCCGTCGATGGCGGTATCGCGGAGGTAGGCAGCGAAGGCGAATGGTGGGCGTCCACGTAACGTCCGCCCGTCGAGTCGGCCTTCTGCGAATCGGAGTTTGATTCAAAGACCGGCCAGCTACGGCCCGATGGCACGGAAACTTCTCCTGGCCCCTGTGCTTACCTCGGATTAGTAAGGTACTTGGCATGTGCCAGCGGTTGGGTTAGCGGGGCTGAGTATATGGGTGGTATATGCGGGTTTCTAGAAACAGGTTTACGCGAGTATGGGCTGCACAGAACTGGCCACGCTGACTCAAAGCTGCATTAATTCATGTCTCGTATATGCGAGTACATACATACACTCGTACTTCAGGATGTCATAATTAGGTATTAGTCGAAAGCTGCAGCGCTGCTCGTTCGCCCATACTAATAATAAACGTTTACGCATTATGGCTGAGCATCGATCGACGAATTCCATCTCGCTGCATGCTCTGTATATGGTATAAACTGCATTGTAGGCGCGAACCCTCTGAGTTTAATCGAATCGAGCTTCCGTATACGATCTGTGCCTCCAATGTTGTTTGCAGCTCGGAGTGCCAGCTTGATGCGCGACGCCATTACCCCATGCAGTACAACTTGAAACCTTGAAAGATGTCAGATCGCTCAAGTATACTCCTGTACGCCAGAACACTCACACATCAAATAGCCCAGTCCATCCGGCTTCTACAGGAAGATGGAAGTATATGGTATTCAAGATAGAAATCGCTAACAATGCAGTTTGCGTGTCAGGCATCCACAAACTTGATCGTAGAAGCAACAAGCAAACGCACCGAGCAACGCTGAAGCATACAACAAATTCCCTCCACGCAACGAGGCCATCAGGCGGCTGGACGACGTCCGCGGAGAGACCATAAAGCCGTGAACGACAGTCAGGCAGACAACAACTGGAATTTGAGTGAGCATCATATCCACCTAGTCGGGGACGACACGCATACCAAACTCGAAGATTGCGACGGCTAAGAAGGAGCCCATCATTACACGCTCTTGACTTTCTTCAAGGCCACGCATGTTGTCGACGAACTTGTTCAAAGTCATTGCTTGAGCGGACGAGTTGCAGACACTGTCAAGATCCAATGTTAAGGACACCGCTATACATGCCGTTGCGGCAATGCAAACAGCCTGAAACAGTTGGACCTCAGAGCTTGAACGACGACCTTTGGTCCTGACATACCATGTAGAGGGCAATAATCATGCCTCTGACCAACTTGTGTCTGTGCCAGAGAGCGAGGGTTCGCAAACATAAGACGCCTGTAGCATGGTAAGGAGAAAGGTTTCGTTTGATCAAAGTCTCGTACCTTCGGTCGTTACTACGAGGATCAAGAGTGTACCTAATGTGATTCACGTTCAGCGTGTAGTTGACACATTGATATGAGGGTCTCACTGAAGTAAGCTTTGTATACACGTAAACACTATAAACAGAGAGTTGTCTGAAAAAAGCACGCTTGCGGATAACAGAGTGATGAACTTACCATGTCCATCTCTAGGCCCATTAAGGCATCTTCAAGAGTCAGCGTTGGCAAGGCGACAGGAACGTTATGGAGATGATAAAACCGTTAATAAGAAGGGGAGAACGTTCATGAGAAGATTTGAGTATCGATAAGACAACAAAGATAGCTTGCGGTTGACTTACAAAAGTTGGCGCACAGAAAGCTGACCACAGGCAAGTATCTGACAGTAAAGAAGATTCCATGCGTGTAGCTCCATTGTTGCGCCTTCCATATATTTTCGACCTTCCCAACGTTGTTTGAGATGTCAAATAATCCTCGAAAGTTACGAGAGAAAAATGTACCTCGTCGTCAAGTGTCAGAAGATATTCAAACGCCTAGACATTATAGCCGTTAGGGATTGATCTAGGGCGGGTTAAAACATCCTCACCCATAGAGCGACCGGAGCAACTTTCGACATGGGACGCCGGTGTAAGTCATTGTCGAGGTACGAGACGGTTCGGGTTTGCTAACATACCTCTACAGTACTATGACGTTCAAGTCAGATTACATATACAAGGAAAGGAACATCAAAGAGACTCACCTTGACAATCTGGACATGAGTCTGGACCACATTATAGCGGGAACCGTCTAACGCGAAGTTAGGCATAGCGTACAGATGCATACAGTTCGGGGGGCGCAAATATCTCGCCGATTCATCTACCTTAAGTACCCATGAGCGACATCCGAAAAGGAAGCGACTTGGAGTACATCAAACCTTACGTATTATGAACCCATCGGAGGAAAGCGGACGGGGAACATGTGCAAAGATAGGAAGGCACCGAGAAGATACCTGATGCATGATGTACTTTGGACTGACTATCTTTGATAGTCTTCCTGAACTTGAAGTTGAATGAGAGAGGACGAACGTAGTGCATCTAAGCCGCAATAGCTCCGGGCTCAATGCATCGAAGACTAAGACACAATGGAAAGCGGCTGTTATTTGACTCCGCTTCGACAAGTACCCAGGTAAGAGCGGACGAGTGATTAGGAAAAGCTATGTCGCTGGCGTACAAGCATGTGCATCCAAACTCATGCATCACGAGGCTGTACAGCGACAACCCGAAAGTGGAGTCAATGCTGTATTGGTGAGAGATACGAGCGTTCTTGGTATTACTGATCTTCGCAGCATCTAGCATCCTATCGCAAACAAGGCCTAAATAGATATCGTATGATCTAGTCGGCTGATTCAGGTTTCAAGACAGATAACTTTAGCCTGAAGCAGAGAGCCGTATGTGGACACTCGGCGCCTAGTGCTCGCCTTCATCAAACATCATGAACAATATTTGCACGACTCCCGCCAGGGATTTGAGATGGTATCTATAGATAACAGCAAATCGAGACTAGTACACGTTCCATCAAATCGTACGTGAATGGCCTCAAATCTAGGCGTTGCTGCGTCGATGTGCTAACAACAAGATATGAAACCAATAGGGGACGTCTGAGGGCGCTCACTTCCAATAAGTGAAAAAAAAAATGAGTCATCGGATGCTTGGATTCTAATAGTGAACTCGCAGAAAATCAGGTTACGGGAGAGTACGCAATATTCCCGTAGTGTGTAAAACTCAATGTATATTGATATTGAACTAAACAATCAAATTTAATACGCAAAACAAAGACGGATTAATCTCGCTGGTCCATTTATAATGACTCGACGCGCGATCGAGAAAATGTAGATAGGCCTTAGCGGCGCTCCCATGTTCAATTTATATTCCCAACAATGCAGTGTATCCTTCTACGAAAGGCAAACAGAGGACAAATGTGAATTAATTCAGTGTGCTAAGCCGTCAACCTGTATACAGCGAAGAAAAATGTTCGCTCTGCATAGATGTCATCGCATTCTCTGGATCTGGGGATGGAGCAAATTGCATAGGCGCAAATGATCTCAGAAGAACAGACTCCTGGAGCCGTTCTCCACCCGTTACGCTGTCGGCGTTCTGTAGTGACAAGATAATTCGTGAGGCCATCACGCCATGAAGTACAGCCTGAAACCTGTCAATAAGAATAGGAAGTATTAGTTCAAATATCAAACAATGTGTTAAGCCAGGGCTCTTACACGTCGAGTAAGCCAGTCCATCTCTCTGTGATCTGGAAGCGTGTCAGCGTATCCAAAAAGGTACAAGAAAAGTGTTGCGAATAAAATGCATACGGGAAGGTCGAAGAAAACGTTGTTAGCGACGGACATTGCTAGTGAAGCGACCGCATTAACTAATTGTGCTTTTCTTCCGAAGTAAATTAACGGTACCAAATAAGATTGATGCGTACAACAGGTTTCCCTCGCGCAAAGACGTCAGTAGCCGGTTCGAAGGTTTGAATCCAGATGTCGCGAGACCGTGGATTAATGTGAGGCATACAACAACTGACAGTATAAGCTTATGAAAAGCCCAATGATGATGTACACACACCAAACTCAAAGAAAGCGACAGCGGAGAACGATCCTGCAAGTATGTGCTCCTCCTGTACGGCGGCACTTTGTGATTTCGCATTCTTGGAAGACGTCGAGCAGACACTATCAAGGTCCAGGGATAATGAAAGTGCTAGGCAAACTGTGGTCGCTGCACATACGAGCTGAAAACGGTTAGGCGGAGAGGCGGGAAATGTGGGCAATTAGGGACCCACCAAATACAGAACCACCAGTAGAAATTTCACTGCCCTTTTATTATACCACAGCGCGACTGTCCGAAGACATAGGAGGCCTGATTGTGTGTTAGAATGGTCACAGATGCTGAAGGCATGTGGCCACCTTCGGTAGCGATCATAATAATTATCAATAAGGCTGAAACGATATTCGATCAGTGTTCGTAGGTTATGTACGAAATTACCAACCTCCAGAGCCTTTGTATATTTGAACGCACTGACACAATACCGTTAACGCTCATTTAGATAAGCGACCCTAGTGGGCAACATACTTGGAAGTAGTCCAAGCTCATCAAGGCATCTATCGAAAGCAAAGTCAGGACTTCTTCGGATAAGTCCAAAGGCGACATACAGATTATCGCAGTCAGGCAACACACCAACGGCAAGTATCTTACAACAAGAAACAGTCCATGGATATACCGCCATCGTCTGGTATTCCAGATGACCATGATCTATCAACGCCGTCACTCAGTGATGAATCTATGAGAATAAGCAGAACTCAAACCTCATCGTCGAGAGTCAGAAAGTAGTCTAGTGCCTGTAAGTACTCAGAACTATCAGCTACAGTGCACGAATCAAAGCGATTGATGCTGGCGTACCCATAATGCCGCTGGTGCCACTTTAAACAATCATAGATGCAGTAAGTGCACTCGATCGCATGGAGTTATAGCAGTGCATTATATGGTCGTACCCCTACAATACTGAGGCCACCATGAATCATGAGGATATGAAGGCGCCAAAAGACATACCTTAACTATCTGAGAGTGGGCCATGGCAATGAGCTCAGGGTTCGTGAGGGTAGACATGGCGCGTATCAATGCATCCTAGAATGAATACGGATGTCTTAAATACCGTCCCAAAAGCTGTCCTAGGAATTGACCATCTGACGCCGGGAGACTTCATCCCGTGTACAGCTCCAAAAACATGCTGCCGAGTTCAGAGATAACAACGTACCTGAAGATTTGGCGCTCATTTCGGCATAAAGCGAGGTCACCTTAAGAAGAGCACACCACGAGGAGACGGTTCTTCTGTGATTCCTGGAAAGTGCTGCATCTAATTCCCCTCAAATAGCATAGCAACAATTACTCTGTGACAATCGCTTCATTTGAGTTCGAGCAAAACATCATTGGTGTGTGCGTACCATTGAGAGAATGATCGATCGGTACCTAATTACTTTCGCCCAGCAAAAATGTTACGATGAGCGACTAGTTCTCTGGAGATGTTCCCGGGCGGCTAAAGAAGGGACCTTTGTTCTATGTTTAGGCAGGCAGTGCGCATCCATGTTGGTCCTCGTGTCAATGCAGTAAAATGAGTGATCATAAACGTGCTGTTATCGTCACTTTACTCCTTCAGGTATGAGAGGAATTAAATCTTATACCGCTACAACACAGGTCTTTGATCGCCCTCGCTAATTGAAAGAACAACAATGCGATGCTTTCTCCACGTATAGGGGGCAAGCCTCATGCACATTTGCAGACTGAATAACCGCGTTCCAGACCTCCGGCCACAATCCATACATGTCGGTCTCGTACTGGAAAGGGGTAAAGGTTACGACAACTCATACGACTACTTAAGACTACAGTCCTAGGACTCGTTACAGTAGCGTCCGTCATAGGGCTACCGCCCTCTTGGACGTAAAACTGATCCAATAATAATAATAATAAAGGGGTAAAGGTTAGTAAAACATATCTGCGCATAAATAGTTCATGTGCATAAGCTCGATGAGGCCGACGGGGTGCATCTGTGAGCGCTGCATTGTCAAGCCAAACAAGATGACGCGTCTGGACTTTAAAAAGGACGATTAACCCCTATTTAACTCCATCCTTCGTTTTGACTGGGTCTAACTGGCCCATACTTGCCCATCATTGTATACCCAATTGCCTTCCCGCTTTTTCGGACAAACGAAGCCACCCATCGAGGACAAATTTCTGTCGCTTTCAAAATGGCAGCGTAGATGATAAGGTTATGCGCGCTGCCTACAAACATGGACATGTTGCTCTCGTCGCGTTCTTGGCTTCGTCACACTCAGGGCATTTGCATACCCCTATACCTCGAACGCAGATTCCTCTACTCATAACCATTGAGAAAAACTCATGCATACGATGATAACTTGCACTGCGCGATAAAGCACCGCTAGCTCGATTTTAACCAGTCAATAGCCTACGGATGTCAGTGACTTGACCCATTTGAGATTCTACTAGTACCCTCAAATTCCTTGGTTGGACAATCACCCGCTTACACATCTTCTGTTATCCTGAAAAGTCTTTATCATTAGCTCGCACCGTTTTCTTCCATGATACACATCTTCCCTCGACCCATCATATCTAGATGCCTCTTTAGCTCCTCGCCGTCTGTTTGCATCCTTCCCCCGCAATCTCTACATCTTCCGTCTGCACAACCTCCCGGCGCAACCCTCAAATGTCTCTCAACTGCATCTCGCCTTGATAAACCCTTCCAGCACACGGGGCAGCGCCACTTGGGTATCGAATGCTCCTCTACTATCGCGCACGTCTCTGACGACGAGGACTTGCATGTGTTGCGCATGTGCCGCATGCGATCAAACTGGCGAGTGAACATCTCTGTGCAGCCTGGGTTTGGGCACGAGTAAGCTTTTCCGTTTTTACTTTCTCGGCGAGTCCGCTTTGGAGGGCTGGATTTCGTGGAGGTTGACCGCTCCAGCTTGGCTTTTGATGCCAAAGAGGGTTGAGTGTACGTATCACCAGAAGATGACCCGTGCTGTAATTCTGAAATAGGAAGTTGGGGTGGGTATGGAGAGTTGTATATGTTATTGCAATTGTTGTTTGAAGCAGTTCCCATCGTTGAGGGAAGGCTCGGAGGGTATCCTAGCACGTTGAAGCTTGGAATTGGCATATGCATTTCCTGCATTTCGCAAGATGTGATGCACGAGTGTCCCTCGAGGTGCCATTTACGCGCGAAGCGGGGAGGTGCATGCATTGGCGCAGGAGCTTCAGGTAGCACGAAAGGTAGATAAGGAAGCAAAGCAATTGCATCAGAACCTTCGTACATGAATGCACTTGATAGTCGAGTGGATTAAAGGTGGGCAACGTCTTTGAGAAGAAGGACCTAGGGAGGAAAAACACATGTGGCGTTCAACTCAGGCCGCCACGCGGTTAAATACTTACAAACGTTTGGACGCCACCGAAGCGTCCTTTTTCCGCAATCGTTGACAGCATTCCATTTGAGGGCATTATCTACTGTGGTGAAACGCATGGAAATACAGCACGCCGTGATCAGGGTGCATGTCTACAGGATTGGACCTACACCCACCAGCTCAAGCGCTCATGTCTGACGCTGAGGCTCTAACCAGTTTCACAGGTCTGTAAAATGCGGCTAAGTGCTGTACATGTTGTCAGCAGTTGCTGTAAAGAGGACACACAGTTTCGCTGAAAATCCACGCAGACTATTGATTTAGCTTCTATGAAGTAACTGGACTGTATACTGTTAGTAGCAATGTTGGGATGGACCCTGGCGCTAGGTAGGCAGTTTATTTTTATTTTTATTACTATTTTTTTTCGGGTATCCTTTAGAACGCCCAATACCACTGTCCTCTATTCTTTACTGAGTCAACCAGGATATCGATTCGTCGTTTAAGTGGCCAGCCAGTACTAGATCACTGGAAGCAAAAGTACTTCTGAAACCAAATATGTCACAGATACTGACTACACTACGCCCATAATATGTAGCAAAAGTTTACTCAAAAGTCGGTTGCAGCGCTTCTCGGAATCCAGACGGCCTATGAACACAAGGATAATGTTGTCGGTGTGAATCATAATTGAGAATAGGTTCTCAGAGCTGGAAAATCATTGTCTATTTATTGCTGTGTTGCCCTTGCGCTACTTACACCATCCTACAGTGGAAAAGGGGGAAAGAAAATTGAGGCTACATGCAGAGCCGCTGCGCAAGTGTATATCTTGGTACTCCGCAACGGAGCCTACTTCCATCAAAAGCCTCAGACGCTGTAAAACCCCAGGAAACGACTTCCGCGGGATAGTAATGGTTCTCAATTCCTTCGAAACTTAGTACCAGAACGCGATGTGATAGTGATTGTGCCGCGAGACATTAAATAAGATCTTTGGGGTCGGTCTTCAAAGTAAACCACCGCGCGCGTCGAAGCTCTGACCTTCAACTTGGTAGTCCTGACCCACCGATTGGGATCGGAGCGCCGGTGCTTAAACTTCGGAGCGCTAGAATGGATACATGAGAAGCCCCAGCTCAAGGTCGTCAGTCGATCCGGTATACCGCTGGACGTTTCGGTCGGTGTATGAGCCCCTGAATATGTATAGGTGTAGAGATACTACCTATACTCAACAGGTATAGTTGAATCCCGTTTGTCTGACTCGAGTCAATTCCACTTTCAATTCTCTCGGTGGCTCACAATACTCTCAGATAAGGACACAGATCAGCGTGTGTATGCACAAGCGTAGTAGCGGCAACGATGTCGTGTATGGTATGGCTCAAGGATACAGTATTGCACATGAAGCCAAACTGGGGGTGAATTGTGCAAATGGTCCGGACTGAGTCAGTCTGCTGACAAGCGATGTGAATGGACTTGGCGCTCAAGCTAAGCGCCCTAAGCGGCACGATTTGTACTCCGAGTCCCTGGTGAGGTCCATTTGGTACAATCACATCTTCGTCGCCGTGTTCCAAGTAAGGCCATCTTGCAGAGTCTAACGAATCATGCGGAGGATATTTCTAGGAGAGTGGTCCATTACCCTAAGCTTATTCGATGGAGCTGCCGGTGCAACCCCATGGCTTGTCACATGCGTGCAGCACCACCCTCTAGCTTGTAATCCATTCCCTTTTGCTTTCCTCCGGATAAAGGTTAGCGTCCATATATGTACGGAATAAAAGACTCTGCCAAAAAGACGTTCAAGGTTTGGCTAATTAACCATGGTGCTTTACTGACACGAGGCTACTTACCATAGCATAAGGAAGGTTTATGACGTTGTCTCCACCTATGTGCTTGTCCAGAGCGACCTTAGAGCGCTTTGCGGCAAACTACCAAAATCTATTGGATTCGTGAGTTTTCCGCTGTCGAAGGAGACATGACGCTCGACGCTTTTCTTTATTTGTTTCTCGACAGTATAAGTAGCTTGTCTGGAGTTGGGTGCCAACCAACGACTACAACCTGCAGACACACTCTCATACCATAGTTTCGTTATACTACGCAACAAAGGTTTCAACATGTCTACCAGCGGAACTCAGCAACCTGGTGATCACTGTAAGAATTTCCTTGAAGATGTTGAATTTTTGACACGTGACTGACTGGGCAATGCGTCATTCAGCTAAGATGACCCTAAACAATTATCTCCAAGACATGTTCGGAGAGAAGGGGAAAGACGCGACTGACTACAAGCTTATCCAAGAAGGTCCTGAGCACGAGGCAAACTGGGTCTGTACATTGTCTAGTAAGCTAAAATTTCAACTCGCATCCTACGCTTCTCGACTCACAGAGCATAATTAGTATTCAAGGAACAGTGGGTAGTGGGAAGTGGAGATAAGAAGAAAGAAGCAGAGAATGACGCTGCGGCGAAAGTGTTAGAGTTACTTACCAACGATCCCGATGATCTCTATCAGACGACGCTGCGTAAGGCAGCGAGCACCAATTAGATAGGGCTACGGGTAGTTTGAGACAACATATGACGGCTGGGCGGGCACGCATTACCCAGCAGCAGAATTTGTTTTGAACTGGTACAACACCGTGTAGCACATAGTCTCCCTTGGTGCATTCATGGAAAGCTTCGTAGAATTATTGAAAATCAAGATCGTGTGCCAATTAGGCCTAAAAACAGAACACTGTCCTCGCGGATGACGAGGTACAATCAGGTGTGCGATGAAACCCTGACGACACAAAAGTACACATCACCTCCACGGCTCCACCTCCTCGGTCTTTACCGCAGCCAAGCAAAAATGACCACACCCCGCAGCACACGGATGACCCAGCATCAACTTCTTCCGTTTTGGTGACCCCGACGGCGGCACTGTGTGTCCTGGACCGGGAGAAGGGAAGACAACTCCAGCATGGGACCCGCTTGGTGAAGCGCGTGATTCAATCTCTTCCGGCTCCGCCACGAAGCTGTCCATTCGTTCCCGCCCTGACTGACGCCCCCGAACTTCTGTCGAGGAGAATGACGAAGAGAGTTCAGTCATAGGTCGATACACGCAGTAACGCCTGTAGCACTCTTGGTGTCCGCCATGTCCACAGATAGAGCAATGGAAAAGGAGGGTGCGGACAGGGAGATGGCTAGAAGGAAAAGTGATCGCCTCTGTTGGTGTGGTTTGGATAAGGTCGCGAAGATACGTACCAGACGGAACAGCGAAAAGACGCCTTACAGCTCGGACAAAGTGAATATGCTCCCTTCGGCTGACTGCGGATCCTGGAAGCGGGGACTAGGACTGGCTTGCGACATGTACCGCAAATAGTATAGAGTACTGTCTCCAGCTGGTCTGGTAATTAGACGATTGAAGTATTTTCTCCAATGATTTTCCTACCTTAGTTACGTTACGAACCTCGTCGATGTCCGTAAACTTGCGGAGATATGCAGCAACGGTGTGAAGTCGCATGCGTGATAAAATGTCTGCAACTGCATTAGCGCTGACGTTGCGTGGAGACACTTATCATACGCACCGATGTACGACTCAAGGAGCTGCATCTTTCTTCTCTTTCCGAGCTTGAGCTCGTCGCTCGCAACAACGGCGAGCATCGCACATGTCTGTATATCACCCTACATAAATCCGCTCTCTCAATCTCATGTCCGCAAGTCAGAGATGCCTCACTCACCAGCACGACGAGTTCCTCGAATGCTTCCTTGAGGGCGGTCCATCCAGCTTCCCTGAATTTAGCCTCTTCCGCTCGTACCACATCCCACTGCTTGACCGTCATCCTCTTCACCGTCTCAGGCATCCTCTCTCTTGCCTTTTCCTCCCTCTCCCTGTCCAATTCGTTGAGGTTAGAGGCTCTATCCCCGCCGGTGCCTTGCTCGTCGAATACTCTTGACCGTGTCCGCCGATGTGCGGGCGTCCGCCTCCCGGTACTATTTCCGTGTCCCGAGCCACCACCAGGCGAAGGTGCACGCGAGTTGTCCGCCGTGGTGTATGGTGAAGGATGCGCAAAGGCATAGGGGTACAGCATCGGGTCCCAGTCGGGCTCGGCGGAAGAAGAGGCATCGCCCCGCGTGACGGTACGGACGCTGCTCTTGCTCTCTTGCCTGCTCAAGATCGATGGCCTGCCCATGCCGATGCTTGCGGGTGTTACAGTTCCCTGGCCGCTATCGAACCGAGAATGCTCGATGCTCGGTCCTATAGCACCCGAGATGTCGTCCTGTTCGCGTTCTAGCCCAGGAATTTGGATTTGAGAACGAGAGACGGACGTCACCACCGAAGGAGGCGGGCCGCGAATCGTCCCGCTCCGACTGCGCGAGTCTGTCATCGATCCACGTCTCCCCGTAGACCTAGGCGGAACAATCTTTGCTCCGCTTGACTTCACGGCGCTCGTCGACGTATCCGATAGGTCAGACTCGTCATCTTCCTGGCGGATGTGTTCTTCGTCGTCCTCAGAGCTGTCCTCACTAACCGAAGGTGTCGAAGCTGACTCTTCCCTTGGGCGTTTTCTAACCGCCCTTATCCCCGCGCCCCCTGCCGGCCCCGGCCCCGCAATACCCGGTCGAGCCATACTTCCAGGTATACCCCCTGAAGTTGCGCTCGTAACGCTCGTACTCGCAGTTCTCCGTGCGCTCATACTCAACCCCGCGTTAAGTGGAGGTCCAGGATCAGATAGGCGTATCATCGGCGTCGGAATCATCGGGCCAGATAACGAATCTTCTGATTCGTCTTCCTCATCCGCATCGTCCGTGTCGTCGTCTGTCCAGCCGTGTTGCAGAGCGAGACGTGACAACGGACTTGGGTGCGCTAGGCTGGGCCTCGACACGGCTCGTAAGGGTGGACTAGTGTGTACTTTTGTATGCCGGCGGGAGTTGACGTGTGACGCGTTTGGAGTGGTGTTGGGACTAGGCGAGATAGGACTAGATGTTTCTTGAGGATGGTGTGAATGTGAATGGTGGTCGTCCGGGACTGTGTGGGCGTTGATGACATCGTCCTCCTTGTGTAAATCGCCTTCATGGTGCTCGTCCTCATTCTTTCCCTCGTCGCTCGAGTCAGAGTCATCGAGCGCACCCTCGCCATAATGTCGGTTACTCGTGCTTCCGCCCACACTGACACTATTAGGCCTAGAAACCTCGCCGACGCTCGGAGTCGCAGACTCGTGCCCGCTGCTACCCGTTCCGGCGTGCGACTGTTCGCTGAGCACACTAGGAGTCGACATCGTGCTCGCAGCCGAGGTACGGCTATACACAGACGGTCTACGCGTATTGAGCGACGCGCTCATGACGCTCGGGACCAATACGGACGAGCGCCTCTGGCCAAGCGCTGACGGACGGTTTAAGCCAGAGGGCTGATTCGGTATCTGCACACGAGGCGTTGACGAGTGGTTATTGTGGTCACTCGGTTTTGTATGGGAGTGCGAGTTGGCATGCGAATGCGACAGGATAGAGGTCGGCGGCGAAGGCGACGACAGCGGCGCCATCGTCACACTCGGGGGAAGTGCGACAGGCCCCCGCATCGGAGAACTCGAGGCACTCGAGGCGGGAGTGTGACTCCGCGAGTTTGGGGGTGGTCCTGGCCGCTGCTCAACGCCGTTCCCGTTCCCGGCGGCGGTTCCACGTGCAATAGGAACTGCACCCTGACCTCCGTCCCTGGTGGACGGCTCCCTCGTTCGTTGCGGCTCCCCGTGCGGAATGGGCAATCGTCCATTGGCGTGAGCGCTTGGGGCCCCCGATCTACTCGCGGAACGCATAGCCTCTAGCTGATGCATATGCCCGTGTGCGCCGTCATCCTCGCCGAGAGACCCAACCGTTGGGAGTGCTGCGGGCGCTGAGATCGAATGCGGGAGTGGAATAGGCTGGTGCATGTGGACGTGCTTCTTCGTGTCACCTCTATCTTTCTCGTTCAACATGGACTGGGGTGAAGGTGGGCGAGGAACGATATCTGTGAGGAGGGAGCCAAGGAGAAACCATGCTTGGGCTGCACGGACATTTCTAGCCCTCATAGCGACCTGCGAGGTGGCTGAGTTAATGATGTAGATTCACAAGCAGAGAGACAACTCACCTCACCGTTAATGGTACAAACCTGCACCCTGCCGATGCTCTTTTGTTCGTCTTTTATTGGACTATCAATCACGTATGCCCGTGCAAGTCGAGTAAAGGACTCTTCGTTTACTTGCCCATTGCCACCAGCAATGCCACAGGTGATCGAGGTGGAACGGACGTAAGCACCCATGTTCTGTAACAGTGGAGCTGTGCATGGGTCACCGAGAGTCTTCAGCTTGGGTACTAGGGCACGTTTGTCTGGATGACTTGTTTCAATGCCATTTAAGTCAGTGATATATACAAACGAAGCTGAATGAAGAACTCACATATCGTCGTATGGCACCTCGACCCCCTTCTTTCGATCCGAAACCCAAACGAGTGCCTCTCCACCACCTTCATCACACTCGTCCCTTTCATCTTGATCTTCATCGCCGTCTTCGTCACTATCCGTTTCGTCATCGCTATCTCCACATTCACTGTCTTCCCGTCCATGACCAGCTCCACCGTCCCATTGACGGACAATGCTTTCTCCAGTGTCTATACCTGCATGAGATGGACGTGGCGGGACGACACCCCATGCGAGTGCGACGCGCGAGATAGCATCAATGGGTCGTATAGCGTTGCGCATGTCAACCTGTGCAAACGTGCCCGAGTTATGTTGCATCCAGAGGGAGTATGGTGTTGCGAAGACGGCGTCTACAAACCGCCAAGGCATGTCGCAGAGATCAAGACGGGATGACGCGTATATGCACATGCATGCACGGTAGTGAAGATATAATAAAGGAAATCATTAGTTTCAGCGATATAGCAACAAAGAGCAGAAAACGCACCAGAAACCCCGCACCCCTCGACTGCCCACTTCGCCAACCACGGCCTCCGCACATCCCACACCTCCACTATCTCACCTCCCCCAATCCCCGTCGGTCCCAGCCCGACTTCGTCCATACCACCCATATCTCCACCACCGGCGTTAGCGCTCCCAGCGAGAGCAACACCCGATGCACTATTCCTCCGCCCGCCTAGCCCAAACCCATGCCCATAGCCATGCCCGTGTCCCAGATCCGCGCGTCGCGAAGATGCCGGCAACGCACTCCCTACATCCACCATCGAGCTTACTCTCGCCATGCCCGAGGCGCCGATTCCTTTCGCGGGGCCCATCGAAGCCGCTCTGCTCAGCCCGGTTCCTCCCATTCCGGGTGCGTTGCCGCCAGAAGTAAGGTTCGCGCCGGCTATGGTATTCAAGCTCCCCGCTGGCGTACCGAGAGCGGATGATCCCGCGCCACCTGAGCGTTCGTCGCCCGAGAAAGGGACAACGAGGACCTCGGTCGGATGACCGGGCCTCCAGCGCGCGCGACGTACTGGATGGGCGGGGTGTAGGGTGTATATCGGACGCGGTGAAATGTGGGCGGAGGTGCTTGGCGGTGTCAAGGACCATATCTAGAGATCACCGATGGCGAGAGGAGAATTCGTTAGAACTTTGCAAGCGAGATGAGAGAGGGATCATGAACGCGTACTTTGACACTCCGGTCCATTCCTCCACTCAGGATCCAACTTCGTACCGACCCCTCACCTACGCCCGTACCCGTACCCGCACCCGTGCCTTGCCCAGCTCCACCCGTCCCTCCCCCTGTTCCACTATCACGGCCACCAGCGCCATATGTGCTAACACCGGTCGCGCTCGAGTAGGTTCCCTGAGGAGACGAAGTGCCAGCTCCATTGCCTGTGGATAGGCCAGTATGTGTGGGCGAAACGGTCCAGTCCAGCGAGAGAACAGGTCCTGTGTGTGCGACAGGAAGGCGGTCTAGCTGTCCTCGTTGGCCCATTTGGAGGTCCCAGCTATGCGATAGTCGTCAGCACTCGCTAAAATTACACGGGACATGCGTCGCCTACCGGTATATGCTTCCATTGTCCAACCCAACCACAGCTTGAAGTGGATGCGAGGTGCTAGGTGAGGGCACAACCGACCGTACCCCCGATGGATGGTGGATTTTCATCAGCGAGCGTTGCATGTCTCTTAGATCCTGAATATATCCAGGTTGTTGACCTCAGCGAACATACGGATAGCCCGAAACAAACGACTTACCCATACTCGCAAGTCACCGTCTGCAGCCCCAGTAAGCGCGTAGTAATGCACGCACGGCGAGCACCTCACTGTATGCACTGCACGCGCATGGGTCCGCGTCCTCCGTTCATACTTATTAGAGCCATTCTTCTCCAGGTCCCACATGACGAGGTCACCGCTCCGTGCGCTGGTGAGAATCTTCTTGTCAAAGTCTGCATACTTGTGAGCACCGACCAAGTAGATGGGGAGGGGATGGTGTTGAACGGATCAATCGGCATGGAGGGTGTGACTACAACATTACTGACTCACTTCCTTGTGCCCATGCAACATCCGTACTGGCGTACTCAAGCCTCAGCCCACTGTTATCCCACATATTGCGCGACGCGTCTATGTGATACCCTCCCCGACCTGTTGCACTCTTGTGTTCTCGCTCGCTGAGAGACTCATCTACACCATTAACACGAAGTATCCGCACAGCTATGTGTCCTCATCAGCGTCGAGTCAATGATTGGAAGGCCATGGCACTTACTTTCCCTGCCTGCGACCACGCATCTCCGGCCGTCTGGCGCCTTGGACAGTGCACCCCCTCCGGACCCTGGTACCGTTACGCGCGTGAGATAGACATCTCTCGAGGGCCCAGTTAGATGAGTGCGAGCATCACTGAAGATCATATCTGGAGTTGCATGTGGATATGCGGAGATGTGGTCGTCGGTTTGTCGGTGTTCAGTCGCCTCGTCGCTGCAGGCAGCGACGCGGAGAACAGGGGCCTGAGCCTTTTCGGTAATTCCCGACACTGCTTTTACCCTTCCCCAGCAATTCCCCAGCCGTTCGTACTTTACTTGGGCAAACCGCACATGTATACTGCGCCTTTAAAATCTTTTAATCCCAGAAAAAACAGGCTTTAATTCCACTATGCGTACCTGGTCCAAAGACAAATACACATGAATGCCTGGATCATTCGGTGCAACAATCGAGAAGAGATGGGCTGGAGTCGTTACAGTAACACGCTGTATCCTGGCAGCTGGTGTCTTTCCTAGTAGTTATCTGCTCACCTCTTCAAAATGCTGTGTAGTCCGCGAGAGCCATGCTGCTGTTCCTCCGTTGTTCTACTGTCTGTCATTCTGTGGCCTCACGGACCTCTATTATGGACATCTTGTCAGCCTAGAAGAATGTACGCGTTAACGCATTATGAAGTCTTTCGCCCGCCATCTATACCGTCGGTACAGGTTGTTTGGTAATTATACTCATGAATCAAGTCTGAGGTTAGGCATTCACTTCTGAAACGCTCTTCGAGTGACAATATTCTAGGCATGTTGGTTCCCATGTTCGTAAAGCTCAGCACTTGAGATAATACCGTTCTTAATGACCCACGCACAAAGGAAGCACTACACCCAATTTGTGGATTTTCGGGCCTTTTCCTTTGGACGCTACATTTGTCAAATATATGTGTCGAATTTATCTTTAATAGCATATACGTTTCTCGGAAGTAAACCGATAAGCTGAACATTTACTTGATAGAACTAATATAGTTGTTGTAACATGAAAAATGCGTTAAATAAAGAACATGGTATGATATGCAAGTAATGGCAATTGAAGGATGCTTGGAAGAGACTAGAAAACTCTAGAATGAATTGTAAAGAATGTCCGAAAATGCACTGTCTGGTTGATGCTTTATCGTACTATAGTTGGTGTCCTTTCTCGAGAATCTTTCTTGCAGCATCTTCCCGCGCAGCTTCTGCTGATGGACCGTGGCCTAGGACGCACCAGAAAGAACCACCAAAGGGTTGAACTGAAGTGCACCATCAGTGGCATTATTGTAATATATTGGTTTCGTGGCACTCACTCCGTATGCTAACTATGTCCGGTTGCCCAACATTATTGGCCCTCGTGTACACAATTTGGAACCTGGATTCCCACTGGGACCCGTACTTGGCTTCGAGACGCTGTTTGAGAACTTGGTCTAAAGCAGAGCCCTTTAGTAAAAGCGACTGAGATGAGATAAAATTGCGACTCACAGTAAAGCATCGCGCAAAAATAGTGTTAGAGTAGAGCTTTGCAGACGGGTAGAGTGGACTGGCCTCTTTGTTGTCTTCAACCAGACCCTTTTATACGAGATGTCCGCACAGCACCGACAGTTAGGGTGCGCATGCAGTGCCAGGGAGCCCTGAGCTCGTGTAGTAAAGCGCGGATTCCAACAAGACCTCTTCTCGAGACGCCACTTTGACTGAATCAAGCCTACTGAGCCGAACTGTAAGGTTTACGATGACGCAAAGGTAGCGCTGTGTTGCGGTGATTGGACTATCTGTCAGCTAGCTAGGTTATGAGTACTATTCAAAGACTTTTGTGGAGTCCATCCATAACATACCTTTGCACGTTTTTCACGAGAAACCTCTTAGTGGCACGGTTGCCGAAGACTCGCGGAGAGGACGTCCGACTGGCGTCCGACCAACATCAATGTACACCGATTCTCACGCTCAGCAACGTTGACTAGGACTTTCTCCTCTGCTTCCGTCCACTCCCTTGGTGTCATCTTGACCTGTGTGATATAAATGGGGTTTAAAAACTGCTTACGTACCCACACTGACTGCCATACGTTATTTGGACCTGCCAACCTTCGATAACATATTTTGATTTCGGCAACAGGTGACGGCGGACGCCACTTTGACTCCTGAGTAGAGTAGAAGCGACAGTTAGCTTTACACTGTTGGCTGTACATGCCATGATTAATGTACACATGAATACTACATTCATTGCTGTAAAGTCCTTCCGAGACCGTTATAGTCCTTGAAAGGCCGTTGATGGAGATTACTAAATACAACATTTACCAAAATTAGATGTCATACTGCGAGGACGCCACAAGGCACCCCGTATCCCATATATCGTCGTTCGGACGTAGGGCTTTGTAGGAACACTCTCACATCAGCTAGGACTATAGTTCTAGCAAACTCTTTCGACACATATCTTCAAACTGAACAGGTATCTTCCTATCTCCCCTACATAGCCATGGCTCAACCCCAGCCAGTCAACTTCACGGAAGTCGATCTACCCTCAAATCACTCACCAAACGATACGAGACAAGGCGTCCTCACTGAGCGTCTAGCTACAGATATACACGAGTTCATTCCCATGTCAACTGTACAAGTGACGTCTCCAGACGGACAGACGACCACAGTACATGTTCCAGCAGAAGCCGCCCAGGCACTCATCTTATATGCCAACTCTGAAACCGTACGCAACGTACCACGTCGTGGAGTCTCTAAGATTCCCAAACGCTCAAACACTACTGCTGCGCTTATTCACCAAGATTCGCGTCCCTTAATATCCGTCAAGTACACAGCATCCTTTTCGAAACGTCCGACTCCGAGGAAAGCCACACACCCGCCACTCGGTTCTTTAACGCCCTTCGTCGCACCGCCACCCATCCTTCGCGAAAAGCGGGCCAAAGACGCCGATCCAGACTCGAAGTTTCCATGTCCCTACTCCGACTGCGACAAGTCATTCACCAGATTGTTCGACGTCGCACGGCACATGAAACACACCTGCAAGTCTCAATGTCCACAAGCACAGCAAGTGCGATCGAACAGTCTCGCGCCGAAGTGGCTCTGCCCGGTATGCTGCAAGGTACTGTCGAGGCGCGATTCGTTGGAGCGTCACATGGCTACCGCCCTAGGATGTGTACGTGGAAAATGCCTGACATGTAGGGAAGTAATGGATAGGGACAGAGTGAAGGAACATCTGGAGGCGATGGCGAAGGGTGAGAGCGTGTGCTGCATAGGATCTTAGTGCGTCCATAATCCAGGGGGCGGCGCTGTAAAGGTTGAGGGTGGCGGTAATGAGCTTGAGGTGACGCTACTTCTGCTTGTCGAGAACGAGTGGGAAATGCGAGCTTTGTGATGGTATCAACTGTCTGTGTGATGGTAAGCCTATTGGTAACGAATGACTACATCGCGATGGGACTACATCTGATGAGTGGGCAATGGAGTGATCGCAACTAATTTGCTTGATTTTAGGAATTTACCCACTATGACCATGTCAAGGTTATCATCAAGAGAAGGCAGCGTAGCAGAAAGCACGTGAGGGAGAAGGGAGGGGGACATGCCAAAAAGCAAACAGTCGACCAAGTGGCGTCCGAGGCGCATGGCGCTGGGTAAAAAAACCTCACGTCAGCTGTTTTACGTTGGTTGTGACAGCATGATAGGGGCTACCATTGGCGTCTTGTCCTCTATTAACCGCTGGGCCTCTTGTCCTCCGTCAGAAGAATTTGAGGCGCCATGCTCTTTCCCCCCTCTTCCACAGTGAGAGGATCGGACGGGGTTCATGTCAAACTCGTCGTTTGTTTATGTCTAAAACATCGCGACGTGCCTTTATTAATTCCGATGCCCTCGAAGAGAAAGTCTTCGACCATCACAATCTCTTTGGTGGCGTCCTCCGTGACAAGAATATTACGGCGTCCAGACACGAAAATTAGCTGTTGTACATGTAAGAGCTCGACGCCCGCCATTTCCCAAAACTATCTCTAGCGCGTCATGCGTTCCTGTGTTGCCGCCTCGACTGGCCCTTCGCGGTGCCGGGGCAGACGTATAAGTTCACCGACGGCGAGGCGGGATGATCTCTCGTTCTCGTGGTCCGCGCGGTTTGTACAGCCGAGTCTCAGTCACTCAGCTCGCCATCAAACCATCTCCAAAAAAGAACATACCGATGCCCTCCGAGTCGACCTCAAACTCCGAGCTCTCCGAGGCACTAACCCAGGACTGTACGAATTTGCCAACTCAAGAAGTCATGGAAACGATAGCGTCATTCCTCGCCGAGGCCAATCGCGCGTTGAATAGCGAAAAACCTGAGATCAACGGATCTCAACTACTCGATACATACCAGTAAGTATCGACCGGGAAGATAGAATCGACTCACTCATAGAAGGGCTTCATCGACGGTAGCACCACTATCAAATATGACTCGTATTTGCCGCAGTGCGAGTTTTCGGACTGGGATAGGATCTTCCCCCACTATGGTGCGAATGGTGTCCTAACTGTAGAAAATTCCAGGTTAACATTTGAGTCAGCGGACCAAGTCCATTTCACTCACCCAACACATACTCGCCATGACTCGGAAGCGCCAGAGGCGAGCGCGACACACGGGCCGCAGTCTCATCACATTTACGCAGAGACGCCGAAGGATGAATATCCCAACTCTGAGCGTGGTGGGGGAGTAGCAGCGATCGATGAGGATGAGCTCGAGAACGTCATCGAAGACTGGTCAATCCCCAGACACGTGAGTGAAATCTTCATGGACAAGATAACGGCAGGCCCACAACGTGATGAATCTGACCAGCTCTTGGATGTAACTCCGGCGGCAACACTCTCCATTCTCCCCGGCTGCGAAACTCCGTCCACCACTGACGGCAACGCAACTTGGAACGCCTCTCCATCAATGGGCTTACTGACCGATGATGTAGAAGCAAGTCACAAGCCGGGACAAAACACCGCGTCAGATACCTTCTCGTATACCACCCTCTTTGTCGACGAGCCCAACGTTCACGATCAAGCCTATTCAATGCCTCTAGCGAACAACCCTACCGCCAACGCGCTAGAAGCACCAATCTCCGCCAATGGTCCGGGCTCGGTGGACTGTTTGCCTGAGATGCCAATGCACCCCTACTTTGGCGATATCAACACCGTTGACGTGGCTTCTTGGAATTACAACACATTCGACACTGGATCATGGAGGGGACCGCCACCTTGGACACCACAAGGGCCAATCAACGATAATCATCAATTCTACGAATCGAAGTTGACACAGACGCAGACGGTTTTGAGTCCGACCATGGACTCATACCTCAACAACCTATATGAGGCATACAACCTTGACACGGACCATGTCAAGACCGCCACCTCATTAGGGTTGCAGAGTATTGAGTCCAAAGCCCGGACTCAGTGCCAGCTCGAGCAGCCCACACAACCGGCACCGCCAGCAACCCCTAATAAAGCAGCTGGTCGTGATATCAAGAAGCGTAGACGAGAAGTTGGAGAAATAGATACATTGAAGAGAAGGAAACGCACACACATCGACGAAGGGCCAATGCCGTCTCAATGGCCATCGGGCGCAAGCGGATTGTCCATAGGTCAGCCCGCGCAGACAGGTCGACCGAGTAATGACTTGCCCGGCCAGCGTTCTATATGCCCATGCCCATCCCCTCCAATCAGCATGGCCCCTACACCCATTGCACCCTGTGGACGGAAAAAGCGTATACCAGGGGGATCGAGGAGGAGGAGTAACCCAACTACTCACCAGATAAAGCACCCACGAGCCGAAAACAGCGTGATCTGGTGCTGTACGAACGACGGCTGCAAAGAGACATTCAGTAGGCAATATGATCGAGAACGACATATGACTCGAAGCTGCAAACGTTCCGCAACTTCGACGGTCAGGTGCCCGTGTTGCGACAAAGAGTTCTCGAGACCCGATTCGTTGAAGCGTCACATCTATACGCTCACGCCATCCACTTGTTGGGGTGCGCAATGCCGTACATGTCGATGTGTGATGTTTGGAGATGACGCGATCAAAGCACATTCAAATGGATGCCCGAACGCAAGCAGCTCTGCATTTATCTAGTAGACACTATAAGGTTTCCTTTGCATGTGATGAGACAAACTTTATTAGGCTTACGCGGTGCTTCTGCATGCCCTTTGTTTGGACTTGAACTCCTGTTGTGGTTTACCGAGATAGAGCTTCGATAGTGAGTGTTAGATGTCGGAGACACTTGCCGCATCCGACATGACGCGCTGGCGCGCATACAAGCTGCCCCCGCCGATGGAGCTTGACGGGGTTGAGATCGCGGAAGACCTGAGGCCGCCGAGCGCCCAGTGGGCCTGGAAGCCGTGCTTGATGCTCCATATCCAGACAAGGTCGGAGATGGGCGCGTAGAGGGGCGCGTTAGGCACGGAGAAGAGGTCGGAATGCGACATCGGAGTTGCCATACATCGGAGGAGTACCCCGGCCTGAATCGCATTCCTGTCAACGGCTATCTTCAAGGCAGAAGCCCATATTTACGCACCTGAGTACGACCCCAACCCAATACACCATTACACCAAGAACGATGCGACAATCGCGCTCGGACCTTGTATACACCCATCGAGTGCTTTTATAACCGCCTCACATAACTCCTCACCGCATCCTTATCTGGCTCCTCCACCTCCTCAATGTCCAGTCCCATGTCCCTCCTTGAGCTGAGGAACCGGCGCTTGAATCTCTCTCCATCAGCGTGATGACACTGGGCCTCTTGGTCGCGCTGGTCGATCCTGAATGATGCACAGCAGGACCTATGGGCGACGTTGAAGGGACGGGAGAGAGGTTGCACTCGTGAGGAAAGCCTTTATTGTGGTCGAGCTGGATCTAGTGTGTGATTTGAGAAAACTGGAGAAGGTCGCGCCTGGGTGTGGGTGAAATAGTTTCCGAGTGATCTGTGTCCGACCTGCGTACCGGCTGGATCAGAGGGCTGAAGGACGCCGGATTGTATAACAGGGAGCAGGGTAGCGTACGTGAAGCTGTGCAAGTTGTTCGTGGGCGTATGACCTACCAGGCTGACACCCTTTCTAATCTAACCGCCGCGAATGCGCGGAAGAGAGTTGGAGGATATTGTCCGGTCGCGCACGGCTTTCTGTTGATGAGGTCTAGCTAGGATATCATAGAGACCTTGTCCTTAATGAAGCGACAGGTGAACTATGAGGAGGTGGTAGGTTGGGGGAGGTGTGGAGATGTGTCCGTCGCGTCGGTGTTTGGCAAGAGCTTTAGAAACAAACAAACGAATGCCACGCGCCGGGTCTCTTTCCAGACACTTCCTCGACGGTATTCTCGGAGACTCTCATCCAATTCTCCAAGCTCAACACATCAGCTTTCTTGCGCTTCACGAGGCGAGTATGGGCTTCCATCCTTTCAAGTCCTCCAGGTCCGGATATCGATCATCGACAACAAGGGTAGCCCTGCAGTCTGGAGGCATGAGAACTACCAAGGACGTTACCTTACTAGATGCAAGGCATAAGTCACGATGGACAGTACTTCACCAGTGTGCGTGTTTGTCTATTCGCGCGCCAACGCTATTCTGAGTAACAGAACCCCAGCTTGAGATTCGTCGGCCACTCCCCGGAACGGTCAAAACGTCTTTGAAAATCGAAACGTACAGTCGTGTGCATCGGCATCCTTGGTGCGCGACTCGGGCTTGTGTTTGATGACCAAAGTCAAGTGAACAGGGTTGGAGTGCGTTTCTTTCTCTTCATCATCGCATTTTCGCTCATCCATACATGCAGACCGTGCACAGTTGTCTCATCATGTCCTTGACGAACATCCTGGGTCCTCTCGCCGCCGCGTCAAGAGGCTAGCGCATGACCGGCATAGGGGCTTCACCCATCAAACCTTCTGGGAGAATCATTGACATTCTACACGCAAACAGTCACTGCGATGGGTGCGTCATCGTTGATAAGCGCATGGAGGTAGGCACTAATCCTTACCATACGCAAGTCCTTTGCATATACCAATGTCGACTTCACGAATCCTATAGGAGACCTCGTCGCTTATGGACGCGCGTCCTTTCGCCAGCTTCTTTAACATGTATGCATTCGTAGATCACACGAAATGCGGTGCCAAGTCATCTTTGGACCCTGTGAGTCGACCTCTGAGCAAAATTTGACACACCCTTCACTAACACGCACATCGCGCAGAACCATGTCAGGCTCTACGAGGACAGAGAAACTATAATATAATGCAAAGGTGTAGGCTTAACTGTCCATTACTTGCCGAGTTTGAAACAGAGCCCAATACGTCGACCTCGTCCTTTGCTGTGCCATGCCGGCTTTCGTCATGCTCATAGCGGCAGATTTGCATATGCACACCTGAAATCTCTCCCAATGGCGGACCCTACGGCGATACTACTTGGCGTCGCCCCGCGGATACGATTTCCGCCATCTCACCGAAGTACGGTCTCGGGTACTACGTATCAGTGACGGATGGGAGAGAGATGAATGCTTGCTGTATACCCGACGAGCTCCTCATCGTTGGATGGCGGCGACGGCATGAGCATGGCGTATTCGAATACTTCGTCCGCGCCAGGAGTTGCGGGCGACATGGCGATGGCGTGGCCCAGAGCTTCTTCGTCGTTGACAGATGGCAATGACACGAGCAAAGCGTGCTCGAATTCTTCTTCAGCGTCCGGAGCGGGGAGCGGGGTGTTGGCAGCGCGAACCAGATCTTCCTCGTTGTTGACAAGCGGCAGTACCGTGAGCAAATCATGCTCATTTCCTTTCCCGAGTCGGATGGGAGGGAGATGGATTCTTGCTGTGTACCCGATGGGCTCCTCATTGCCGACTGGTAGCAGGGCCATGTAGATGGCATGTTCGACTTCTTTGGCCGCGTCCGGAGCGGAGACCAGTGCGCTGGATGCGTGTCCATGATCTTCCTCGCCGTCGTTCAACGGCAGTACCGTGAGCAAAGTATGCTCATTTCCTTTCTTTGAGGGGAGGAGAGGGAGAAGGGTGGACGGAACAAATGGGAGCCAAGCGCTGGATGGGAGCGAGATGTCGAGAACAATGGGGCCGTGCATCTCGGGAGGCGAGAGGTTGACAAGAAGGACGTTGTCGAGAAGATGCTGATCGAGGGAGATGAAGACGTGACGAGGTTTGCGTTGACACAGGCGACCCTAGGAATGTGATGAGCTGACGCCACTCGAGACAGTTCGAGGCGCTTACCTTGATTGTCCAGAGAATGAAGGAAACGAGAAGGAGGTAGAATAACCGTGCCTTTGGCGGGGGATATACGTAGCGGAGGAGCTGTATAAACCGTGCCGTGAAATCCTGGGCGTTGAAACACGCGAATGGATCCCGGAGAGGGATGCTGGCTAGATCCTGGGGTCTAAAGATGTCGACTGACGTGGGCCGGTCGCCCGCCGCGCACAATTCCGGTGGGTCGAGTTCGAGGACCTTGAACTCGCAGGTGGGAAGCGGGGTGGCGGAAGGTGTAGAACCGAGAACATGATCGACCGAGGTGGGCTGCTCGTCCGCAGCACACACATCCAACTTGGGGAGTTCGATGAGCTTGAACTCGCAGATGGGAAGCGAAGTGACAGAAGGCGTGGAGCGGACAGCTTGGACGACCGGAATGGGCTGGTCGACTGCCGCGCACACGTCCAACTTGGGGAGTTCGAGACCTTTGAACTCGCAGACGGGGAGCAGGGTGATGGAAGGCGTGACGGAGGTAGACCAGAAGGATCGGGGCTCTTCGAACGTTTCGTTAGACGACGTCCAGAGGGTGACTGGTGATAGGCGTTAGCTATGTATCGTAGGAAGGGACGAGAGACATTACCATTATCAGCTGTAAGACCGGGTACGAGGTCGGGGCTTGACGGATCTCCAGACGCGAGGGCACTGTCTTGAGAAAGCGACGTCTCGTTGAGGACCGAGGGGAAAGGGATGACGACCACCGACAGTCGAAGGGAGACGACGTCGGCGATGCTCTTGATCCCTCGGGTGATGTGCTGGCCGAAGACGTGAGGGAGCGTGCGGATGCCGAACTGAGGACGAAGCTCGGCGAGCGCGTTGGAGAGCAGCGGCCCACCGGGGAGACCGAGTAGACCGGAGGATGTCAGCGTACCGGACCCAGCCAACGCATAGAATGCGTGGAGGGCACGGATGGCTGCGGAGACAAAGGCGAGGAAGTTCATTGTTGAATGTTGTATGCGATGTGATATGTTTACGATGAGGAGAGAAGGCATTCAGTGTGCCATCCTATATACGTCTGGAGTTCAACACTTTAGTACTGTTTGGCGGGGCGGGCCGAGGAGGAAGAGGCTGACTTTGGTCTATGTTAGAACTTCTGAGTCGAGACCTGCCACAGAGAGGTTTGGAATTTAGCTGGAAGTATGTCTAGATTGGGAACTCACCTAATGTTCGCGCCCGATCGCTGGGTTGAACCATCCAAATCTGCCCAGATCGGACATATCCAGCAGCCCGATACACGTCTCAGCCAGCTACATCGCCCTCTTTTCAACACGACGCCTCTTCACCAGGGGGCTGGTTAGCTTGAGAGCATCGCACAGACGCCCACTCGGGAAAGGAACTGAGCACAATTTGCTCACGGTACTGCCGCTTGTCGACAACGAGGAAGATCCTGTGCTTCTTATCAATACCCCGGCCCCCGCTCCAAACGTGGATGAAGTATTCGAATACGCCGCGCCCGTGTCATTGCTGCCAGTCAACGACAAGGAACTGGTCGGGTACACTGCAAGAATCGATCTCCCTCCCGTCCGACTCGGGAAAGGAACTGAGCATGATTTGCTCATGGTACTGCCGCTTGTCGAAAACAAGGAAGATCCTGTTCTTGCAATCAATACCCCAACTCCCGTTCCCGACGCGGAGGAATTGTTCGAGGACACTGTGCTCGTGCTCGTGCTGCCGACTACTGACGATGAGGTCACCCCTGCTCGTAAGACAAAGAGTCAGCTAAAGAGGCATAGGAGACGAGGACGGGAAGCAGCTGATTCGGAGAAGGTGCTTTGCGCTTCACTTTTAACATTTGCTGTCCATGTTGTTGACTTTTGGTTTTCAGATGGCCGCCCTTGCTTTATCGTTGGTGGAGATTGGCTCCCTCCTCCCCATCGAGCCTCAAGTCATGGATTGCGAACGTCTCATCGCTTCTTTGGGCGCTGACGATTCCGACCCTGGACTCGACTCTGTTCTGGACAAGAAGAAGTACTGGCGAGAGCGGTATGACAAAGTACGCTCTTCTCTTCTCCTCGAGGGGCGTAAACTGATGGTTTCTTGATTACAGGAGCCCCCAGCGCGACGAGACGACTTCCGTCGTCTCTCGATCGACGCACTCCTACTTGCCAGCCCTCGAGCACTCCCTACCGATGGAGCCCGCACCGAGCAGCACCTCCATCTTGATCTCGCGAGGTGCGACCCGACATTCCTCACGCTCTTGGTCTCAGTCCGTGGTCGATGCCCGCTGCCCGACAACGCGGAGATGGCGATCCCCTTCTATGACACCGCCAAATCGGAGCCGGCTTCTCAAGATGATGTAGAGGTCACGCGCGAGTCGCTGCTCGAGGAGGGATCAGAGGCGTTCCTCCACGACTTCGCACCGACCTCGTCTGTTGTGACGCGCACCAAGGCTCAGAAGCGCACCGATCTCAAGAGGCGTCAACGCGAGGAGGCCACGCCAGCGACCGACACTGCCGCAGCTGACCTATTCACCGTGCTTGAGGCCGAAGAGGGTCTCGGCTGGGCCACTGGGTGCGATGCTGCCGGCGCCCTCCAAGCCTCTCAGTCAATCGACGCGGACGCACCTTCCCAGCATCTGACTGCGACCCAGCAGAGGAACCAGCGGCGACGCAACAAGGAGCGCGCCGAACGTCGCACAGAGGACACCCAGTCATCCGAGGGATCCTCCTCCCAGTCTCACTCGTCAAACAAGAAATCCAAGAAGAAGAGCGGCGGCAAGAAGAAGCCAGGGAGCTCGCGACCGGTGTATGGAATCCATCTTCAGCCCTAGCCACCGACTTGACGAGGACTTGGGCTCTCACTCTGGCGACACGATCAACTTGCACTTCTGCACTCTGATTGCCCGCTTGCTCGCTCAAGTTTTTTTTTGGCTCTACTCTATGTCTTCGATTGATCAACCGACGTTCGACATACTGGCGACAAGGCGCTAAGGCGCAGATGAGCGCACCGCGATGGAGATGGCGCGAAGAGGCGCGAGGGGTTTTCATAATTATAATCATACCTTTTTAATACTTTTCTTGAGTTCAGCCTGTACCCGCTTGTAGTCTCAGTATATGAAAAGCGCATTCAATCACAGTAGATCTCTCGCTTGAATAATATCAAGAAGCATGCGACATTCTCAAATTGTAACATTTCTCTTCGCTGATGAACTTGTACCCGTGAATAATCATGACAAAATTCAGGTAAGCTCTTGTCCAACTTTAACCAGGCGCTCAGACAAAAACCTACGCTATACAACGTCTCAGAAAGATCATACAGAAACTACGTGGTAATGTACAGTCAAAAAGTCCTTCACGTATCCCAGCATATCGATTATAAAGACCGAGAGTCGTAGGGATTGTCGACAATCTGCAACACTTGACGGGCGGCATCTTCTTCCGCAGAGTGCAACTGCCTTCCATAGCCAGTGGCCCAGTAGCTTCCGCCAACTGCGTGAGAAATCGATGGTTGGATTAGTTGGGAAACGCAAGCAGAGTAGATTTGACGATACTGACTGTACACGTCGGAATACCAGACGACTTCATGCGCGGGGCCTTCTTTGTGGTTCCCGTAGCGGACCATTTTCTGCCCGCCCATTCCGTGAACCTTCTGGATGCGGTCGTTGAGAGTCATTTTGTCTGCGAGCGTATGTGAGTCATAATATTTTCTAGCAGAGGGGACCATCGCATACAGTGTTGCATTGAAATGGAGGTTCGGAGAAGTGGGAATGTCGCTGAGATTTCAGCCGTTGTTCACGAGGTATTTAAGTGCTAGAGGAATAATCCACAGAGTATCTGTTACCAGATACTGTCGGTATCAAGTCTGCTTTCATGGTAGAAGACACCAAATAGAGCGAGCTTACCTCGTAGCTGCCATAGCCGCCCATACAAAGAGTTGTTGTCACGATGTCCTAGGCGCCCAGGAGCAGGTTCCTAAGTGAAATGGACAAGCACTGGAAGTTCCAGAGGTGCGTTCCATATAGGGTTGTTTAGTAGTAGCTCTGATGTAGGCAGCAAACCAGTAATAAGCGCGCCGCCCGCGATGTTCCGGAATTCATGGCGCGGGACGATCGCCTATGTCAGGGCAGAATCGGTGTCAACAGACGAGACGGTGATAGCACACGCTGGCAAATGGCAGAGGCCAGCAGCAGCCGTAGTTAGGCTAAACACACTTTCACCCTAGCTAGGAGCGATGTATATGTAAGCTTGAGCGCATGCCGGGGAAATCGAAAGTCCGTTTCGAGGACATTTTTGTTAGCGCCATTGTGGCAAGGCGTATACTCTGTTCACTCTGAGTGTGATTAATGGTAGGAGGATAAGACCCGAAATCGTGTTCTTAGAATCTGACGTGAGGAAACGGAGAAAGTACGCAAAACTTGTTCGTCGTCTCCCAGTAGACGAGGGTAGTCGTGTCGGCATGCGATGCCCGATCCCTGCCGGCGTTCAAAAGATTGTCGATCGGAGTAGGTCGGAGTTTGCATTTTGCGACTTACATCTGGACGAGCGCCTCTAACGCTTGTCCGCAATTATGAACAGGTTCCAACACACTGGGCAAATACGCGCTAAATTTTACCAATTGATGTGCCCGGCGAAGCTAGACGTGCCTTATATCGTTTGTTTCAACGTAAGCGGACTGTACGGTACCTATCCTTACCTTGAAGAGAAATACGAAGGGGCAAATCTCTCATCCTCTTGAACTATGTTGATCATCACCCACAGGCTTTCACGGGACATGTTTCTGAGATGAACCAAAGTGGTGGAACATGCGCTCAGCCACCTGTCCTGGACTCGAAGCAATGTCGCTCGAGGAGCACAACAAGCCATCATGTCCTCGCGGGTCGATGATTGAATTTCGAGTTCGCGTTTGACACTGTATCCTTTGGATGCATTTCAGGTCTGATCAATCTAGATATGTGCCGTTGACACGTGGGAGCACGGTGAAAACAAACATGATGAGGGGATGTGCAACCCTAACTAGGAACCCGCCGCGCCACATCATTTTCCTCGATGTCTCGCGGGCGCTATTTCAAACTCCTCTCACACCCTCCTTCCACTTCGACTTCCATCACCATCAGCACCCATGACCTTCATTCCCGAAATCGCGACCCTTCCCGCAACTCCAAGGCCATTTGCCCCTCCCAGGTTCGCACGCAAAGCTTACGCCCGGCCTACCGACCACCACGGAAACTCTGATGACACAACACCACCTTCATCCTCCGCGTCTCAGGTCGGGGAAGAACCGACAAAGCCCGCGTCGCCCCTGCTGGTGCCGAGCACCCTCGATCGTGCGGACTCATCACCGGCTCCCGCCCCGAGCGCACCAGTGGTGCCTACGAAGAGGAAGTACACCTACAGGTGTCCCTATCATGACTGCGGGGAAACGTTCACTCGCAAGACGGATCGCAACCGGCACATGCTGAATGCGTGCATATCCGAGTCCGCGGAAGCACAGGGGGCGCGGCGGGAGCACCCCTCGCCTACTTGGCACTGCCCCGTTTGCGGCAAGGTTCTCTCTCGGCGGGATGCGACGGAGCGACACATCAACAAGGGGACGTGTGCAAAGGGACGGTGCGGGATGTGCGGAGATCGGATGACGGAACGGGCTATCAAGGGACATTTGGACGATATGGGCGATGGGAATATGAAGTGCTTCTCAGCGAAGCTTGCCACGAAGGCGGCGAGGAAGTCGAAGAAGCGTAAGTTGGAGGGCAAGGAGGACGAAGAAGAAGAGCTTGAGGTGGAGGTGGCGCTTGGCGAGGATGATCTCGACGATGAACTTGAGGGCGACGATGTCAAAGAGGAGGATAGGAAAGTCGACAACGAGCAACTCCAGCCTCTCAAAAGCGAGGACGCAACAATGGAGGGGTGCTAGCTAAATCACGATTCACTATTTGTAATGTCGGATGCCATAGAATCACTTCATGTTATCTTCCACTGTTAATCTTCTCACTCATCGAGTAGCTGCTCACGTGTCAAATCCTCCTTCCTTTCACTTCCACGATGTTCGATAACCAACTCAATAGTTATTCGCAGGAAACGACCTCCGAAGACAGCTGCTTAATTGCATAAACGATAGCCTTTTCAGATTAATATCCATCATAATGATGGATAAGGCGTTCTGTTCACGGCGCACAACATAACAGGCAAGAAGGACCACTTGATATCATAACCGCCTCACTTTCTCGTAGGTTTCATGCCAACCTGAGCTCCAAAAGCAGCGAATGGAACTCCGATTCTCTCTCACAGAGTATATCTAAGTTAACAGTAGCTCACATTGCTTTTTTGGTGCTGTCCTGGGAGCAGGCCTGGTGGTACATCTCAATGGAAGTCATCCAATTTCACGCGATTTCGAAAGCCTGGTGAATGTCAATGTGTAGTACGTATACTAGGCAGCTTTTAACCACAATGACCTAATGAACCTCATCTACGACCCTAGATAGCAAAAACTCCTGTCCCTTCGTATCGATCATAATGAGAGGAAGTTTGATTTGCGAGCTTCCAGTACGGTTTATCTCCCCTTTCCAGCGCCTGAACTCGCTGAATGCGCCAGGCGCCAGGACGCGAATAGTCGGTTTGACGGAAGACCCCTTTTTCGCACCGACGGCAAAGTTCTCGTTGGCTTCGACCAGACTAGCCATAATGCTGTCCCGTACCGAAGGGGAGATCACAGCTGAAGAGAAGCGTTATATCATCAATTGTCGTGGAGCTATTAGAAGACTTACTACTCCCTGCATTGGCTTCGACGAAAAACCCGACTGTTGGTGGCATCTGACGGTCGTCTAGCCACGTCGTAAACTCAGTCTGTCTAAACTCTTCAATATTTGCCACCGATGCGAGAATATCCGCTTGGGATATCAACGCGTGAGGCAGCCTCATAGACTGGCTACAAGCCAAGTGGTAAGCGTCTTTGTAAGGGCGATAAGGTCACAGGGACTTACTTTCTACGCTCCTTGTAATGGATCAGAGGTGTACCGTCAACGGGAGAGAAGCCAGCGGCCTCGACAACATCACCCATCTGGTATCGCCATAGACCAGAATGAGTTGTAACAATGGGTTCGTATAATCTACCCTTTTCGAGTTGCCACTGAAATAACGATTCTCAGTATCATATTACCATGAAAGCGAAGGAAAAGACTCGCCGGCTGCTTAAGGTCTCCATCGGAGCCATCAGCGTTGATCTCAAGCAGCTCGATGTAGTCCTCAAAAACCATCTTAATAACGTCATGGATCCGATCGTCGTATGCGGTGCCCATGAAGCACTCCGTCGAGGCATACATCGGTACACGAATCAGGACGTCCGGTCCAATATATGCCCTAACCTAGACGCATACGTTCACTTAAGTGGCACTAGAAATGTGAGACAGCTGAACTACGGACCTGAGGTAAAACACGTGCGAACGTTCCGGTGCAGATGGCGACGAGAAGGCCCAGCTTGGGCCAGACCTTCGGCGCCCAGCCCTCAGCGGTGAGCGAAGGGGGGCCAATTTTGCGCAGCTCCTCAGCTCGCTTTGGATTGGCGTGGAATTGTGTCTAAAACAGGCTGAATCAATGGTCAGCTATTGATATAGAGCAGAAACGTACAGCGATGCCGGCATACACATGTTCTGTCTGAGGGTACTGTGGTAGCTTGCCGCTATCGATGGCGCCGATGAGAGTCTCCCATTCTTCGTCGATCCAACGAAAGAAATCTACAGTCGCCGTGGACCAGACTAACGCCAGTGTGTCGACGTGCGGCTCAGCAAGGGCGAACGCGGCGTGCGTGAGCATGATGGAGCGATAGTTGGAAATTAGATGCGCACCCCACGGTGCTACAAGGCCGGGAACTATGTCACTTTGCGTTAGTTTTTCAACAGAAGACGGGTCGCAATGACACCTCACCTGGCTCAGAGAGTCGTTCGTAGTCCCTCTCAGAGTCAGTGAACCCCAGAAGGGAGCGAACCCAGTAAGCGGATAGCGCGTTGACCGAGATATGCTTGGTTTCGTCCTGACCGCACACCTCGACGAACCTCGCAAAGCCACTGTACACTGGCGTAACGTTCTTGCCACTGGGTTTTCCCATGAAGGGCGTAGTCTCGGGCCCGAGGTAGAAAGGAGGTTCGGGGTTCGCGTACTTCGGAACTAGCTTAGACGCCTTTCCTGATGTAGAACTGGACATTCCAAAGAACATGGGTAGTCCAGGTGCCAGAAGGTCTACGACATCGGACAGCTGAGATGGGGAGTCTGGGGAGAACTTGGCGATATAGGGTGTGTATTGTTCGTAGTCGGTGAGGGATATATCGGCTGCAGCGAATGCTTTCGCACAAGCCGTGGGATCGTCTAGGTCTACGCCGGTGAGCTCCTGGCGTAGCTTCGCCAAGGTCTCAGAGTTGCGACCGAGCTGAGTGGTGAAGACGTTCGACTTGATGATGTCCTGCAGGACGGACTCGATGCGAGCCTGAAGCTGGGAGGCAAGCTCGTCGCTAAGAGAGGACAAGGGAGTGAGTTCTGCTGGGTAAGAAGACATGATGACCGAGTTCGTTGACCTCTGGGCGTTTGCGACGTCGATCTTATATCGTTTTGCGAACATTTTTCTGGTGCCCGCACTTCCGCCCCAGTGCTGTAAAGGTGCGCTGACTCAAGTGGCGAATACATGCCCTTGAGTCATAGATGGAACCATCCGATGTCGGGAGTCACATTGGCAAGGTCCGGAGGGGGAAAGCTTCCCATGTAATGACGCGTAGGCGATCTCCCTAGTGACGTTCAATCACGTCTTGTGCCGCCTAAGTCTTATGACCGAGCGTCTGACCGAGGCTCGCCGCGCCAACGTTTGACTGATCTTTACTGAAGCTACCTAAATGAGAGCTGCAAAGTCAACTCTCCTCGTGTGCCATGTGAGACATCTCAGTTGCATCTCAGGCCGCCCGGGTTCGGGGACCACTTTAACCGTCTAACCGTAGTCACCGTCCCCAAAAAGTGACATAGCGCCAACACAACGCTGACCAACAACTGACACACGAAAGCGACGAGCGCTGAGAAACCTGTGAGTTTTGGGAGTGTGAAAGCTCACGGAATACAAGTAATGGATCGGATCATAGCCCTGCAGTCACAGGAGAGATGGAGTTGGGCGTTGCATGATATAACATTGCATCGGGATCCAACGTTGCAAAGATCTGTCGAACAGCCGGGGAAACTCCAGCCGTATATATTTGAACTCCGGCCGGATCTATCCGCGCCACGTTCTCCATCCGTGCCACAATCTCCAAAATGAGGACAAACCTGGTGTTCCAAAGCCAACACAATCTAATTTATCAGATTTCCAACCACACAATTTGACGCCATACGTCCGCTATGATAGCGTACAACAGATGATCATACAGGCGTTAGTACTACGCTTCGCTGTCTACTAGCTCGCGCGCATTAACTTCATTTCCCACTTTCATGTTCCCACCTTCGTAGTACTTCACCACGGAATCTCACTACCCAGCCGGTTCAAGAATTTGCCCGAGTGCTCCGGCCTTGCGTTCTGAATGACACTAAGCACCGACGCCACTGCATCTTCAACCTCCAGCATCGCCCCTTCACCACCCATAGTCGTCTTCACCCAGCCAGGATCCACGACAAACGCAATGATATCCGGGCGCTCGCGCGACTGCTTGTACGTCTGCACAGAAAATCCATATCAACCACATATTGGAGTACTGTGGAATAACAATACTCACAAGCATGTTAACAGCGGCCTTGCTAATACTATAGCTCGCGCACTTGGGTCCGTGGTCGCTCGCGATACTCGCGAGACCGGTAGTCATATTCATGATCACGCGCCGGTCGCTCTTCTCGATCGCCGGTAGCAAGTAGCGCGAGATGAGTGCAGGGCCAATAACGTTAAGTTCCATAGTGGTCCGCAGGTCCTGAGGATCGAAGTCAAAGGCGACATCACCGCCTACGTTCTGTGTGTAGTACCGCTTGTCAGTTCACTGTGAAGAAGGTTCAACGAGAAGACCAACCATGGCGGCATTGTTGAACGTATAGTCCAGGCCCCGTCCGTCAAGAAGCTCGAGCACCTCCGCTGTTCCGCGCTGGATGCTTTCTTGGCTGGCAGCGTCTATCTCAACGATGTACAGTGTGCCTTGCGCTGTATCCGCGAGCGCTTGAAGCTCACTAGCCGTTGAGGGCGAGCGACAAGACGCGAAGACAGTGTTATCTGGGTTTTGTAGCAGCTGGCGCGTGGATTCAAGGCCGATGCCGCGTGATGCGCTGAGTGAAAAGGTCAGCCAGCGTTTTGCTCCTTGAGCGAGAGCGCGAACGAACCCTGTGAGAAACCAAGTAGGCATGGTGTCTAAGGATATAACAAGGCTTGCGGGGAACGGACGAGGATAGAGGGAGTGTGCGGTTAGGTTTGGAGCTGGGTAGATAAATGAACGCGGAGGAGGGAGTCGCCTGACCCGGGATGTCGCAACGAGCATTCCGAAATCACCGAAGTCACTCACGGAGGATGCATCTTCGGCGAATATTCGGAGGTTTAGTAAGCCATATTTACTAGGTTGTAGGCCTGAAGAAAGGTTGACGCGATTATCAAAGAAGTCGACTGTAAGAAAAAAGCACCCAATCGTTTGTCGAGTTTAGGTCACGAACCAGATCATGAATTTCCAAGAGTATACATCCAGACCAGGCCCTCTATGCATCCTCGAGTCCGAGGAAACTAGCGAAAGTAAGGGCAAGTACCTCCAACCCCTTTCCTAGCTCGTTCTCTATGTCAATGCTCTCATCACTGGTATGAATCACCGAGAGGTTGCCAGGGCCATAAATGTACGTCGCTTTGATCGGCGGCTTGAGTGTGTTCACTAGGAAGCGCTGACATCGAATGCACATCAATAAATCAATACGACGATAAGACGACAGCTATCAACGCACTTGGTCATCGCTCCCTGGTGTTGTCACCCAGCCTGCATCCTTGCCTGTGACTAATCCAATGGCACTTTGCAACACGCCCACAATCGGTGCATCGCTAGGCGCAATCGCCGGATCAGTTTGATACGATTCCTCATATTCCCAGCGCATATCTTCGAACTCCTCCATAGCCTTCATACCCTCCAGTACGTCACGCAGCTCTTTGCGTGCTTCCTCTATGGTCTCGGGATAGACCAGGCGGCGATTGAACTGCACACTTGCGACGTCGGGGATGGTGTTAACATTGGACCCGGAGTTGAGCACTGTGAAGGCGAGAGATGCGACCTGTGCAGAAGGGGGAATGACCGTCGGATCTCTCCTTGCAGCGAGCTTGGGTCCGAGAGTGGTGTTTGCGAGATGGACGAACGCACAGGCATGGTGCAGCGCATTTCTTCCCAGCGAGGGCATGGATCCGTGCGCGGCGCGGCCGTAGAAGGTGTACGTGCCCCATAGAGTCCCGCGATCTGCACGAAACCATTACATGAGTATGGCTCAGCAGGGAACTGAGATGAGGTACAAACGCACGGGCAAAACATATGTTGTTGACGCCGAGGGGCTCAGTGATGATGACGGCGTCAATCTTGCGTTCGGGCGCGAAGAAACCTTGTTCAACAAGGAATCCCATGCCTGCATTGCGGACGCCGGTCGTCTCCTCGTCAACGACGCCTGATTGTTCAATGGACCCCTTGAGCTTAAAACCTGCGCGTTGTACCGCTTCGACCGCAAAGATCTGAAGACAGTGAATTAGTATAATCTCAGGCCCCAATGTACTACGTAGAGTGGATGTATGCGTACTTACCTGGGCTGCGATGCCACTTTTCATATCCGACGACCCTCTTCCGTACATCCTCCCATTCTCCAGCTCAGCTCCAAAAGGATCGTGCTTCCACGTTGAAAGTGTGCCTGCTGGGACAACATCGAAGTGTCCATTAACATGCAGTGTCTTATCTCCTTTCCCTCCGAGCCTCGCAGCGACGTTCCTCCTTGGTAAGCCCTCGCCCAGTGGTGCCAGCTCCCCATAGCTTTCGGGCGGTACATCGATGTACTGCACATCAAAGCCGAGGGACACGAGCTTGTCTCCGATCAACGCAGCGCATTCTGGGTAGTGTCGTCCCGGGGGGTTCGTGGTGTCCACTTTGATAAGGGAGGCGAGAAAGGAAGCGCATCCGGGGAGGAGAGCTCTGGCTGAGTGGCGTATAGCCGCTATCTGCGAAGCGTCGAGACCTGGAACTGAGCATGGGTCCATGTTTGTGTTTCAACTCGATTCGGCTGATAGGATTGGCGCTGCGGAACGGACAGGAGGTGATGCATCCAAAACAAGCACGTTGTGGGAAGGTAAATAGAGTTGGACTCGAGGCTGGCTGATCTCCTGAGGTATCAATTTTGAGGCTACGTTGAGATTACACCGAAAACAAGAGATACCTTTGATGCAAGCTCCGACTGCTCAATCAAGTCTCTTCACGCTCGGGAAAGCATCACCGGTGGGACCGTTAGTCGTTGATATTTCGGGAATGCGGGAATGGGATGCCGTTCTCATTTGTAACACGTTTCCTTCAGCTAAGTTTTCAGATAACGGAGAGCCGAAGTAAAGGAGTCTAGAGGTCGCAACGAACAGGAAGAGGTTTGGATGCGTTGCCTGAGTGGCAGTGAGGAGACTCAGAGGAGATTAGACGGCACCAGAGTGGCTGTGCGGCTGCGACGCAGTTTGAACTTTGAATGCCCCGTTGTAGCCGATGTTAGCGCTCGAACTTCTCTTCATTCCCACCACCACGTCTGAATTTTACTAAGACATGGAATTCCTACCCACGTATCGGATGACATGACAACAGATGTTTACTCATGCTGATGGCTCTACAGTGGTACCATCACTATGGAGAAGACCCCTACTCAGACTCAGACTTGCATGCGTCGACTGGCTAGTTGCCTTACCTTTGACAGGCTCGGAGTTCCGTCGCGAGTGACATCTCCTAGACTTCTCGATAATATGTGGCCGTCTTGCCACTTCTCACTATGACTTCTCACTACTATGATGTCCAAAAAAAATTCGGTCTATGAAGCTTATCCGTGGATGGTTTAGGCTATGCATCCACCAATAAACGTGGCGATCTTGCGCCCAATGAAACTTAGCCTCGACAACCGTATGTTCAACACCAGTAGTCTTTCAGGCAAGATACTAAAAACGGCATATTAAGGACGATCTGGCCTGTTCAAATGATGATCCGCGTCCATCATCGTTATCCATACAGCATCCACAAACGGCGTCCACAGCTATCCCACAAACCGGTTATGTGGCGACGAGGGTACCCGGAACCCTTCACCCAGGGTTTGTGAGCCTAGCTAGGGTGCACATCACTATGCTCTGCAGGCGACTTGTCGGCGTGATCTCCGCACCAGGACAAACGTATGCCGATCGAAGGCCTTTGGACTGCAGAGGCTATGAGGAAAACGAGTAGGCAATGTCGCCAATTCTATACGTTAGCCCCTTCAACTAGGCTGCGTGTATGGACATCTTTTATTTGTCATAACCGTTTGTATGTTTGGCTCGTCCTCCGTATTTAAGGCAAGCGATCTTGGCGGGAAATTTTCTCAACAACAATCGCACTTTTCAACATGTCTCATTGTACGACCTCTTATCCGCTCTACGTATCCCACATTAACTCGTCGTTTTCAGACAAGATGGAACTCAACGTCCGCATCCAGAGGGCCAACGGCATGGCAGGACAGCACATGGTCCACTTTGATTCGCGTAGCCATGGCCCGCCGCACCAGGTTACTTGGTATTCTGACATACACAGTACGTTTCTGGCCTTCTTTCGTTAGGCACCAAGAGACTCAAATATACCACCATAGTCCGCAACATGAGATGGGCAACCGGCGTTGGGAGGACGTTGCACGCAGCTCAGGAAGACGCGGCACGTCAGGCGTTAGCTATTGATGAGGACCCTACCGATCGCCGTGCCCTGTGATGCTAGTAAATGGTTGGGGTCGCTCCGAGATCACTTATGTTTCTAGCAAGCTCGACTGTATCATTTGTTTTGTATCGATCTCCCAGTAATCATCGTTCGGTTTACGCTCAACCGATCATATAATGGTTTGAAATGATGCAACGAGCCTACACAAAATCAACTACATGGTATCTAGACTGGCCGTCATTTCTATTCTGTCGGGTGACTAATCTCCCCCAATATACGTCGAATACCTCTATGTGCACATTCCAGCCACTTTGGGGAACAGGTCGGTCTTCGGGAGATGCCAGTCATTTCAGCACCGGTATCACATCCCCTTCATCGGTGTGCTCCACCCCAAACTTCATACCGGCAATGTGTATACAGTACAACCAAAACGGGGGAATCCTCCCATGACCACATGCATGACGTTCTCCATCTCGCAAATCCTATGAGCTGAATACCACCCTGAGAAAATCCTCGGCCAAATCCTTCTTTCGTTATCGATTATGGAGTGCGCAAAGTTCAGGAGACCACTAACAGACTGGTAGGAGCTGTTTGTTTGGAGGGAAGAAGGCTGCGCTTCCAGTGTCAGCAGAACCATGAGTTGTGGGTCGCGTGAGGATTTACCCTCAGCCAGTAGATACATTCAGCCATTCTCGGTCTCTCACATAGGAAAAAAGGCCATCACTGGTTTCGAAAAAATTGACTGCTGCGTGTAAAGAATGGGGTCTAGCGCAATGTCTTCTGTGCGAGAGTTGACGCTAAATGTGTGGACTCTTTCATATGCTGAATCAACAGAGTCGGATGAGTCGGTATAGATTGCAAAGAAGGCATCGAGTCGATTGACTCAGCGTCACTGTCTTCGTCACCACCAGCTGTCTGGGTAATACTATACATGGGGTTACTTCCGAAGAGTTCTTGTCGATATATCAGTTGCCTCGGCGTATACATAGTGCATACAGCAAAACTGATGTCCTGGATATATTCCGACCTCTGAGAGGCTTTGATGACTGGTTCTGTTTGACTATTTATTGGGTGTGGGAACGCATCGAGTCTTTCCTTTCACATGGGAGTGTAGAAGCGAAACACAGCGATGATATGCGAATTCCCTACGTAGACATGGCACTATCAATTAGCGTGATGATGGATAGCACAGAAAGGGAGGTGAACCCGGTACGCAATGCGTGCCTCGCTAAGCTCGTTGTAAGCTTCTTTCGAGTACTCGAGTTTAAACACACGTTTTGAACCGAGATTTATCAGCCATACTTTCTCATAAGGCTGGTTAACTTCGGAGCCTGGGCACCTTATTATGAGGACGTTTGACTTTACTACCAGCCCACGCATCCCTCCGTCATGGACATCCGGTATGGTGGTAATTAGCTTCCAGCTCGTTGAGTTTATCCCTAAAGCGACATTTATCTCGAATATTCTCCTGTGCAATCCGAAGAGAATCGGGATTATTAGTGCCATATTCCAGTCTCTCGCCCTCACCATGTGTAACCAAGATTGTTTTCTCCCTTTTCGCCTATGCCAAGATACGCACGTCTTCCATCCGCGTCAGTCGTCTCCGTGCTTGCAAGTCCAGTAAATATGAATCCAGGAGGCGCTCTGTGCTCAACAACCGAAAGCTCGGCTTCAGACTCGTCCAGATCACGACATCCGAGCTTGATTCCAGACATGATGATGAAGAGCCATCGTCCGAATAATAGTGCGCATCGTCCACCTTCGGCGGCATCAGCCACACGTGAGCGTTGCAGGCCGTACGAATGGATCGTGATAGAGTCATTTTCCTCTCTACCCGCGCTGTCCTCGTCAAGATTAAGCGCAGGTATGTAGTCGACTGCCACAAGAAGGGCCCAGGTGGACGCATTCAGGTGCGCATGCTTGGCTCCAAACAATATGATGCGACATCACCTCGACGAGCCTGAGCTTGCTTACCTGCCGATTGCAAGGCGCAAGGTCGAGTAAATCTAGTGCTTATATGATAGGGTACTCGACTTACGCGTTCAAACCGAACCAAGTCGCGTGCATTGAGGTATCTGAGAATCCTGTAAAGGATCTCTATAGGTATGCTCTCAAGTATCTTATGGTATCATCTCAAAGGGGTGTTGGGCGTTGGTTGTGTTCTCGCATTGATAAATCTGGGCGCCCGGTAAGATCCCTGTTGCATCTTGTTGTACTTTGTAGGTTCTGTTTAACTGTTAAGTTTATCCACGAAGTAATTCGGAGGTCAGCTAGTGTCAGCTGGAGGATTCGGTCCGCGTAGCGTGGGTGGGAAGCTACCCGAGTTGCTATCCATTTTTGGGAAATGACTCGGCTTGACTCACCCTGACTCAAACTCCGATGCAACTCCGCCACGTCGATGCTGCCACCGACCGAATCCTCGTCCTTGCCGTTTCCGTGTTCCCCTCATACCGTCACCATGTGCTTCCCTTATCTCCCGCTTTCCACCCATTGAGATATATTATCCTCGCTGTTCGTATGTCTTGCCTTTCATTCTTGCTCCTCTCTCAAATATGTACCACAGTGCATTTGGAACGTAGATGTTTTGCACATTGAGTAGGCGGGTGCCAGTAGTTGTATCAGTAGTTAGTTACACCATAAATGTTGCCTACATGACAATCAGAACATAAATCTAAGCAAACTTAAGTAGCGAAATCCAACTGACGTTCTCACGAGCAGACACCGCCGACAGGCTTCCTGAAATCAGCCTCGACCTCGTGGGCGACCCCGCACCGCTCCCAGGGCCATCGTCGATCACGTCTTCAGATACAAAGCTTAATTCCATTAGTAAGTCCTCGATCATTTCATGACGCTCCTTTGCTCAACTCATAGTGTAGATGGCCTTCAAAATTAGTGCATGAACACGACCATTTACTCTGTAAGGTAATTTTAGGCTCACAAGGCACTTCCGTTTTTGATCCCACTAAACTGAATCACTCTCTCGTTTTACGCACACAGACGCGATTGGACTTCTCGGTCTCAATCCTGAAAACTCGGGTTGATCTTCCCGGCTCCGAGGGAAGGCACGGTGCTGGGGTGGGTATGCGACGCTTCCGAGGCGACGAAGCAATTGACTTGGGCACTGATATTCGACTTTTTACAGACATATAGCAAGATGCGATAACTCCGAGAACCCTCCCTGAAAACCCTCTCTAAGCATGCGTGTTGAGACGCGTCTACTACTAGAGCGAAACTCCTGGTATGTCAAACCACTCCGTGTTGAACGCAAACCTATTTCCTGCCTCAGTAGCTTCTTGATCGAAGTAGTTGAAGACTCACCAGGCGAAAGCTTCACTTCACAGGTCGGAACGACGGCTTCCAGATCCACCAGGTAAGCCGTACTCGCCACTCAACTTCCCAAGCGCCCGTTCAGTCTCTTTACCTTTTCCCTTAGCATCTTCTTTCACCGTGGCCCCTCCGACCCCACCCTGAGTCTCAGGATCCTCGGCCACGCCCTTATTTCCTTTCTCCTTTCCCTTCCCTTTCTTCTCGTTCGCTGCGACTCCGGCGGAAGCGGTAGAAGCCAGCGATGCGAAGGAGAGGACGCTGGGGCTAGGCGTAACGGGCGCGGATGTGGCGCCCTTCAACTTGCGTACGATCCTCTCCCTAAGCCCTTTAGATGCATGCTCCGCCTTCGCTTTACCATCGCCTCTGATCTTCGGTTCTTTCTTCTCGACAGGGGGTGCGATGTGACCTCCGTAACCGTACGTGCCAGAGAGCGTGGCAAGCGCGGCGGACCAATCTTTCTCTTGGGTGGGAGCAGCCTGGCGGCGCGTGGTGGAAGAGGAAACTGCAGCCGTGGCGGTCGCATTGGCTGTAGCGGTGGTCTTGGCGGTCTCATCGTACTTGGAACCAGCTGGAATAAGCGCTGCGGTGGACTCTGCGATGGAATACGCGTCGGCCTCGGTTGGCGCGCGTGCAATGGTGGAAGAAGGGCTGGGGGAACGAGAAGACATGATAGACACGCGCCTTACGCGTCACTACGACTTGTAAACGTAGAGTAACGCGTAAAACACGAGAAAAAACGCGTAAAAATGCGACAAATTCGAGCTGGTGGCTCTGAGGGACTGCGAGGACGAAAAAGTGGGCTGTTGGTCCCAAAAAAACGCGTAAAAATGCGCCTTTTTATACGCCCTCCGTTACAGCCAGCCTCAGACCATACCTTGAACTCGTCAGCCATCTCAGAGGCCCCGGTGGCGGGTTAGTCGAGTCATTTCCTGACCTGCAAGTCGGAGGAGGTCGGGATGTATGTGGGGTATCCACGTCCCAATGTGGGGTAAAATTTGGGCACTTCAATTCTGGTTGCCACAAGTCTTGATCCCCGTCGCAATCTTTGTACCGCCTGAGGCCTAGAAGCCTCCAGATATAGCAGATACGTGCGATATCATACGTGTTTGTGAGGTCCGTCCGCAGCGCAGCATGACAGGAAGATATGTTCCTATCATAATCAGCGACGTATCTAGCCAGCGACCACGGATTTATCCTACGCAAAACTGGAACGAGAATTTTCGAGTGCGAGAGATCATGATAGTGTGGGAGGCCTCTGATAGTTCCGCAGTCGCTCTCAGCTGGTTTAGCACCCGCGCAGGTAGGCTTAGTAGCCGACACTGACGACAAAATATTCGATTTAGCCCAGCTGGGATCTAGGCAAGTACTCTTCGAAGAAAAGGAAGTAGCCTCGACTATCCTATTCTTCCATTCAGTGTCCGGGATGTCAGCCAAGCACCGAGAAAAAATGCCGCTCATACCCAAGAAGAATTCACTGTTGAGGAATCATAGCAAGAGAGTGCCATTTCATACATTGTCCCAAGAGATTTATTTAGGAGATGCAGAGTAGAATTCGTATGTAAGCGCGAGATGAACAAAGAGAGGCATTGGAGTTGACCATAAGCAGGCTATTCTATCGAAGATATCGGGGACTTGCTCAGAGGCACGACTGACGTTATGTGATGGTGCCCACAGGTGCGGAAACTCTTGAAGACGTGGACGACGTGTCCGGATGTTCGAGACTCATCCGAATGATGCTGAACATGCGACCTCGCGCGTGATCGTTAGCGAGGACAAACAGAGATCTGTCTTCGGCGATGACATCGATGGAGGTAGGAAGCGAAAGTACTCGGGATTCCAGGATAAGAGCCACTGTAATTGTTTACCCTGGCGCAGAACGGTGCGAAAGAACACGTCACGAGGCATCTACAGTAACCCTTGTGAGATGCACAAACGATGTCGCCTTTGTTCTTGTCTGACGGCAAAGGGTTGAATGTCGCGGTCTCCACAGCTGTGATGCAAGACAGAGATGATACGTGTGGATCCTATGGGTATCTAGGATGGGCTCGTTAGCGTATAGTCGCTGTTTTGGGGGGTAAAACACACTGTGTTGTTCGGGATAGTTCCTTCGTTGGGTTGAATGGCATAGTCACCCACGCCTTTCAGTTGATACCGACGTTCGATTTTGATATCCATGACAATAATACCCTGGTACGACAATGATGTGTTGTCGCTGCGAGGACGTGCAAAGCGTGTTCGCTGGCATGCCTCGGCCCATACAGCACGGGTGTCCATGATCTCGTAAAATAGTTTGGCCTGTTGCAAAATGGCTGTGTAGTGGGGATAGCAGAGACAAAGTGATGGGGACATGTTCGAGTTGCACAAGGTCGTCTACCTGGGCATAACGGGCGATCCTATACATGACCTCGAGTAGAAGATTTGCAAGCATGACCAATGACTAGTGGCTCGGGTCTCGGGATGGCAGGAATCATGCATGAGCAAGCTGACGGCCTTTGACCTCTGCGAATAGGTTTATCGATCATCTTATTTGTTCAAGTTGACATAGTATGGCATCAATCCCTGCGCAGGGCAGCCAGCAACGCGCATTCATGCACTAACGGACGCGTGTTCCTCACGACCACTGCTTCTACTGCACCAACTGCAACGAAAGAAGGAAGATTAGTGGTACGTACTTAAACAGTCTATACACTAGCACTCTCCCTGTTCCACCAAGAGCCCTTCACGTCCCATCGCCTCTCCTGAGCCTGTTGAACCTTGGGAGCATCTCACGAAGATACTCGGTGTGTTTGTGTCGAAGATCCGCCTCTTGTACCTTTCCATTCCCGCTCCAGACCCTCCTGTCAGCAGCCGGGCCGTATATCGAAGTATACTCGTCGAGGGTTTCGTCTTCCGTTGGCACGACGAGACAAGCCGCTCCGATGAAGCAGAAGTTGGAGACGCGGACGGTGTGATGGATGCGAGAGCGCGTAGAGAAGGTGTTGTTGTTTCCTACGGAGGGACACTCAACACCTGACAAGCAATGAACAACTGGTGATAGAAGAAAGTAACGTGTTACGCACGACAGCCAATTTCGAACAGGTTATTATCGCCTATCCTCATGACCTCCTTCCGCCTGTTGACAATGATAGCGGCCTCTTCAACGATACATCCTGCGCCGATTACAATGGGTCCCGCAATAGCGAATATGGTCGCTTTGGGATGAACGATGGTACCAGGTCCGATTGTTATGTCTCCTTTGAGGTCCACATCCTGACAAACGGTTGCTTTCGAGTGGATAGTGAACTTGTCACGTCTGTTTCAAAGTGAGCCCATGCTAATTCTAATAGAGGGTAAACATTTACTCACATAGGTGCCATTGAGTTCGAGCATGGACCTAGTGGTCACTGAGAACGCTCAGCGTGTCCAAGACGCCCGCTCGTCGCGCGTCGTGCCCAGCAACACGGTGGGAATCGTGGCTAAAACCTAACCTTAGCTTAGGTGTAGTTCCCCACTCATCCGGCTCAGTCTCTCCAAATAGCCGGTTCCCTTTCCCCACACTGAACCGTCCACCATGTCCTCAGAACACAAGGGCTCGTGTCTTTGCCAGGCCATTCAATACAGGATTACTACGTCGAAACCTATTGGATACACCCTCTGTCACTGTATCGACTGTCAGAAGGTGTCGGGGTCCACGTACGCGGCGAACCTTTTCATTCTCAAATCGGTGCGTATCGCTACAGCTTGTCTAGGGACGATAGTCACCGGGCAACCAGGATTTCCATCTTACGAAAGGGGAAGACTCCCTTTCAACCTATTCGACTAGTGCGACCTTCTCGGGAAGCACCCTGACACGTCACTTCTGCAAGACATGCGGCTCGTTCGTGTTCAGCACGACGACGTCGTCAGACAAGCTCATCGTTCTTGCTACGGGATGCCTGGACGGGCATCCAGAATGGAAGCCCACGCAGGAGATATTTTGCTCTCATCGGCGTGCATGGTTGCAAGAGTTGGAGAACACGAAACGGTTTGAGAAGATGAATCCGTACGTGACGCCGTTATGTTTCAGGGTGTCGGTCATCTCACGCGTTGTTCTGTTTTAGTGGTCGGAACAGGGCAAAACTGTAAACAAATGACATATCCTTTGCCAATACCATTCGCATGCCGCCGGCTAATTGACGTTTCTTCGCCAGTACAAAGAGACTACATCTATACCTCTCCAGAACGTTTTTATGATCTCCAGTGTACCAGCAAGGTTACGCATCTCGCTCGCATTTTAAATTATATCATTCAGATCTCGGAAAAGGGATTAGAAAGTAGGAGCTACTTACAGCCGGCTGGGCCCGTGAGGCCTCGTATCACGATCCGCCAAGTTATCAGTTCAACCTCGCGTGGTATCGGTCGCTGTTGGCCGCCGTCAAGAAAGAATTTGAATAAGACCTTGTTGCGCAAACCTGATGACGCCCGTTTGACTCTGACTAAGCCAGACGTGAGTAGTTCACTACCGCTTTGCGTTGATATCCCTGCCTATTTAGCTCGAATCCGCCAAAATCAAGCGACGCTTACACAGCTTCATTACAAAGATAACTTAGTATCGCGCTGGAATATGATGGGCGAGGAGGTCGGAGGCAAAATCGGAAAGGTATAAGAGGGGATCGTCCATCCACATTTCATAACCTACAGCAACCCTCCCCACTCTCCATTTGCCATCTTCTTGTCTCTTAATGTCCTCTCCTCCGAGCACTAAGACGTATACAGGCGGGTGCCTATGCAAGGCTAATCGATATGAGATCACTACGAGCAGCCCGTTGGGTATTCGCGTTTGCCACTGTCTCGACTGTCAGAAAGCGACCGGGTCGGCGTTCATGGCCAACATCGTCCTCCCCCAGTCCGTGAGTCCGAGCCCCAAACATCCCCGCACGTAACAGGTGCATAACACATATGATACCATACAGGAATTCCGCTTCACCCAAGGAGGTACCGAAGACGTCCTCGGCAGCTACACCTGCAGCGAAACCCTCTCCGGCAATGAAGTCATCCGTCGGTTTTGCACTAAGTGCGGATCACCAATGTATGCCGGCGGCGCTATGAGCACCGAAATGGTGGTTATTATGACTGGGACTCTTGATGAACCGACTGAGCTGCAGCCAGCAACGGAGCAGTTCATCAAAGACAGGCGAAGCTGGTTAGATGAGGTGAAAACGGAGGGAATAGTTCGGTTTAACGCGATGGGAGTATAAGACATTTAACGGTAGTCAGACACCCAGCTGGGCCGATAGTTGAGAATATTACTGAATACCCAAGTAACCGCCCCTATCTGGGTATTGGAAAGTAGGAACAGTGCTACGAATACATTTCCTTCAACTCAGCTATACACCTCGTCTCACCGTCGTTCGACACCTTTGCCCTCTTCAGCCTAGGTGCATACTCCAGGATCCCTCTCACAACCTTTTCTTCGTCCTCCTTTGACAACTTCAAATGGCCAGACGTATAAAGCCCCAAGCTAACCTCTTCTAGTGCAGGGAATAGCCCCAACCAAGCAGGAATGTTTCTCGACAGGCTCATCTGCATCACGTCCTCCTCACGAATCACCGCGCCCAGCGGAATGACCACTTCGACCCGCGCCACGGACCCCGCCCGGCGCTCGGCGTGCTTGAACAAGCGAGACTCGCGGTGATTCCGCCGCCCAGTCCACTGCACGCACTTTGCCACGCTGACAAAGTCGAACACGAGGGTAATCCCTGAAAGAGAGGTGTTATCTGCGAGTGCGGTTAGCGCCCGATCGAGGTAGTCCATGTCGTCGATCTGCTCGAGCGAGACGCGCTTGAGGTTGGGAAGCGCACGTGTGGTGCTGAGCACGCCTGAGATGGAGAGCGGGGCACCTGAGACTGTTTCGAGCGCGCCTGGCGTAGCGTCGCCGAGTGCGGCCTGAGTTCCTGCGCCCCAGACCTTGAGCTCCTTGATTGTGGCGTGACGTGAGAGGAAGGCACGAAGGGCAGCGGGCGGGAGTAGGTGAGTGCGTAGCTCTAGTTTGCGCAAAGAGGGAAGGGACAGGTACAGGAACGGAGTCCACCAGAGTTTGTCTTCACGTGCGTCGTTCCACCCATGCTTGGAGACGAAGTCGAGAACGAGTACTTCGAGCGGAGACATATTTAGGGAGTTGACCGTCCAGACAGCAAAAGGATGCATGAAGAGAGTGCTCTGCGTGAGCTTGATCTGCCGAAGAGTGGGGAGGGGTGGGGCTTCGTTGAAATACCACGACAGGTCGTCTTTGTCGGACACCGTCCGGGAGTCCGTTTTCGAAAATTTGCGCAAAGACGATGACGCCTGAATATGCATGATGTCGATAATTCTCGGACGCATCGATGAAATGTAAGGGACACATACCTTGCCAGGAGTGACAACATATTCCTCGCATCTCTTCCAATCCTCCGATGTCATGGGCGTCAACCCGTATAGCTCCGCGTCTCGCCAGCAAATATCGTCCTCTATGATTAACCGCTCGCATCCTTTCCCTGCCAACACATATATGAGCCCAGCAACCTCGCTTAGAAACGTAGGCTCGTTGCGTTGGCTTAGAGCTCCAACCTGGATGTGCACTCTGCGAACTATCGGAAAGCGGCGGACCCACCCACGCAGGAGCCTCGCCGTTTCGGCGTACTCGAGCGCACACGTGAAGCCTTGGCAGGTACGCGGTGTGAGCATGACTCCCAGGCCGCGGAGCAGCTCTTTCTGCACATGTTCGGGCGTGCGTTTGCGGCACAAAGGCATAACGCCAACGTCGGCGAGGAGAGGGTCCTTTGGCGAACGCTTCCGTCCAGGAAAGTACTCCAATAGGCCGTGTAGGTTGCATAGCTTGTTGAGGCGACAGAAGACAAGGAGATCCTCATCAGGAAGAAGTTTGGTAATAGCTCGAAGGAGTTCGTTGGGCAAGTCTGTGAGCGAGGCATAGCGTTTCACTGGCATGTCATTTGGAGGTCGGGTCTGTCCATTGAAGTCTAAGACGGGGTCAGTGATCACGCCAAAGACCTAAGAGGATGAAGCGCATACCCGTTGCCATGTACTGCTCTCTGAGTCTTGGACTTGTCTTGGTCGAAGTCGGTAAAATGGTGTAAGAACAGTTTGTCCATGATGGACGTAGGTTTTACTCTGAAGCAGTGCCTTGATCGAGACAACAAACAACCGTCCCGACTTCCGACAGGCTCCGACGGAGCTGGGTGGTGCCGGACCGGTATCTCCGAAAACCCCTTGCTTATTCTTTGTCGAGCGACTCGAACGAGGCGATGCAGAACAGACTTTGTTTGTGCCATGGTATGCTCTGCTATAATGGACTTTGAATCTGCATTGATGAGGCATACATGGCTTAGCAAAAGAAGTTTAACCATATCGGCGAACTGCCAGTACTAGTGCTTAGCATGAAAGGGCTGTGCGTCGGCAGCAGCTCCAATTTTGTACTCTTGCGAGGGCTCTTCCATTTGAATGCTGATGAGATTTGTTAGAGTCTTAGCCTCGTTGCTATGATCGTGAGGCACCTGGGTCCATTGTTGAACATCTGAGTCTTGTTGCTGATGCCATGCTGCACCCAAGCTGCACCAGGCCCTGTGTCTATCAGTGAATGGTAACGACGAGACGCACTCAAGCAGCATGAAACACTATTTACCCATTTACTCTTCACATTACCTTCTTTTGCTGGTTTCACCTGATAGCCAGGGTGCTGAACAATGACCGGCGCTTAATGGGCGCTTAAAACGAGGTCAGCTGTTCCCATGAGCATCTGCATCAGTCACAGTCCATTACCTTGAAAAGGAGCCATTCACCGACAAAGCCGGAGAGTGGAAATGAGGATAGGAGCGCAAGGTAAGCTCGAGGACTGGTTGTGGATTGAGATCCATTCATTGACGTTGGTGTTGCGAGACTTGAAACGTTGAAGAAGCTGATCAGAAATGTCGAGTGAGGCGGCCAAACCTTACCTTGATCAACTTGCGATTACACGTTTTTGCCCACCTTTGGTACGAAATACAACGGAGGCACCAATGAACTCCGAGAACTTTTATGAATAAGGTACGTATGATTTGTTTAAAATTCTCGCAAATGCGGGAAGCACCGGACTGTATCACGTTGATTTCGGTATTTTTCTAACAATACTAACTGCTAGATTTGGGTGTGTCTAGGCATGAGCTAGGGCGAGGTAAAGACCTGTGTCATACAAACCCTTCCACGGTAGAGTGAAGCTATCGTGGAATGAATACAGTATCCCACAGGAAGAAATTTGGATGGATGTTCCGTAGGGAGATCGGATCATGCATCGTCGCGGTGTGCGTTGATGGCACTGAATCGCCAGTCCAATACGGAAAGGCGGCGCTACACCCCAGCGCGACAGTCTAACCTTCATCAGTGTTAACCGCCGAGCAGAATTGCCGCTGCGTCACCACGGGAATCGTCCAAAATACTACCCTGCAAGGCAAATACCTACATGTCCATTAGATGTACGTCCGTCAACACGCACGGATGATGCGATGGAGATTTCAAGCGACCGAGCGGAAATTCCTCGATTTGGATGTCCACCAGGGCATCGGCTGCGGGCAACTTACCGTTTGGACCAGCGTCCGCGCAAGTGTAGTGTCCGAGGATGCACTACCGCGCACTACGCAATTGGACCCGTGCGCCCGAAAGCTGGAAGGTTGCACGACCTTCAGAGAACATTTGGACCAGTCCGCAAAGTATAACAGAGGAGACGGGAAACGCAGATAAACACCATCAACACCCCAAACCCTTCAGGCATACCAAGCAGCCTACTTTACAGACACCACTTGACTATCATACAACACTCACAATGTCCTCACAGCCCGGAGACCATTGTACGTAGATATTTCACTGGAGCCAAGAAGTCAGCGTGTTGACGAGTTTATTTAGCCAAGATGTTGTTCAACAACTGGATCCAGGATGTCATTGGCAAACGGGGCCATGGAGCTACAACGTACGAACACGGTCAAAAAGGTCTGCACCATCAGGTAGTGTGGACGTCCACCGTTACGGGTAAGTTGTGAGGGAATTTTGCTGAATGATGTGAGTACTAACCCGAACATAGTCTTTGGAGAGGAATGGGCTACTGGAGAGGGAAGGACGAAGCAGGAAGCCGATGATGCTGCCGCCAGGGCCATGTTAATGCGACTTCAAAGTGACGCGGAGGGATTCTATGCAAACAAATTGCAGCAGCTGGCCAGTGGCATCTAGTAGAGGCTTGGATAAAGATCAAACAGCAGACTGGTGATAGCCACGTACTGAGTAATTTGTTTTGTAGAATGTTTGTTGCCACAGACGAGCAATGAGCCGTATGAATATAGCCCTCGACGTATCAAACGACGATTACCTGGAAATAAGGCGTTCGACATGACATGACTAGTGCCGTGCTCAAGTTACCTATGTTCGTGATATGGGTTGACAAGGCATGGAAGTTCGAATGCCAGTAGGACCCCAAGATGGCATTTTTCGACCCTCTGATTTGTGGGTGATTCAATGCCAATGACGTCTGAGTGAACAATGAGCTCTCCGAGACCTTCATGAAACCACCGATGCTAGCATGTGATGATCTGAGCAGAGACATATTAAGCCCTCCCCGGGTGTTACTGTAGAGCGGTAGAGCGTCGCGTACGGCTTTCGAGATCAAACGAAGTTAACACCTAACCTTAAATTTCGGTGTAGCAACGTTATGGTATTCTTTACAGGTGCATCGTGCCGAATGTGCCAAGAATGTGGTGCCTTCAAAAACAGCCGATCTGTCTCTCTTCACAATCAGCCGGAAACGCCACTAACCTGATCGCCTAATGTTACGTCGTTGGCTCGATTCTCAGAAGAATCATAGATCTCGACCGAGAGCAAGTCACTGTTTACTTCGATCTCTTGAGCAGGCTATTAACTACCAAACCTTTTCATCTCTGAACGCTATATTTCCAAAAATCCAGTGAAACCTAAGGAGAAAGGCAATTATACAATCCAGGTACTCCATCTACTCATTCTGTTTCAGTCCCCTGATCTGCTCGATGTCAATCGGGCCCTTCACGAAGCTCACAAATCTGCTGACTTCCTCACGTCGTGATTTACCTGTAATCTAATGGCACCGTACACTGAAGGACACTGGAGTGCCTCTGAATACATAGCTTCAAGTTGTCTTATAGTAGCGGCTAAGGTGCGAGGTAAACCCCTTTTTCTGTATTCATCCTAGCCGCATCGACTAGGAAGTTTATGGTTCAGCACACACGGTTGGCTTCCTTTCCCGTTGTGCCTTATGCAGTTCAACCTTTCTCAAACTCGCTCAGCTAAGCATATAATGAGGACGTGCCATTGCATAAGTTAGAGGAGAAATTTGCCGCGGCTTTTTTAGATACACGGATCAAACCTATAGCAATCCGTAACCGCCCGTGGGGAGTATTATCTTCCAACAGCATATCGCATTATGTTTTACGATGACAAATACATGGTTCCCGATGATTAATATGTTTTCCGATGACCAGTACGTTTTCCGATGACCAATGTTGTATGTTTTTCGATGACTAATATGTTTTCCGATGACCGGTAAACTGCCTTGATGAACGGGATACGTATAAAAAGGTCCAGTGGTTGAATTGGAGAGCTTGCTTTTAATCTCCGCTGTTTCTCGTTCTCTAGCAGCCACATCATCTATCGACTTTTTCATGACCTCCTCGTCGAGTGCTAAACAATACACAGGCGGATGCCTATGCAGAGCAAACAGATACGAGATCACGCCGAGCAGGCGTTTAGAAATTGACGTCTGTCACTGCATCGACTGCCAGAAATCTTCTGGTTCGGCCTTTGCAGCAAATATCCGAGTGTCCTCTTCAGTGCGCTTCGTGTATACCGTCTACGTTATTAGTACTGATCAAATCCATTATGTGACATTTCACTGCAGGAGTTTCGCCTCACAAAAGGAGGCACGCCTGATGTGCTTGGCGCGTTCCACAGCAGGAACACTCTGTCAGGCAACGAGGTTGTGAGGCACTTCTGCACGAAGTGTGGGTCGCCGATCTACGGCAATGCAACAGGGTTCGACGAGGTTGTTGTGATCACGAGCGGGACAATGGACGCGCCCAGCGAAGAGTGGGTGCCAAAGGCGGAGCATTTCTGCAAGGACAAGCGCACCTGGATGGCAGATGTGAAGGGAGAGGGAATCCCTCGCCATCATGCGAGCGCTATGTAGAAGAAGCCATTTTTGCTACTTATCAACCCCCGGTTCAAGTTACGCAGACCGTATATCGCAGACAGTGAATCGATGACCTCAATGAATGATACTCTATGATAAGCGTACAGTACAGCAAGGCACACAGCCCAACGGAACTTGAATCAAGCGACTTGATTGCACATTCGGATTCAATATTCGGCTTCCGTATATTCGCACGAGAAGCCACAAGGACGGGATGATTTACCTGACCGTCCTACCAGTGATCAATCAACATACGAGATCCTCAGTCTCTTTTCGCTATGTCCACCTCCAAATCAAAGGCGTATACCGGAGGATGCCTCTGTGACGCCAACCGATACAAGATCACCCGGAACATCGCGTCGCCCCTTTTCTACGTCTGCCACTGCCTTGACTGCCAGAAGGCATCTGGTTCGGCGTTCATGGTGAACATAAGGGTGCCTACATCAGTGAGCAAGACCTTTCTACATGGTTATATTAGCAGCTCACTTATAAACTACCGTAATATCCGTAGGAGTTCTGCTTCACCCAAGGTGGGACCGATAACGACCTTGGAGAGTTTCACGATGGTAAGAACGTGTCCGGAAGAGAGCTCGTACGTCGCTTCTGCAAAAAGTGTGGATCGCCCGTCTGTGCAACGATCACCGGAAAGAAGAGTATAATTGTCATCATGGTGGGTACATTAGATGAGCAAGAGGGTGCTTGGAAGCCTTGTGGGGAATATTTCTGCAGAAGTAAGTGGAGTTGGGTGGGTGGGGTCATGGGAGAGAAGGGGGAGAATGTTCCTTGCTACGACGTACGTTGAGGGCGTCTCATACCGCGACAAAATGGACGGATAGTTCGTAGGTTTAGGTTGAGTAGTCAAACGAATAAAGGTACTAACGAGGTTCGTGATAAATTGAGACCAAAGTCGGATAGCAGAGGTCCGAGAACCACGGAATGGTTTAGCGGATATTCTCACGGGCCGAAGCACCCGCATCAGTTCCTCTGTTGCCTTGTCGTCGACGCATCGCCCACTGTTCAGCATCATCCTGCCCCAGTTTGTCCTCATATTGAGCTACTTTTATCGTAAGACAAGGCTTTTACAGACACCAGAGAGCAATACATCATGCCTCACAAGCGTGCCAAGCGCTCTGCTAGGGAGAACGAAAAGACTCTTCGGTGCGTTCTCTTCATCTGGTAAATAAAACACTATGTTGAAGGTATGGCGGAACAGGGGACCTGACCTTCCACCCTCTCAAATCGCGCATCACACCAAAGCCACAAAGAAAACGGGCGTCACCACGAAAGCGAGCAAACTTGACGAGGAGCCTATACCCAAGTCCGCCGCACGCATCCTGAACGCTGCGTCGATCCGCGGGTCATACAAGAAGCGCAAGTTGGATGATGATGGAGAGGAGGGTGGGAAGCAGGGCAGGAAGCGTTCTAAGGGGGACGGCGAAGGATTAGAGATGTTGAAGCTCCAGCCTGGGGAGACGATCGCTCATTTCAACAAGTGCGTTCGTTATACTTCGCGCTTCTCCTCGCTCTCTGATGAATCTATGTCGCTTTTCCCAATCATCTTGATGCTACCGCTTTAGACGAGTCAACCAAGGCATGGTCTCGTCGATCAAGTCTGCGATCGCGACTTCGTCTGCCCACACTCGCAAGGTGAACAAGACTGAACAAGACGAGAAACTCGAGAAGGCCGCTGCTAAGAAGAAAAAGAAGGCCTCACCCAAAGATCAAGCTCAAGGCCCCGACGGCGACACATCCGACCCTGAAGGATCGTCTCAAAAACCCAAATCCTCTGTCCCCGTCCCTGCTCCTCGTCAAGAAATGCCCCGAGCAACCGAATTCCAGGTCGCATTAACCTCCGCCCCGCGTCGGCTCAACGACATCGCGCAAGCGCCTCCTACGCTCACTGTTGGAAAGCTCACGAAGAAAAAGGCAGCTGCCGCCGCTGCTGTCGTACAGTCGTCGGAGACCGAAGGCGCCGGTTTGCGTTCAGGTGTCGTTAGCATGGCGCAGAAGCTGCGGATGGAGGAGGAGCGCGAGAACGCCATCCGTCGATATCGGGAGCTGAAGGCGCGTAGACTGCAGAGCTCATGAAAATGATCTCGCCTGGGTCTCGAAAACCGGATCGCTGTCAGGGGCATATGCGAGGACCTACAACGCGCGATCAAGGACAGGAACGGACCGACGCTGGCAACCCCCGCAGTCTGATTCACGCCGACTGGTGGGATGTGGTCTACTATTGCTGGTAAGGATAACGTTGTTATGCGACTCCAGCGTTGGTGCTGATTGTCGTTAGAGGGCTTGACGTGAGCTGAGCCTCGAGTCCGTGTGTTATCCAAGCACGAGCTCAACGTTTTCAACGATCCTGTCTTTTGCCTAACTGCTCCTCTTGGGATAAATGTATCCGGCTTGGTCAAAGACCGCTGCACTCGCGCATATACGCGCGATAACGTCATCGCGCGCGATGTCTTGGCCCGAGTTGGCTTTCATCTAGCATTCACCCCACATCATATCCGCTATACGCGTCATTCACTCTTTTATCTTCCAATGAACGCGATTTCATACAACTCTGTTAGTGTCCCAGGCCTTTCTCCGCTGCATGAAGGCACTTCGTCGCCACTCTTCTGTCGCAGCTCCAGTAGTACCAACGCGAAATGACATCACATCTATCGTTCGAAGCTTCGTTCTTTTCACAACACGAGCCATGGTTCGTCGTGACGTTGCCAGCTGCAAAAAAGCACTGCCTGTGTAATAGCTTGGCCTCGCTGACGTATGGTGCGAAGAGCTGCTTGCGGTCAACTCCGCTTCTACCGGAAGGAACCAGCGTGAGTTAGGGGGCAGAGCGGTCACAGGCATGCAACTCATCCTGGAAGTGTTATTTCCGCAATCGTCGGTACAACTCCTTGGTGCGCCTCCACCAACCTGGTTTCTTGCCCGTGCCCTACGCTACAGCGAGCCCCGCGTGTATCGCTGGGAGCACTGCGTTCCTCCAGAGCGCCGGGGAAAGCCGCACAATAAAGACAGGAGTCGGCTCTACAGCATCTGGTCCGTCATCGTAGACGTAGCCCACTTCGATCTCGCCTTGCTGTGCTAGCGGGAATGATGTCTCCCATTCAGGTCTTCGAGAACGAATGCCCTCGTGGGGAGGAGTCTGGATGATGGTAACGGTGGCGCCGGCGTCTTGCCTTGCACCCAATTGCGTGGATTTCATATGTGTGCTGCCTTTAGTAGAGTTGCTTTCGCCCACCTCCCTCGAAAAACGCGGCTGTTGTGTGTCCCTATAAGAGGGGTCTCGAGGTAAGCCTGAGACTTAGACTCGGCTGAATTGCAAAAGCTCTTAGCTCTGATGAGTGTCAGAGTACAGCCCAGATGTGCTGATGGCCGCTGGTATTGTTAGTGCAGGACAGTGCAAGGCGACTCCTACCACGGATGATCGACCCCTCCCTCGAGGTTTGTGAGGCGACGAGCACCAGACAGAAGCTCTCAAACGCTTGACTCATACGTGGCCGCCTACATTTAATGGTCAGACCGGGGGTACGGCAACGGTTCCCTCCTAGCGGAGCGGGCGCCACGAGGGACATGGCAGGCCTGTTGCCGTAAACGAACGAGGAGGAACCCAAGTTGGCGACGGCGCGCCCGTCCACGCCCAATCCTGGCAGGCGTAGCGACAGAATCAACCCGTCCGATGATCCCGGGCTCGCATTGCCGACCCTTTGCCTCCCTTTGCCTTTCCATTCCTGTGCCCCACCCCCGAGGCCCCCGACCCGAAGAAGTGACTCGCATGTATATTTATGTGTGCGTATATGCGCAGAATCCTCGCCTTCTTGCCTCCTTCTCCCGTCTTGGTGCGTAAGTTTTGGCCAATCTCCGACTTTTTCTTTGTCAGGACTAACGCCGTCATATCCTTACAGTGACTTAAGCACACCTGTTTGCAAGACGCGAACGAACATTACAAAGCTTTTACGATGCTCACGGCTACCGACACGATAACTGTTCCACACGAACAACCCGAATCTACGTACACTGAGGAAAAACTGGGAGAGTCGTCAACCATGCCCTCCACCGCGCACTGCTCGACGGACTTTGGCATCCCCGATGACATGCGCCGCGACAAGCGCGAATCGTCCAGCACCACATGCACAGCCACTGTGCTTCTCTCAGCAGCGGATCGCGCGAACCGCATGAGCGATATCGAGGAAGGCCAAGAACGCGCCAGAGCTCAAGCAGGAGGCCCGGGGAGCAACAATGCAGAGAACGGAGACCTCAACTGGCGGTCGGCAATCTGCGTCGCGGGCTCGTTCTTGGCTCTCTTCGCCTCGTTCGGACAGATGAACGCGTTCGGGACATTCCAGACGTGGTACGCGGACCACCAGCTCGCGCACCTGGAGCCGTCGACGATCGCGTGGATAGGGTCGATGCAGCTGTGGACGTTCTTTTTTCTGGTGAGTCTTCCTTTGTTGGATTGCTGTGGATTATTCTTTCCCCGTTTTCCTTATTGTTCTTGGGTTTCCATTCTCCTTCCCCGCGATCATATCTCATATCGTTGCTGTGGTCCATGACGTGATATGCCTTGCTAACTGCTGTGTTCTGCTGTGCATGACATTGCCCATGCGATTATCAGGGTGGAATTGTTGGGCGCGCCTTCGACGTGTACGGACCCATGCCACTCATGGTAGGCGGAACAGTGTCGATGCTAGCTAGCATGCTCGCAACGAGCTTTGCAACGGAATTCTACCAGTATTTTCTCGCACAGGGACTGCTCTTCGGAATCTCGATGGCGCTACTGTGAGTAAATTTGGACAGGATCCCTGATAACAATGATGAATGATCGACGTTTACCCATGCTATTGTTTATTTTTGCCCGCAATGCTAGATTCTACCCACCTCTCAGCGCGATTTCGACGCTCTTCCGACGTTACCGTGCTACTGCACTCGGAATAGCTTCCGCAGGCTCGGGCATAGGTACGTTTCTTCGAGCCACTATCACTACATCTTTGTTACTTTGCACTGGGCCTGATACGACCGCGTCGTGTGCTGTGCAGGAGGCGTGGTGTACCCAATATTGTATCAACATCTGTTCCGACAGATCGGGTTTGCGTGGGGTGTCCGCGCGGCAGGGCTTCTGTCTATTTGCTGTTGCCTGGTTGCCGTCCTTGCCGTCAAGAGCGATCCGCCACCCAAGCGTAATACAGACAAAGGAGGTCTCTTCCAGAAATGTACGATTTCGGACCGACCATTTGTGCTGCTTGTCATTGGGAGTGCTTTTGTCGCACTAGGTATATCTACTCGCTTATAGTATCCGGGTCTAGGATTGCCATGGACTAACAGCACGCGTTGAACCTTTCAGGTCTTTTTTCACCCTTCTTCTACCTTGCCGACTATGTCCAGAATTTCATACAATCAACCCCCTCTCTATCTACCTCCACGTCCGCCATCTCGGTATTCTATGTCCTCTCCGTTATCAACGCAGGAGGCACATTAGGCCGCATCATTCCGGCGCTCCTCTCAGACGCCCTGGGGCGCTTCAACCTGCTCGCCCCGTCAGCGTTCCTTGCTGGTTTATCATGCCTTGTATTCTGGATGTTCGCGAACAGTATCCTGGCCTCGATGCTCTTCGCGGCGGTGTTCGGTTTTCTCTCCGGAGCGTTTATTTCGCTCATCACACCGTGCGTCGCTCAGATCTCGGAAAAGCGCGAGATCGGGACGCGGATTGGGGTGCTATACAGTATGCTGTCTGTGCCGTGAGTGTTGCGCGTTCACCTTTCTTTTTTATGAATCTCTATTTTTCCCATTTTTGTTTTCTACCCGTGCCTTTGCACCCGCTTTGACTCTCCATTAGTCGATGGTGCTTGTTTTCCAAGCCCGCGTCCGAGGAGAACGGCTTGGAATTTGGAAGATCTTCCATTCCTCTTCATTTCTTGTTCGCTTGTTTGCCCTTCTTCCCCTTCTCCTTATCACCACGATGCGTAAACCCCTTACGACGCGTGCGCGCTCCGCGCCCGTTGCCCTAAGCGTCACCACGTTCCCAATCCCCTCCCTTTGCCCGACCGAACCCGTTCTTTTCTCGTCCCCGCATTGTTCCGTTCCGGTCCTTCCTTTCTTCGTCCCGTTCCGCAGCCCCGTTCTCCATCATGTCGCCTTATTTGCGATTCGCGGCTTGCTGACACAACGACATTATGCGCATACACAGGTCACTGCTCGGCGGCCCGATCGCAGGCACCCTGATCCAGCGCGGACACGGCTCGTACGAAGACATGATCGCGTTCGCCGGCGCTGTTATCATGGTCGGCTCGCTGTTTATCTTCTGGGCGAAGCTCAGCATCGACCGGCGCGTTCTTGCGACGGTGTAGGCTGCCCAAGCCGAGTCCAGCTTGCGCACGATCACGAAGCCGGGATGGGCCGGGCTGGCCGGGCTGCGTTGAAGTTCTACCCGCCGGGGCCGGTGCGCAGCTGCGAGGGTTTGCTTCTTGCAATCTTCTCTTTCATTGTTTCATATTAAGTCTTTATAATGCTACGCCACGCCTCGCTGGGTGCGAGGTGGACGACGACGACCCATAATGACCCCGTACTCACTCCGAACTCTTATAGCTCTAGTTACTATATATCACGCCCTGCGCATACTTATTTGTATTTATACGAGCGGTATCGTCCATACGCTGTAGAGCACGCGCACTTCCATAGACCCCACACCCACAACGTTCACGTATCTTGACGAATACAATTGCAACGAGTCTCATATGCATGGTCCTCAGCCACCAGCTCGCATCGCGCGCCGCATGATCCTCAGGTGCACGTTCAACAGACTCAGACATAATGGGAATGAATTACGAAGAGGACTCTATTCGAGAAGCACCATGAAGAAGAAGGAAGTGATTATGGAAACGACAGCATGGTCAACCTAAGTTAGGCTCACGAAAAAACACAAGATGCGCGGGAGCGGGGATGGTAATGGAATGACAGGCCACTATAGCAAATCAGAGCGAAACACGGCATGGCTACGTAGGAGAAATTCCAGGAGAAACAGTGAAAAAGAAGAAGTACGGTAGTGCCGCAGGCGATGTGCAGAGGGTGCCGCACGGTGCGCCACCAGACTAGAAGGTCTCCTCTTCATCGACGGGGGCGTTCTCGGGGACCTCAAAGCCGTCCTGCAGATGGAGCGATGGTCAGAGATCGAGGGTGTGTGCGCCAGGCGATTGGACTGTAGGGCCTACCTCGGTGGAATAGAGGATCTTCTGGATCTCGTTGAGCGTGAAGTCGTCTTTGCCTTCCGCCTCGAGGGCCTCGATCTGCTGCTGCACCAGGATCTCGATGTCACGCAGCTGCAACGCCGACCGCCAATTCAAAAGTCAATGCAACGCCGACGCAGCATTGTCGACGTCCGGAATATCGAGAGAGCATGATGAAGAAGCGATCGAAATCGAAATAGAGATAGTGGCATGAATAGATTCAAGGCAGGACGCAGCAAGGAAGAAGGTTCGATGAGCTCTATCAGCTACTAGCGTCGATCACCACATGAAAACCAGGAGAACGCACCTTCGCAAAGTAAAAGTCCCTCTCCTTCTCGAGTCCCTCCATGTGCGTCGACATGTCGCGCAGCTGCGCCTGCAGATTCTGCACCGCCTCGCTCGGCTGCGTCGAGCCCGCGCGGTGGCCCGTCACCGGCGTCTTCCCGCCCGAGCGTGCGCCGCCCACGCCAAGACCGCCCGGGGCACGGCTGCCGCCGCCACCGATGGGCGCGATCGTCGCTGGTGGCTCGGCGGGAGCGCCGCGCCGGCGGGCGACGGGGTCGTACTCGTGTCCGCCGTAGTTGGAGTCCCAGAAACGCTTCATCCATTGCAAGAACTCGAGGTTGTCTCTGATCACATCAGGACCGATGCGTAGAAAGGGCCGTCAGCGTGTAATCGATGTGATTGGAGCAGGTGATGAAAAGTTAGGGTGTGTAGATATGGATATGTATGGAAGTGGGTGTAGTGTGAAGCATGGTAGACTTACTGCATTTTGCATTTGACGAGCCTCTCGACTAAGATGGGCTATGATGGGCTGGTTGATAAGCGGCACGCGAGAACGGGACGGAAAGACAAGCCTTGTCGATCTTTTTGGCCTTGAATGCGTTCTGGAGGACCTTGAAGTTGGCGATAAACTCGTACTCGTGCTTCGCGTTCATTTTCACGCGAGACATTGGCACGTCGACTGATGTTCACAGCGCATAAATAGATGGGAATTCACGAGCATTGAGCATGTTGGAGAGATTGGTTAGAATAGGCGAAGAGGTTTGCTCACGGAATATCGAGTCAAGGACTTGGCAGTAGGCGGCGCCGGTGCCGCATTGCTCGACCTTAGTGTAGTTGATCTGGAGGAGCTCGTTGAGCCATGCGAGGAGATCCGTGCGCGATCCTGACATGGTGAGGTCGTGAGAGGGGGCGAGGGCGTCGTGTGTGGTGGGGACGGGTATGAAGAGAGAGGGAGAGACGGAGTCGTCCGCGCAAAACACCAAAGGTGGGACACGCGACGCCGGCTAACCTAAGCGCTCGCCTCGACATGCCCCGAACCCATCCAATCATGGCCCTCTTCATTTACGGCGCATACAATCTTGACTCTTACTCTCAGTCAGTCCAAATTTTCGTCGTCAAAGGAGAGAAAGAGGTCTTGTCTGTAACGTTGTACGCAGCATCGTCTCGGCCCCGGCTTTCAACAACACGCAGCTTCAGGGTGAGGTGAACTGGAAAAGTGAGCACCTTCATCTTCATTCACACTCACAGGCTTTAGCATTTTGACTTGATCGCCCGCGGTCCTGCAGCTATACCCGCGCTATGGGTCTAAAGACAGCTTCGCCTGAAATATGGAGACGCATCGTGCAGTGGTCTCGGCGCGCCGATCTTCCTAATCTCTGCCTCGTTTGCAAGCCCCTCCAACGCGCCGCGGAAGCCAGGCTCTATGAATCCTTCGCGCCGAGGGAAGTGAACAATTATCTGCTCTTCTGCGGGACCATCGCCACGAGCAATCGCTTCGGCGCCCACGTACGCAGTTTTGTCGACAACCACCTCTTCCCACACGCGCCCCTGACACAGAACCAATGGCTGACCGTCAAGGCTGCCCTGCTCAAGATGCCTTCCCTCGAACGTCTCGTTATCTTTCACCCGGCAGATTGCAACGCGTGGCTGTTGGACGACGCGCTGCCCTTCCAGCTCTGGGAAGCTCGACTCGGCCTTGAGTGGGACCCGCTGTTGGTTAACTTTCTGATCAAACAGAAGCAGCTGCGCGTTCTACAGCTCTTCGATGGACCTTCCGCCGACCCCGGTGCGCCGGGTCTTAGCCCCGGAAGCCTTCCCCAGCTGCTCAGACTCGAGGCCCCGCTATTCGTTGCCTCCCACGTCCTCCCCTTCACATCGTCTCTGACTCACCTGCAAATCGAAGTCGATCCGCAGGCCACCAATGGACTCGAGTCATTTCTATCGGACCTTGGCAGACACGCGCCTATGCTACGCGCGCTCAATGTCATGCATATACCCGACACAATGGCTGCTCGGTGCTTGAAGCTCATCTCGTATTCATGCCCCAATCTTCGCCATCTCGGTGACATCTCGTTGCCTTGTGATACCGTAAGCAATCAGTCCCCTTCCTACCCTCTCATCGCATCCCGTTCCACGTTTTAGATTTAGTTTTCGGGCGCTTTTAATAAGACCATCATTGTTGACTTCCTTCTTTCCTGCCTCTGCAGCGCTCCGAGGTTCATCGACATCTGATGTCGATGCGACACTTACGTGTTCTTGAACTGGACGTGTCCCGGTGGTTTCCACAGCCGGTGGGTATGATCCAGCGACTCATCATTACGGAACTGCGCGCATACTGCCCTACGTTGGAGATCGTATCCATATGGTGCGGCCACAACCAAAATACATGGGCCCTCGAAGGCGATCATTGGAGAAACAGATCAGAGCGAGCGCAGCGCCCGCAATTTGTAGCGTTGGGTGGCGCTCACCACCACCACCACTGATAAGGTCTCGATCGGGGAGGCATACGAGCTTCCTGCCGCGGCAGATTTTGGGTTTTCGCAGGTGCGTCAATTTGCGGGCCCCTTCTCAGGACGACTGTCCTTGTCTTCGAATCTGCATCGTGTTCGAGACCCTGACACTGTTCAAGACTATTTTGCTGATTGAGGCACACGCATATTATATTGCAGGGGCGATGTCGATGATCGCCGGGGAGCAAACGAGCGCGCATATAGGTGGGCCCAAAAAGGCGTAGTCTTCTCCGCGTCGTTGTCCGTGAGACGCATTGCGCGGGGGCAGACCGAGGACAAGGAACGGACGATGGCTATACTGTACGTGACACAAAATAGAAAGAGAGATCGGAGGGTAGATTGGCCGTCCCAACATGGACAGGTAGTCGCCCGTGGGCGGAAACGTGGTGTTGCCATTCCCGTCGGCTGGCGAGCAGGTTCAGAAGAGAATGCGACCGGGTTCTAATTATTATTACGCTACAGTTTACAACTTGAGTTATGTGCCTTCCTGCCTCTGATCTCCCCGAGATCTTGGCCCGCTGACATCGCCGACCCCAATTCTCTCTTCCCTCTCGAGGTCCCATGTTTGTGCAGATGCGACCATGGATCATGGATGAGATGGTGTCTGAACACGGGAATTCATCATGTTTCCATGTTTCCATGCCCATGCCATGCCTGTGTGCTGTGTCCAACTTCTTTCCCGCCATCCATCTCTCACCTCATCACGTTGTCGGTAATGTCCGCTCTTGCTGCAGCGACACACGGCATGGCATAAACTATGGCCAGCCTATATCCCTTACGGCCACGGCAGATTTAAGCTTTCGATCCAGCGTCTCTCGTGTCCCCCTCCAGAGGTTATAAATCACTGCGTCGCTTAGCCTTTCCGTCATTCCCATTCCCTCACCGTCCAACAGCTAACACAACACACTCGCAGTTTTACTCGTTCCACTATCCACACCTCGAGATATGTCCAACTCCAGCAAGCCCAACTCTGCCTCCTCGTCCTCCAGCTCGTCCCCGCACCCGGGCATCGTCGCGCTCCCGAGCATGACCCACTCGCTCGCATCGCTGCCCAACATGTCCTCGCTGCCCCAGGACATGCTGCACTACAGCAACGGCGCGTACAGCAAGCAAAAGGTACGTCAGAACGTTCCGTGGCGTTCATGCCCCCTTCCGTCTCGAGGCGGGACCAATACATTTGGCTTCCGCACCACGTTTTCATCCTTGTTTCTTCATCGCGCAACTGGCTTGACGTTTGTCTGACGCTTATCCGCAGCTGGACCAGATGCTCGCGCGTCAGCAGCACCACAACTTTGCGTCACCCCCATACCACAGCCAGGTTCGTGTCTCACCCTCATCCTCCGCCCCCTAGAATCCCTGTGCACTGTCCCACCTTGTCCTTACCGGACTTGGCGTGCACTCTTCGAGAGACTTCCTTCACTTATCGCTGACGCAACGTTTCTTTGGACTTCGTTCAGGGCTATGACGTAGAGCGCACTCCCAGCCCCGATGATCATATCACCGTGCGCTGCAGGCAGCAGCAACAGCAACAGGGCACCGCCGGCCGGAGGTGAATGGGCCGCAGTGCTCGTATCGCGTCTCCACACCCTCGACTCGCGTTCCGTCTCGCTATCGCTCCCCCCGTTTTCAACTCCGAGTGTCCCCTGTCCCTTCTCTCATTCTCGGTTCGGTCCTTGTCCTGGCTTGAAATTCTAGATTCCGGTTTTGCGTTCTGCGATAGATAACCACCAAGCACCCCATACACAACCTCGTCCACCCCTGCCCCACTCGTCCACGCCGAACCCACCCTTCTTCTCTCCTGCTCTTCCTCGCCACACACACCTATACACTCGTACATTCGCGTCGACCACCCCGCTCCACTCTGCCCGCAGGTTACCGATCAGCGAAGCCACCCTCTCGCCTCTTGCACTCCCAGCTCCCGGCCTCTTCAACCCAGCCGGGAAGGCCCGTTTCCTCTCTCGACCGCACACCGCTCCAGAAGCATCCCAGGCTTGATTCGACAGCCAGCACACCCGTGACGTACAACGCATACGCATACGTAAACGGACCTGCACGCATGCTTCAAACTGATCCGTGCTCACTGGCCCGCCTAGCTGCGGGTGCACGGTCACGTTTCACGGTCACGGTCGATGATGCAGGAGATGGACGGTCCATTGTCCATTGTCCCCGCGTTCTCGACCCCGCCGGGGTCTTTAGCGCGGCCGGGGAACTCGAAGGAGCTGGGCCTGAGGCATTTGAGCACAATTTAGGCATCCGGTGTCGGCGAACCCCACAGAGGCTAACTTACTGCAACCGTGCCTGGGAAGCTGGGTACTTCCGGGTGCTCACGCTGGGCGTGCGTCGCCGTTCGCGGCACGGTGTTGTGAGTCGGCACTGGGCGGGTTGTGCAGCAGGGTGAGAGGCTCGTGCGCTGTGGTCGTGTGCTTGGGATCCTGTGGAAGGAGAGAAGAAAACCCAAAAGTACACCACAGCCTATGCGCTCATTGAGGATAGATATCGCTGATAATCTCGTGTTCTCTCGCTCTCGTCTTGCTTTCATCTCCACCTCTCTTCTCTTACATATTTAATGGCTCGTCTCTCATGCGTACGTACATACATACATCCATCACTCAACCTTGGGGTTCCTTGGAAGAATGGGGCCGAGACACCAGGACTCTTTCTCTTTTTCTAGACACATCCTCCACTTCTCCGTTCTCGTCTTTGTCTGTCCAGCCTCATTTCATCATACCTTCCACATCTCATCTCATTAGACTATTCCCCGCCTTGCTTCACTTCTTGTATCACCGTCTCCCGCTCTGCTCTGTATCGTCGCTCTCCTCATTCGCCACCATTGATACCGTGTTCGCATGTCACTCATCTCATTCCCAATATACCTTGGTTTCATCCATCCTCTTGGACACGCCCACATTCGCGAGTTTCATGAATCATGGACCATGCACATGGATGCTGTGACGCAATGCTCCCTTCTCTGGTTCATATCCGATACGCTACAATTAGCCGGTGCACACCGACAGGTTCGGATTGTCTGATAAGTGCCTGTAGGAAGTATTTACCCCGTATACTCGCGCAGATCAACACTGGGCAATGAGAAACGATTATCGACGGAAGTCGTGACTCGTGATTGGCCGTGAGGATGTTTGTGGCCGCATGATGATCGGTGACTGATGCAAGCAAGCTCGCGTCGTCCCTCCCCCCGTTGGCGGGAGTACATTGAGGCAACTCACAGACTACAAACCAACAGTGTGCGACCTTCCTGTCAAAAGCTTATTGCATGGTGGCTCAACTACCTAGCCTGTCTGACAGGGCAGGGCAAACTCTGTACAGTATGTGCATGTGTGGACACTCAGGGGCTACTATGGACGCCGCCACAGACACCTTAAAAGCGTATCGGCGGCAATTAAGCCCGCAGAGTCTGGGGCCGAGGGACGGAATCAAAAACGCGCGGAACGGCATGACGTACTTGAGCTCCCAATTCGAGACCCTGGGCCATTACCGCGCCTGCTTCCTTTGATCTTCCGTGCTTCCCGTCTTTGTCAGCGCAAGGCATTTTAGTGCACACGCAAAACGCTGCACGAGACCCGGTCACGGCGCTGCTAGAGGAAACTTAACCTTGCACGCTCGCGCTAAGAGTAGTACGCGCGCGGGCGTGGCTGTCTGGGCTTCCAGCGGCCCTGGGAGACATGTCGGGTATGGTGGTGCGGGGATGTGCGGAAGGAAGAAGTGTGTATTTGTGATGCAGACGATGATGAGAAGGTATCTTGGACCAGAATCTGGGGTAGGTATCACCTAACGGCAGCGTTAGGAACCACGCTTGACTGGTCGTGGTAGGGGAGGATTGTCCAGAGGCATATCGCCGTTCGCGTCTACATTAAAGATGATGCATTGATGATGCACAATTCCATGACGCGTAAGGGATGGGATGCGACTTACCTGTTCGATGTGTAATGACAGGAGCCTGTATGAGCCTAGAAGACACTGGTGCGGTTCGAGAGGAGCGTGTTGACACGCAGGTCTGGGTAGTCGTATTGGGACGGCGACTTGGTGAAACTCGAGATGACGGCGGTCAGCTGCGTTAGCCCAACAAGCTCAGGTTCGAGACCAAGAAGACCATCACGCGGTTCCCCCACAGTTCCGCGAGCACCGAACGGCCGACCAGCTAATCGCGTTTGAGAGGAACGCCTCACATCAAGGTCCACAAGGGCGAGAAGGGCCCCCACATGGAGGAGCCACAGATCAGACGCAGAGGTATTTGCGGAAAGTAGTCTCCAGCGCATGCTAAATGACGAACGAGGTCTCTTCTCTCCCACCGCATCACGCATCACGAAGAGTGGCCAGCCCCCCTAAGTCAGTCTCGGCAGCGAGTCAGCTTACTAAAGCCTAAACCTAGATGAAAAAACGCGCATCCTGGGAACTGGGAGCCAGTCTCCCACCTCGCATATCCCAAACACCGGCGGGCCTGGGAGGGCAATGAACACACCCTGTCAGATCTCATACTACGGTACTGGGTAATCCTCCGCAGTAGCGATCGTTTCGCGTCCGGATGGGAAGAAACGCGCTGATGTCACTTTGCATCATCATCAGACCCCAGTCGCGAGTTTTTCATCTCACCTAGGTGCAGTAATAATTAGCGGTCATCAGGAAAGTCCATGGTCAGTCACCGGACCGTGCGCGCGTGCGCTGGAGCCACTGGGTGGATCACGCGACGACCTTGTCCAGATCCAGCAAACGAGCGCCAGACGAGATTAATTAAGCGCGGAAGGCATGAAATTTCATGCTTCTGAGAAAGCGCGCAGGACCGTACTGAGAAGGTCTCCAAGAAAGCCACTTTGAACGCATTGAGCACCAGCGCGAGGCGACAGTGGGTGGGTGGAACGTTCGAGGGTTGGAGCCTGTGCTGAGTAAGCTGCTAAGTCTATCCATGGGACAAAATGTTGGTTGGAAGTAGGTTTGATGCCGAGCGAGTGAAAACGGGAGGGAAGCATCAGCGTAGAAAAGTCTATTGCGCCGGGAAAGGCGACTTGAACCTCGAGGCACGAGCGGATCGCGAGACCGACAGCACGGCAGGAGGCATGGTTGAGTTAATGCGCATTTACCAGGCGCAACGCGTTAACGATGTCTCGAGTGACGAGTATGTACCTCCGCAGACGCGTACAAGGTTGCATTCGAAGTGATGTCAAGAGAGGCTAGGCCGTCACAAGGCGAACATGAGCGACTGCACAGTGCTAGCGTTTCATGCAGGCTGGCCGGAGAGTCGGGCCTTGTCAGGGACGGGATCAGCAGGCAGGACCTAGGCAAAGTGTCAGAGCGTCATCGTACAAGTAGAGTCACGATGATCATTAAAGATAATATCCTATGACCAGCGGGTATGATTGATGAGGAATCGCAGCAGACTGCAAGCACCAATTTCGTGTCGTCTTCGTGCGTGTTGACGGACCTGAGCAAGTCTTGTGACAGGGGCACTGCACTCAACAACAATTTGCTTGTACGTGTTAGGATCCCGGGCCTCCGGGTTTTGCCGCATGGTCTTTTGTGATCGTTGACCGGTCCCATATCCCTCCAGAAGTCCCACCATCTCTTGGATCTCATTGCCGCCAGTTATGACGATTAGGGTTTCTTATGGATTGTCCATGCACACAGGATCAATCTACGCTACATCTGCGAAACCGACCCACCCGCGGACGACGTGCCATCGATCCTGCAGTGATCAGGAGCAACGGACGAGCAAGGGACACGGCCCACAAGGCTGCATACATGCAAGTATGGGCTCAACCTGAATAACATCCCCGTGAAAACACGTCAGGCTGTGCTGTTCTTGCTTGTTCAAGTGATCTTCCAGAGTTTTCCCTGCGGAATGCGTCGGGAGTTGCCCGCCGATGTAGCGCCTGACTTTGCACCGACGTTTCTCCTCTGTTGTCCCATGGCGCATATAGCGACGGAAAGTTGTTCTAGGACTGCCTCCCATTCTCCTCAGCCATCTTCGGACAGATGCAGTTCTTCAGTGGCATCCTCGCGCTTGCAGGGATTGGATCAGCTTTAGCGACGCCAGTCATCTATGATGGTCGCGCGTCCATGAACCTTACTGGCGACATGCTCAACGCCTCGGAGGGCCCGTACCTGACGTGAGCACAAAATCAATCATTGTCTATCGTCTTCTTACCTTGGAATGTTCTAGAGTTGTCAAGGGCAGTACCGAGAACGCTACCTACGTTCGTTCTTTAGCCAATGCGATAGTCGCCGCCGCCGCCACTTCTGACCCTTTTTTCCTTAGTATGCCACTTTGTACGAAGACAAGATGGCACCAACTCCGCTGTGGAGGAACGTTGGCTTGGAACAGGCGATTGGGATCTCTATCGATAATACCTCGGTCTTCATCCCTGGTGGATCTTCTCCGCAGTATGGGTTCCGGCGCACGGACTTCATCGCACAGGTGGACAACAACCACACATATCTCGACACGATCATGGAGAACGGTACCACTGTCTTCCATGTCTCGATTCACGCGGACGGGCGGCTCCCCTTGAACTATACCCACGAGTATCAGATCGTGTGGATCGAGCCAGACGACGGCAGCCACGTTTGGGACATCCAAGTCGGTGAGTCTAGTCAGCCGCATGTTTTGGACTTCTTTTGCTCCACTCTTCGTCTTCGCGAGCCTTACGAAGAAGCGCAAATCAGGCACACCGTTTTCCGATCCTACCAATAGGACAGTGGACCCCACGGCACATAACCTCAAGGTTCGAGACCATGCCCTGAACGTGCTGTTCGAGGTGCCGTTCACGGCGGAGGACTGGCACAACTTTGCCGTCCAGGTCGACTGGGCGAACAAGACCCTAGGCGTGTTCTACTCCGCAAACAGCGAGGACCTGAAAGCTGTCACCGGGTTGTGCGACAACGATTCGGTCCCCTCGGACGCAGCCGGTGAAGGGGACTATCACTTCGGTGTCCTCAAGGTAGGTTTCCATCCGCCACCGAACCACCACGCTTCTCTTCGCTAAGCTTTTCTTGTGCCTCTCTTCTTTTTGCCTTCACTGCCACTAGCTTCCTCTGGCCAACCCCGCGGATACCCCCGCGGAGCAAGCCGATGTGGTGCACTATGGGATCCAGGAGGGCGACAAGGAGGCTCTGATCTATTCTGGCTTCTTTGTCGAGAGCATCCTCAGTGGTGGTGTGAGCGCGGGACACGGGGGCGTTGTCCAGGCCATCTCTTGATCGTCTGTGTCTCGTTCGAAGCTTGATTATCGTACATCTCGACATGTCGAGTCCAGAGCATGGGCGCGGGTTATCGTTCTGCACAATGAATTCCCACTTGTACCCAACGTTCGAGTTCGGCCGTCGGCGCTGATTCGGTATAGAACGCTGCGGCGTATCAGCGCGTGCTATGCGTTCGTGGTCACCAGGGTATCTCCTTCCCTTGGTAGTTTAGAAACTTTCCTGCGCTTTGGGTCGTTAGCCCTGTGACAACCTTGAGTATCCCTCGGACAGATTTCTCTGCCTCGATGAGAGCGCCTTGTCCTCCCATCTCCGTCTTTACCCATCCTGGATCGAGCACGATCGGAATGAGGTCGGGTCGTTCCTTCGCTTGTTTGTACGTCTGAGATGCAATCAAGATAATGCGCTTGTGAGAAATGTGTGGACGTACGAGCATGTTGACAGCTGTCTTGCTGATGCTGTAGCTCGCTGATTTCGCACCGCAGTCTTTTGCAAAACTCGATAAGGTCGAGGTCATGTTGACAATGACCTTTCTCTCGCTGCGCTCAATAGCTTGCAGAAGATACTGCGACACGAGGGCCGGTCCTATTACGTTCGAGGTGAAGGTGTCTCGCAGGTCATTGGAAGAGAAAGCGAACGCTGAGTCACGGTGATTCTTTCGTCGCTCGTGAGCAGGGATTTGAGTCTAGCTGCGGGCGATGACTCACAATCGCAGCGTTATTGAACAAGTAGTCCAACCCTCGTCCGTCGAGCAGTTGTATAACCTCCCCCGCCCCCTTCGCGATACTCTCTTCCTCCGCAACATCAAGCTGTATGATATGGATCGCACCCTGATACGACTCCGCGAGTGCTCTGAGATCTGTCGCTCGCGCTGGGTCGCGACACGTCGCAAAGACGGTGTTATCTGGCAACTGAAGAAGCTGTCGGGTTAGCTCGAGGCCGATACCTCGGGACGCTCTGGCTCTCTCGATCTAAGCAAAGTGGAGCAGCTAGGTGACTTTGTGGGCGGAGCTCACCCTGTGATAAACCAGGTAGGCATGTCGTGTCTGGGTGCAGGTTTGTCAGTCGCAGGGTTTGCGAGGACACTCAAATATGTCGCAGTACTAGGTCGCGTTCACATAGAATGATGTCACTGATATCTGTGATGTCATCGAGAACGCCCAAATATAGCCCATGAGAATAAGTTTCAGGGTCGAGACCGAGTCGAGACCTCCACGGTCTGTGTCGTCATCAGCAAGGGAAGAAATACGTATGTCTTGTTTCCGAATAACACAAACAAAAAACGATGCGGTGACGTTAAGAGCCTCGCGTTGCTGACTCTGACCGCGCCCTCGCCGACGTCCAATACCCAGCTTCTCTTGTTTCTACAGAAGGCTCGCATATGGCTGCCTGTGGTTGCTCTCATGCTGCTTGTCCAGCGTGCCGAGCACGAGAACCGCGAGCTTGTCGCTGCTCTCCGCTGTCGCAACAAGGGGATATACACACTCCGCGCAGAATGCGCGTTTCAATTCTTCGACACAAGTCGTTCCCCTACTTGCGAAGTTTCTGAGGCCGGAGAAAGCAGAATCCCTAGTTTGGCAGCATAACATTCGCTACGTCGGGATATCGAAGTTCGCAGCTGTAGGCGGGGTCGTGATTCACCGATACGGGTATGACCAAGCCATCAGGAAAAGCATTGTACATGCTTGATGCTAACAGCATCAGATGATGTGTACTACTGGCATAGCAGGATTTTCACTCACTCTCAAAATTCACGCCGGTTGGTCCGATGCGCTCTGCTAGAGAGGAGACTGAGTGCAGACACAGCGGAGCCTTTTGTTGAACGCGTTAGGGCGTAACGCGTGACCCATGTGATGCTTTTGTCTTTCGGTCACAAATTTGTCACACGGTGGCTCGGCCAGGCTTGGTCACAATCGAACATTCGGGACTGCCATCATGTTCAATATTGTCCGTCTGCGTTGCCTCCCTTGGCTTGTTATTTTTCTACTGAACTTCGTCGAGCTTCACTTCAGAATTATGGTGTGATAAGGTAATGAAAGGCTCTTCGTTTTTTTGGACCTAGCAGAGCATTTGGCCTTGATTTGATTGAAATATCGATGTACCGCAATTTGCGTCCTTCGTCAGGTAGAGTGTATTGAGGCTGCCCGCTTCCCCAGCATGAGCCGTCGCTTGATGAAATTTCAGAGAGTTTTGCCTAATTCTAGATAGCGCCGTTATTCTGCCGAAAACTGAGAACAATGGAGAACGAGTTCCAGAGAAGGACACATCGTGCACCCGCCATAGTTTCTCTCGTGATGCACCGCGCTTTTATTCCCCCATAACGGATAACTTGACCCAAGGCAAAGGCTCATCCTGATGTCCTGTGGATATCACGAAGCACTCCCGGAGCGCTTTGCCATGACAGCGCATCAGCGATCGAGCGCATGGACCCTCCAGAGTACGCATAAAGAGGGCTCGCTTCGACCTGAGACAGAACAATAACCACTCCATTTCTCCCCCCGTTCTTTTCTCTGCCACCTGATTTTTGACACCAGTCTAACAAAAGGCGCTTCCCCAAACGTCGAAGACAACATGAACATGTGGGCCAATCCCGTCGAGCGACTCGACCTATTCCATACGTGAGTTTTACGTCTCGATTCACGCCTTTTGGTTCTGTATTAACTAAATATCCCCAGAGTTGCATTCGAACCAACACCCAGCTCTACGACTTCTATCTGCGATGACTTCCTTACATCCATAGGTGGCAACCGCCCTCTCCCCTTTTCTGCGTCTCATCAAGAGTCAGAGTACACAGCGTACTTTGATGGCGAGGTAGTTATGTAGTTGTATCAAAACTACATCGTATTGACGTCCACTACCCTTTCAACAGATACATTATGGGAACTTCGTGTACGACGCAGCTGGACCAGACGTCCAGGTGGATGTCCACAACGCCTACGACCCGCTAGCGGCTACCCAGTCTCCGCCAACGAGCGTCATGCCCTCGACTACGCTGGTGTCTGGCACGACGCCCGAATATGATCCGCTGCTCGACTCGTCGAAGCCGCCGCTGTCCTATGACGATATCTTGCGTCTCTGGAACGTGACCGCGGACCTAGAGGCATGGACAGATTGGATGAATGGGACCTCGCCATCGAATTATCCGCAGGGGCTGGAAGTCGCGTCACCCGAAACGCAGCTCCCTATCCCCACTCAGGCATACAGTCCAACCGCCATCGTAGACTATAGGAGCCCTGCATCGACATTATCCACACTTCACTCTCCTACCAGCACGCTGTACGAGTCCCCCTACGGAACAGTACATGCAACCCCCAGCACGATTTTGAGTCCAGCCATGGACTCGAAAACCAACAAAGTATATGAGGCGCACAGCGTCGACACGGACCATGTCCACACCGAGACCGCATTCTACTCGCAGGTCTCCGAGTCCAAGGTGTCGACACCGGAGCAGCCAACCACTCACCTGAAGACACAGTCGACCAACGATTACTCTCCACAGGGCACCGTCACTGGTTGGCGCCATAAGACTCCCGAGGCCATCGAGTACACATGCAAACGCCACAGGGACGACGGCGAGAATGAGGAAGAGGGAGACCGGAAGCGTCAACGTCGATCCCACTCTTCTGCGTCGCCTGAAGCATTATCCTCGCCCGCGAGCACGCTGTATGAAGAGATCACTGAGCAGTACGTTAGCGTCACGAGCGCATGCACTGGACGTATCGAACACACGTACCGTCTGCCCGGAAACCGCCGAGCGCCGAGCACCCAGAAGACGTTTGCGAGGGATGAAGATCGACCAGCACAAGACGCGCAATCCTATCCGACGACGTCAGCACCGAAGCGGAGGAACGGATGCAGAGATTGGAACTGTTTCGTGTGCGGTAGTCCCCTCGCCGCGCTGAGCGTCCTCGCTCACATCACGAAGAACGTTCGATACAGCTGCATGAACCAGCCTTGCCAGACGTGCGGGAAGGAGATGACGAAGGAAGTCGCGGAAGAGCACATTCAGGCGATAAAAATGGGGTACTCAGCATGTGCAGAGATCCCGGCGTGGATGCGCGAGGAGTATCGGAAGGAGAAGAAAAGACGAGGGGGAAAGAAGGCGAAGGGGAGACGGGCTCAAGTCGCTTGACTGCAGTGAGATGGAATATGAGCCTTGTACTTGTAATGAGATAATGCTGCGATAACATACCTGTTTTCTCCATACCTTGGAGTCCGTGAGTCGCGAAGGAGGATCGTTGAGGGGGCGTCAGAGAAGAGAGTGAGAAAAGCGTTCGGAAACATCTCAATCGATAATCGTTGTTCACGACCATAACTCGAGCAAACAGCGATGGCTTGATCCAAAAGCTCGCGATGGATTGATGGATGACTGTTATACCACATCAACACGGACTTATCGATGGCGCGAACACGCGTTCGTGCATGCATTCACTCACCAAGCTCGTCCTGATTGACCGTTTCTCTCCTCCAGATTCGATGATAGCTCTCGCATGTCACGCTATGTCGTCAAAAACGCTCGCCGAGTAGAATGAGAGAATGCGAATCTGGTAGGCGAGACCCAAGACGATGAGATGCAATGAGCTTGAAGCTCGTTGTCGCCAGAGGTGCTTCCGTATCGTACTCCGAGTCGACGTCACGTCTTGCAAAATGGGAAAAAGGCAACGGGCCTGACCGGGAATTGAACCCGGGACCACCTCGAAACTGCTCCGGAAAACCCTAACAAGGTATCATACTACTAGACCATCAGGCCGGTCCGGGCCACGTGGCTAAAGCGCCACCTGTAGGCGCCATCATGGTCTTCGAGGTCCAGGCCATGGTCCAGCCTGCTGTGGCTAAAATCGGCGTGAGTCGCGATTCGCGCACTCAGATCTTTTGTCTCCGTGACCTCAGCGAATTCGAACAGGAGTTATCATCTGATTCTTACTCTGAATCAGACGTCTCAGAGACACTTCAATTTCAATCCAGAATGTCTTAGAGTTTCATGCCAGTGGTCAGTTTGTCCTTCCCATCTTTCCTACCACCCTGCCACCGCAAGTTTACGACTTCAAGACCGGTACATCGCAATGGGTTCGTGGCTTTTCTCCGCACATCGTTTCGTCTTCTCAGCGGTCATCTTATAGCGAATATGGACTCGATGCACTCCTTATCCGCCGGGAATACATCGCTGCTCGCCGGCCTGCCCAACGAGCTCCTCCGCGACGTCAGCGCGCATCTCCCCGAGGAAGACCTCCTTGAATTTTGCAGAGTGGATAAGCGTTGTAATAGCCAGGGTGTCCTCGAGTTTCTCTATCGGAGTGGACGCCACCCCGATGATCTCCTGTCATCCGACCTCGGTGTGGTCCCTCTATGCCGACTGTGGGATCGTGAACACAGAACACTCCTACACGGACTTGGTGTCTCGCTCGGTCCGGGTACGTGCCAGGGCTTCACGACCGCTCTCGAGTCGGCGGACGCCGCGCGGCTTGTTCGTGGGTGGGTTCGTCGTTTTCCGACGGTCAAAGACGTGCACATTCAAGTCGGGTCTGTCTATCACGCGCGGGAGCCCATGTTTTTCAAGGAGCTCGCTGGCCTCTTGCGTATCCTGGCAGGAGAACGATGTGAGCGTTTAGTATGGGAAGAGGAGGGCGAGACGGGCGCCAGAGAAGCGCAGCCGTATGGGTTGGTTGCCCCGACGGGTGAGGAATGGAGGGCGTATAGCATTGCGCACTACGGGAAGGTACACATCCCACGTTTGTCTTCGTGTTGTCGTCATCGTTAACACGCTCTGACAGGAACACCCAGAACACCCATACTCTGCTGTTGACGTTCCTCACGACACCAACGATCCCGTTCCATCGTGGTACCTTGACGACGCCCCGCATATGATCACGCTCCAGCACGTCAAAGTGACCACCCCTACTCTTTTCATGCGCCCTTTCAACTTCTGGATCATCAGCTCGCTCAATGCCTCCCCTATACATACACTGGAGCTCGACTTCACCGGTTACTACAATTGGGACTCCAGTAGCAAAAGTGGAGAGTGGTTTTACATCCTTGACTATCTGCGCCTCCCCTCCCTGCGCAAGTTCGACTTACGGTGCAGGACCGTTGGTGACAGCTACCTCCGCATGTTCCTGAAATACAACCCCACGATCGAAGAGTTTGCCCTTTACGGCATGCACATGCAGCTTCAGTTGGATCTGCGGGACACCCCACCCGAAGCCATTCAAATGCTATCAGGGACGGCCCGTGCGGTCGAGGGCGTACTCAACCCCTCGCACTTTCAGACAAAGAACTCGTTCCCAAATCTACGACGCGTGTTCATTCAACAAGCGGATCTCGATGGCCGGGAAGATCTTCAGCGCGCATTGTCTGCGCTCGGCCTGCTCAGCGAGGATCCATCAACGCCGAAGAACGTCACGCTCGCACTGGATTTCTTGGACGTGGCAAAATGTTCGCAGTTCATCGGGCGGAGCGCAAGCGCAAACGCGAATGCGGGTCAGGTAGTGGTGTTTCCCGAGCCGTACCTGACATGCATGACGCGTCTCGAGGTTACCTTTCCGAAGGGGGAGAATTTCCGTGAGGAAGAAGGGAGAAACCTGTTCGAGAGCGTGGCGACTTGGCTGGGAAAGTTTACTAACATTGAGGAGGTTAGCTTGGGCCTATACATGAGCGGAGGTACGATGTTGGCGACGAAGGATGAGGAGAAAGTCGTGAAGGGTATATTGGAGCATGCACCGAGAGTAAAGAGGGCGAAAGTCACTCATGAGGGTGAAATGCGGAGTATGGATGAGTGGCGAGTGTTGTATTCATAGTCTGGTTAACGCAGCACCAAAAGTGCATTGGTCACGAGGATGGTGCCAAGCAAACGATGTGGCTCGGATATGTCAAAACCGGTCTTCACTTCACTTGTCTTTATGGGCTCTTTCTTCAGTTACTTGGTAGCGTTAGCGCACTACTCAAGTTTTCGTGTTCTTTTTCTTTCGCATTACCTGGCTTTGAAAGTGTCATAGTGGTTCAATTCTCAAAAAGAACGGAGAAAGTTGTTAGGTACTCCATAGACTCGTCTTCACAACCCTCAAACCGCTTTAGATGCAATGAAGGCGCATGGGGGCCGGAGATGATTTGACATGATGTATACTTGTATACCTCATTGTCTTGTTCTATTATTCTTGATCACCGGGAGCCATGGTTAATTATTGATAAATCTGCTCTAAGCACCACTCTACTGGAGCATGGACACACTCACTACGTTACATGCTGTATAAATGTGCTTTCTGCGTCCTATTGATGAAGGCTGTGTCCCCACGCCGTACGTGTAAATTTGCAACACGTAAGGTGGTGCATGCATTCGGTAGTCTTTCTCCTCGCTTCCCATGGTTCCAAATTCGGACCTAGCTTCACCTTCTCTCTCCTCAATTAATAAAGATCAGTCGTGACCTTATCACCCCATACGTACGTTTTCATTGACCGTTGTTGAAGCTTTCTGAGTACGTACGCTCCAACGTACTGCGATGTCCTGCGTCGATGAAGTGCGTATACCATACCGTCTAAATCAGCAGTTAGCGGTCGAGCAATACGTCAGCCTCCCACATCCCCCGGCCTTAGAACGGGACGGGACGGACCACGCCCAACCCTACCAAATATGCAGTGTTCAGTATCCTGCTTCCCCATCACTTTTCATACTTTCACAATGAAACCCAGCTATATTAAACTCTAATACTTGGCTATTTATTATATCAGAAGTACTCTTATCGCTTCATCAATCCCTCACATGTTTCGCGACCGCCTGTCTCTGAAGCGTCCTATCCTACAGCCCTCGGCTCACTCTCAAACATCGCTGATATCAATGCCCATTATGCCTACTGATCTTCAGTCGGGAAGACACCGTGAGTTAGACTTTCCCTCGGATACTGGAGATATTATAGTGGCGTAAATATGAAGACCGCAGCTACAATTTGCAATCATATCTCGACTGTAGCTTGGAGTAGGTCAGAGTGCTGATCGATCTCTTCAGCCAGGATTACTCTCAATGGCTGGGTTCAACAAGTCGTCGGGGTGAAGGGCGTTGGTGCTGCAAAATACAAGCAGACCCGAAGCGGTCCACGCTATCAGCAAGTATGGACATCAACCGTGTCAGGTACGTTCTAATTCCAGCTCATGATAGTTATTAACGTTTGCGTACGTGCAGTCTTTGGGGAGCCATGGGCTAGTGGAACGGGAGAGACAAAGCAGAAAGCAGACGATGCTGCGGCGCAGGCTGTCTTGTCGCAGATACAGAGCGATGGTCAAAGCTTTTGGGTAGAAAGATTACAGCAACTAGCTTGTCATAAATAGCAGAGTGTACACGTAGGAGTAAGACGTTGCAATTGTATGAAATTATGTGCCACATAAACGGCAGGGTACATGTCTAAGTGTTCGGGAGTTTTCTCAGTACGCAGAAATGAACGATGCTTAGGAAAAGCAAGTTCACTAGGCTAAGTTCCGATGTGACGTCTCCTGGTGTTATCGATAATCACCCCACCAGGCAATTAGCCGTTCATGATCCGTCTTTACCGTCATTTCAACGTCAGCCGTCGGCACGCGAACTTGACTCCGCCTCGGTGTTTCTCCTCAAAGTTTACCCTCTTTGCCCCAAATTTTCATTAAAATCACTTCAACTTTACAAGTCGATTTTTTTTCATTGAACAATTTACTACCTGCTGATTATCGAAAAAAGGAACCGAGATTTCCCAAGATTGTTCGGAGACTTGGTTAGTTCCTTTCGACATTGTGCGGTCAGACCGGTTCCGGTCAGGTGTGACGCTTTTGAAATGTGCCACGTGGAACTGTGGCGGGAGCCGCGGGGTCCCTTGAATCTAACGTTCCGCCCGCGCCACATCATTTTCTTGACTCTCCCGACTTGCGTTGAATCTCCCTTTACCATCTTTCACTTCAACCACATTATCCCATGGCCTATCCCGAGGTCCCCGCCCTCCCCGCGTCTACTCGGCCGGCATATGCTCCTCCAAAGTTCGCACGTAAACCATATGCTCAGGACTCCGCCACCAACTCCGAGACATCCTCACGAGCGTCCCCGTGCCCGTCTCACCCTGAACTCACGATAGAGAAATCCAAATCGGCCCAAAACGGCAGCGCCAAATTTGCCTCCCCGTTGTCCCCCAGCTCGCTGCAGCAACTCCAGCCCCATGCTACAACTGCGCCGATGACGCCTGCAAAGCGAAAACGCACCTACGCATGCCCGTACCCGGATTGCGGTGAGACGTTCACACGCAAGATGGACCGCAGCCGGCACATGCAGCACGCGTGCAGGTCTGAGTCCGCGGAAGCGCAAGCGGCGAGGCGGGAGCACCCCGCGCCGGTCTGGCACTGCCCCGTCTGCGGCAAGGTGCTCTCGCGGCGGGACGCGACGGAGCGACACATCCTGAAAGGGACGTGTGTAAAGGGACGATGCGGAATGTGCGGAGATCGAATGACGGAGCGGGCGATTAAAGGGCACATGGACGACATGGGCAAAGGGAATATGAAATGTTTCTCGGCAAAGCTTGCCACGAAGGCGGCGAAGAAGTCGAAGAAACGCAAGCTCGAGGATAAAGAGGATGAAGAAGAAGAACTTGAGGTCGAGGTAGTGCTTGGCGAGGATGAACTCGAAGACGAACTGGAGAGCGAAGACGGCGGAGAAGGATCTCAGGATAAAAAGGCAGCTGTGAAAGACGAGGGTAAGTTTGGGAATGAGTAATGGGCAGTCGAGTGGTTTTCCTACGACATGTATAGTTTGTAGATAACGACATTCACGTTCAACGACCACACGGAAGGCTATCACATGAATGGAGCAATGAAGAGGTCTGAATCCCATGCGCTAGAACCATCACCAAACCACGCAAGTTTACACCTCAAACCTACATTAAAAGACTACAATTACAATATCATGTTACTATTTCGGAATTCACAAGTCACAGCCCACGCCATGCAAAGGTATAAACAAGGAGCAGACTGGGAGTGAGTACGACTCTACTATATCTCCGCGACCACTTTCGACAAAAGAAACTCCTGTGCCTTCGTGTCAAGGGTAATAATCGGAAGCTTGATCTGCGAACTTCCAACACCGTTGACAGTCCCTTTCCAACTCCTAAAATCAGAAAACGATCCAGGGGCAAGGAGCCGTATGGTTGGCCTGACAGGCAAGCCGCGCTCCGCGCCTGAAGAGAAGTTTATGTTCGCTTCTATAAGGCCCTTCAGTATCTCGTCTCGCGCAGACGAGGTCAAGGCACCTGGTAGACACGGTAAACATGTTGACTAGACATAAAATAAAGGAAGACAGAGTCGACGCACGGGTATTGGGAGTAGATTCTATGAAGAAACCGACGGTCGGAGGGTGGCTGCGGTCATCCCACCACGTCGTAAACTCGACGTTGTCAAACGCGCTGATGCCATCTATGGACGCGAGGATGTCTGCTTGGGACACGAGCGCTTGAGCGACCCACATGGATTGGCTAAATGCCAACTTAGCTGAGATCATCACCTCAAGAGCGAAGAACTCACTTGCGGCGTTCTTTATACTCAATGAGCGGAATACCGTCTTTAGGTGAGAAACCGACCACACGAATGGCGTCCATGGTACGGTATCGCCAAAGTCCATCCTGGGTCGTCAAGACTGGTTCGTATGTCTTATCCGTCTCTACTTGCCACTGCTCCCAAAAGTGATGGTTAGCTGATCTGAGGAGCAAAGCTCGTGGATGAAACCCACCAGTGGCTTGATATCACCGTCTTCATTTCCAGGCAACACCTCAAGCATCTCGATATAGTTATCGGTGAGCATCTTCACAATGTCTGGAAGGCTGTCATGATACGCTAATCCTACGGAGCCCTCCGTACATCCGTATATCGGGCAGCGTACTGGGGTATCAGGTCCGATGTACCCTCTGACCTACAACGCAGTTTCATGAGCGGAGAAGTATTTCAGTGGTTGTAGAAAGCTGAACGTACCTCAGAGTAAACGCGGCTGAACGTCCCAGTACAGACGGCTGTTAGCAGCTCAAGTTTGGGCCATACTTTGAGCGCCCATCCCACGGCTGTCTGAGACGGAGGTCCGATCTTCCTTAGTGCATCTGCTCGTGATTGGTTCGCTGTAAAGGTTGTCTATATGAAGCACACAGGAAGGTTAGTCTACACAACGTATAGCTAACATATAATGTCAGTGCCTTACAGCAATCTGGACGTAGACGCTTCCTGTCTCCGGGAACTGAGGTAGGACCCCGCTCGAAATGGCATCGACGAGTGTACCCCACTCCTCGTCGATCCATCGAACGAAATCCACGAATGTAGTAGACCAAGTCATGACAAGTGTGTCGACAGATTCCTCAGCGAGAGCAAACACCGCATGAGCAAGCAGCATCGAGCGGTAGTTGGCGATGAGCGCGGCTCCCCACGGTGCAGTTATGCCTGAAACTAGAACACAAAAAGGTGAGCCAACGACACATTGGAGCTCGATTGATGAACGACTTACTCGGTTCAGCGAGCCGCTCATTATCCTTCTCGAAGTCATAGAATCCGGACCTCGCCCGTGCAGCAACTGCAGACACAGCCCCGCACGGCACGCGGGTGATTGCATCCGCGCCTCCAGGCTTCCCGGGCTCTTCCCCGCGAATCTCCACGAAGCGCTGGTACCCGCAGTAGATCGGCCTGCACGCAAGCCCGTCTGTGCGGCTCCCCCATCCGTGCGCACCTTGCTTGCTGGGTGGCTGGTTCAACACGGGGCGAAGTTGGTGCAGATACTTCGGGACGGGCTTGGGGCCTTTGCCGGACGTCGTGCTCGACATGCCCATGAAGAGCGGTAGGCCGGGTGCAAGGAGGTCGACGACGTCGGAGTAGTCGCATGGAGAGGGATCGAAGAACTTGGATATGCAGGGGGCGTACTGGTCGTATTCGGTCATTGGGATGCTTGCAGCACTGAATGCGCCTGCGCACGCGGCATGGTCGTCGAGATCGACGTTCGTCAGCGCTTCGCGGAGGCCCGACAGGACATCGGCGGTGCGCGCGAATTTGGAAGATATGTTCTGCTTTATGATCTTCTGGAGGGAAGATTCGACTCGGGCCTGGAGTTGAGCAAGTGCATCGTTGCTGAGTTCGGGGATGGGGGCGACATCGAGCGGAAGGTTGAACATGGTGACCTAGACTCGTGTATTAGGCTGATGGCAAGTACTTGTTATGCATCATTGACTGCTTCACCTTTAAAGGCCAGCAAGGATTGACCCAGGAACACGTTTTGGACTAGCCTTTCATGAACATGAAACCTGATCAACCAATTGTATGCAAAGATCACCGCGTCAACCCCACAGCAACGCTGATAGAGTCATCGATGGGCTAGTCCTTTCACGGGAAGCTGTGGTTGGCCAATAGCTCTTGTACCAGAAGAAAGGCCTACTGTAAGTCTTCAATACAACCGCGCATTGACTTCCCGAGTCTCTGAAGATAGAGACAATTCAGGTGGATGTCGAGTTTTGTTGTCCGAGAGTACGCAACTTGAATGCACCATGCATCATGTCATAAACAGACACAAACACGTGGACGATGCTCTCGGATGGTCCTGTGATCTGGCTACTAGTACGACATCCAATCAAGCTAGCTTGGCTCCCACATTTACGTAACAGCGTTAACGTAGAGGTTATTCAAGTCCTGTGCTAGATGCATGTCTCAAAACGCGCTTGATCAGTATACATTCTGTCGTGACGTTCGAGTTGAGTTATTAATTTCAGAGATGCTTAACCTATTACAAAGGTTCAGGCGCACGACAGGCATGCATGAAATAACTACAACAACTTTGGCAGTAAGCTGACTCTTCGATGAAACATCTCTTATAATTACCGTCCGACTCACCTAGCCGACTCTTGACACAAAACCTCGCTCACCTAGCCGCTATTCTACCCCCCCGATGACCTTCTCCAACAAGAACTCGTGATCTTTCTGATTCAGCATAATGATCGGTAGTTTGATCTGCGTAGCCCCTGCGCCAGTCACGTTTCCTTTCCAGGTTTTGAACTCGCGGAATGTTCCCGGAGCGAGTAGTCGTATTGAGGGTCGCACTGGAAGCCCGCGCTTTGCGCCACTAGCGAAGTTCTCGTTGGCAGCGAGAAGGCCTGTGAGAATTTTGTCGCGGACGGAGGACGCGATGGAGCCTAGTTTATTTAACACATTATATCAAGTGTCTGTCAAGAATGGAAACGATGGGACATACGGGTTTGTGGGGTTGCCTCTAGGAAGAGGCCTACGGTCGCAGGCTGGCTGCGGTCATCCCACCAGCTTGTGAATTCGACGTCGGAAAACTCTCGGACGCCGGAGATTGACGAGAGAATGTCGGACTGTGACACGAGGGCCTGGGCTATCCACATGGATTGGCTATAGGATGATTAATTAGCCTAATTGGCAATTATGGGTTGGCATGATGAATTTACTTGCGGCGCTCCTTATACTCAAGTAGAGGTGTTCCGTCTAGGGGCGAGAAACCAATGACTTGAACGGCATCTCTCGTCCGATAACGCCAGAGACCGTCATGAGTTGTCAAGACAGGTTCGTACACCTTGCCTGCTTCTACTTCCCACTACATACAAAGCGTCATTGAGATGCCATAGAGTATGTGCGCTCGAACGTACCATGGATTTGAGTTCTCCATCTTCATTATCCGAAGTGACCTCCAGCATCTCGATATACTCCATGTTCGAAACCTTCACGATATTAGGTATCCGATCGTCGTATGGCCCTCCAATGGTAGCCTCGGTGCAGGCATAGAACGGGGGGCGAATGGGGATGTTTGGTCCTATACATGCTCGAACCTACATTTAATTGATTGAGCAATTCAACACAGTGCTCACGTTCACAGAGACTGCCATCTTACCTGAGGATAAACGCGCCCGAAAGTGCCAGTACAGACGGCTATAAGCAGCTCGAGCTTGGGCCAGACCTTGACTGTCCATCCTTCGGTTGTTTGAGATGGCGGTCCGACCTTCCTAAGTGCTGCAGCTCGTTCTGGGTCTGCTTTGAACACCGACTCAAAGGCAACAAGCAAACAAAATTCAGCCTCATGAAAACTGCGAGACAAATCACGAGAAACATACAGCTATTTTGGTGTAGACGTGCTCCGTTTCTGCGAACCTTGGCAATACACCGGTGGAAATCCCATCAACGAGCATTTCCCACTCCTCGTCGACCAACCTTACGAAGTCGATGAATGTTGTGGCCCAAGACATGGAGAGCGTATCCAGAGGCTCCGCAGCCAGAGCGAAAGCGGCGTGCGTGAGGATCATGGAACGGTAGTTGGTGATGAGTGCTATGCCCCACGGGCCCGTGTGGTCGGGGACTGGTACTCGCACTATGAGCGCACAACGAAAGCACGATCAGAATGGGAGACTCACCAGGTTCCGCCAGCCGCTCATGATCCCGTCGCCAGTCAAGGAACCCCAGTTTTGCGCGAGTCATAACACCGGTGATAGTAGTGCACGGTATACGCGTAATCGCATCATTCCCGCTTTCTCGCTCACTCTCGCCTCCCTCCACGCCATGGACCTCCGCGAACTTGCTGTATCCGCAGTATACAGGCCTCACGGCGAGCTGATTTGCAGGGTTCTCCCAGATGGTGATGTGCGGCATCTTGGGTATCTCTGCCTGCCCTGGCTGCATGCCCCGTCGTACATAATGCATGTACTTCGGGATCGGCTTGGACGCCTTCCCGGACGTGGCGCTCGACATCCCCATGGCGAGTGGCAGACCCGGCGCGAGGAGGTCTACGACATCTGCGTGCGCACAGGGGGTAGGCTGGAAGAACTTTGACACGTAAGGGGCGTACTGATCGTACTCTGTCATCGGAACGCGAGCGGCGTCGAATGCGCTGGCGACTGCGGCGCGGTCGTTCATGTTGACGCCAGCAAGCGACTCTCGAAAGCTGGCAAGCACGTCGGCTGTGCGGCCAAACTGGGAGGATAGGTTCTGCTTGATGATAGCATGGAGTGTCGTCTCGACGCGTACCCGTAGCTGAATGGTGAAGTCGTTACTAAGCTCAAGGATTGGAGAGACGTTGAGCGGAAGGTCGGACATGGTGACGAGACCAAGGCTGGTAGGGGATGACCACCATCGGTTTTATACAACGCCGACGTCCCTTCTACGTGTCTTTCGATTGCATTCTGTACCCGCCCCGAGGGTTTGATGAACTTGATAGATGCTATCAGATTGACTCTACTTCCGACGGCGAGATAGGCCAATCAGCGGGCTGGAACCTTTTGACGTAGATTAGAATGCTACACTTGACAGGTTAAATGACACCACAAATGTTCGCAGACACCGAGAATATGAGTAGAATATGGTGACGGGATGGACGTACGGCAGCGTGGGCTATCCCGAATGAAGAACCCGACTGTAGACGGCTGTCTGCGGTCGTCCAACCACGTCGTGAACTCGGCGTCGCTGAACTCGGGGACGCCAGCCACGGATGAAAGGATTTCCGCTTGCGAAACAAGTGCATGCGTATATACCAGCTTTGTTCGGTCAGGCCATCCTTGAATACTTTGGACGAAGCACTTACTCACGACGTTCCTCGTACTCGATAACCGGCGACCCATCAATGGGAGAAAATCCAATGACCTGAACGGCGTCTCGGGTCCTGTAAGGTCCTGTACCGCCAAAGGCCGCTCTAGGCCGCTGCGTGTGGTCGCGACGGGCTCGTACACGTGCCCTGTCTCTAGTTGCTACTGTTTCGGGAACATATAATCGATATCAGGCCACTTCTATGGTGAACGCTGTGGCGATGGTGCGTACCAATGACCTCAGCTTCCTGTCCTCACCATTTTTTGTCACCTCCAGCATCTCCACAAAGTCAGACGTAATAACCTTGAGCGCGTTCGGCACTCGATCATCGTAAGTTATCCCTACATTGCACTCTGTCGAGCCATAGATCGGAATACGGATTGTGATGTCCGGCCCGAGACAGGCTACTGGCACCTTTTTGTCACCGCGATACAATGTATTAGTCAAATACAATAAAAGAAAGTGGAAGCTCCACACGCATCTGAGGACATGTAAGCGGGAGGTTCGATCTTCAACCTTCAACCTTCAAGGAGCAATGGTTCAAGGAGGGGGAATGCGCCATAATGCATAAAAGTGTTGTCGCGGATGCGCCACAATTACATAACACATCCTTCAGCTGACGTTCCGATTTCATCTCCGCTACACTGGCAGCCGACAGAGAGAATCTCCATCTCACACTCCGATATGCCGATCCTCGGGTGCACGTCGATGGCAAGCATTGAAGATTGAATATTGAATATTGAAGCTTGAAGCTCAGCGCTCAGGCTTTACTTAGCGAATCGTATCATCACATTCACTGGTTCTGTGTTGACATCCATCGCATTACTGCCCCCTCTTCCTCGCGGATCTTGCCGATTTTTCTGGCGGTGCTGTAAACCATGCCCAGCTTACGTTCAACACAGACACTGATTGATTCATGAGTAACAAGACCCCAAAATTTCACATAGACCGCATAACAAATGCAGGATACTGTTTCCAACCTTTCCTAATACAGCCGAAACTTCACGCGAGATCCGACAAAGCTGATAGAACCGCGCACAAGCACCCTTGATGTTCAGGTGAGTTGATTTAAACGAGGGCTCGAGGCTGATCCTGAATGCTTGTAGGCGCTTCAGGATAGAAATATGACATTCGCAGGGTACTGCATAAACCTATACAATAAATGAAGAGCGAGAGCTTTTGATATTTCAATGAAGTCGACTCTCGCTCGGGTGCAGGGTTCTCCTGCGAGTTTTGGGTCAAGTACCCCAGCGGTTCCAGGATCACGCTCGAGGCCCATCATAATCATTTCCCAGCGTAAGATTGAAGTTTATTAGGGTCTCACCGCCGTTCAGAACAGCCTTTGATACGACAATGCTAGAACATGCTTGATGATCAAGGACTTGCCATCTCTCTCTGGCATATAAAGACATTCTATTGTTCTCGCCTTCGGTATCCTTATCCTTTCAATATCCTCATCCTGAAATATGTCGTCCATGAACAATGCAAGCCCCCCGATACCGGTACCGCTTGAGGAGGAGATGTCTGCTATCCTCGAGGCGCTTCAAATCAATCAAAATATTCAATATACATCCAGTACTGTTTTTTCTTGACATCATTGTATGTGTACTGACATCTGTAATGCGACGTGCGTAGTTGCCTTGACCTGCCTTTATGCATGGGACTTCGGTAGGCTGCACTGATCTTTGACACATGTCAAACTGTAGCTAATCTACCTACCTCGGGCTTACCAGTTTTGACGTTTTCACAAGAGGTGAACAATCTGCCAGCGTTCATGATAATCTCAAGCTGACAGTTTCAATGTCGTAGGTCAAGCTTTGGGTATTCTTATCACTTTCACATTGTTGAGCAATTCATGAGATGTACATCGCAGAACACCACGATCAGGCTACCGAAACTGGTCTTCTTCTTTGTATGTTCTCCTTCAGAATAACCCAGAGTCATGCTATTGCTAATTGTGTTCTAGTACCGCTATTTTTCCCTCGCCGTCAGCGTTCTATGGGCCTTTGGTTTGTGTTTTGTTAGAATAGTATTATCTACGAGGACAAGCTGATGTCTTTCACATAGTCAACTTATTACCATCAAGATCTGAGGACTTGTATGTATCAGCATTACAGCCTTGATTCTGAAGTCTAACCACCTCATATTCACCTGGTTTTAGATGTAGCAACTCCTCTATGATTAAAATGATTATATATGCTAATACATAGCAAGAATAGGTCGCGCCTTCCAGATTTTCATGGCTATATCAGGTGATTGCTTTCCAGAGCTGAGGAAGTATTCAATTGCTTACAAGGCAACAGAGATTATTTCTTGGCTTTGCGCAGAAGGCTAGAAAGCTCCCGCTGCAGACAAGTACACTAGATTAATGCCAACAACAGTGGTCCTTATGTACCACCTGTTTGCGATCTTCTCGTTCCGTGAGTATAATGATATGTCCTTAATGCTATGTTTTTACCTTAATCTAATGTGTATATTAGGCAAATCAGTAGTTGTACCCGTTACAATGTTGTTCATTGCATGTAGCGGGCTTTTCATAGGTGCAGGTGTAGCTGACTTGGTCCTAAGTAAATGTGCGTACGGTTTTTTTTTCATCAATCATTAATCGCCAGCTAAATCACTGAATGGGGGAACAAGTCTTTCCATCGATTTACGGAATCTGTGACATTATCGAGCGTAGCTCCACTCCATACTTTACTAGGTGAGCCCTTTCCGTTTGAATTATAGACCAAAGCTCTTATCGTCCAAACAGCGTCCCCGTAATGTTTATGGACTTCACTTTAGTTGTGATACTGGGCGGAAAAACCATGAGCTACCACATGCATGTCATGAGCACGAGCTGGAGTGGTGCGAGTCTCATGAAGAGTCTTGCTCAGCGGGCTTTCATTTGCTACCTATGGTATTCTTATAACCTTTGTCATTCCCATCCATCGCTTAAGGGGAATTTCTAGCATCTTTCTGGCGACACTATTTCAGCTAGTCTTGTTCTTGACGGACTCGAACTATCTGACAATCTCATCCAGTGTCATGTTCACTCTACTTACCATGGCGATCAACCACCTTGTACTTGGGCTACATAGAACAGACAACGATCAAGACTCAACTGTGACGGCCACAATCTCAAAGCAGTTTGGTATATAGGCGATGACGCACCACCACTCTATTCCATCATAACGCACCTAAGTGGCGAGAATGTATATACTCGGCTATCTTTTCCCATACGATATGGCTGGACTCTATGGTTTTGTCCCTGCTTCTTGGATCCCGCTACCTCAGGTAGTTTTACAGCGCTAAAATAAGTCGTGTACGATATATATTACGAAGTGACCCGCGCCAGTGGCCGTTGCTGTTGTATTAGCATAAAGGAACATATAAGTTGGTTCCTCATACCTGTGTGCAGGATGGCTCGAATTCTGCTTTACTTAAGTACGATTCCTGTGGATGTGTTTTGATTCTTGGAGATAAAGCGAACCATTGAAGAGTGGGGAACGGGACTCTGCTTGTCCATCCAAAATCCACCCTCTCAAGATGAGTAATGCACAGCTGTAGCCAACTTGAATAAGCTAGGTAAGGTACGGGATGTTGTTGGCGATATGCTACAGATGTGCATATTATGAGGCTATTAACTGTCACGACGTTACATGAGCATGACTATGCATTACTAAGCTCATCATGACTGGGACTGAATCGACTTCCCTCCCGAACTCCCTTCGCATCCGTTGTTTGAAGGCTCTTCGGCGCGAAGAGTCTCGGAAGCACAGCAGATGCCTGTTGTGGTCTCTTGACGTCCGCATCGAGCTCCCGTCCATCAACGGCCCGCTCTCGCCCGTAGCTCCTTCAGCCACTTCTAGCCACTTCTTCAGCGCCCTGCCCATGATCATGATCATTTCCTTCGCTCCTCAACTCTCCCAATGCAACCCGCGAAAACTGAAGCGTGCTATGGCCATTGATATTAGCTCCGCCGCGTGTGTCCTGCTCCTCGTCCCACGTGGACCCGCCCGAGAGCCTGAACACAACAAGTAATGGAGCCAGTGGTTGAATCTGTGTCAGGGCGCCGAAGAGAACATACAGACCCAGGTGTTCATCGCGTTAAAGATGACAAAGAGGAGCGAGAAGATGGTGTAGAGCGCGCACGACTCAACAAACATCACAGCGACGTTGGCATAACGCGATGCAGAATGTGATAGGGCTGCGAGACGTTCGGTGTATGGGTCAGTTCCCAGCCATTGAGAATAATGTAGCCCACTCAGACAAGAGACGTACATGATCTGACGAAGTTGCGAAACTTGTATAGCTTGCCTGAAATGAGCCCGGTAATGAGGACGTTGAGTACTACGGAGGATACAATGCCTAGTTCAATCCCGTGGGCCATAATCTGGGGACAACGAGTGCAGTGACCGGAGGCAGCCATCAGAGCGACCACAGAGGCAACTGTATTGCAGTACATAATCGGTGAGAGCTTGAAAGTGAAATACAGCAAATAGTGTCACTCACCCATTGACAGTGCGTATATGAGCAGGATCATACCGAGAAGGGCCCGACGCAGCGGCCATTGATGCCAAATGACCTTGAACCGCCATATCTAGCCCGGAGATGAGGAACAGAAATTGTTAAACACATTGAAATGCACCATAACACCATCAGCAATGACCATCGACACGTAGTACGTCACATCCACCACAAGCGCTGACGGTATGTTGAAGTTGACATAAGCGTATGGACCCGGTTCAAAGAGCCTATGTCGCACATATATCGTTACTACCTCCTGCGCCATACCGGAAATAGCGATGGTGCCGCATAGCCAGAGTACGGCCACGAACGAAAGTTGAGAAGCGGTACGTGAGGTTGAACGTCCAACTAGCTTGCGAGAGGACCAGATTCGATATGTACATACGCCAGCGCAGACAGTCACGAATCCGTAAAACGTGCCGGGGACAGTCGTGCTGCCCAATAGTCGCAGACTGTCTGCAGTAAGTTCTTGTGGGGTCTCGGGATGGGCGTCAGGGCTGGCATTCGTGGGTGGCAGCATTATCGAACGTGAGCTGGTTTCGAGTCAACCTGAGCCGTGCACGCTCCTTCGCACCCCTCTGCCAACCTGGGGAATGGTTTCGATGATGACGGAAGAGAAAGGGGAAGGAACAAGACCTAAAGCAATCCATCAACAAAACGTAAAATGTTCCGTCCATTCAATTGTATAGACTTCGACGTCAAACGTCACCAGATGTTATATCATGGAGGAGTGAGACTAGAGAACGGTAGGATACGTAACTTTAATACTCCAATGTTTTCATTTTCGAGGCAGTCTGTTTGAGCGCACTCCATACCCAGACTCCTACCCAGCGGTCTGACTCGTGAGACCGGCTTATTAAGCGCTCCTGCCTTTTATAACTTCGTTAGGCAGTTCTCTCGCCAGACCGACTGGCACAACTTGTTCGGCTAAAAAACTTTTCTCCGCCAAATGTCTCTCGGCTAAGCAGAATATGGCTGATGGGAAAAACAAGTTGTGCCAGTCGGTCTGGCGAGAGAACTGCCTAACGAAGTTATAAAAGGCAGGAGCGCTTAATAAGCCGGTCTCACGAGTCAGACCGCTGGGTAGGAGTCTGCTCCATACCACTCAGTCGACTCCGATGATCGTGTCTCGCTTACTTCGAGACTCGACTTCGGAGCTAATTCAACAAGCCTACGGCCGCAGTGGCGCCCTTTGTTTTTATGTGTAGACCCTTCATAAGCGCATCCTTCCGCCAAACCTGGAAGCTGATATTTGGAGCCGTGTACTTTGAAGGTTGATTAAGGGCTGTATAGTGATAAGTTGAGTGCTGTATATGATAATAGAGAAGATATGGTGGTCTCGTGGCTATCATAGTCTTTAGTACTAAGAGAATTAGCTGGGTAACTAGGTAGGTAGTGAAATATGCTACGGATATCGTTCTGTGAAGAAGTTGTTCATGCACTAACATTATAATGACGCAAATAACCTCGACTTTCCCACAAGACCTTCTCCACATCCTCCATTTGATGGTCCTCCAACACCAAGCGTCTCCGAAGTGTCACAGCCCATACTTCGCATTTCATGCCCCTCGGACTCAAGGCACGTCGTCGACCCGTGAGTCATACCTCTGTTGTGATCCCTCTGCATTGCTCCTCCGTTCATGGGCGACGCTACTTCGCTCTGGCCCGCGTTACCTCCAGTCATTCGGTCGACAGTCTCTCCACCTCCAAGCTCTCCTCCCTCAACGGCTATGGCACTAGCCAAGACGGTCCGCGAAAACACAAGTGTGTTTTGACCCTCCAAGGCAGCTCCAACACACGCGTCCTGCTCCTCGCGCCATGCTTTCCCGCTCGAGAGTCGAAGCACGACGAGCAAAGGTGCAATGACTTGGACCTGAGATAGCGCACCAAAGACAACATACTTCCCTGCGTGGTGCATTGTGTTCAGAACGATGAAAAGGACAGAAAAAATGGTATAGAGGGCGCAGGACTCGGCGAGCATCGAGGCGATGTTGGCGTAAAGCGAAGGGCTGGAATCTGACATGGCTGGGGAAGCATTCGGATGTGAGTTAAGTTCGTGACTATGAGACACGTGCAATACGCGCTACGAGAATGCGAGGAAGGACGTACGCGCTTTGATGATGCGATTGCGGAACCTGTACAGTTTGCTGGCCATCAGGGCAGTGGTAAGGACATTAAGTGCTACGGAAGACGTAAACCCCAGCTCGATGCTTTGACCCAATATTTTGGGGCAATCGGAACAGTCGAGAGAAGCGACAATCACCGAGACGAGGGAGGCCACTACATCGTAGCCCCTGACTGATGAATGCGCGAAATTGGAGTAGTGCAGGCGCCGAACTTACCTATCGACAGTGCGTATATAAGGGAGACAAGGGCAAAAAGCGTGCGACGAAGCGGCCAGTTATGCCAGATGACCTTGAATCGCCATACCTACCTTGGGAATGATCATCCACAACCTTGTACATCCATGAACGAAACTCACCATGACACCATCCGCCAGGACCATTGACACATAGTACGCCGTATCCAGCACAAACACAGGTATTAACTTGAAGTCGTTATACGCGTGCGGGCCTGGTTCGAGTAGCCTGTTCCGGACGTATACCGTATCTACGTCCTGCGCCAAAGCCACAACAACGATCGTACCGCACAGCCAGAGCAGACCGACGAACAACAGCTGAAATGCGGTGCGCAACCCGGAGCGACGGAGTGGTTTGTGAGAATTCAATGTTTGATAGACACAGGCGCCAGCGCAGGCGGTCATAAAGCCATAGAAAGTTCCGCAGACGGTCGTGCTGCCCACGAGCCTCAAGCTGTCTGCGATCAGCTGCTCTGGGGTTTCGGGTGGGACACCAGTGCTGACGTTCAACGGCGAGAACATATGGCCACACGACATGTCTCCTCTCCACCTTCCGTCAAACTGAAGGTGCGCGTCGGTGGTGTTGAGGAGGGAGAGAAAGAGGCGACTGGGTCAGCCAAGGTGCCAATAAAACGTAAAGCGCTTACATCGCATGTCATAAACTCAATGTCGACGTCAATAGATGTCAACGGACGCCACGCATGTTGCCTGTTGGGGATAACTAATATAACGCCGGAGTCAAGTCTCGATGTAAGCGAGAAAAGGCCATTAGAAATGACGCGGTTGATGATCAGCGCTCAGCGTTGATCGCGCTTGGACTTGGCTCGGACCGGCGCGCTTGAAGTGCAACTTGTCATATTCCCTTGGTTAATTTCATTTAGTCGTGACATATTGTTCACCTGGGAGTTTATAGAACTGCATTACATCTGTTAAAGCGCAGGAAAAGCACCAAATTAGTGTGATGGTGGGGGCAATGCTTCAATGTCGTCCGTGCAGATACCCTAAAGGTCTTACGATGTCAAGCTTGCCCAGATCCCTCACGTTATGTCTATAGAGAAGGGCTGAAGTGCGGCGCGGATCGATCTTTTCGAGTATACACTAATCCTGTTTTGTTTGTAGATGACGCTCGTCGGTATCCTTGCCAGGATATATGCGACAAAGTGACCCTTGTACGAGATTGAGGGATATAGTAGAAAGCACGATTGGACGATGCGCCCGGAGACGAGGACTAACTCGGTACCAGACGCGCGTGCGCTCGAACACTTTCGTGCTACGTCGCTCCGACCCGGCGGTGGCCGACAATGAGCGATTGGTACCGAGGAAAGTAATATATCATCGAGCAATCTTGGTGCCATGTCATGTCATCGATGTCTCCCCGGAAGCGAATACTCGACACAAGCATGCTCGTTGAATCTGTTATGAGGTTGCCTCCAGGCACTTTCCTCGACACACCTACACCATGCTCAACCTGCCTCTCAACGTTGAACCCGTCCCCGAGCCCACTCCCGAAATGGCTGCCAAACTGCAGGCCACGCTCGAGACTTCCCTCCAGAACATCATCAAAGCCAACATACCCTCCCAATTTGGGCGGTCCTCACCCATCCTCTCTACCCTCCGTGATAACATCTCCAGCTTGAACGTCGCCATAGCTCAGGCAGACCGCACCGCGTGTGCGCACGCGTTCAATGGAGCGCAGGTACCCTTTACTGAGTACGAGGTGTATGCGCCCTACATCTCGAAGTTCTTCAACAGTGCACCATGCTCTCTCTCAGATGTGGAAGATCTCTTGGCGCCCGGGCTGCCGACGTTCCTCGGAATGTCCAGTACGACGTCCGGGAAGGGACCCAAACCCGTGCCCAGATATGTCGCGGCCCCGCCTTCGCATATTCCTGTGCCTATCTCGATGTGGGTGAAGCGAGTCGGCGGACCGGGAAAGACGTGTATGACGACGTACTGTGGATACAAAAAGTTCGTCGAAATCTCTGACGGAGAGGGCGCAAAGCCGAAGAGGATCCCGCTTTCGGCTATCTCGGGGGTAATGTGGCGCGGTATGGCGGGCTTCAGCGACTTTGAGCGGGATGAGGAGAGACTGGCAGAGTTCCGTAAGTTGCCGTTGTTTACCCGTGCACCAAAAGGCAGTGCAGCATGACTGAAATCACTATGTCTTAGCACCTGACAGCACTGCGCCGTGGGGAGTCGCCCTCATTTCCAACTACCGCTCCTTTATTCTTACCCATGCCGCGTTTGCGCTGGCTGAAGAAACCCTGGAAACGCTCTGCACACACTGGTCCACGACGTTCGTCGATTTAATCCGATGGATAGACGAAGAGTGGGACACACTCATCGACGCGATTGATAGTGGGCGGCTACCCCGCTACCCGGAAACGGACGACGTCTACCCTGCGATCGCGGTGAGTCACTTCACGGGCCTTCACCTCGGATATTCGCGTTTTCACCATGTTCCATGTCCCGACTGACCTCGGGTGTTCTGTGCGTTGCATTGAAGACTCAATTCATCGCGAATCCCGCACGCGCAAAAGCGCTCCGGGAAGCCGGGCCGCCCTCGCACACGAGCGAAGGCTGGATCCTCAAAATCTGGCCAGGATGCAAGCTGTTGGGCGCCGTGTGCACTGGGACATTCGGACGCCTCTACCCGCAGGTACAGTTGTCACCTTTCCTCTCCGTTTTCTTCGAGTGAACTTCAGAGACTCGGAGCAGCTTCGCGCATGCATAGGTCCTGACATGCCCATTCGAAGTCTGATGGTCGCATGCACCGAGTGCCTCATCGGCACATCGTACGATGACCGACTGCCGTGCATTGTGCGCATGCAGACAGACGATTATATCGAGATGATCGAGGTACTGCCCGGCAATCAAGACGGCGAGCTTGTGCCACTCGTGCGTCATCCATTTTTTGCCTTCCTGAACATAGGTTTAACCGATGGGCACCGACCACAGTGGAAGCTCGAAACTGGCAAGGTATACGAGCCCGTTGTCACCACGCGCGACGGGCTGTGGCGCTACCGCACGAGGGATGCCGTCGTCGTGCGGGGCTTCTCGCCTGCAGAGGGCGTGCCGTTGATCGAGTACAAGGAGCGCCGCAAGTAAGTGTCTCTTACATATTCCATGCACCCTTCAATTTCTCGGCGATCAGACAAGCTGAATGATAACACGGCTTTCCGCGCGCAGCCAGTCCATGTGGGTCGCTCAGGCGCTCATCTCCCAGGCAGACATCTTCGCTTCCATAGCTGCCGTCCCAGAGTTCGAAGACGTCGAGTTCACGACATGGTGGGACGACCGCAGCTCGCCTCCGACGGTGGGCTTCTTCTTAGAAGACATGTCTGCTTCACGTAAGCCTTGCTTTCATGCACTTTTCCCTCCCTTTCTCTGATGGAGAAATGGAACACAGGTGTGATACCCCCAGCAACACGCACGCAGATCCTCGTCAGCCTTCTCGAAGCAAACTCTTCCCTGTACACGGGTCCTGAACCTGGCTCGCCTGTGCGCCCGAGCATCCGGCTGCTCGCGCCCGGGACGTTCGGCGAGTTCAGGCTATGGAAAGGCGCCGTGACCGGGATGGGAAGTACACAGGTGAAGGTGCCGACCATCATGCTTGATCCGAAGGCACAGGAGTTCATATTGGCGAGGGTTGTTGGCGAAGTGCCGTAGAGTGGATGGATGGCGCAATGAGGTATCATAGATTTTGAGTATATTGCAATGCTCGGTAGCACATAAACGCAAGCGTGGGGTGTTCCATTCTCAAGGTTTAATGAAATCCGTCGTCTATCGTTAATTATCACCGAGGAAAGGACAAACTTGACAACAGTGTATGGGGGTATTTCTTGGCTTGCTGAGCCGAGATCATGCGGGTGCCGTCCAAGGTCCAAAGTCCCTGATAAATCCAGCAATGCCCACTATATACGCAAGGGCGACATCTGCAATGGTGGGTGGTAAGCACGCTTTGCAGCACTTGTTGCTTACAGCGAGAAATAAACTAAAACAACTCACCAAAACCGCTCTTCATATCGTCACCAATACTCGGCACGCCCATGACGTTACAAAACGCATGAGCGGTGAACGCAGGAGATAATGAGTGCGTACGGAGAAGAAGGGCACCCGTAAATGTGCCAAACAGTGACGTGTATGCGAGCTGAAAGAGCGAGATGAAGATCGCGCGGCGGAGAGCAGTTCGCGTACGTCCGCCTTGAACGTAGAGCTCATATGCGTGGTGAAGGTGGGCTAGGATGCAATAGCAAAGGTCAGACGAAAGAAGCGGTTGAAAAGGCTATGAGAAGGTAAAGGAAACGAACCAACGCCAAAGAAGATGGGGCCGACGCCGACCATCCAGGCAAAGCGGGCACGCGCTAGACGGTATACGCCCAAGATGCAGGAACGGAAGACAATCTCTTCTGTCAACGGAGCCTACGTTGTAGTAAGCAGGGCGTTAACATGTCAAACGCATGCCAGGAAGCGAGAAGAGCGAAGACTCACGACGACATAATTCCGCAATCCTTTGATATCGCTCACGAGCGCAGCCAGAGAGTACGGCGTAAGCATATTCCCTTGTTTCCAGTTTGCATATAGCGGCCCGAGGAACCATAGGGGTGCAAGGAGGTGGGGTCGGATCGTCCTCAGCAACAAGAAGATGCCATCCTTTGAGAAGAGAGAGTGCGATAAAGGGAGAGTAGGGAACCCTAAGAGGGAGTAGGTCGCGCGGAGCGCCTCAAGTGGTGTCTAGTCAGAAGTACTTTCGCATAAGCATTGAGCACTACCTGGGCAAGCAATGTTGGACCGACGCACCTGATCACCTAAGTTCCATACAGCCCCTCCAACACCAGCGCAGCATACAAGCGACGCGATGCTCACAGCTCGCAGACGCGCACGTATCACAGCCGGGTCGTCCCGTGTCCTTTGCTCTCCGTAGCTGCGCCCATCTGATCCCGGAGGACGTAGCCTTATACGCGCCGAGGGATCCAAGTAGATAGCCCCAACGTAGGCGGATGCAAAGGCGAGCGCGAGCGCATGTGCGACTGGAGTCGGAAGGACACGTAGGGCATCTATGGAGGGTATTTCTTGCATGGGGCAGCGGGCTTGTAGGAAGGGATGTTTCAGTGCTGCAGGCGTGAATAGAATGTGTGTTCCCTTCGTGCTCGCGTTGTGCTGCCTTGTAGGTCGTTGCTCGCTGTGTCAGACGTTGACCACGCGAGCCGCGTCGAAGTCGCGCGGTCCGAATCAGGTCCGAACATCCGGTCCGGGGTTTTCGGACATCTCATAACTAATACGTAGCGTAGCGCATTGGCGTAGGTCGCAAAAATTGGGCGACTGTCATAACAATAATATTATGTGCATTACTCAACTGCCTTCGACACACTTTTGTGCTATACTTACAGAATTGCCCTCCCAGTCAACGTATGTCAATAACATCATCCACATCATACATCAACCCATCTTCCGAACACACATCCGACTCGCTCGACTTGGACGTGACCCTCGCAGGCACCGCATAGCGCATCACGGTCAACTCCTCTGAGGCCTCTCCGCCGGCCCAGGGCGGGTCCACTGTCGCCCCGTAGACCTGAACGCGGTTCCGCTCCTGGATGGCGAGCATCATCCACGGCCCGAGCATGCATGCGCGGACGTAGCCTAGCGCGTTGCCTACTTCGCCGAGGTCTTTGAGGGCAACGACCGACTATAAATGCGGTGTCAGTGGCGCGTGTCGAGAGATGCGCAGAGGGAGAGATACACACGGCAGATGGGTCTTGGGTTGTCAGGGGATACTGGATTGCCAACAGAAATGCCGAACAAAAGGCGCTGAGGGATACCCATCCGAATATCAGACGTAAGTGCAAAGGAAGAATTATACAGGACATACACGAGGAAGTATAGCAGGTTATCCCGCGCCACAAGTCGCGACAGACTGCGGAAGTCAAATATCGTGTTCTTCGTGAAGTGCCGAAAGTGACACTTGGTCGCCATAATGAACAGAACGAACTCGAATCCGCACACTGACCAGTCGCCAGCGGGGATGAGCCACGGCGGACCATGGCCTGAGTATGTACAATTTGGTTCGCCGCTCAGGGTGCGTGTAACTGAGAAAACGCGAGCATGATTAATACAGCGCAGCTTTGATAAAGTAGACCAATGTTTACCGTGCACCTCCAAAGGAAGCGCCGATGCCAACGCCGTCCCGAGGCAAATGCCGTGGGCCGTTGTGAATCCGGCTACCAGGAAGATAAGAAGGCCTCGCGATCGGGCTTTGGCGTGCATTGCGTAGACTCGCGTTGTCATCATTGCTACTTGCAATCAGTCAAAATGCTGAGGGATTTTTCGGAGATCGTACCATCCAAGAGTATCATAAGGATCGTGTCGAGAGAAATATTGCATACCACGATGCTAAAATAGCCTGAGGTCAAAACATTAAGTACATGAGTCATGGACGTCTGCAACGGGCAGCTTACATCTGGTTCCAGCGCATACGCATGGGCGTTAGACTTCTCCTGTGCCAGTGCACCGCCAATAGATATAAGTACGTACGACTGGATCATGCGGGATAAGGGTTAAAAGTAAGCATCCTGAAACTTTGTGGAGAGGTGAAGCCGGAGGCGCACTGTGTATGATGCCATCCCTCGTGTAGTCATGACTATCGTGGCACGTCAGCAGGCGCTTATCCGTGTGATCCAAAGCGACACCACTCACATCTAGGCAGTCTAACTTGGGTTAGTACAAGCACGAAGTTGACACTGCGGAGAAGTAACACTCACAATGCGAACACTAGTCCACCGTATCTAAGCTTCACAACAGAATGGCGCAGCACGTGGTAGGGCGTGGGGTGAGTTGAGGCTATCCCGTTGCGACCATGGGAATCAATGGAGGGTAGCGTACCATCGCGTAAAGGAATTTGAACGTGAGCTTCGTCGATCCGTTTTGCTATGTGCGGGGGGCATGATGAGGACGCCTCTTAATACGAGGTTCCAGAAGGTCCACTGCTCACCCATATGGCTGTCACCTGAAAGTGTTGCGTTGAGTGAGCAGGGAAAGACGATGGATGAGAGACACATGTTCAGCTTACCTCGCGATCTAGCTTCAGTACTATTGATGGTCAGGACGTATCTCTGGACGAAGCCGACAACGGAGAACATACAATAGTCATACAACACCAAGGCGGTCATTGCAGCTACGCATATAGTCAACCCTGAGATCGACTTGGATAGAAAAGATGCTCACAACCGATGTAGCCTCCTAATTGGAACTGCCATAGTTCAGCCTCTACATCTTGGAGGGTCGGAGAATCGGACGGCATGGCATCGAAGAAGTGGGCGGGATGAAAGAAGCGATGAACAAGGGGGGTAATCACCACGCGAGCCCCGAAGGGTTTTATGTTCGGAATGGCCTTGCGGAAACACGCAAAGCGCCGCAACTCTGTGCCTGAAAGGGGATCAGCGGAGCTTTTGCTTCCAGGTCTTTCACTGCCTCCATCACTGACAGGGCATAAAGTCGTCCGCTCTTTGTTTACGTCAACCGAATGGGACCGAAAACGCGGATGCCGCTGATCGTCCATCCCATGTGATCATCTTGTGGGAGCGACGCTGAAACAACAGACTCTCCCTGCACGTAGCACTTAGAATCAGATCAAGAACAGAGAGTTGTGTGAAAAGGAAAGTTTCACCTCTCTTGAAACCTTCACAGCCTGCTGCGCACGGCGGGCAAAGCTCCATCAACGTACAGGGTCCGACATCGATTCGCGCCCACAAACCCCGAGCAGTGCCCTAACATGGGCGGCAATCATGCGAATGAGGTCAGCTGGGGGCGGGGACACCGAAGGGTCTAGTGTTCGGTCCGGGAGCACTTTTCAGTACCACGAAGAACAGGCGCTGTATACCCAGACTGATGCTAGGGTAAGAATTGGTAAGAGCTGGTAAGTAAGAGATGAGGAAGGACAAGCCTTGCGTTGAGCGCTTGCGTTGTTTGACTAAGCTTGGCTTTGTTTGTCCTGCTTACCGACGCGCCTGTGACGCGATGCCTCGTTTCTGCTCGAAACCATCGCAGATGCAAGGCCATCACCGTCTAGCTTTGTCACGTATCTATCGGCTTTTCCAGTGGCGACTTTAGCTTCAATACTATGGGGAAGACATGAAGGTACGAATGTGGTGCGGTAGTAAGCTCCATTGGGCTTCTAGGCCAAGCGACTAATGGCCAACAGAACTGAACCGCCGCTATAACGCGCTCCGAGCGGCGAACTCTATCCTCAGTAATTCGTGGCCCTACCGCACTCATTGCACGTACTGGCATGCTCAATACGCTCTATGACGTCTTGAACCTCATAGCATGGCACTCTTTCCTACACGAATTTGTTCATAAACGCCGTGACCCTGTAGCATTTTCGCCTTTTGTTTGATGGGCTGCCGTGCAACCTTGTTCCAGCCGATTGTCGGTGGAAAGGGGCTCTTCACCCTGGAAAGTCGTTCATTCAACCGACGATCTGGAGCACTGCGGAGGTAACTTGGATTGGATTATGCGACCGCGCTAGAAGATTAGTATTTGGTAAGTCAATTTCGGTAAATGAGACCGCTCGCAAACCTGTCACCAATAAGACGTAAAAAGCTAACTTGTGTTGTCCCAGGTATACATTTTAAAAGAAGGGGTTCCTCGACTTTCTAGACACGCATTAGCATGACTCCTCTCCCTCGCGAACTAGCTCCCATTACCGAACTCGACAACGAGCTCTCTGCTCAACTGCAGAGTCGCGTCGAAGTGTCCCTTCAGAACATCATCAAGACGAATATATCCTCTCGTTTCGGGCGCACGTCAGAGGTTCTATCGGGTCTCCGTGAGACTCTAGCCACCATCGACTCCGCCGACCAAGCTGCTTGCGCCCACGCGTTCAATACCGGCAACGTCCCGATGACAGATTACTCCCAATACTCCCCCTATGTCTCGAAGTTCTTCGAGAGCTCGCCCTGCAGATACTCCGATATTGTCGACTGTCTCGCGCCAGGTAACCCGACGTGCTTCGGAATGTCGAGCACGACGTCCGGGAAGGCGTCGAAGCCGATTCCGAGATACAAGAACACCTCAGCGCCGCCTGCACCGCTTGGCATGAAGTCGCTCTGGATGGGCAAGCCGGATGGGCTGACCTGTCGTCCCGTCTATTGCGGGTACACTCGGTTCGTGGAGGTTACTGGTGCTCCTGATACGGGCGCAACCATACGTATTCCGTGCACGACCGGGTCGGCGTCTGGATGGCGGGGAATTTTGGGGTTCTCCGATTTCACTAAGGATGAAGAGAGGTTGTCAGAATCGAGTGAGCGCCCTCCCGTTCCCATCCGCTTCCCACAGAGTTGCGTGCTGATGCATGTGACCCGCCGCAGTCCCTGGTCTGACGGCACCATGGGGAGTGGCCCTTATTGCTAACTACCGCTCGATGATGCTCACGCACGCTGCGTTTGCGCTAGCGGAATCGTCCCTGACTACGCTCTGCATGCTGTGGTCCACCACTTTCGTTGATTTTATCCGATGGATCGACGAAGAGTGGGAGACGCTCGTAACTGCGATTGAGACTGACAAGCTGCCGCAGCTACCTGGGACAGAGGAAGTTTACTCCAGCGTTGCAGTACGTGGTTCTCGAGCACCGTCTTAGAGCTGCTACTTATATTACGTACATTCACTAGACAAAGTTCTTCGCAGTCCCTGCACGTGCAGAGGAGCTGCGAAAGATCGGGCCGCCATCACATACCGCGGAAGGATGGACAGTTAAGGTCTGGCCTAAGCTCGAGCTGCTGGTTGCCGTCTGCAGTGGAACATTCGGACGTGTTTATCCGCAGGTATGCCTCATATGCGTTAACTATAGGATATTCGTGTTTAATAATCGTGATAGGTCAGAGCATACATAGGCCCGGACATCCCCATTCGCCCTGTGGTTTACGCCTGCACCGAGTGTGCCATTGCGATCTCGTACGACGATCGCATGCCGAATGTCAACCAGGTGCTTACAGAAGACTACATCGAGTTACTCGAGGTTACTCCCACGAATGAAGATGGAGAGCTTAAGCACTTGGTACGATGCATCACATTGATGACTTTGGCTGTATTACTAACACAGTATAACCAGTGGGAAGTCAATGCTGGAAAGGTATACGAACCAGTCGTAACAACGCGGAATGGTCTATGGCGTTATCGGACACTGGACGCGATCACCGTTGTTGGTTTCTCTCCGAAGAACGGCACTCCGCTGATCGAGTATAAAGAGCGACGAAAGTGAGTTTTGCGCCTTCTGCGAACTATATGTGCACTCACGCACCGGCTTACAGCCAATCTATGTGGATTGCGCAGTCACTCGTATCTCAGGGAGATATTCTCGCCTCCGTCTCTGGCATTGAGGAGTTCAACCAGGGCGAGTTTGTGACGTGGTGGGATGACCGTAGTCAACCACCAACCGTCGGCTTCTTCTTGGAGGATACACCTGACAGCCGTGTGTCCTACTCTTAGTCTTGTTCCGTCTGCATACTAAACGTAGATTGTACAGGAAACCTGAGCTCTGCTTCCCGGGATGCAATTCTCAAGGGACTGCTACAATCGAACGAGAACTTCTCTGTGAACGCCGATAGAGGATTACCTGTCAGACCTACCATTCGTTTGCTCGCCCCTGGATCGTTCGGCGAGTTCAGACAATGGAAGGGGCTGGTGACCGGGGTGGGAAGCGCGCAAATCAAGGTACCTATCATTTTGGTGGATCCAAAGGGACAAGGGTTCTTCTTGAGCAGGGTGGTGTCTGAGGTTCTGTAAACAACTAATGGGCTTGTGATTATGCTCAAATACGTTTGTCATCTACCCGGGATTGGTTTTCGCTGTCTCCAAGATGTATATGAACTTCACTTGTGTCCTGAGCACTTAGTTATACGTGCTACTACCCTGTGCGTCTGACACGGATCCATACGCGTCAGCCTCGAGCCTCAATAGTCCGTAAAAAAAACTCACACCTAACTTATCCGTCATCGACAGCAAAGATGTATGTGATCTGTGTGATGGATTGTCCTACGGCATCGTACGTTCGTCGGTGTTTGTCAGTGACAGCGCTAACTACCGCGGGATCATTTCTTTGGGGCCGCCGGCTAAGCGGCACAAACTACCGCCGAATACCGGATGTCATCCCTACATAACTGGGTCAACAGTTGAAGGCAAATTTCAGTGAAGATCGTGGCGCCAACAGCAGGTAAGCTTTTTGACTTCGTCATCGCCGATATTCAGCTCTCAGAGGTAGAGAGGGTCTGGAGATCAACGGATTAATCGATTATCAACAGGCTTGGGCAGCTTGGGCGGCAAACTTGAAGACTTAGCACCAAATATTGAGGAAGTTTGCTATGCCGGGGTCATTCCGTAGGAGTCATGATCTCCTACTTGCCAGCGTGATGTCCGACCGTCGGAGCCTGCTAGGGGCCCCTATGACTCAGGGGCAACCATGCATTTGCCTTGCAAACGACCACAACGACCACGTTCAGTGGCCGTTGACTAACTGCGTTGTACAACATAAGCGTCTGACTCGGCTGCAGCAGCACAGCGGTGCGAGAGTATAACTCTACAAAGTTACAATAGGCGGAGAAAATACGTACTTCCATCATATCCTAGCCGGTATAAAAGTCGACAGTCTGATCTTTCGACGACGAAACCCAGTCATCATGTCTTCCTACCCCAACGAGCTCACTCCCTTACCCTTTCTCAGCGACGAACTTGCCTCTCAGCTGCAGGCTCGTGTAGAGTCAGTCCTACATGTCATTATCAAGTCGAACGTGTTCACCACTCAGTTTGGTCGTAACTCCGAGGTTTTGGCAAAGCTTCGCCAGGAGCTTACCGGAGTGGACTTGGATGACCCTACAGCGTGTGTGGAGGCATTCGCTGCAGCCGATCTGTCCCTTACCGACTACGAGCCGTACGCACCATACGTCGCCAAGTTCTCTCAAGGCTCCCCATGTCAACTGTCCGATGTCGCTGATCTCCTCGCACCCGGACTCCCCACGCTCCTTGGTATGTCGAGTTCCACGTCGGGAAAAGCATCAAAGCTACTCCCGAGGTACGAAAACCCTCAACCTCCTTTCTATCTCGCGGTCGAGACCACGCCCTTCTTGGGCAGTCCAACTGGCAAGGCCGTGCTGCCAATATATACCGGTCTTTCGAAGTTCGTTGAAGTATCCGGGCAGGGCGAAAACAGGCGCATACCAGTCAACCCTCTCTCCTGCTATTTCCCTCGTGTTTTCATGGGCTTTACGGATTTTGAGCGCGATTACGAACGACTTTCGGAAAAAGGTGCGTTATCAAAGTGTCCATTCTTCCGTCATAGTGTTGACGTAGGGAATCCAGTCGTCGGGCTCATAGCACCATGGGGCGCCCATCTTATTGTCAATTACCGCTCCGTCATTCTTACCCATGCCGCATTTGCTTTGGCTGAGCCGCTTCTCGATACACTCTCCTTAATCTGGTCCAGCACGGCCATGGACTTCTTCCGTTGGATCGACGAAGAATGGGATACTCTTGTGGATGCTATCGAAAACGGAACGCTTCCACAGTTCCCTCAGACGGAACATGTGTATACTAGCATCGCTGTAAGCCTGCTTTGATATATTCTTCTTTACTGTTATTAATACTAATTTTGTCAGACCCATTTTCACGCCAATGCAAAGCGAGCTGAAGAGCTACGCCAAACTGGCCCCCCTTCCCGCACCCCCGATGGCTGGGTGCCGAAGGTCTGGCCCGAGGTTAACTTGCTAGTCGCTGTTTGCACTGGCCCATTTGCTCGCGTTCTACCACAGGTTAGTATCCCATACGATTCGATTCTCTTGCGCTCAAACATACCAAATATGTCTAGATTAGAGCGTATATTGGGCGGGATATTCTCATCCGTACTCCAATGTTTGCCTCGACAGAGTGCTTTATGGCCGCCCCATATGATGATCGTGTTCCGGACATTGTTCGGATGGCCTATGAGGAATACATCGAAATGATTGAGGTTAATCTTGATGGCTCGGACGGGGAACTTAAGAAATTGGTGAGTGTCTTCCTTCGCATTCATCATATCACAATGCTGAGGATTTCTGGGGTAGTGGCAACTCTTAGTAGGTAGACTGTACGAGCCAGTCGTTACAACGCGCTCTGGCCTATGGCGCTACCGGATGGGTGATGTCGTTGAATTCGCCGGTTTCTCTCCAGCGGACGGCTCGCCTCTACTGCGACCCAGGGAGCGACGGAAGTGAGCATTTGGTCTGATGGCTTGTCATAACGACGCTGACAACTTCACGTGTAGCCAGTCCCTTAGGCTGCCTCTCGCGCTAATATCGCAGACGAATATCATCGATTCTATTGCGGGTGTTGGGGAAATTAGCCAGACAGAATTTACGACGTGGATAGACGACCGCAAGGTGCCAACAGTCGGTTTCTTGGTAGAACCAGCCCCGGGAAAAGGTAGTTTTCATTTCACTCCCAGATATCGAATGATCACTGATACATACATCTCCAGAACATATCGCACCCTCAGTGCGAGACACGATGATGGATAACCTGATTGAAGGCAACGAGATGTTCGCCATGAGTGCCAAAAAAGGGCAATCCGTCAAACCGACTATCCGTGTTCTTGCTCCTGGCACATTTGGCGAATTTAGGCGCTGGAAAGGGGAGCTTAGTGGTACAGGCAGTTCCCAGGTCAAACTGCCTCTTATCATGGTGGATACGAAGGGACAAGAGTTCCTACTTCTAGGGTTGTCGATGAGGTTCACTAAGCATTGTAGGTAGAGCACCAACAACCAAAGCACCACCGTTAAATATAATATAATATGCCACATGTCGATGTGCCATCAAAAATGGGAGTCTATTTCCGCCAGACCTCATTGCTTTCATCTGGATGGAAGATCAACACGAGGTGCACGTACGGATCATGGTGTCAACTTGAAGGGGATGTGTAAAATGTGTAGCTCCGGTTTGTTTGTCCTAGCTTTCCGGGTAATGCCGGTGGGATATTGGTGCGTTCATCTTTCCAATACATGTTTGAGTCAGCCAAACTTGAAGGTTCCATGAGCACGCAACACAGTGTAGAAGCTGGACATGTTCCCTCAAATGAGATGAGTAGAAAACAAGCGAAGGGTGAGAGATCTGCCTTTGACAGTTGATCAAGCTTTCATGTCCCTCATATTTCCGGGTTCGCTGTCAGCTAGATATCGTGCGCCGATGGCACCACTAAACATTAAGCACAGTCGGTTTCAGGTTGGTCTCAGGGCTGATCAACCTCAACATATAAAAGATGTCGACAGCCCGACATGCGCTCCCCAAAAATATCATGCCTATTACTCTTCCTCGCGACATCACTCCTCTCTCCAAGATTGATGGCTCTACTGCTGTTGAGTTGCAGAGTCACGCTGAGGGCACCCTCCATTCCATCGTCAAGGCCAACATCTCCACCAAGTTCGGGCGCACATCGGATGTCTTGGCTGGTCTCCGCAATTGCCTTGTGCACGTAAACTTAGACGACCGCGTTGCGTGCGCGAACGCATTCGCCGTCGCGAATCTTCCGATGACCGAGTACGAGCTTTACGCACCGTACATCTCCAAGCTCTTCGAGTCATCTCCTTGCCAGTACTCAGAGGCCGTGGATCTCCTCGCTCCTGGTATTCCAACTTGCCTTGGGATGTCGAGTACGACGTCTGGCAAAGCATCCAAACCCGTACCGAAGTACCGGAAACTCTTCTCACGAGACCCGAACGTCCACCCACCTCCTACCACGTTGTGGGCGAGTCGAGCTGACAGCTTGACGTGCCGTCCGGTATATGTCGGCTATAAGAGGTTCGTGGATGTCCAGAGCTCCGAGGAAGGCGGAGTGAACATCCGACTCCCGTGTACTGCCTTGTCTGCGCCTGCCTTTTGGTTCATTACTGGCTTTGCCGATTTTGAACGAGATCACGAACGACTCTCGGAGATAGGTTAGTCTGCCTTTTGCTCATAGTAAATGCTACATGCTTGACATCACCCATACACCAGTTCCCGGTACTACAGCCCCTTTCGGTGCCTCGCTCATCAGCAATTACCGTTCTTTTCTATTGGTCCATGCAGCATTTGCTCTGGCTGAGGAGTCGCTGGATACGATCGCTATGATGTGGTCCACTACATTCATGGACTTCATCCATTGGATGGACGAGGAGTGGAGTACGCTTGTGGACGCAGTGTCGACCGGAAAGCTACCACAGTTTCCAGAGACGGAGGATGTTTACTCTGAAGTTGCTGTAAGAGTCTCTAACGGAAACTAGCTCATTAACATTGACTGACTGTGGTCCTTGTTGAGATAGTCGACGTTTTCTGCCAATGTTGCTCGTGCGCAAGCTCTGAGTGCACTTGATCCGCCATCGCGGACAGCCGAAGGATGGGTGAAGAAATTGTGGCCGGATCTCGAACTTCTGGTTGCAGTTACTTCGGGGACTTTCGGACGCGTTTATCCGCAGGTATGTACCATACTGTGGATTATGAACCATGCTAATTGTCGTTTCTAAAACAGGTCAGAGCTCTGATTGGACCAGAGATCCCAATTCGGTGTCCGTTGTATGGTTCCACTGAGTGCTCCATAGCGGTGGCTTACGATGATCACCTGCCAAATGTCCTCAAAGTCACGGTGGATGATTATATCGAGTTTCTCGAAGTGACACCTACGAACGATGATGGGGAGCTGAAGACCCTGGTACGTGGCTCAATTCTTCCGCATGTGCAGAATTCAACAGCTGACCGATAATATCAGTGGAATGTAGAGGTAGGGAAAGTGTACGAACCGGTAGCAACGACTCGAGATGGTCTCTGGAGGTACCGGACGCGGGACTCCATTGAAGTTGTTGGGTTTTCGCCTATCGACGGCTCACCTCTTATTGAGTATAAAGAACGCCGAAAGTAAGGCTATCATCACTAATATTTTACAATATATCCAGCTGACGCCGCCCTTCAACCACTCTCCGTCAGCCAATCTATGTGGGTTGCACAGGCGCTTGTCTCCCAGGCAGACATTCTCGCGGCGATATCTCAAATTGATGAATTCGATCAAATGGAGCTCACTTCGTGGTGGGACGACCGCAGTCAGCCTGCGACTGTCGGATTGTTTCTGGAGGATTCACCAAGTAGCCGTATGTCTATTTGCTCTCCTCTCACCTGGTTACTGTAGACTGACCGCTTGCTTTAGGCTCCATGTCCTCGTCCGTCCGAGACAAAATCTTGGACGGTCTGTTAGAGGCAAACGAGAACTTTGCTTCAGGCGCGAAGAGAGGGTTACCCGTCCGACCTTCAATCCGTTTGTTGGCTCCCGGAACGTTCGCCGAGTTCAGAAGCTGGAAAGGAAAGATGATAGGCGTCGGAAGTAGTCAGGTCAAGTTACCAATCATCATGCTGGACCCAAAGGCCCAAGACTACTTACTTTCCAAGGTGATAAATGAAATACCGTAAATACGGCATGCTTGCACCGCTCATAATCTTGGCATCGCATGGGATTTGTCGTTAAAGTGGCAATTGTCTTCGGTATAGCTTAGCAGCTACACACTGATACATCGCAATGATACACATTCCCATGGATGCTTCTCGCGTTATTTACTGAGCGTTTTGCCGTTTCCCCGATTTTAGATGAGGTTACGACTGGAGGGCAGCCAGGGTATTTCTCTGTTCCCAACGCCAAGACAACATAATAATATAGCTTTCCTCTTAGCCTCCGTTCCCGAGCGAAGTAGACAGATATTGAATGTCGAAACTTGAAGCTGAGCGCTGAAGCGCTGAAGGCTCAGGCCTCTGAATTTCTCCCGAGGTCCGGAATCCTCGGTACGTACACTAGACCCCGGAAAGTTGGTCCCATGTGCCGCTCTTCCTTGGGCACCGCGTGGTTGCCAGTGGATGGGCCAAATCAGTGAGCGACCGGTCTGGAGCGCTAGATAACGTTTCGATAGCACTAACTAAAATTGTAAATGTCACGGTTTGGCGGCCCTTACCGTAATGCATATTCATTAGGAGGTATAAATGTCATCCCGCATTGATAAAGTACAATGAAGCTGTATTTACCCATGCACCATCTTCCTCACGACGTAGCACCAATTTTCGAGCTCACGAGTGACTTGTCCACTCAGCTTCAAGCTCGCGTCGAGTCTTCACTCAGAAACATCATCAGATCAAACATTTCCACACAGTTTGGACGTACCTCAAATGTCCTGTCTGGCCTCCGTGATGCCCTTGTCAGCGTCGACCTGAACGATCCCGCTGCCTGCGCTAGAGCATTCAAAATCTCAAACATCCAACTGACAGACTATGACCAGTACGCCTCCTACATCGCCAAATTCTTCGATTCTTCACCTTGCCTGTATTCTGATGTCGTGGACCTTATGGCTCCCGGTATACCGCAATGCTTCGCGATGTCGAGTATGACGTCTGGACGTGCATCGAAACCAGTTCCAAGGTACAGGGATCCCAACCGTTACAAAGATGTATCACCCGGTGCGCCCAACATCAAAGCTATCTGGACTGGAAAGGATGGTGGGATGACTTGTCGTCCGATCTTCTGTGGCTATCGAAAGTTCGCAGAGGTACGCGGAGAGGAAGAAGATGGGGAAATCACGCGCATACCATGTGCGCCTGGCACGCCCTTTGGCTGGCGCGTGATGTTGGGGTTCGAAGACTGTAAACAAGATCAAGAGAGACTGGCAGAGGCAAGTGAGCAGCCTCTTTCACGTCTGCCAACGTTACAACTGAGACTGATATCATATCATCGCCGCCGACGCTTCCCTAGTTCCAGGGATAACAGCTCCTTGGGGCGCCACACTCATTCCAAACCACCGCTCGATGATGCTGACACACGCAGTTTTTGCGCTCGCGGAGCGGTCCCTTGATACGTTATGCACGTTGTGGACTACGACATTTATTGACTTCATTCGGTTGATCGATGAAGAGTGGGAGATGCTCGTCGGTGCCATTGGTGATGGTCACTTGCCTCAGCTACCCGAAATGGACGACGTGTATTCCAGCATCAGTGTGAGTCCTTCCACGATTTCATCTGTACTTAATTTCTCGTCTCACCATTTTTCAGCCAACATTTAGCGCCAATCCAGATCGAGCGAAAGAGCTGCGCAACCTCGGACCGCCCTCCCAAACCGCTGAGGGATGGGCAACAAAAGCCTGGCCCAGGTTCGAGCTACTAATAGCTATCACCACAGGCACGTTTGGGCGTGTATTACCCAAGGCACGAGCGTTTATTCCATTCATTTCGCGGGCGCAGTGCCTAAAGCATCAGAAACCCTCCCAGGTCAGAGCCTATATCGGGCCGGATGTTCCCGTTCGCAATGTGGTGTACGCTTCTGCGGAGGGGGGAATTGGGATCGTATACAACGACCGGTTACCGAACGTTGTACAGGTGGTTACTGATGATTATATTGAGTTCCTCGAGATTACTCCCGCGGATGAAGATGGGGAGCTGAAGCGCATGGTATGTAATTCCTGTCAAACATGCGACTCTATAGCTAACTTCTTTTTGGGGGCTGATGAGTAGTGGGAAGTTGATGTAGGAAAAATATACGAACCAGTAATCACCATGCGCAATGGTCTATGGCGATACCGCATGGCAGACGCCGTACAGGTTGTCGGTTTCTCCCCTATTGATGGTGTGCCCTTGATTGAATACAAAGAACGACGCCAGTAAGAAAGATATCCCGATTTCCGAACTCATATAGTCTAACCCCAACGTTCTAGTCAGCTCTTGAGGGTGGGTGAAGTGCTCGTCTCTCAGGCAGATATACTCGCCTTCGTCGACGGTGTAGAAGGGATTAACGAGTCCGAGTTCGTGACATGGTGCGATGATCGTGGCCCGAGTCCTACACTTGGCTTCTTCCTAGAGAAGGCCCCTGAGCGACGTAAGGCTTCACCTCTGTGCATTCTTCCCGAAGTCTAAAACGGACATTTTTCTCAGTTTCTTTGGCTTTGGAAACACGGGAGACTATCCTAAGCAACATTCACAAGCAAAATGAGAACCTCCCCACCGCTTCACAGCAATGCATATGGGAGAGACCGACCATACGTTTACTTGCTCCAGGCACGTTCAGAGAGTTCAGGCAATGGAAAGGGAAACTGTCGGGGATGGGAAGTGCGCAGATCAAAGTACCGACCATCTTGGCTGATCCTAAGGGTCGGGAGTTCTTTTGTCCAGGGTAGTCTCCGAAATAGAGTAAAGAGGGTTTTATGGGGTGTATTTACGCTTATCGGTGTTGTACAAATGTTTGACTACAAATCACTTTGATTAGTGGACGTGCAGTAATTATGCAGGAAAACGCCAAAGGGCCACCGTTCAGACCATTTCACATGTTATTCCAATAACAAACCAGAAAGTAACGATCTTTAAGTGTTCTTAGCCGTGTACGTATCATGTGTTAGGTAAGAACGTTGTACGAACATGCTGCTTTAAGAACCTAATAATAGTTCACAATGAAGGTGATCACTTCTATGATACGACTTTAGACTGTAGTATACAATATAGGCTGATTACGTGGCGAAATCTACCGAGTTCCAAGATGTTCCAGGGGTTTTGACAATTGTTTTGGATGTTGATTCTGCACTATTAAGGGTGCATGTTATGAAATGTCTGGGCCGTTATGCTGACGGCTTTTGCGTTTGACATACGTCATCGTTTATTCGGCTCAGGAAGTCTATCCTCTCCAGAAAAGTCCCTTGATGTGGTTGTTGGTCACCTGCTATGGCATTCGAAGGGAAAGGAATGAATAAGAAGGAAGTTTTTAGGCGCTGTTAGATAGTAGTTGGGAAAAAAACACGACACTGGGTAACATACGAGGACATACGACAGCACATTACGAAGTTGCCACATAAATATACTATCCTTCCATGGTCGCATCCCCGGCATTTAAATGCTGACCTTCCTGCCCGACATTTTCCTTTTTTACTCTTCTTTCTCAGCGTCGCTCTCAAGCTCATCGTCGAGATCGTCCTCGCCAAGCGCTACCTCAACCTCGAGTTCTTCGTCCTCGTCCTCTATCCCCTCCAACTTGCGCTTCTTCGACTTCCTCGCCGCCTTCGTAGCAAGCTTCGCCGAGAAACACTTCATATTCCCCTTCCCCATGTCCTCTAGATGCCCCTTAATCGCCCGCTCCGTCATCCGATCTCCACACATGCCGCACCGCCCCTTTGTGCACGTTCCTTTCATGATGTGTCGCTCCGTCGCATCCCGCCGCGAGAGCACCTTTCCACAGACAGGGCAGTGCCAGACCGGAGCAGGGTGCTCCCGCCTCGCAGCCTGAGCTTCCGCGGACTCGGACCTGCATGCGTGCTGCATGTGTCGGGTGCGATCCATCCTGCGCGTGAACGTCTCTCCACAGTCAAGGTACGGGCACCTGAAGGTGCGTTTTCTCTTCGTGGGCACAGTTGGAGCGCTCGGGGGCTGTGGTGAGTCAACGGGCTCGAGAGTGCTCGTGACAGACCGAGGCGACGTCGGCTTTGGTACTTCCTCCCCGACCTGGGACGTAGACGAGGAAGGCGGCGGGGTGTTGTCTGAGTTTGCAGGGTCGTCGCTACGGCGAGCGTAAGCCTTGCGTGCGAACTTGGGAGGCGCGAATAGCCTTGGAGCTGCGGGGAGCGTTGCGATTTCGGGAGTGAGGGACATGGGTGCCGGTGGTGATGCAAGTCGAAGTGGAAGGAGTGAAATAGCGCCCGCGAGACATCTACTTAAGAAAATGATGTGGCGCGGTTCCTGGTTAGGGTTGCATCCCCTCTTCATCGACATCATCATCATCATGATTCTCACCGCTTTTCTACACAACAACGACATGTACGTAGAAAGCTCAGCTGTCAATGCGTAAGTGGAATTAAAGTGTCTTCAACGTACAGTCGAAAGTCAGTTGCACCATTTGCAGGCGTGACGATTATGGCAGCTGAGTTTAAAGTTGATGTTTACATGCTCCCCGCCAACTTCCGGTCTCTACGGGTATGATATATGAAGGCCAATCCATCGCCTATTTTCGGGCGAAAACGTCTTGTATCAAACCTTAGAGTTCAGGCAGTCCAGATCCTTCGCTCAGTGTAGCTACGTCAAAGTTTCCTATCATGTATGAACGGGTTCACCCTTCATCCGCCATCTCTATATCTTCCTCGTTCTATTGAAGACGACCAATCATGTGCCATTGTCTTTTTTACATGGATCAGGCTAGTCAAAGTTTTACTTGAAATGTGTAAATGGCTATTGCTGCTGTGCTAGAGGATGTAAAACCCGATGGAGTGGCTTGATTCCCACGTCTACAAACACCTCGGCAAAACTGAGTCCGACTTGAGGTTGCTATGCCAAGCCATGAGATTGTTACGCTGAGCAAGCGTGGGGTTGCATACATCAAAGTAACTCACCGGATGTTTTGAGGCTCAAATGCTTCACATGCAAAGTATGAACAGTCGATCAAACTCTTGTCCTCTTGATGCATTCCGTTAAAATTTGTCTGAAAACAGACGATCGATTGGTTACAGCTACAGTGGACTCGGCATCGATGGCTGAATATGGGTTTTGTACTTTTGGGGATGGTGTTCGAGTTATCTGCATGTCAAATGTTTCGAGTAGTGGACAAGCAGATGCTACATCCAAGCTACATCGATATTGATTTTATGGTCAAAAAGCATTCCAGCCCCGCGGTTCTTTAATTTCAGGTGGCGGAGGTCCTCGGACGGAGGAGGAAACTTGCGAGAAAGTCAAACTCTGTCGCAGAGTAATGAAGGCTTAAATTAATTTCCACCCGACACAACTTCGGGAAGAGGTTAGAGGCACTGGGAGGATGCTCCCATTCGCACATTTGTCCGAGTGTATATCGATGAAGGAGGACGCATTGATGCCGCCGTCGATTTGGTTTCAGCTCCGTTATTCTTGATGCACACGAGAAGATCGTATTCCACTCTGCTGAGATTGGTGAGTGTTCAAACACAAGCTTCGCAAAGTCAGGCGCTATCCTTAGGCTAAGTGAGCAAGCGCATGCTTGTGCTCGACTAGTCTGCATATGTAGCCGAGAACTTCTTGGATCTAAAGACAGGGGTGTGTTATGATAGAGACCTTGAAGTGTCGGTGATAAACAAGGCGCAGCTCTCGGGCTCACGCATGTGTTTGCTGGCGATGTCAGATTACTCCCACGCTTGCGACCACGCCCTTAACTTACTTAGACACTTTCTTTCACCAAATGTACTTGCGCAATTCGTGTTCAGATGAATAGGCTCCGGGAGTGCAATCTCCAGTTTCCGCATGGCAACTTGTGTGGAACTTGAAGCTTGATGAGAGGACAGCGACACACTCCGGCTGAATCGCCGAAAGACAAGCTGCGTGAGACTGCATAGCAGGTGGGCGCGCTAACCTTTCGTATAAAAAAAAAACTAGATGCGCATTATAGATGTCCCTTAGGCGATCTGACCATCAAGCATTAATGGGGTAGTGGTAACCTGGGTCGTTGCCATCGACCCGCCGGGGGTTCGATTCCCCCTTAATGCAATGCGATGTTGATTTTTTCGCTTCTTGTGGCTTTACTTCCTCTCCGCCATCGACGTCATTTTTGTTTCAGGAAGGCCATGTTAATTTCGCATCTCCGACGATAGATATGTGTATCAGAGATGGTCCATTTCATGGGCCAAAGCCCTGGAACCCTCACATTTTGCACTAGTACAAACAAAAGTAGACCTATAAAGATAAATAAGACCCTTAGATGGGGAACTGGAGCGTAACATTCGCCAAGTACTGCATCGCGTCCACCCTATAGTTATCCTGCTCGATCGCCTGGGGCGTAAAGCCGTCCTGGAACGCGAGCATGTTGGGGGCGTCGGTGGTGTACTTGGGCCAGCTGATGCCCGTGTCGCCGTTTGGGTCGAGGTTGGCCGCGAAGCGGACGACGTAGTCGGTCATGTCGCCGCCGAAGAAGACGTTGAGCAGATCCGAGCCGTGGAACGAGCCGACGAAGGGGATGGCCTTGAGACGTTTGTTGACTGTTGTGTTGTGGGATTGGGTCAGCTGTGTCTGCGAGAGAATGGAGGGTGAGGAGGCTTACTGAACGACCACATGGGCTGCTTGCCGGACTGCGCTTGCATGAAGTATCGCCTGGGAGCTTGGAAGACGGCGTCGCCCTGGAAGGCGGCAAGGCGCTTGAATTCGGGTGTTAGCGCGTTGGCGATGCCGGTGTTGAAGGGAGAGCCATCGGACAGGTCCGAGGGATAGAGCGTTGCGAGCTGGCTGATGTCTGCGCCCGGTGCCTTGGGGAGGTAGATGGTCTGAAGGTAGTCGCTCCACTGGTCGTCGGAGCTGAAGGGAATTTGGTGAGGGGATCCAAATAGAGGATAACGACAGCTTACGTGACGTTCAGCGTCGAGAACGAGAAGAGTGTGCCCTCGTCGTCGCAGTCGCCCGAGATGAAAGGCACGTTGGCAACTGAACCCTGCGTGACAAGGTTCTGCGGGTCGTCCTTGAGGAACACCCCATCTACACGGGGCAGCCATGCCAGAACCAAGGACTATTCAAACCAGATCAAACCATTCGAACTCAGAATCCGACAGCACAGAGTGAAAGATATATGCGCACCTGATACGAGAAAATAAACGGCGTCCCGCCGACAGCCTTCATCAATTCGTCATAATCTACACCCCGCAGACAATCTAACGTGTCCGACGCGCCCGAGCACCCGGTCTGGTCGACGAGATAGTCGTAGTACTGCTGGCCCTCGGTGATGTCGCCCACGGGGATCGGCGAGCCCGAGTTCATGAACGCGCCGCGGAAGAGGCCCTGCGTGTCTCCGCCGTTTGTAAGCATGTGCAGTGCAACGGAGATCGCCCCGGCGGATTCGCCCCAGCTGAAATAAGGAGGCGAGTGATTAGATGGAGGGGGTATATCAGTGGAGAGAAGATGTACATGGTGACTTTGGACGCGTCTCCTCCGAAAGCGCCGATGTATTGCTGGATCCACTGCAGGGCAAGACGTTCTGAGGGACATCAGCATTCGAGTACCGGATGAACCGGATCGAAGAACGTACGGTCTTGGAGGCCGAGATTGCCGACACCAGCATCCTTCACCTCTTTGCTGGCAAGGAAGCCAAACGCTGTCTAGGACTGAGCACGATGTGAGACAGAAAAGCATCAGAGCACGCGTACCTGCAACTCTGTAGATAGATATAAGTGACTGGTGCAACATCAGGATAGAGTACTGCGGCTCTTACCGATAGTTCATGCTGACGTAGATAGCAGGGACGTCAAGGTCGATGGCGCGGTCCACGATGACACCACCATCGTAGCTATCGCCCAGATGAACATATGTTATGGATCAACAGAGGGGAAGTACTCACGTGCTAGTGCCTCCAACCTCGAATCCGCCTCCGAAGATCCACTACATACCAAGTCAACGAATACGAGCTCGTGATCGCAAGGGCGACATACCGCAATGACAGGCAACTTCGAGTCGGGAGTGGCGTCAGCAGGTGCCACGACGTTGACCGTCAGGCCTATTCTCAGCTAGTGTCAACCCACCGAGTTTATTGATGTGTCTCAGAAAGTGATCACTTACAATCCTCGGCAGCGGGCGTGATAACGTCGTACAGCAGATTCGTAACATTGTTGATCGCGTCCTTGGCTTGCTGCGGCAGGGAGTCTGGGATGGGCAACTTGATCGGCTGCTGCGGGCACGCGGGGCCGAAGGACGTTGCGCTGAAGTCCGTCGAGTACGCGGAGAGAGGCTGAGGAAGCTGGAAGCGCAGGTTGCCGGTCCTGTACACCGCACGTCGTTCTCGTTAGCATGGGTGAAAGCAGGACCACACGGAGGGCCGATAGGATTGACGGAAAGAAAGGGCAGGAAAACGTACGGGGGCTGTGCGAACGGGATGCCCAAGAACTTGTTGACGCTGCCCGAAGCCGAGCCGGTCACGGTCGCATTGTCGAGCTTGACCGTCGGGTCGGCGCGCTTGGCGAGGGGAGACGCGCCCGCGAGGGCTGCAACGGCGAGGAGTGGCGCGGCGCGAAGGAGGGAGCTCGCGAACAGCATCGTTCTACTCGTTCAGCAGTGTTGCGTGAAGCTGGGCAGATCCGGGCCTTGCGGGGACGCAGAGAACGAGAGGGGATCAAGGAAATTTTGCGGAGGCTTTCTGCATTTAAGCATGTTGAGGTGCGCGGATGAGCTGGCAGAGGACACGAAAGGGAACAAACGCGGGAAAATGTCTGATCAAGCGAGGTATGAGCGCGCCGGCGGGTGGACGTCATATGTCGCGGTCTCGCATGGCGAGGCGAGTTATCAGAGCTATATCGCGACTGATGCGGAAAATTGGATCCCATTGAGACTAAGCGAAGCCCTGCGAAGCCTCTGAATCAGGTAGAGCGAAGCAGGTGAGATAGGATGGGACAGCTTCGTAATACAAGTGTACGTGTGGACGAGTGGTCATTTGAAGGGTCGAGAAGGGTCGAGACCGGGCAATGCTACGAACGATTGTTACCTCGGCAAAGGACAAGGTCTCAGTCTGTCTCAGCAGGTACACGATCTGTCAAGAAGACTAAATGTTAGGAACGCATGTAAGCCAGCGCTCGGAGTGACCTACCCCACGGGGCCGATCACGAATGCGGGGTAAGCCTCTACTCGTTGCCCACACCGATAATGAACAACCTCGAGTCTATTTCTGCAGATAGACATATGATAAGCTATGAGAGCTCATCTAATGAGGGCACCGAAGGAATGGAGGTAAAGATGCTTGGTCTCACCGGCGGAATTTCCCCGGCAGCTTCGTGTGCTGTGAATATTTGAATGCGGATGGTGACACCATATAGTCGTGTTCTCGTGAGCTTGACCATCATATGGTGCGCAGGCGGGGGCAGTCCGGTTCGCGTAGAGAGTTATATAAAGCCGGGGGCGAAGTGGAGAATCAAGTGTCTCTTTCCCGAGTCAATCACGCTGACTACTACTGCTGTTGACGTTGAGCTCGACAAGACGAAAATCGAAAACTGGCGACGCGAGTCGGAGCGAAGAATGCGGAAGTTGCCGGCAGCTGTAATATTGGGCTCTGTTGGGGTGCTTGTCTCGTCCAACAACAGTTTACATCTTCTTCGTCGAACAATTTTCGGCATTAGAATCCTTGGGACTCTTAGGGTTAGTGCATGGATTTAAGATTCCCACAGAGTGTCATGCAGGTGAGCATCGCCGTTCTTTCGATCGCGTTTTCGTGCTTGCTGATTGTCCGTTTAGTCGCATTCGGATCTCTTGAGTAGCGCGCAAGACCTCTGAATCGTCGGTGTTGGACGAAGTGCGCACATGCTTCGGCCGACGATTGTAGCGATTGGAAAGCTGCGGTACCGTCCTGCCAACGTTCTGCTCGGAACACGGAAAGTATCGCAGTCCATTGCATGGATTAGCGCTTGATGAAAGGGTATACACTCCTCCGCCTTTATCACTCTCAAACGTATGCTTGGACTTGTCCTATGAAATAGAAGATAGAATCAGGGCAATCGTTTCGGCATAGTTTGCGAGTACAGCAAATCATCATAGCCTCTTCAGGCGCACATGTCCTCTTGCATGCATCATGTCTAAACCTTTCATTCATTAGTGCCTTCCTAAGCATTTATGATGTCTTTATATACAATATTGCATAATGTTATTTGTTCAACTGTTGACCGATCCTGTGCATCTTGTGAAGTCAAGGTCCAGTGGCAGGATACGCTCTACTTATCGAAACAACCATCGAGATGGACCGCCCAATCACTTCCCCGTGAAGTCGCCGTTTCGCCAGCCCCGGAAGATGGGGAGCCGCTTCAGAACGTGATCTTTTCAGCAGAGATCTTACGGCCGAACTGAGCGAAACGGAACAGTGATAAACCCCGCGTTCCCAAGCGAATCCCTGTCCTACTTAAGCATGTTATCGTATATCATCCTTGTCATTCCGTGTTGTATCATATACCCGCTCCTCATATCCCGATTCTCGTCCTTCGTATCATCTTTTAACATCTACGATGACCACTTCATTCCCTACGAGCAACAAATGGACCGACTTCCAGAGGAACATCTATGTCGCTGGCAAGCCGCCACTCCTAGGCACGGTTGATATGAAGGAGATCGAGGATAGTGCGAGGGAGAAGATGAAAGACCATATCGGTGCGTTGACCAGTCTGAGACTGTGTTCATGTCTGTCCATGTTGAACTGACTCTATATCATATCCTCTGCGTTTCCTACGTCGCGTTACCATCACTCTTGACGACGTGATTCGGGCTGTTCGACCGCGCCGATGGACGTGTAGGCAGCTACTTGTACACCTTCGGCAGCGCCGGGTCCAACTCCACGGACAAGGCCAACCGTGCGGCCCTCGATCGGTGGAAGATCGTCCCCCGCCTCCTGCAGGATGTCTCCAACCGTAACATCGAGGTGCGCTCCGTCTCCATGCACGCACCTGTGTTATTGACCATGCTAACATCACACCACGACAGACGACGATCCTAGGTGTCAAGTACGAAGCGCCCGTCTTTGTCGCGCCCGTCGGTGTGCAGGGCATCCTGCACCAGGATGGGGAGCTCGCGTCGGCAGCTGCGGCTGCAGCGTGCGGCGTACCGTACATCATGTCCACCGCGTCGTCGCGCTCGATCGAGGAGGTCGCACAGGCGAACGGGAGCGGCCAGCGGTGGTACCAGCTCTACTGGTACGTCTCCTTCCCCTTCCCCACCTTCCTCGAACCCGCATCACCCACTCACGACCAACCCAGGCCCCGCACAAGCGAAGTCACCGTCTCGCTCCTCCACCGCGCCAAAGCCGCAGGCTTCACCACGCTCGTCATCACCCTCGACACCTTCGTCCTCGGCTGGCGCCCGCACGACATCAAGACCGCGTTCCTCCCCTTCGGCTACGGCATCGGCTCGCAGGTGGGCACGTCCGACCCCGTGTTCATGCAGCGCCACGGGCTGCAGCCGCGGCACGAGCGCCCCGCGTTCCCGTTCGAGCCGGAGAAGATCCGCGCGCAGGCGGAGGCGGGCGACGAGCGGGCGCAGGAGGCGATGAAGCTGGGGATCAGTTTTCTGGGGGAGACGAATTCGGGTGCGTTTAGGGGCTGGGAGGATTTGCGGTTTGTGCAGCAGCATTGGGATGGGCCGATTGTGATCAAGGGCGTGCAGAGGGCTTCGGTGAGTCGTTGTTATCTTTCCTCTTCTCTCTTCGAGTGCTGATGGGGATGTGCCGCGTAGGACGCCGAGAAAGCCATTGAGATGGGTCTCGCGGGCATCGTCGTTTCGAACCACGGTGGTCGGCAAGTCGACGGTGCTCTCGGCTCCTTGGACGCGCTTGACCGCGTCATGCGCTCACCCAAAGTGCTCGAGGCGCAGAAGTCTGGCAAGTTCGCCGTGCTCTTTGACTCTGGCGTGCGGAACGGAAGCGATGTTATCAAGGCGCTCGCTCTCGGAGCCCAGGCCGTGCTCAGTGAGTACTATCCGATATACGAAGGTTTGATTTTACTGACAGCTGTTGGAGTCGGCCGACCGTTCATGTACGGTCTCGCGCTCGAGGGACAGAAGGGCGTCGAGCAGATCTTGATGCAGACGGTGGCGGATCTGCATGTTACACTTGGTCTCGCTGGCTTCGGGTCTGTCGAGGAGATCATCGGTGCTCGCGAGGAGGTTATCACGGATATTGGATATTAGCGAACCATATTCCTCAGATTAGCGAGAAACGAGAGAAATGTGGATCTGATAACATGTACTCATAGAGCAATGTACCAATGGACGCTATCTGACAAGCAAAAAAGCTGCGTCCTGGAAAGGTTTCCAGCAACGAATGGTATACTATTTTCTCTACCGCACGATACCCCTCATACAATCCAAATCACCCACTGTACAGAACCATCACCCCTACTCATCCACAAGCACAATAGAATCCAACACCGAAAACCCCGCCGCAACCCCGCCCTCGTCGCTCTCCGTCCCCTTCGTCCTCACCAACCACCCCACCTCCTTCTCGCCCTTGACCTCTCCGCCCCCAAACACCGCCCACCCGAAGATACCAAGCTCGCTGATCACCTCCGATCGGACGGCGCCCTCCGTACCGCCCGCACCCGCACGCACGAGGTAGCTAGATACGCTTTTGGGCGGGACGATCAGTGCCATCGCGATCCATGCTTCGCGCTCTGCGGGAGGGAGCGTGGCGAGGAAGGGCGGGATGGAGGATTTGTACACGTTGTTGCCGCCGCCTTCGCGCTGGGGCTTGAGCACCAGAGAAGCGTGCTGGGCGAGGGCGCGACGGACGCCCGCTGGTTCCGTGGAGGATGTGGATGCGGGTGAGGGCGAAGACGATGACGATGGTGGAGAGGGAGCGGATACAGAGCTGAGCGCGTCCGTGTCGTCTTCGTCGAGAGCCCACATGTCCATCCATGTTCCGCGGACGCGCTTCAGCTGCTCGTCGTTGTACTGCGTGCCCCACTTTGAGTCAGACAGGAACCGCTCGAGAACACCGGGTTTCGTCAGCGCTTCCTGCACCTTTTTTCCACCTGCGAGCTGAAGCGGGATGGAGGGACAGTTGATCGCGCGGCTCTTTTCGAGGAGGAAGCGCGTTTGGTAGTACGAGGGATCGGGGTAGTCGGTGGGCACGTAGCCAGCGCGGAAGTAGACGGTGGAGATCTCGTGGCCGTTTACGAGGAGCTTGCGGTCCGGGGAGGAGAGGGTGGCGGAAGTGGCGAGCTGGGCGAAGGTTTGGCGGATGATGTGGATATCGTGCCTGATGAATTGCGTTAGGAAGAGAGATATGGAATAGAGGGACGCAGGAACGCACGTCTTGAGGAGCTCGTACTCGAGCCAACGTTGGTCGAAGACGTTGCGCTCGTTCGGCTGGATTACGAATAGTATTCGCGAACTGCATACCGTTAGCCAAATCACTCCAATAAGCAGGGGTGAGACTCACCCAGAGGCCCCGTAGTGTTGATGTGCCTGAGCTAAGCCCTCTGCGAGTCCAGCAGTTGTGTTGTTGGAAGGGAAGTTATCCGCGGTAAGGTGTGATGATAAGCCGTAGTACTCCGTCGACGCATGGAGGTGCCTTTACCAGAGTAAATGGGCATCAGTAATACGTAGCGTTCTGAGAACGCGCATACACGCACCTATGCATCGCAGCCGCACGCTCCGATAGCGTACCAAAAGACGACGAGATAGTGTTGAACTCGACCTGCTTCAGCGACAGCGACCCTCCCTCCGACTCTGTGTGAAGTAGGTAATCCGACCGGAACAATCCAAGCTGCAAAGGCTACACGACCACAGCTACCGTTAGCCAGAAAGCTCAATGCTGTCACGAAAAGCGAGTAGGGAGCATACCTGGACAACGCCCTCCTCGCGAATCGCCTTCCATCCCTTCCACAGCGTTCCGACGAACTCGTCTGCCCTCCCCACGCCCACCTCTGCTCCCATCACGCTATCCAAGAACTCCGTGTCCATCGCGATGCGCGCGTAGAGGACATTGTATACCGACTGCAGCGCGACGGCCTCGGTAAACAGCCGTCGCGGGACGGGCGCGGGGAAGAGCGAGATCGGCGCGTGGATCGCGCTTGTCGGCGCTGGCGGCTGGGTCGGCGCTGGTGGGAGGTATAGGAGGCCATGGGAGAGTGAGTATGTCGTTGCTGCAAGAGTGAGTGCCTCGAGCTGCTCTCTGGTTAATGCGGGTGGCCAGGATGCGAAGTCGAACTTGGTCATAGTCGAGTGTCGGTCGTTTCTGTTGGTTTCTGTCTATGCAATCGAATGGGTACCTCTGAATTCGAAGAAGCTTTTATGGGGAGATGAGAAGGAGAAAGTGCTGAGAAAGCGAGTGAGCTCGCCATCCTGTTATCGTCGGCGGTTGTTGGTCAGCAAGGGGACTTGGTCCGCGTCCTGTCACATGTGTAAAGCCACTGCCCGAACCGCACGCATCGGTCGTTCCCCCTTTCGTTCGAACCACCACCACTATCGCCATCTCCATAACCCGCCGTCATGTCTGCCGCTAGGTGAGTATGCCTGCTCAATGTCATATATATGTCCATCTAACACTTGAACGCTCGCAGATCTCTCGCATCGTGCATCTTCTGCAAGATCGTCAAGGGTACGCACCCGCTAGACCTTGTCCGCGACTACAGTGCTCGACGGGCGCTTCCTCTTCGCAGGCGATATCCCAAGCTTCAAGCTCATCGAAACGGAGCACTCGTGAGTACATCATGCTCGTTCGACACAACCGTGCTAAACGTCCGACTAGGTTCTCGTTCCTTGACATTGGTCCCCTTTCCAAGGGCCACGCGCTCATCATCCCCAAAGGTGCGTTTATCTCGACTCCCGTATTGCGGCCAAAGCGCCTTGCTTATCGCTCCCCGGTAGACCACACTGAGAAGATGCATGAGCTCCCTGACGAGTACCTCACCGACGTGCTCCCGATCGCTAAGAAGATCGCGAACGCGCAGGGTCTTGAGAACTACAACATCCTCCAGGTGCGTATCACTGCGGTTCTTGACCCATAAACTGTTACTCAGGTGTCTCAAAACAGAACAATGGACGCATTGCGCACCAGGTGCGTCGTCATCCGTTCTCTTACCGTCTCCCTCCGTGACGTGAGCGTGCATCTTGCCCATGCAGGAAGTCGACCACGTCCACTTTCACGTCATCCCCAAGCCTCAGGCTAGCGACGATGAGGGTCTTGTCGTCGGCTGGCCTGCCAAGCAACCGCCGAAGGCTGATCTCGAGCAGTTGCATAAGGACATCATCGGCAAGCTTTAGGTAGTTTAGTTGAACATCTTCCCTTGGTACCGCCACGATGACTAAAGCTATGTGGCATATGATTCTCCATCAGTTCAGTTCGTCAGTGGTGCACTTCGTGCAAAGTTTGCTCACTAGTGAAACTGTGTCTGGCGGACCTCTCCGTTGCATGCACGCACACTTCACCTGTGTTGTGTATGATAGTATTTTCTGTGAAGTCGTAGAGACTCTCGCCTCTCTTACCTTATAGTGCCTGTTGCATCAGGCCAATTTGTGATCAAGTCGGTTGGTAAACACGTTCATTCGGGAGATTGCCTGTGCTATTCAAGTATAATACAAGTATTGAAACATCAATCCATGTGTATAGTACATAAAATCAGAGTATAGAAAGACATCAACCGAGAGTTAGTCTCCTCCTTTGTTCATCATTCTTGTCACCCTTGTCCTCAGTGCTCATCCTCATTCTCATCCATGTCACTATCATCCTCTTCCCCTTCATTCTACTCATCTTCGGTTTCTTCTTCACCTTCAAGTTGACCCAACTCTGCTTCCAGCTCTGCTGCTTGAGCATCCTTCCCTTGCTTTCTATACATAATTGCCAGACTGGCCATGGATGAGAGTGTATCAGGGTGTTCTGGTCCCAGCACCTTTTTTCCCACCTCCACAACCTGCACATAAAGATTTTCTGCTTCACTCATCTTTCCCAGGTTAGAATATATTGTTGCCAGACCTTCCATGGCTGAGAGTGTGTGAGGATGTTCTGGTCCCAGTATCTGTTCCCTTGCCTCCAGCACTTGCACTTGAAGCTGCTCTGCCTCACCCAACTTGCCTTGGTCTAAATATGTCATTGCCATATTATTCATGGCTGAGAGTGTATCTGGATGCTCTGGTCCTAGGATCTGTTTGCTTGCCTCTAACACTTGTACTTGAAGCTGTTCTGCCTCACTCATCTTGCCTTGGTCTGAATATGTAGTTGCCAAATTGCCCATGGCTAGGAGTGTCTCTGGATGCTCTGGTCCCAGTACCTGTTTCCTTGCCTCCAGCACCTGTAACTCAAGCTGCTCTGCCTCACTCATCTTGCCTTGGTCTGAATATGTAGCTGCCAAATTGCCCATGGCTAAGAGTGTCTCTGGATGCTCTGGTCCCAGTACCTGTTTTCTTGTCTCTAACACTTCCATTTGAAGCTGTTCTGCCTCATTCATCTTGCCTTGACCTGAATATGTCACTGCCAGATTATTCATGGCTGAGAGAGTGTGAGGATGTTCTGGTCCCAGTATCTGTTTGCTTGTCTCTAACACTTCCATTTGAAGCTGTTCTGCCTCACTCATCTTGCCTTGGTCTAAATATGTCCCTGCCAGATTATTCATGGCTATGAGTGTATCTGGATGCTCTGATCCTAGGATCTGTTTGCTTGCCTCTAACACTTGTACTTGAAGCTGTTCTGCCTCACTCATCTTGCCTTGGTCTAAATATGTCCCTGCCAGATTATTCATGGCTATGAGTGTATCTGGATGCGCTGCTCCCAGTATCTGTTTCCTTGCCTCTGACACCTGTACCTCGAGCTGCTCTGCCTCACTCATCTTGCCTTGGTCTGAATATGTAGCTGCCAGATTGGCCATGGCTGAGAGTGTGTCTGGATGCTCTACTCCCAGTACCTGTTTCCTTGCCTTCAGCACTCGCACTTGAAGCTGCTCTGCCTCACTCATATTGCCTTGGTTTGAATATGTGACTGCCAGATTGCTCATGGCCATGAGTGTGTTTAGATGTTCATCCCCATATTTTTTCTGCATTTCTTGTAGGACTTGGCTTTTGCAAACCTCCTCCTTTTTGTACATGCCCATATCACGATAGACCATTGCCCACTTTGCAGCAACTGCCCATGTTATTTCAAAAGCTTTACTTGCATGAATAATGTGCTGAGATAAGTGTTTCCTTGTTAAATAATCAACTTCATCATCTCCCCATGGTACAGCTAAAGCAAGCATATGCACAGCTTTCCCTTTTGTATCTGACACATTGCTCACTTGATCTACTATCCACTCATGGATTAAAGGATGAATGTTCAATGCACCATTGGCAGTATGAATCAATGAATAGTGCAAAAGATCTTGGATAACATGCATAAACAGAACTGAGTTCCAATATTGACTATCTCCCATGAGCTTTGTAATGAATGGAGGTAAGTTCAAATCCTCATCTCTATTGTTTTCCCATGCTGATTTAAAAATCACTTCAGAAATACCACTGTGATGCATGAATGAGCATAACTGAAGAAACTTTTTTGAATGATCTTCAAGCCTATCATAGCTGAGAAGCCATGTAGTGTATGCTGTAGATGTGTAACCATCCTGTTTCTGCACAGCTTCTTCTTTTAAAAGCTCCAGCCTATGAGTCTTGAACAAATCCACATATTTTTCAATAGAAATTTCAAGTGTTGATATATATGCTCCAGCTTGAGCAATAGCCAGTGCCAAATATCCCAGTTCCTGGAGTAGAGTAATTAGTTACTAAATATTTGGCATATTTCTGATGCAATTACCTTGACTAATCCATGTGCGGAATTCATTGTAGATTGGGTTTCTATCACTTTGCTTGTTTTCACCAAGAGATTAACAGCTTCTCCTTCTTCCATATCATATACATGACATGATGAGTGTGCTTCTGTAGCATGGATTTTGCAAGAGTCATTTCTCGAGGTAATCAAAATATTCCCATGTTTACCCCTTGGGAAATATTTGTACAAGTTGAATGTGGGATCATCTGCATTATCCAGCAGTATCAACCAGTTATTATTTTGCCCCGAAAACCAATTCAAAGCAGCTGTGTCAGACTTTTGAAGTCCTTTGTTATCAGCGATATCAATGAGATCAGCCTTGATAGACTGCTCTGAAGATGCATCTATGAAGAAGACATATGAAAACCTATGTAATTTGTCAGGCAATGTATCATTGCAATTGATGTAAGTTGCATACCATGGATTTTCACCATTCTGTGCAATCTCAATGAATTTGTATGCACACTGTGATTTCCCTGAACCTCCTGGTCCATAAAGAACAAACACCTTCTGAAGGGTGGCAGGTGTACTAGGATCAACACCAATATATGCATTCATCTGAGAAAGAATACTGTTCCTCCCAGTGAACACAGGAGTTGGGGGAGGCACAACCTTCAGTCCCCTCGGAATAGCAGACTGAACCAAATTATGGCCAGCAAGCACTGCACGGGCATGAACATCCAGCAGAGAATCCACCATGGAGTCCACTTCAGCAGTTACAACCCCCCGCTGCAAGTGACGAGAAGTGTGGGCAGCCACTGTGCCCAACCCCTTCACATGTACCCAGGAGACATCCTCCAATCCATGGGTGACACTGCACCGGTGATATGCACCCGGGCATTCCAAAAACCGAGCTGCAAGCTCCTCTGATACTCTTTCACAATCGACAATCATGCTTTGCATAAGCGCAGCTGAATCACGAGACGCGATCAACCCCCCAGCTGATACAGCAGTAATGGTCTTGGGGTGACCTGTGCCTACACTGACCAACGTTGCGAGGGCATCACCCGGAAAGAGAGCCTCTGCCTCCCGAAGGGCAATCTGGCTGGGGTTGTTTGCCCCTACACCGCCATCAATGTAGTGATGGTGCACATGCCCAGCAGTGAGGGCAGCCGGCTTAAAATGACCAGGCATAGCCATCGTGGCACGCACGGCCTCCCAGATATAATAATCGGGGGACGCGTTGGCCTTAACACTGTACGTACGCAGCACCTCGGGAATACCAGCATTCATATTATCAGCCAACATGGCGCAAACAAACCTACGGTGAGTGTGTTACCCGACCGGTCTAGCATCCAGAATCAACAAATGAAAACATACACATTACAAGCATTGTCATTGGTGGTCGTATCCGCGAGCATACGGACGTTCGCGTCGCTGAGGACGTTCGCCACGATAGCCTTGGCGGCGAGCTCAAGCGTAGTAGCCTTGAACTTCCCCTCGCCGAAACGCTTTCGACCGTGCTCGTAGACGTCCTTGACGAACGTTTCAAACGTAGCAATGGCATCGTCGACGGACATCCGAAGACGGCCGAGCATGAGCGCAATGAGTCTAGCGAACGTTCAGCAGACGATACTCATAAGGGCTGAAGATAAGGAAGGGACGGGGCAGAAGCAAGACTTACCCGCCCGTGCCCGAGCCGCCGACGAGGTCGAAGTAGTCACACGGACGCGGAAGAGAGGGCAGCTCCTTCTCGGTCTGGATACGGTACATGATTTCGCGAATGATAAGCAGCGCAGATAGTCCGCGGACGCCGCCTCCATCTAAACGTAAAGAAAGTAGTTAGCACAGCGCATTAGATGGATAAGATGAGCAGATAACGACGACGACGACGAAGGATTGGAAGGGTTCAACGATAGTCGGGAGCGAGGACACACCGATAGACAGCAGACGTCTTCCTTTGGGTTCGTTTTCAGGCATAGTAGAGCAATTTCAGAGGTTTTTTTGAGCGTTCTGGTGTGTTTGGTATAGACGATAGCAGTAGGTGAGATGGTGGGAGGAAGGAAAGAAAGGATCGAGGGGGGATCCGGTAGACGAACGCTCAGGCGCTTAGATAGGGGTCCGTGCGAGGACTCGGAGATGCAGGCTAATTTCGGATTCCTCGTGCTGTGTGGCATGCATATGGGCGTCGACCCCATTTGTTGCTAACCCAGACCGCCACCTAGTGCCCGACGGTGAAAGCATTGATCAGTGGTGCGACATTGAATGCTTTCGAATGTTTTGCTGACCTGAGCGGTGTTGACAGCGAGTTGCAAGTAGACTAGGGCCCGGGGTGTAACTTGCGGACTTTTTCATGGTGACGCAAAACCGAGCTGTGCGCCTCGACGAGGCAGTTTGAATGCCCCTACTAGATGCTCTCTCGGCATCCTTATCGCCCAGCGCGACGGATGCAAGGGTCCACTCACGCAGCGACATGTAGCAAATCTCACGCACACTCCAAACATGATCTTGAGACCTTCGAGTGACGCCTTTCTCCCATACGCGGTGGAACCCAAAGAGAACCTCAATCAGGGCCTGGAAGCGGCCACGGTAGACTCAAGACCCCGGGCATGTGTGGTCGCCAGCAGGGAAAGTGGGTGCCGTATCTCTCCATCATTATCATCAATGAACGCCCCATAGAGTTTTGGACGCTTAGCGTCAGCAGTTGATTTGAGACGCTCGAGAGCATGTAGGTTACCTCGTCGTCTATGGGAACAGGGGAACAGGAGGAAAGCGCAAGGAGAGCGCAAGGAGAGCGAGTCAGGTCTAGCAAGTTCGAACGGAGAATGCGCACCCAGCGTGCACGGTGCAGCCAGCAAAGTACTCTCCCAGTGTCAGCAATTACGTACTCACTATTGCTGCGGGCAGCGACTTGCGAGTATACGTATCAGTGCGTCATCCAACTTAGAAAATGCCCTTATTTGATTCCGGCTGACTGAGGAGGACATGCAGCGCGCGCTGATATCGATTCATCATTGGTAACCGTACTCTCGGTCGCATTTCGCCTTGCACCTTGCACCCATTTCCACCCGCAGTTGGCTCGCAGAAAGGAAGCATACGTACGTGTTCCCTGTACTTCAAATGTGGAATCTCCAAAGAGATGAACGAGACTAGCTATCCTGCTTCCCGCTGTCGCACGCTCCGACCCTGAAGTTTTGGACTTGTCCGTTTAGCCAACGAATACTGGACTAAGCATAGTCAACCTTGTAGTCAATGTATCATGGTACGTCCTCCGAGTCGTGTCTTTATCACAGAAGATATGAATAGCAGGGGAAACACGTGTACACACATCAACCTGTTCCACTTCCGCCCTCGATCTCAGTGCCTCGTGGATTGGAAGCTAGTTTCCTTCGAGAGGATCCCATGAACACCGATGCGCGCACATGCTGTGGACCGCATTCTGTGGACAGTTTGGTGGCTCGCCGATCACCCACTCCGCATTGGGTGTTGCTTTCAACGACGGGACGGTAGTCCGTCGATGATGACGTCCATGTTTCAGCCACTGCTGCACATGCGAGCGCTGCTGAAGGTGGCAACAACGTACAGAAGTGGCCTGCAGTGGCCTTCCCTGCTGGAAAAATGACGGAGCAGTGCTCATGCACTTGGAGTCCTTCGCAGTGCTGTGAGGTCACGCTTCAGCGATTTGTGGAAACGACGTCATTGCCGTTACCTTCCCCTCCGATATTCCTTATGTTGCATTTGCATACCATTTCGCGCTTACTAACGAGACCGGGGGGCGACGATAATCACCATTCCTCATCACCACATGGTCAAAACCGATTCTAGGTCCTGAATCAGCTCTCGAGAAGCGAGATCCACTTGACAACTACCTCTTAGCCAGAGACGCTCCAAGTAGTATAGGCTAGTTCGCATCGCCGAATTTAATGAATACATAGCTCAATCATTAATACCAGCTAGAACGCTTGGGGTCGTTATTACGTATGTCCTACTACAGTGTCGAGTGGATAACAACTAGATAAACGTGTATTCGTCCCCTCTTTGGATGGATTCTACAGCCAATAACTCGGATCTGTGATCTTCAAGCAATCGCGAATACTGCTCAATTGAAATTGAAAGTCGAAGGATGTATAAACCAGCTTGAGTAATAGCTTGAGGGGAAAGTTCTAGTTCCTGAGGAGCGATTCGGACCAATCCGAGTCGTAAGTACTATGATGATTAGCTCACACAGAGCGCAAATACCTTCACTAAAGCAGATGCAGCGTGCCGCGAGGTCATGCTTTCTGTTATTCTGCTTGTCTTCAGGAAGAGCTTCAGAGCGTCCTCTTCTTCCATACGGTCTATGTGGCTTGCTGAGTTCTCACCAATTCCTTCTCCATAGAACAGTTCAGACCGTGACGTTATCAAGATATTCCCATGCGAGCAACTTGGAAAATAGGCGGACAAGTTAGACGTAGGATCAATTGCGCCGTCAAATAGTATCAGCCAGTTGTCTATTTGCCCTGAAAGCCATGCCAGCGCTTCTAAATGTGATCTCTGAAGTCCTTTACTGATAGCGAGATCAGTAAGGTCAGCCTTGATAGATCGTTCAGAAGATGCGTCTATAAGGAACACGTGTGAGAAACTGGGTAATCTGTCAGATAATGCGTTATAGTGAATAAAGGCTCTCTTACCGTGGATCGTCTTGAGCCTGAGATACCTCAATAAATTTGTATGCACACTGTGACTTTCCCACACCCGCCGGACCATATAGCACGAAGACCTTTCGATAGGTAGCAGCTAAACTAGAGCCAGCTCCGAAGTATACATCCATCTCAGAAAGGGTTTCGTGCCTCCCAGTGAATGTAGGGGTAGCGGAAGGTACAACTTTGAGCACCCTTATGGTAGCAGAAGAGATTAAGTTGTGGCCTGCAAGCACTGCACGGGCACGGACATCAAGTAGCGACTCCACCATGGAATCGAGCTCGGCGCTGATACGCAGCCCCTCCAGGTAGCGTGAAGTCTGAGTCACCACTGTATCCAGCGCCTTCGCATCGACCCAAGATACACCCTCCGTTCCATGTATAACACTGCATCGATAGTATGCACCCGGGCGTTGAGAAAATCGACCTGTGAGTTCGTCTGATACTCTCTCGCAATCAACAGCTACCCTTTGCATAAGCGCGGATGGATCAGAGGCTGCAGCCATTTGGTGTGCAGAATCAGCGATGATTTCTGAGCGGCCGGTCCCTACGCTGATTAGGACGGCTAGAGCATCACCCGGGAAAATTGACTCTGCTTCCCGAAGCGCAAGTTGGCTGGGATTGTTGGAGCCAACCCCTCCATCAATGAATCTGTGTTGCAATCCGAACTCGCCTGAGAGAGTGGCAGGTTTAAAGTCGCCAGGCATGGCCATTGTCGCACGTGCAGCTTGCCAGATTGTAAAATTGGAGGACGTGTTGTTCCTAGCGCGATACGTGCGCAATAGGGTGGGGCTACTCGCGTTAAGATTATCAGCAAACATGGCGCAGACGAATCTGCAGTAGATGTTGTGTTCAATCAGGCTTGAGTCTCGAGCTGTGATTAGAACGTACACTTTGCAGGCGTTATTGGCGGCGGCGAAATCATCGAACAGGCGGGCATTCTCATCGTCAAGGACCCTCGAAACGATAGCTCTGGAGGCGAGTTCAAGCACAGTGGCTTTGAACCTCTCCTTGCTAAAACGCTTGCGACCTTCACCGTAGACTTCCTTGGCAAACGTTTTAAAGCTAGCGATGGCATCGTCTATGGGCAGGCAGAGACGACCGAGCATGAGGGCGATGAGCCTATAAAGAGAGTTCAGCGTACAAGGCTATGAGAATGCGTAGCGGGAACAACTGCGGAAGAATGACATACCCGCCCGTGCCAGAGCCGCAGATGAGGTCGAAGTAGTCGCACGGCCGAGGAAGAGAGTGCAATCCTTCCCTGATCTGGATGCGGCGCATAATATCGCGGATGATAAGCAACGCGGACAATCCCCGGACGCCACCACCATCTAGACGTGCACGATATAGTGAACACGCCGAGGCGAGTGGGTGAAAAGAGGGTAAATGACTATCAGCGACGGCGATCTCAAGCAACTCATGACGATCGGGGGCGGGTCCGCACCTATAGAGAGTAAACGTCGTCCCTTTTGCGCCTTTTCAGCCATAAATGAGTTGATAGCGGTGGGTGAGATGATGGGAGGTAAAAAGAAAGGATAGGACGGAATTTCCGAAGACAAGCACTCATGCACACAGGAAGTGGTCCGTGCGCTTGCGGGGATTAACTTTGGGCCGTTTCCTGTTATAACGAATGAAAAAGGACATAGGATGCACAAGTACAATGGGCGCTTGGTCTCTGCATCGGAAGGGCGACAGGAAGTGCTAATCTGACAGTAGCTAGCTGTGTGAATGCGGGCCGGTGACTGAATGCTGAGCCGTGGCGCATGCGAGTCACTGATAATAAGCCCGCAAGTCCGTCCGAAGAGTCGTGAAAACTAGACTTGAGGAAGGAGCGAAGTTTTCCGTAGCTCGACTGAGACACTTTCGATCAAGAGAAGGCGAAACTAAGGTGGATGGACACAGCTTACGAAATAGAGGCTAAACGACCCGTGTGCAGAGATGGCAGTCGTACTAAGAATGCGCTGTGTGTCAAGCTAGAAAACAGTCGGGGAGGCAGATCGATATAAGGGACGAAGCAGGCATCGTCAGAGGTAGTGCAATAAGTGGACATTACATGAAGTCCTCCTCAATCGCCTTCCCCATCAGCTTCGGCACGTCCTCATCCTCTTCGCCATTAAACAGTGAATCGTAGGACCGCGCTGCCTTCTCTGCCTCTCGCTGCTTCGCCAGATCTGCATCGACCTTTTTCTGCAGCGATTGAAAGGCTTGTAAGGGCGGCGAGGAGCTAAGAAAAGGTGAATAGACGAACCTTTTGAGCTGCAATGACGCGCTTCTCCGCGTTCTCCTTCTTGATTCGCTCGATACGCTCGTTCTCGTGGTCGACTTCCTTCTCGACCTTGGTCTTGTTGAGTCGGTTGACGATAGGGTTCTCGCGCTTGGGAACGTGAACTATATGGACGTCGCTCAGCGAAGGCGTAGACCTGTGGAGAAGATGAACATACCTTTCTTCACCTGGAGGACATTGAATGTCGGGTGAATATATGCGGTCGAAAGCTCGGGATATACGTACGCGTTTGTCATTGTGGAAGGACACCTGGCCTGTAGCCATATCCCCCGTTTTCTAGAGTCATAGTTATTTTACTACGTGGGCTGGATGACGACTTGAAGACCAGTGTTACGGACCTTGAGGTTATCACCCGGGGTGTATATGATCGTCAAGTTGTCCTTCTTGTTCCCTGCAGTTCGGTCACACCTCGCGCATACACAGGCACAAGAGGTTGAATAGTACCTTCGATGGAGTTCGCCTTGACGAGCTGAGCACAATCCGTGAGGAGAGCATTCGGTATGGTCTCCCAGGTCATACCGTCCGGCATGCGAAGGTAGACGTGGGCAGACGAGAGCTTGTCGACGTGGAACCAGACGTCCTGTGGCCACGCATATTTGATCAGGTCCTCGTCTAATCTGTGTTGGTTAAGATCTCGCTACATCGCATAGTGCGGAGTGGGTTGCTCACTTTCGACCTTATCCTTGCCCATGTAGATCGTCGCGGGAGGCTTCACCGCTACAAAGTTCGGGTCAGACAGTGGATTGATGCATAGCAGGCTGCTGCGTACCTGTTGACGTGAAGAAGAGGACCATGTTTGCAAGGCAAGCGAATGATAGGTAAGAGACAAAAGTGGGCTGAATCGGAGCAGAGGCAAGGCTGAATGAGCGGAGACGCCCAAGTCCAGCGATCGTGGGAAATAAACTGCCTCCTTTGACGCTGTTCAGCACATCCGCGACGCCTGTTTCCTTTAACCGCTCTCATCGTCTTTCACGACAGTCCCATCCCACAGTCCCTTGCATTTCTTGTAAGACCTGCCTAACAAAACCCAACCAACCATAACCTCACCTATCTCTCAGCGTCTCCCTTCACTTCGCCGCTGAACACCTTCTCTCAGCCCAACCTTCAGTGGCGTGCCGACCACAAGCCCATCGCCAAATCCGCATCTTAGCTTACTCCACACCATCATGCAACCAATGCCTAACCGCCTGGGCCTGGGCATGCGCCCCGGAGTTCCCTCCTTCGGCCAGGGCCCATCCATGTCCGCGCTCGCACAGCAAGCACAGATGGGCGGACCCGGCGGCATGGCTCTCCCGCCTCCCATGGGCGCTGGACCCATGGGCGGGGCGTTCGTGCCTCCCGGTGCGCAGAAGACCGCGACGCTATTCGTCGGCTCCATTTCGGGTGGAATTACGGACGCGTTCTTGAACAGGTTGCTCGCCGTACGTTTCCTTTCCCTTTTCCCTCTTAGTAGCGTTGGTGTGCAGTAGCTGACTTTTGATTTGTGTTGGGGACGAATGTAGACTTGTGGACCTGTCAAGCCTATCAAACGACTCATTACGCCTGCGAACAAGCCGCAGGGATTCGGGTTCGCCGAGTTCGACGATGCGGACTCAGCTCTGCGTGCGATCACCCTCCTCCAGGGCGTGGAACTCCCGGCGCTTGAAGACGGCTGTGCGAACAAGAAGTTGCTGGTGCGTCTCCTTACTTGCCTTGCATTGTCTCATGACAGTGTTTACGTCGATCTTTTGGTATGCTTTTACTATATAGATTAAAGCAGATGAGAAGACGAAGCTATTCCTCGACGCGTTCTCCGCGCAGAAGATGAAAACTGACGTGCGTCCCACCCCTTCTTTTCCCTCTCCCTCCCGCTAACCATACTTCATCTCAATAGGAGGATGAAGCCAGACTCGCCGACTCCCGCGCCAAAATTACCGCCCTCGTCGACGAGATCAACGCCCTCTCCGCCGAAGCCGCCAACTCGGGCCTCCTCGACAAGGAAAAATACGTGATCCCACCGCACCTGCACGACCTGCAAGAAGCCGACCTGCCCGAGACGCAGCGCGGGCTCGTCATCAGCGAGATCGCGCAGTTCCGCGAGAGCGCAGCCAAGCGGGAGCGCGAGAAGCTCAAGAACGTCAGGGCGAACATGGCCGCCGCGACGAACTCGTTTGGGTCACCTTCGCCCGGGCCCGGCCCTGCGAATGGGAACGCGCCGAATGGGCCGAAGACGAGGGAGTGGGGCAAGCCGCAGGGGGCGAGTCCGGCGCCTGGGACGCCTGGGAAGGGGACGAGGGGTGCGTCGTATGGGAAGGCGCCTGCGGGCTTTGTGAAGGCGGAGGATGCGAGTGCGGGCGGTATGACGGCTGCAAAAGGGAAGACGGACGAGGAGCTTGAGGAGGAGAGGAAAGAGGCGAGAAGACGAGAGGAAGAGAACTCGTATCGAGACGTATGTTTTTCCTGCTTTGCAATGCGTGTATGCATTACTAATGACCCATGTAGCGAGAGCGACGGTACGAGCCACGCGAACGGACAAGACTGGCTGCCATAGAACGTTCCATCGCTCGCCAGCAAGCTATCCGTGAAGCTGAAGAGCGCGATCGCGTGGAGATGCAGGCTCGTCTCGACGTCTGGGACGACGACGAGTCCGACGAGATGTTCTACGTTGACCGGTACGTCTTCTTTGCCTCTCACTCTAGCTTAGCCGTTCTCGTTGCTCACGGATATGCGCCCATAGAGCCCGCTGGCGCCAAATGCGCGCCCGCCGCGTGGCCCTCGAGGAGCAGCACGACTCTGAGTCGCGCATGTACGAAGAGCGCGAGGCTGAGAACCTCCGGATCGAGTCCGAGAAGTTCCTTGCACGGCAGATGGAGGACATGCAGGCGCTCGCGGACGAGCAGCGTCGTGCTGGCATGTTGCTCGACGACGGCGCGCCCGTGCGGCTCAACATGTCGCTGCAGCAATCTGGCAAGGCCGATGCCTCGGGTGTTGCGAGCAAGGAGGGCGCTGCGAAGGGGAGCAGCAAGGCAGCTGTGGCGTTCAACCAGGAGGAGGAGGAGGAGGAGGCGACGAAGAAGCGCAAGGTGCCGCTTGTGAAGCTTGACTTTGGCGTCGCGGAGGGGGATAAGGCGAAGGAGAGGTTGAAGGATATTCAGCAGAATGTGCCGCATGATAAGGAGAGCTTGTTCAAGGGCAAGGTCCGGTGGGATGGGTTGTCGGACGTGCGTCTTCTCTTCCTGTTCTTGCCCCTCACCCACTCCCGCTATTCACTCGTTCCTTCTTCCTTTCCCTTTGCTTGTCACGAGTGTCTCGGCTACTTATCATGAATGTGTGCTAACCGACTTTCTTCCTCCTGAATCGATATGGGCCAACAGTCGATGATAGACAGAAAACTAGAGCCGCTTATCAAGCGCCAGATGGTCAAGTACCTCGGCGAGCTGGAGGATGACGACTTGATCATGTTCGTGCTCGAACATCTCAAGGATCACAAAGGCCCGCAGAAGCTTATCGAAGGTCTTGAACCCGTACGTGTCCTCTTATGCTCTGATACTGAATCGGTCTAATTGACATATATGAGTAGGTGCTCGAAGAAGAAGCGCAAGAGTTTGTCGTCTCCATCTGGCGCCAGGTCATCTTCGAAAGCATGGCTTACAGCGAAGGCTTGCACACCGAGCGACTCATGGTCGACGAGTGATGCGTCGACGAGCCCCGTCGGCCTGTCGTAGAGCCGTGAGGGCGCAGGTGCGTGGCGGACTACTGGCATCCCTGAGCCCGCTGAGGTATACTGCGGAGAGTGGGCGCGTATTAGGTCGTTTGGAAGGAGGGCGAAGAAAAATTTGGAGTCGATGCGTAAGACCCGTGTAGGAGTTTGTGGTTACGGTTTGTTGACTTTGGATGCGCCCTCGTAAGTACGTTGTCTAATGAATCGATGCTTGACGAAAACGGATTGCTTTCTTTTTTATCCTATCGTCCTGTTATTGCTTGTACCTATTTTCCCGACGTTTCGCAAGAGGATTACTACGCCGTTGTTGAACGTTGAGTATTCATGTTGCTCTTTTCTTGTCTTTGGCAATTTGACCGCGACTTGCATGTTGAGCATGTGGAGAGACCCATAATAATGGAGCGCCGGTTCATCCTCGTTACAAGAAGCTTCACTTTTGACCAATGTTTCGCTGAATATTTTGGACTCTTGTCGGTAAGTACTAGTCTCGCTGTAACGATGTACTCTAGCATATGTCCATTAGAATCGAACGTAACCGTCGACGTTGTAAATCTTTCCCGGGATAAGCGACCTTCAGGAGCTACTTAACGTCTATTACTCGTACCGGTACCATGCAACAAGAAATAAACCCAATAAACGAACATATATCCGCCATGTGTTCGACTGCGAATATTTCGACGCGTCATTGAACATTGCATATTGAAAGTCGAGGTCGGGGTGGTAAGTCAACTTGAAAGTGTCGCAATCGATACGCGCCGAAAAAGTCAATCCCCCTATCTTTTAGAGTTTAACGATTAGACTTATCGCGTCTTTCATTCTCTTTCATTCCTTGCTTTTCTCCTCTCGACTTGCCATGTCTCTCCATCTCCCTGCCTCAAGTCTTCAGGCTACATCCCCCGCAGAATCTGACATCGATGCTAGTTCTGCATCCTCAGTGACAGGGAGCGACTATGCCGATGAGGACAACAACTTTGACGACTGGGTCTCGGATCAGATGGAGGCGCAGCCTTGTCGTTCGCTGTTTGAGGATAAGACTCTCCCAAGTGCCGGCGAAGCATTGAAATACGATGAGGAGACGTATGGATTTGGGTTGGATGCTGTTTGCGAGAAGCTTGGTGAGTGTTTGCTATGATGTATACTCGGAAAAAGGGGCTAATACCAGGTTCCTATGCGTGTAGCTCTGGATGCGTATGGGCGGATACGGCTTATCAACTTCATTCGCAAAACGGTGAGTATGGTATTTCGTGGATACTCTCTCTGAAGCTGAGTACGCGTGGTATGATTAGAGGCCGTCGGCGAAGGATATGCAGAACTTGATGGGCTCGGAGGCCTTTCTATCCGCAGACGAATATCTTATCCCCTCCGTTGAAGATGACCCTCTCCTTCGTACGTCTGTCTTTTCCCAAGCTGACGCAATGTCCCGCTTCATAAGTTGACTGCTAAACGAAACGCGTAGAACCCGACCCTGACTCCTGGTCTTCTGACGAGGACGAAGCGCCCCTAGCTTCGTCCAGCTTCAAAGCCAAGTCAAAAGCCCCAGCAGATACACCAAAGGACCTCCCGGGAGCACTCAAACGCGTGCGTGCTCTGGAGGCTAAGCTTTCAGCAGCACGTCAGGACATGGCCGACTACCGCAAGCTCGTCGCGCAACGGCTAGACGCGGCGCGGCTGGCAGACATCGCTGCTGAGCCAGGACCATCGGCGTCTGGTGCAAGTGTAGCATCGGTAAGAGACGATGATACTCATTATTTCGAGAGCTACGCGGCCAATGGTGCGTCTGTCTTACATCTTCATCCGGTACCTCTCCCTGATATACTCGAACACGACAGACATTCACGCTGTGATGATCCAAGACAAAGTCCGAACGTCGACGTACGCGTCATTTATCCTGCAGAACCCGATGCTGTTCCGCGACGCGATCGTTCTCGACGTTGGGTGCGGGACTGGCATTCTCTCGCTTTTCGCGGCTCGTGGTGGAGCACGGCACGTGTATGCGGTCGACGCTAGCGGAGTTGCGGAGAAGGCGAAGGCGATTGTGAAAGAGAATAAACTGGAGGACAAGATTACGTGCGTCCTTTTCCCCTCTCATTTCACCCTAAACTAAGGAAACTAACGTCTGGACGACAGCGTCATCCATGGCAAAGTTGAAGACATCACCCTTCCCAACGGCGTCGACAAGGTCGACATCATCATTTCCGAATGGATGGGATACGCACTCCTATACGAGTCGATGCTCGACTCGGTTCTTCGCGCACGCGATCGCTTCCTCAAGCCTGGAGGGGTGCTTGCTCCAAGCCAGGCTCATATGGCGCTCGCGCTATGTGAGGGAAGCGAAATATGGAAAGAGAGGATCGGATTCTGGGGAGATGTGTACGGGTTTGATCTGTCGGAGATGGCCAAGTGCGTGTATGAAGACGCGGTTGTGGACGTCGTTGGCCCCGAGTCGATAATCAGCGCACCCTGCGTGGTTAAGGTCCGTCTTGCCCCTATCATCTCCTTCTTGTATCTCAGCTCAACCTATTCTCGCTCCTCCATCTAACAGGACATTCTTATCTCGCAAATCACACCCGCCAAACTCGACTTCTCAGCGCCATTTTCACTCACATGTACTTCCGACCGGCGGACTAAGATCCGTGCCCTCGTGTTGCACTTCGACATCTTCTTCACGACACACGGCCGACCCATCCCTCCGGGCACGCAGGTCCACCTCATTCCAGAGGGCGAAGCCGCGCTCGCGGAGGTCTGGCCCGTCGGCGGACGGCCACCGCAGCGCCGCTCTTCGCAGGGAGGCGGGCTCAAGCGGCGGTCGTCGCTTGCCCCTGTCGAAGGCAGCTTGCAGTTCGGCGGAGTCGATGGAGAGGCGAGGGTGGTAGTGGACGAGGCAGAGGAGAAGCGGAAGGCGGAGGCAGCGCAGCGCGAGAAGGAGGCGGCGCGTGTAACGAGCTTTAGTACGGGCCCGAGGAGCGTGCCGACGCATTGGAAGCAGACGATATTTTTCTTGAGGGAGCCGATTGTTGCTGGTGATGGTGCGTTCCTTTCCCTTTTGTTCTGTTCCGCTATGTCCCGCCTAGAGATACTTATGAATTGCGTTGTGCTGCAGGTACTATCGTGCGGGGAACATTTAGCTGCAAAAAGGCGGACGATAATTCGCGCGAGCTAGATGTCGAGATTCACTATGCTGTTCAGCAGCCCGGCGAGGATGCCTTCGGAGACGTTATTGTACAGATGTACAAAGTGCGGTGAAGCTTCTGATCTTTGTAGAAATGAACAGTCGGTGAAGTTGAAATGTATGCTCTACGATTTCTTGTATCTTGATGTATGGACTCGTCTTCGGGGACGTGTGTTTCGTTGCCTCACTGCGATACTTGCAAGCAACGTAAAGATGTGAACGTGCCTTGTAGCTTGAAGTATGCCAAATGCGAGGAAGTATCAGTCCGCCCCAGTCTCAACTACCTCGGACACGAGTTCCGAGACTTATTGACCCTGAGTCTCTTGACGCCCTGCCTTATCAAACGCCCGCGTGTGTTAGAACACGGAGTACAGTTTCAGCACATAGCTCTTCGGCAAATTTGCTGTCGACGATTTGTCCTAGTGAAAGCAGGCTGATATGCAATCCATTCATTTCCATTCTACTATACAGTGGAGCTCAAGGTAGGCGCAATTAATCCCCATACCCATAATGTGCACAGCTAACCACCCTAACTCCAAAGTCCACATTGGTCTACTGTTCACTATGGTACATGTCTCTCAACCGCTGCTTAACGTAGTCACCGGCCGTGACGGGCGGGTACTTTGGCGGCCGGTCGGACGAGACGCAGCTTTCAATGGGCTAAATACCACAAGAATAAGCGACATGATTCCCGTTTGGAAAGGAGGGAAGGACGCACCTCGATGTTGACATCGTAGTCCGTCCCGAAGAAGAGCGGGATGGAGTACCGTTCTGCGCCGGTGCGGTTTATGGCGCGGTGGACGGTCGACTTAAATACGTCATCTTTAAGAACGATACGTTGGAAATTAGCACAAAGACTACACATTCAAGGCGCAGACGTACTCGTCCAACGGGCGAACTGGTCGCCGAGGCTACAATCGCGGGTGAGCATGAATGCGCGTGCGGTCATTGAAGCAGGCGATGATGGATCTCACTTGATCACGAGCGTTCCGTCGATTGATGGTGCGTCTACCCACTGCTTAGACGCGTTAAGCACCTGGAGAGCCTGGATACCGGGCTGTTGCCAAAGGATTGTGAAGAACTAGAGTGAATGGTATAAGCTTAGTTTGTTCACTTTTACAATAAATGTTGAGGCTGACCTCGAAGCTTCACGTAGATGGAAACCATCAGCTTCGTGCAAGAGATAACGTGTTGAAGATAGAAAGCGAGACGCACTCAGTATGAGCACCGATTCCAACCGTGCGATCGTCCACGGGCCCCGTCTGCGGTGGGTAGTGGAGTGCACGCATGATCGCAGCCGAGTTACGTGTCTGTATAGCGACACAGGATAGCAGTAAGACTCGGGTGACCATAGGAGAGGGAACGAGTGCAGCACCTTATCGTCGAAGTACCTCTCTTCGAGCTCAAGCGCGAGTGCGAACAATGGGAATAGATGCCGACCAACGCGTACGGCTTCGTGACTGTGTATATACGTCCGTAATGATCGCTCTCATAAGGACTAATAGCCAGACGGAGACGAGGGTCGGTACTCACTAGTACGCCAGCATATCCTCCCTGAACCTTTTCGCTTCCTCAGGGGTACCCCAATCCGCCTCGGAGGGCCAGACGTTCGCGCCGGACATTTCGCCATCGTTCAGTCGCTTTTCATCTAGGCTGTTGCCGTTGGGTGGGGTGAGCGCTTCCCAGCCAAGCTCGTAGCCTTCGTGGTTGTCTCCGTTGTTGGTCGGGTCGATGTTTGCGTCGAGGAGAGGAGAGTAGCCTTTGAAGTTGGGTGTAGTCTTGTGATGAAGCTGAGAAACGACAGTAAGCATTTTTAAGCCATCGTGGTTTGTATCTCCAGACATAAAAGCTGGCAATGAAATAAGGACCAAGAGGACGAAGGCGTACCTTCATCTTGGTTTCCGAAGGGAGGGCAAAGTAACGCGCTATTGAGCTGGTGACGTTAGATACGATTTGGCCGGGTATTCCATGGTTCTTGACTAACTTCCATGTTAGATCAGTGACTCGAACCAGCTGAAGTGAACAGAGCACAAACCGTAGAAGAAGCCGACCTCGATGCACGCTGTGCGTACCTCGCGGGCGAGGGCAACTTTATCGAGGTTCCCCAGGTCTCTGCCGAGAATGTCTGAGCGAATTTAAGGTCAATGTTGCGCATATAAAAGCATACACGATCGGAATCGAGTCAAATGTAACGTCCTTTGCCTGGCTAGCGAGGGACATGGTCGTTGTAAGGAAAGAGGAGGTGGTCGCGCGTAGTCTTATCTCGGCGCGTACGCGTGAGTCGCGACCTTCTACCGTAACACCTTCCGCGACCTCTACCTCGTCTATACCATCGTCGTCGACACATCCAACGCATACGTCCCAGCCTGGCGGTGCCTTTGATTTATCCAGCCCGCATCCTACAACATGTATGCCAGCGTCATCAAAAGTTGCTCAAGGCGACGACCCGTTCCCCGCCGACGCCACATTGTGCCGACTAAAGCATTGGCTCCCTTGGACCACTCGAGGGATCTGTGTGGGAGCCAGATTCAGGCGGCGAGGGGCAGACTTCGCCCTCCAAGATTGAGAGTGAGTTTTGGTTCTCTGTCGAAAGACTGGAATACTTACTTGCCGTCAGAATCGTCTCTGCTGGTGCTGGAAGTTTCTCCCAAAGATAGCACGTACGAAGTCGTCCGCCTCCACGCTTCATCCACCATCTACTAGCTATCGAGCTTTCATGCGAGAACCCAGTACCCCTCCTCCTCCTCTCTATCTTCCAACCACTTTCTTTCGTCAACAGGTGCTGATGAGCTGCAATTCAATCCGAGTGGTTCGACCATCTGTCTTTCAACGGCGTCTACTATTCCATCGCACCTCCGCCTCTAGCACCATGTCGATGCCCAAGAACGACTCGGAGCGGAGTTCACGCGCGACAGATAGCTGCTGGGCTAGTTTTCCCCCTCGAGTCAGCGAGCGACGATGCTGACGACTCTCATTCAGGTTTCGGGTACCTAGCTGGTTTTTGCAGACGCGCCGAAGGAGAAGCGGGAGAAGATGGCAGGGGCGAGTTGACGGGAAGGAAAGACGATATCCACTGCCGCATCCTCAGGCTCGAAACTGGCGTTTACGTCCCTGCCTAGCGCGAAGACTTAGGCATCGCAGCGAGAGCTAATCAGAGAGTGGTGCGTTTGCCACTTCCACCTTTGCATTAACTCCTTCTAACGAGGTCGTGTGCAGGCATTACCCAGCCATGATCCAAGAAACAGCATATAGGTCTACGGAATTCCCTCAGCTTTCAAAGCGTAACATTGTCTGGCCCATTGGCGGATAGATAGGCATCGAATCAATCGTCATGAACGGCGGCGGCATTATACCATGGTTGTCGACCGCGCCTGAGCTGTGGGCCCGGATGGTCTGTGGCTGCCGCATTTGAAGCAGACAACATAGGTCTCGAGGTGGTCGGCTGCTGCTAGGAGAGGTGCGTATCCATTTCTCCATTCTCTCGTGTATCGCGATGCTTATTATTGCGTCTTGAATGATAGGAACTATGCTACCGAGTTGGTTCAAAGTACCGCGGAGGGCTGTTGGCGACTCGCAGGGGCACAACATGTCGATCTACCTACTATGCAAATGCAACCGCCAGCTAAAGACGGGGCGAGTGTCATTACTATCGGGGTCTACGCTACGCACGATGATCTCAGCGTCAGTTTCTGAAGGACGGTTTCTCATGCCATGTATACGTAGGCCGCCCGAATTTGACTTTCGAGTTATTCATACTAATTCCTCCTCAACGAAACTCGCGATTAAAGTGTCCTTCGTGAACGTATCTGCAGGGTCGGACGGCACTGAGCCGCGGCAAATGTGAGAGCGCGTGGCTCCTGTTTCTCCGCAGGCCAAACGCGGCAACGACGGTCTTCAAGTTGAGGTGTTGGCTTATCAGACGCCCAATGGTTAGGGCATGAGGCGATCAGGAATAGAACGAGGTTCCACGCACAGGGCTGGAGCTTAGCGCTGAGCACCCGTCTTGGGAACATTCTCGTCCTCCTCCCCTCCCCTCCTCCCACCACCACGACGACTGCTATCGCCTTCGAAAAACTTGCTCAAGCTCTAAATTCTGTTCAAAATATGCCTGAAACCGAACCAAAGGGACGTAGACTGCAGTCCACCGGTACGTGCTCGCTTCTGATAGCTCTTGATCCCACCCAAACGCTGCCCATCGTCGTCTCTCGCTGAAGCACCCGTCAAATCGCACTGTGTTGACTGAGTTTACTTTTGTCTAGACGGTGGCTGCGTTCGCGCCATGTCTGCGTAGCTTATCATCAAAGAGATAATGCATCGCATCCAAGTCAGCGAAGGACCGCCTTCCACACCTCTGCCGTGCGAGTACTTCGACCTCATCGGGGGCACCGATATCGGCGGGTGAGTGATAAATACGGCCGCATGGGCGGCACCTCGCATCACCTACAATCTGACGTTGGACTTGCGTTCTCTGAACACCCAGGCTCGCCGTGTTGATGTTCGGCCGTCTCCGCATGCCAATCGACGATGCGATTGCGGCTTTCAGTCACTTCGTCGACGCTGTGTGGGCTCGCGGTCGCAAGCATCGCGGTGAGGATAAGTTTAAAGCCAGCAAACTCGAAAAGGTCATCAAAGACATCGTGAAGGCTGCCTCCGGTGATGTCGACGCTCTCATGGTGGGCGGTCCTGCTGATCGTGACGGTGATGTTGGCCACGAGTGCGTACCTCTCGAACATGTTACTGTACACTCTGAGGTTGTTGATCCATTCCTCCGTAGCTTTGTTTGTGCTATGCTGGCCGGGAACCAGAATACCAGTATTTTTACTCTGTTCCGTACGTACGTAGCTCGAACCAATCCCAGCCCCGACTGTGCCGTGTGGGAGGCTGTGTATGCCACGATGGCTCTGCCCGGTGGGCACTTCAAGCCCGCGTCTATTACTACTCGCGGGATGTCACAGCACTACATTGGCGGTGCCATGGGGGCTAACAACCCTGCACGCCGTGGGCTCCGAGAGGCTGAGGCTCTCTTTCCAACTGATCACCTTGCTATACTAATCAGCATTGGTACTGGGCATCCTGGTACCACCACGGTGGCGGGTGACGGTGGTACTGTTGGTGCTGGTGATATAAATGCTATTTAGCTGGAGACTGCGAGCAGGTCTCGGAGGAGCTCTATGCTCAGTTCACCCAATGCCTGGGTGTATATGTCCGGTGCAATGTCAGCCAGGGGAGATGCAGGCTGTTTTATGGATTGATGCTGGTAGTCTGAGTGCAGTGGCAGCACACACCAACTAGTACTTATCTGCAGCTGGATGATACCAGCATTTGAGTTGATGGTGTTGTTAATGGTCTGCTGCATCCTACTGTGGGTGCATCATTTTCTGGTCATAGCTTGGTGATGGATGTTCCAACTAAGGTGTTGAAGATGGTGCCTCCACCATCTGTTATATTCCCTGGCAAAGATGACATCCTCAACCAGATGAAAGTTTACTTTGAGGGTGACTCCAGTCAAGTTGTTTCACCGCAGAAGGTGTTTGTGTTATATGGTCCTGGTGGTGAAGGCAAGACCCAAATTGCATGTAAATTTGTTCAGATGGTTCAGAGCAGTGATTGCCCACAGTGAGCACTGCAATTGCCTTTGAGGTTGGTGTGTTACTAACTGTTGGCATAGATTCTCAGACATCTTTTTTGTCGATGCATCTTCTCAGTCTATAGAGGCTGATCTGTGTTGAAAGTACAAGTAGTACTAGACCTTTTTATGACCTTAGTCGGCTTAGCACTTCATGTCTATGCTGGCTACTCCATCAACAATGTCCCCTCTGCAGTTCTACATTGTCTCTTACACTATACGGCACTAGGTATCATGGGTAGTATTGGCACCTATTCATGCTTTGTCATGGCCTGAGCTTATTGTGTGTGGCCATGTGAACTATGAGTCAGACATCCATGTTGTGCATGGTTTAGGGCTGGCTAGTTATGAGTACGGTAGTCAATTCACATGCTCCTGTATCCTATATATATGAGTTGCTACCATGAATATTATTGTTAGTCTCTCTTACTCAAATGACTACTATCATCACTCTAAGCTCTAAACAAGCCTTCTAACTCAAGTCTTCATCGAAGCCTGGTGGCTCTGTGTTGTATAGGTTTTCTACACCATACTTGTAATTGTCCTTTGATAATCTGGCTAATATTGCCATTGCTAAAGGAGTAGGTAAATCATTTCAAGATACCTTGATGTGGTTTTCAGGCCAGACTGGAAACTGGTTGTTGTTGCTTTATAATGCAGATAATCCATCATTCAACTTGCATGCATACTTTCCTAAGTGTGACCATGGGAATATTCTTGTGACATCCAAAAATCAGGCATGCAGAATGCTTGGTCAAGAAATTGACTCACTTAAAAACAGGACATGTCCCACTTTGCTGGACCTAGCAAACTTAAATATGGGACATAGTGTAGATAGGGCTAAATTGCATCTGTGTCTGAGCCACTTTCTTGAGTCTAATCACTTAAATGCCTTTGTTTTCTTCTGAATTACTTAAATCTGGGTTAGTGTGCAGACATATGTCCAGGAGAGCCATCAAACACTCTTTTTTTCCTTGCCCAACAAACTTGTGTCCTATTGCACCAACTCCCAGCAAACTAAAACATGGGACACACTGTATTTGGTAATAGTGTTTCCATGTCACCATGCAAACTTGTGGTCATAAAACTACAGTAGTTAACTAAAACCTTGACTAATACAGTTTTAGGAACTTGGGTACTTTGCCCTTGCTATTGTTCAGGCAAGTCATACATATGTGCTGTTTCAATTACATTTGGCAAATATGTGGAGATGTTAAAAAATCAATGAAATAGGCTGTTGCAAGCAAAACACATGCAGCAAAAAGATGATTATGTTTTTACAGTATACACCACATGGCACATTAGCTATAACATGCTCAAACCAGCCTCAGCTCAATTTCTTTGTTGTGGACACAACAGGGGCAACATTCTAAACTCCTAACAGCTCCGAAACTTCGGAGGAGGTCGGAGGTAGGCAGAACGGAGCGGAGCGTAGGAGCCAATAAAGCATCCTATCCACTACAAAGTGAATACGCACCTAGTCCCAATGACCAAGAGGTCGAGATGGGGGACTAGGATGTGAACCGCTCAGTATATAAACAACTTCAGCAATCTTCGGATCCTGATCATGCTACTGATAACCATCTGCTGTCACGGAGGTAGTACAGTGCTGCTGTCAAGTGTCTACATGGTCTGCACAAAGTCCGAATGTTGTCAGGAGTAATGCTCGAAGGGAAACATAAGAGGTCCGAGGTAACTCTGGACATGGAGCAAACTCCGAAATCTTTGGAGGATCCGGAGGTGTCCGAAGGCATGTGGAGATGACCGGAGGTGCGCGGACCTGGCTCTAAGTGTGGAAAGGAGAGAGAGAAGGAAAGAGAAAAGAAAGAAAAGAATAGGGGCCTTGGTCATCTTCACGACATTCTTCATGTGTGTGCATTTACACATCATACAGGCATCACTAAATCCATCTTGCAATCAGCATATAGAACAAATCAGACCTTGCTCTACCTGTATGTGTATTTGTCAAAAATGCCTCATGCTAACCCAAACTCAGATGACTAACACATTATTTATCACATTTGTTTTTGACATAGCCTGGATTTGGCCTTATTTATTACATGTAATAAGCAGGCACATGACCAAGCACATGATGGGTCTGAACCATGACATCATATGGCACAAGGATCATGCAATATGGCATGCTTGTATTACCAAGTACCTTGTAACCCTAATATGGCAGGAGCTCTACCTTTGATACATGGTCTGTGCACAGCCACCCTGTAGTATATAAAGACTGTAATTTATGACCCAGAACCTAGGGGAGTTACTGCACATGTGAATGAAAGTGATAATGATCAAGGAAGAGTAACCCTAACCCTAGACAGGGCTTGGGGAATAGATGGCTCATGGAGAGGACTTGAGGCTTAGGTTTATAAATAGAGTTAAGAGAAACTCCCAAAAGAACGCTCTTGGAGTTCTGGGGCATAAATTATAGTCCTTATATACTACAAGGTGGCTGCACACAGACCATGTATCTAAAGGTAAGGCTTCTACCATGTTAGGAATAAAAAGTACTTAGTAATACACACACACCATATTGCGTGATTCTTGCATCATATGATGTCATAGTCCAGACCCATAACATGCTCAGTCATGTGCTTGCTTATGTAATAAATAAGGCCAAGAACTGGCCATGTCAAAAATGAATGTAATACATAATGTGTTGGCCATCTGAGTTAGGGCTAGCATGAGGAGTTTTTGATACTCCTGTTGAGGCATCTATTCAGCTCAATCCCCAGTCAGGGTTAGGGTTAATCTTTCTTGTCCATCTCTCTCTCTTATTTGTGTGTGCAGTGGCTCCCCTATTTAAGGGTTGTTCACAGTATCTAGTCTCATGTGCAATGACAAAAGCTGGGACTCAGCTGCATTCATGCAAATCATTCAAGATTTATTACATTGCTCTCTGATTTATGCCTTTGACAACATATATGACATTCATCCACTTATCCATCAATGGATTTTAGATCAGATCCCTGACAAAGATACAGTCAAGTGAAATGTCATGGTACTACTTGCATTGACAGTACCATCAGGTAAATTTGACTCTAATTATGTTATGACAAGACAATTATTTTTTTCATGTCAACAAGCTGAACAAATATAGTGTTCTAGCTATTGTTGCTGATAAGTGGGCAAGAGTTTATAGAACCATGGGGCTGTGGAAACAAGAAGAAACTTTGAGGGTGAAAGTTCATAGCAGTCACTGCTTAATGTATGGGGGGAAAGACAGCAAGACATTGAAGAGTGCACAGAGTCTTGCATGGGTGTATTACCAGCAAGGCAAACTGAAGGATGCAGAATCACTGCAGAAACATGTACTGGAGTCAAAGATAAGAAGTTTAGGCTCAGAGCACAATGAAACACTAGACATTATGAGAAACTTGGCAAGCACATACAAAGCCCAGGGGAAACACTATGAAGAAGAAAAAGTAGAAACACAGGTTCTATATATAAGCAGGAGAATTTGGGGTTCAGAGCATTCTGATACACTGAAAATCATGAGCAACCTTGCAACCACATACACAGACCGAGGCAAGCTCAGTAAAGCAGAAGAGTGTAAGCCTGACACCTTCTCGGACTTACAACCTGCACCACATCCTCAGTGTTCTCAGACTACAACTTGACTGCCTTGATTGACATTCCTTATTCCAGTCTCCTTCTGGCTTACAACTTGCTTCCATCTCTATTTTTATCATTCTCTCCGCTTCAAAGAAGACTTCATCTTCATTCCAATTTCTTTGAATTTCTCTATTACTCAATTCCACGCCCTTGCTATCCTCTTGCTCATACATATAAGATGTACTCCCTCTTGATAGCTACCTTAGAATCTCTTCCTACCAACTCCTGTACTTCCCTGCATCACATACAAATCCCACACATTGCTCTACTCATTTCCTGTCTGAACCTTAGTGTTCTCCGCCTTAGGTAGGGTTTCAAAGAGCTGGGAAGACAGGTTTTAGAGGCAAAGGAAAGGCTTTTGGGGCCAGAGCATCCTTTTACCTTGTCAAGCATGAGTAATCTATCAATCACATTCACAAAGCAAGGGAAACTTGATGAAGCAGAAGAACTGGGGGTGCAAGTTCTGAAGGCAAGGAAAAATATATTTTGGCCCAGAGTATCCTGATACATTGATGAGCAGAAAAAATCTAACAATCATATACTGCAATCAGGGCAGACTTACAGAAGTAGAAGAATTACTTGTACAAGTGCTAGAGGCAAGAAAATAGGTTTTGGGCTTGGATCACCCTGACAACTTGGAGAGCATGAGAAATTTGGCAGTTGCATGTAGAAAACAGGAAAAGATCAGTGAAGCAGAAGAGCTGGAGATGGAGTATAAACATATAAAGGAGACAAAGGAGCTTAGGATGTAAATTGTATTCAACAGTAGTTACTACGACTTATATCCTTTAGTTGTATTTTACGTGATAGGATTTTATCAACAGTTATCACAACAACAACTTTTATCAGGAAGAAAGGAGATAACCCTTACACTCATGTTCTGAATGTTGGGTCCTTTTTGGCCGCTTCACTTTGTATGTTTTGTTACCTTCATGCTCACCTCATCTCAAAGTCCAGTATGAACACATCAAACGGCTGATTAACCAGCCTAGTGCACATGTCATGAGTAGACTGGCAAGGCTGGCCAGTAACCGACGTGGTAGGCTGCCATACAACCCAACAGATAAAGATAAAGTGCGATCCGTAAGGACAGTCCCTTAGACTCCGGAAGACATGTTACTCTACTCGCCCATAGAAACCACTGAATCTGATAAGCAAGGGCCAAACATCCGTGAGGGACTTGTCCATGATACTATATACGACCACATACTACTCCACAAGTCCGCACATTCACGCAAACCCGGCCCAGCCCTTTTCCCAGCTCGCCCAAAACGCATCCTCGGAGAACTTGCTCACCGCGAGCTGCCGAGCACGCTGGCGCAGCGCGAGGTCTTCAGCCGGCGGCAGCGTGAGCGCCGCGTGCAGTGCGTCTGCGAACGTTGACGGTGTCGTAGCGTGGAAGCCTGTTGTACCACATCGTCAGCAACAAGCCACCACGACAACAACAACAAAAAACTCGGATCGCGAGAAAGACGGAGAGCACACGCACCTGTGGACTTGCCCTCGAACGGAACGACAATATCCAGCAGCGGGCCCGCGGACGCGTGCGCGACGGGGATAGCGCCGGCGGCCATCATCTCGACGACGTTGATCCCAAAGTGCTCGTCGACCATTGTGCTCAGGCCGACGCTCGCGCGAGCGAGGTGCGCGAGCATGGTTGGGTAGGGCGCGTTGAGGACGAACGAGACGGAGTCCTGTGTGCGTGCGTGGGCGCGGTTTCGTCAGTGGTGTGATGGTCACGGGGACGTGATGGGCACGAGATAGGAGAGGCGGGTGGAGAGCGGTGAAGGAAAGAGTAGAGACATGAAGAGGAACGCACATCGATTCCGAGAGATTTCGCGAGCTCGCGGAGTCCTTCGACGCGCGCTGAGTCCCCGGCGTTGCGGCTTCCGCCGAGAAGAACGAGTTTAACAGCGGAAGGCTGGCCTGGGCGGTATTCGGCGTGCTTCTCGAGCAGCTCGGCAAACGCTCGAAGTTGGGCGGCGTGGTCCTTCTCTGGTCTGTTGGCATTCATACGTCAGGGTCGGGATACAGTACGAACGAAGTACGCGAGACGCACCGGAACTGTGCAACGCTCAACACGACCCGCTCCCTCCCCTCCAACGCGTACCTCTCCATCTCGCGCGTGTCACACGGCGGATAGGCGATCTGTGCTTTTGTCACTCGCTCCTTCGGCGGCTGCGCGAGGCACGCTTGGAGCAGAGCCAGCGGAGGGACCACGGTGTGCAAGAGGGAGAGAAGCGGGTCAGAGTGCGAGAGAATGGCGTCAACGTGTGCCTTTGTCCATGTCGAGTTCGCCATGAGGAACGAGGCGGAGCGGAGCGAGAGGGCGTAGTAGTACATCGTCAGGCGATAGTACCTGGCGCATATAGTCAGCACCGATCAACGCATGCGAACATGTCGAGGCAGAAGAGTGAGTGTGAACAGAGAAAAGGCGCACCAGAGCTTGCCGGTGCTCAAGACGGCGCTCCCCGAGATAGCGTCGCTATTGGTGTGCCCCTGCTTGCGCTCGCGGACGCGGGCGAGCATATCCGTGCTGATGGTTGGGTAGTGCACATACGCACCCACGGGACATCCGCCGAGTCTGCGTACAACGTGGAAAGTGAACGCGTAGCCCATCGTGTCTGCATGCGCACCAAACGTTTATTAGCGTCGGTATACGGCATACGGGGCCGAGCATAGTAAAGGGGAGGGAGGGTACGGGGTAGACGGGGAACGAACGCCTACGCACCAATGTACAGGTCAGGAACGAGCTTCGTCATGGCTTCCCAGGCGAGGTACATCGAGCCGAGGCTCTGCCCGAGGAGGGTAAACCGTGGCCACGCGGCGTCTTCAACGTATTTCCGCGAATCGCAGAAGACGAAGTGGAGGGAGGCGGGATCGAGGGTGATGTCGAAGCGGGCCTGGGCGTTAGATAACATCGGTCAGAAACGATTTACGAATATAAAGAATGACGAAACGCGGCGGAGAATGGGGCGAGGTGAAAATGAAGCGGGCAGTGCGCGAGGACATGGGTCCTCGGAGGCATCGCTTTGTGGAGAAGGAGTTTATGGTCGAGGCGACGATGAGCTCACCTCGACCTTGGCTATGATCTCCTCCTTCGATGCGTCGGTGTCACCCGTGTAGACAACGTTGATGATGTTCTTGCGTTGTGCTTGTATGCGCGCGATGGCGGTCCAGAGGACGCGTTCGCCGCCGCCTCCCGCGTTACTGTGTCCAGTAGCTTAGCGTCTTTCAGACCAGACGAACCAGGGAGTAGGCTCAGAGTACGCACCAGTAAGGATGGAAGAACCCTATAAACTTCTTACCCGCCCATTCGCTCTCCGGGACACTAAGCGCGCGAAGGACCGCCTGGCGGTGCTGCTTGTCCTTGGCCTGCAGAGTAGTCCGGTAGGACGCAAATGCTGTATAACTGAGTAGCACAGGAAGCAAGGCAGCTAAAACAAAGGCTGTGAGCATTATGATGGTGGAGGTGGTGTGCTCATCCAGTCCGTGTGGTCGATGTTCTATGCAGAAGGACAAGTGGAAGGTGACTTGACGCGTGCACGCACACAATGTGAACTCCTGACGTGGTCCGCGCTTGTCGGTCGCGTGGCACCCTGCGAATAGGCGCCCGGATGACTAAGAGAGATGGACGTCCATCATTGGATTGTCGGACGATCCCGGCCGCCCAGGAGCCGGAGGGATGGTCGATCGCCGAGTGGGCCGAGCAGGCCAGCTCTCGTTCGTCCAGCGCGCTTTCCACTCGGCCGACAGCTCGCGTACAATTAACTACACTACCTCCCCAGTCCCGCGCGTACGAAACTCAATCCAGTTCCAATAACCCTCGGAACAGGACCATCGTTATAACGTTTGATGCGACCACTCAAGCCTACTGGTGCACATGCCACACTCCTTCCGACCCCCTCCGGAGCCAGGATCCAGTCATCCAATGTTCACTAGTCACTGCCCAGTTGGAGTGTGTGAACGCGGGTCTATGTCGTCGAACAGCTGACTAGGAGTCGTCTCTTGGCTGGGGGCTCTGCTCTGCTCAATCGAGTCTGCCTCGTTTTCATCGGACTAAGCGATTCTGGGGTGCATCTGTCGACCACGGCGTGCTAGGGTGTGCCGTATAGGTTTCCGTCCCTGGCGGTCCTCTGACTTCAGCTTCGGGGTTCGCAAACAGCTGCGTGGCGGTGACCACTCTATTAATCCCCACGAGGAGACCTGGCCTATCTTTGCGCGGATGCTCAACGTGAGTGGACAGCAGAAATAGACCATCCCGAAGCGGTCGCCTTGTTACCTATTCTCGACTGTCTGACTGTCCCTCCCATAGGTAATGCCGGCTGCACAGCATGCCGTTCCCCGCCTCTCATAATATCAATGCAAAGCAGCTTATCGAGATCCTGGTCCAGCGATCCGGGAAGCACTAGCAGAACATGTCACGGCGAGGATGTCGGGTGAATACGGCTCAAGTTGTAGCACCGTATATCTGGATGCATCATCGACATTGGACACACAACCACTCGGTATATAAGAACTCTCTGTGCGTCCGCAGCGTCTTTCCTTTTCTTACTCTTACCGACCCGTCTCGCGTGCCCCCGCCTCAAGGCTTTGAAGCCTGCTTAATCCAAGACCCAAACCAACGTTGCTGCTGTGCTTCACTTGTCTATAAGGCATCTCGTTGACCTTTAAGCTTTGAGCAATGGTCGTCATCATGCCCATCATCACCACATTCTACTCGCGCGGCATCTACGCCGACGAGTCCTCTCCAACCTCAATCCAGAGCGCGACGGCGCCTACTTCTCCCACCATGACGTCGTCTGCGGACGCTGCTGACGCGACTTCTACTGCATGCCACACAACATGCAACGAGATCAGCGAGCGCACCTCCGTCTCGATCAGCGTAGCGCTGAGTACGTTCACTATATTCACCTGTCCTCGGCTATTATGTGGCTAACCAACTAAACGTCTTCTAGTCCTCTTCGTCTTCGTCTTTATCGCCATGCAAGCCGTCTCCCGCTGGAACCACAACAACTCGTCCACCAGCGAGTTCCCCCGGCCCACACCCGCGGGCCATCGCCCGCACATGCTGCAGCGCTGGCGTCACGACCTCCCGCGCGTCTCTGCGCACCTCGTCTCGTTCTTCCCCCGGGTGCACCTCTCCCTCCACCACCATCACCACACAGGCGCGGACGGCCTCGGTCGCGTCCGCTCTAACCCCGAGATAGGGGGTGCCGTGGAGCTCGAAGCAGGGCGCGCACACGTTGGTGTTGATGCTGCAGCCACGAATGCTTCTTCTTCTTCGTCTTCTTCTTCTCTGCCCCCTGCTGCGAGTCCGGGCCGGAGATCCGATCTGGATGTTGAGATAGCGAGCAGGAGCGAGGACGGTGCGGGCGGCTCGTGCACGCTCGGGGGCTCGTCTATCGCCTCGAGCAAGAAGGACGGGGAGGGGGGTGTGGATGTGGTCAAGGAGGAGGTTGAGATGACCGAGGACGTGAGGGCGGGGAACAACGTTCGCTCCGCCGCTACCGCGCCTTTGCCTGGTGAAGACGTGGGTGCATCGCTGGTCCAGGAGCAAGATCAGGCGCCTCCTTTGCATAAGGATACCGACGCCGATGGCGCGAGGCGCGTTTATGATACGAGCGACATTGGCGAGACGACGTGCGCTATGGCGCCCGAGCACGACGCGGGGGTCGACACTATCGGCATGGGCCGCCAGGCGGTGCAATAACACGAACCTATGCAGGTCATGCTCCCCGACGAAGCGCCGTCGAGGGCGGAGGAGGAGATTGTGGAGGCGGAGGCGGGGAAGGAGGTGACGGCGGAGGAACGTACGAAAGACCTATGTCGCGATCAGATATCAGAATTAGAAGTAGAATCAGAATTCAAAACGCGTTCTTATCTCTTGACTGTGCTGTACCGCCGGTGTGATGTTCACTGTGATTTATTGATGGTCCCTGTGTGGTGAACATTCGATCGCTGCAACTCAAGCTCCGAGACGTTCCATCGGACGGAGGGCTGTACTCAGGGGCTATACCCAAATCCGAGAAGCCGGAAGTAAATTGGCTGTTACTTTCGCGCGCCGGCAATGCCGGCCGAAATTAATCCCGAAAACTAACTAGCTGCCTCTCCTCCGTCCCTTCACCTGTTCATCCAGTCAGCTTTCAGGTCACGCTGCACGCAGTCTCTCTACTTGCTCATCTTCTCCCACTATCTTCCTTGCCCCCGTTCTGCGTTCGCCACAAGGGCTAGGAGGCCAGGATGTCATCAGCGCAGAGCACGAAACGCATAATTCTCGATGGTAAGTGCATGCCGTTTCTCCGAGGACCGTTGTACAGCAAGGCTCATGTGAAGCTGTGCGATAGCTGCGCTCTTCTTTGCATCGCAGGTACGTTCGTTCAGAAGACTCATCATTGCCTTCTCGCCTTTCTCTTTCGAACGTCGAGCCCCTTGCTGTGTCCTTCCTGTATTATCGCTGTGCTACTTCTTGGGGCTGACATACGGCGTTTTGGCATTGGTAGGCGGCGGTGTACTACACGATTCGGGTGCGTCTCCTTCCTTCTCGGCGTCGTTGTACGGCGCTCCGTGGCGTGTGCTTATGACGTTCGGGTAGTGGATATGGGACGCATATGTGCATCCGGCGGATAAGGAGGGCGATGTGAAGCGCGCGGAAGTACTCAAGCGGTTGGGTGCGAAGGGGCTGAAGCTCGATGAATACGAGAGTGAGTAGCTTTGTTCTTCCCGAGTGTCGTGGTGTGGTGCGCCATATCATGGTGCTAAGCCAGTAGCGTTTGCTCATGCGAGGTTTGATGAACAGAGGCGATATCGAAGGAGGTGATACATCCCGACAACATCAGCGTGCGGTTTGCAGGTGTGTTCTGTACTCCGAGCTCCCTCGGTGCCCAGTGCTAACGCGACGTCGCCGGCTACCCCAGACATCGGCGGTCTCGACCCCATCGTCAACTCCCTCCGCGAATCCATCATCTACCCGCTCCTGTACCCCAACCTCTTCTCATCCACCTCGTCCCTCCTCGGCGCGCCCAAAGGCGTGCTCCTGTACGGCCCGCCCGGGTGCGGCAAAACGATGCTCGCGCGCGCACTCGCCAAGGAGAGCGGCGCGGCGTTCATCAACGTGCCCGCGTCCGCGCTCGCGAACAAGTGGTTCGGGGAGAGCAACAAGCTCGTGGCGGGGCTGTTTAGTTTGGCGCGCAAGATGCAGCCGTGTATTATTTTTATTGATGAGATTGATAGTTTTTTGAGGGAGAGGAGTCGGGAGGACCATGAGGTGACGGGGATGATGAAGGCGGAGTTTATGACGTGCGTTTCTTTCTTTCCTCCTTGGCTTTCTTGTTTCGCCTCTTTGCTGTTGTGGCCGCTATGGTCTTTTTGTGGTTTACCCTGCTGGATGTTTGGTTTGGTGCTTACTTGGAAATGAACGCAGGTCGTGGGATGGCCTTCTCTCAGGCCCAGATCGCATTCTCGTCCTGGGCGCGACGAACCGCCCGACAGACATCGACCCCGCTATTCTTAGGCGAATGCCTAAGCGCTTCGCTGTCGGCCTGCCCGACACCGATCAGCGATTCAAGATCCTCTCTCTCGTGCGTACTCTTCTTATCTCGCCTCTTGCCCTTCCCCTGTCGCTTCTCAAGTTCAGATGCTGACACCAACGAATACACAGATGCTCAAAGACACGAAAGTCGACCCCGACTTCCCGCTCCGCCTGCTCGCGCAGCAGACCGTCGGCCACTCGGGCTCAGACCTCCGCGAGCTCTGCCGGAGCGCGGCGATGGTGCCTGTGAGAGAGTGCATGCGCCGGCTGGGGGACGATGTCGAGGAGATGGCGAAGGCGCAGTCCGAGGTGAGTCTTCAATCCCTCCTTCATCCTCTGCTGGCTCTTCTTCTTAACTCGGTTGGACGCTGACCGACTTCGCTCGTGTGATGATTAGGGCTTCGACATCCGCCCGCTCTCGCTGGACGACTTCTACAACGCCGAGGGGTCCACGCTCGCTCCTCCGGACCCGGACGACGACGTGATCCCCGTCCGGCATATCAGCGAGGTGCTCGCTGCTGAGCGGCGGCCTGTGCTGGAGCCTGTTGATCCGGAGTAGAGGGATTCTCGCTCTGGCGCCTTTTTTGCAGGACTGCTGCTTGTCCTTTTTTTTGCTTTTGACTTACTTAGATTTCTGGGTGATGGTGCTAGTATCCGTATATTTGATATAATGATGGTTCAAGGACCATGATGACGCAGAGTCTGCCGTGGTGTTTGTAGGCTGCAGAATGTGGTGTTACGAATCTTGCGATTACGCGTGGTTGGTTTGACTGACGAAGAAGGCTTTTCCCACGACTCGATACTTTCCCTTTTGCAATGACCGCGAATGTTTTGCCCGCCTCCAACCGATTGTCTGTTTTACAAGCGTACTGGATCTCCTTCAGCTTGCGAGCGAGTACGATAAGACTGCCTTCTTCAGCTCCATCTATCTGAGAAGCATCGGATCCTCGAAGCTTCGCACGCATACATCGACCAAATCGCTGCACTTCTCGTCCGTCATAGATCCCAGAAAAGATCCGCTGCGCTATGGCTTCGACAAAACTCATCGTCGGCCTCGCTGACGCGGAAGACTGGGCGTCCCGCGCGGTTCGGCGCGTGACGGTGCACGCGGACTATCTCAAGGCGACGAAGCAGGCGTCGGGGGACGTGGTTGCGCTGGCGCGGGCAGGAGGGGTTGCTGAGGATGCGGTGAGCGATTGCACTCTTCAGTTGGGAGATTGGATGGACTAGACTAGAATGTTATGGTGAACTTTTATAGGCATTTGCTATTGGAGTGCTGTGGCCTTCGTTAGATATTCCACCGAACTGTACGCGTTTTACATCCTTGTTGCACCTCTGCCTGGCTACAATCTGACGCGTACACCTTCGCAGCTGTGAAAGTTTCTCCGTCTATTCTCGCTACCGCCCGTCTTTCCGAGAACGCTGAGGTGCGCGTGTATGCGCTGTCTGGGACGCTCAAGACCGCGGCTGGCGTACCCTCGCTGCGGCACGCGCAAGACGCGGGTACGATCCGGTTCAGGGAGATCTCGGATCCTGCCACGATCGCGTCGACGTCTGCGCGCGACGCAAAGGACGGGAAGCGGAGGGGCTGGTTGGCGCTGTTGGTGCGGGAGCACGCTGGTGAGATCTTGCGTCGTTGTATACGTGTTTCGTTTTGCGGCTGGCTGATGTGGGTGTGTGTGCTCAGTGAATCTGAAGTATATTCTTCCGACGCAGATTGTCGAGCTGCGGTACGAGGGGCAGCTGCGGCGCTTCGAGGTCGAGAGTATCACGCCGATGCAAGTCTCTGCCGCTAGCTCCGCGAACGATCTCGCGCAGAGTGTGCAGGCGCTCTCGATCAAGACACCCGCGCCGCAGATATGGACGGTGGGATGGGACGTGGCGGTGCATATCGTCGACGCTGATGCGGATGCCTCTGGCGAGCTGGCACACAAGGTGAGTTTATCCTTCTCTGTTTTTACTGTCGAAGGCGCATATGCCCATCCAACCCTGTCGCTGTGCAGCCAGAGGTCGAAGCGCTCCAAGCCCAATCGAGCGAAGCCGCATACGCCAAGGTCGGCGGACTCGATACCACGATCGCGCAGATCCGGGACCTGCTCGAGATACCGCTCACGCGGCCGGATCTGTTTGCTCATTTCGGTGCGCCGCTCCCTGACTTCACACATCATACGCGCGCGTTTTCGACCCGTGTCTGGGCTGACCCTCATCCAGGCCTCAAGCCCCCGCGCGGCATTCTGCTACACGGTCCCCCAGGGACCGGAAAAACGCACCTCGCGCGCGCGATAGCGGCGTCGACGCGCTCCTCCGTGCTCGTCGTGAACGGGCCGGAGCTCTCGTCCGCGTACCACGGCGAGACGGAGGCGAAGCTGCGGGACGTGTTTAGGGAGGCAAGGGAGAAGAGCCCGTGTATTGTTGTGCTGGACGAGCTGGATGCGCTTGTGCCGAGGCGGGAGGACGCGGGCGGGGGCGAGGTGGAGAAGAGGGTTGTTGCTACGCTGTTGACTGTTTTGGATGGGATGGATGGGGATGGTGGGAGTGGGAGGGGGAAAGGTGGACAGGGTGGGGGAGGAGGGGCGAAGGTCGTGGTGATCGGGACGACGAACCGCCCGAACGCGATCGATCCGGCGTTGAGAAGACCTGGGAGGTTCGATCGCGAGTTCGAGATAGGTGCGACCTCACTTTCATCCACCGGCTGGCTCTCTGACGATGCACGTACGTTCCAGGCGTCCCAGACGCAGCCGCGCGCCTCTCCATCCTCCAGGTACTCCTCTCCAACACCCCACACACCCTCTCCCCCTCCGACCTACACACCATCGCGTCCCGCGCACACGGATACGTCGGCGCCGATCTGAGCGCCGTCGTCCGCGAAGCAGGCACACTCGCCATCAAGCGGTGGACGCATTCCCCCTCCCCCACCGCCCGCGCAGACCCACTCACGCTCACACTCACCGCCGCCGACCTCCTCACCGCGCTCCCCACCGTGCGCCCCTCCGCGCTGCGCTCCGTGTTCGTCGAGAGCGCACCTGTGCGTTATAGCGACGTCGGCGGACAGGCGCCCGTGATCGCGCGGCTGCGCGAGGCGGTCGAGTGGCCGCTGTTGCATCCGGAGGCGTTCGCGCGGCTCGGTGTGCGGCCGCCGAGGGGGCTGCTGTTGTATGGCCCGCCGGGGTGCAGTAAGACGGTGCTGGCGCGGGCGTGTGCGACGGAGAGCGGGGTGAATTTTGTGGCTGTCAAGGGGCCTGAGGTGCGCTTTTGCGGTTTACCTATTTTTGTGATTGGATGGGTCGCTGAGAGGACGGTGGTGTTGTATTTTAGTTGTTGAACAAGTTCGTGGGCGAGTCGGAGAGGGCGGTGCGGGAGATATTTAGGAAGGCGAGGGCGCTTGCGCCGTGTATTATTTTCTTTGTGCGTTCCCTGCTTTTGCTTCCCTTTCTTATTCTCACTCTTGCTTCTCTATTCAATACAGGACGAGATAGATGCGCTCGGCACCTCGCGCACGTCTGGCGGCGGCGGCGGCGGCGGCGCGGCGCACGAAGGCGTGCTCACGAGCCTGCTGAACGAGATGGACGGCGTGCAGGAGCTCGTGGGCGTGACGATTATCGCAGCGACGAATCGGCCGGACGTCATCGTGCGTTCCCCTTCTTGGTCCCCGTTTCGTGCGTTGAGCGTTTACAATTGCGGTAGGACTCGGCGCTGATGCGCCCCGGGCGGCTGGACCGCATTTTGTACGTCGGGCCGCCGGATTTGGCTGGGCGGGAGGAGATTTTGCGGATCCGGACGGGCGGGATGAGTGTGCAGCCGGGGTTGGACGTTGCGGAGATTGCGAAGATGGTGCGTCCCTCTGTCTGTAAACGTTTTGCTGAGCGGGTTCGGATAGGTGGTGGTAGACGGAGGGGTGTAGTGGTGCGGAGATTTCGGCGCTGTGCCAGGAGGCGGCGTTGATTACGATGAAGGAGGACATTGATGCGGAATATGTACGTGCGCACACTGAGTTGCTTTCGGCAGAGATGTTGACGGTGTGCGTGTGTGTTTAGGTGTCGCAAGATGCGTTCTTTACCGCCGCGCGTGCTATCAACAGGCAGATAACACCAGATGTGATACGAAAGTTCGAGCAGTGGCGAGAGCGCAACGGTCTGAAAGACATGCTTAAGACGTAGCTATGAGATTGAGAGTACGAAAGATGGATTCATTCGACTGTTCATCTGCTGATAACGTCCATAGATATCGATACAAGAACGGGTTATATTACTGTACAAGAACGGTCATGCAGTCTTGAGTCGTGTGAGGCAAGGTAACGAATTAACGCGTGGGTACGAGTCTGTGTCGCGGTGTACAGTAAGGTGAGAGAGAATGGTTGGATGCGCTTTGCGATTAGTACGCCGGCGGGGCAGCAGGGGCAGGAGCAGGAGCAGGGGCAGCGGTAGCGCCGTACGCAGCGGGTGCCTGGCCTTGGACAGCCATGGGCTGTCCGTATGGGCCGAACTTGCCTGAGCCCTGATCTGTAAAGTTAACGCACGGGGTGAGCTCCTCTGGATATCGAAGGAGAGAGCAAGGCGAGAGAACGTACACATGTAGCCGCCGCGGCCGTATTGCTCCTCGGCTTTCATGCGCTTGTAGATGAGCCAGAAGGCGTGCTGCGGATAATCCGGTGCGTGAGCGGGCCGTGCGTGTGGGGGAGCGGAAAAGGGAGACGTACGATGTGGCCTGGGATGTAGCCGAGACAGGTGAGGAGGATGTTGAGGCAGAGCTCGCAGCCGCAGCCGGCGATGAATGCGGCGGCGGCGGGAGGGAAGAAGATGGCGACCTGTTAGAACAGCCATGATGTGGTTAGCTTCCTCGCCAATCGTGAAAACATGACAAGGAACGCACGATGATGAGAAGAATGTCGGAGCCTCGCATGTTGAGCTATAGATGGATGTGTTATCAGACGAAAGGGAAATTCCTGATAGAAAGCGTCAACCAGAGGCTTTCTTATATGTTATCAGACAAACTAGGCACCACTGCCCCGTGGACACTGACGACGTCCTTGAGCTCCGCCTTACCACCTCTGACGTCATTTTCCTTGGCGGCGACTTTCCGACGCAGCCAATCAGCACCGCGGATTATATTCTGAACGACGCTGCAGTGTCGTCTACGTTCCTATTCGCTCCAAATCTGCGTTAGACCGCTCCATGCGTTCTTTATTTTCTCGCCGGAACCAATGTTTAGAAGCCTTCGTGCGATCACGGAAGGTCTTAGATCATTTCTGGCAACGTATAAACAAACCGGGACGTGCATCCCGTATATCATGCACGAGCGATACATCAGTTGTCTAAGGACGCGATTATTCTACAGCGGCAAGAACGTACAGTAAAAGTTAACATGTAAACATGACCGACGCACATTGACCAGAACGCACGGTCCATCTACCGACACACCATCATGCAAACTGAGCACCCTCGCGGAACACACCCTCCAACCGCTCTCGCACTGCATCTCCGAGCATCTCCCCGATGAGCCTAATCCTCTGCACCTTTATCACCTCGTCCAGCGAGAAACACGCCGGCGGAGGGACAAACCCGCCCTCTCGCACCTGGCGATAGCACAGGACCTCGCGCACAGTCGCGTTATCGCACTGCTCGACAACCGCACGGAGCAGCTTCGCACTCGCGCTCTTCTGCTGCGGCTGCGGCTGAGGCTCCGCGCCAGAACGCATATCCGGCCAAACGTTCCCAGCGACATGGTGCACCGCAACAAGCCTCACAAACCCCTGCAGCGGCCTCCCGCCCGCGAGCGTCTGCAGATACGCATGCACGACCGTCTGCTCGCTCTCCAGCGGCCAGAGCCACTCGCGCGGATCGCCGAGCACGTCCGCGACGGGCGTGCGCAGCGTGCGGAGCACGTGCGCGTAGTCCGCGTACAGCAGCTTGCGGTAGTCGTGCGCGTAGCGCGATGCGGTGGTGGGCGGGAGGAGGAGCGCAGAGAACGTGGGGTGCGCGAACGAGATGGCGTCGTACAGCGCGAGAAAGTCCGTGTAGAACTGGAAGAAGGGTGTGCCGGCGCCCAGGAAGCGGCGGGAGACGTCCTCGAGGCTCCCCGTGTCGCGCCGCGCGTCCGCGTCGTAGGGCGGGAACAGCGCGTTCGGCGCGGCGCCGAATCTGAATGGCGCTAATACCGCGCGCATGAGCGAGTCCACGGTCTTGTCCCTGAACACCTCGTCTCCCCCGCCCGCACTGCCCTCGCCACCGCCGATCTCACCGGGCTGTCCGTGCTCGAGCATGAACACCTTCATACACCCAAACACCGCCTCCTCCCTGCTCATCGCAAACTCCGCGCCCAAGCCGTGCCTCACGAGCGCCTCTCTCGCCGCGAGCACAAGCATAAAAGACGCGCGCACGACGGACGTCTCGCTCCCGTCCCAATTCTCTGGGAAGCTCCGCGAGCCAAACACCGGCGACGTGCCGCTGCGCAGCAGATGGTCGATCGGCGACAGCGCCCAGTCGCGCGCGAGGGGGAGGCCAGCAGGGATCCCGCCCGGTCCTTGTCCTTGTCCTTGTCCTTGGCCGTGGTACTGCGCCGAGGGGTAGGCAGCCGGAAGACGCAGCGTCGTGCACCGCCTGATCGACTCGGGAGTCGGATGCGCAGGCGCAATGTACACCCTCTCTTCTTCCTCCACCACCACCCCTTCCTCTCCATCTTGCCTCGCGAACGCAACAGGGCGAACGGTGTGCATCAAAAACGGCATGATCACATCCACCTCCGACGCACCCGCCGCTTTACCAGATTCCTCCGCACCCGCACCCGCCCCCGCTTCCGTTCCCGCTGGAACAGGCACACCAAGCGCCCCCAAAACCCGCACCGTCATCATCCCGCCCACCCTCTGCACGATCCACACCGCAAACGCCTCGTCGCCCGGCGCGAGGCGGCCGAGCACCGCGAGCGCCTGCGCGAGCCACAGGTCGGGCGGGGTGCCCGGGACGAGGCGCGAGAGCTGCACAAAGTGCGCGAGGAGCGTCGGGAGCGCGCGGGTGTGTGCGCGGGGGGCGGGTGATAAGCGTCCTTTTCGTAGGGTTGGGTTTGGGTTTGGGGTGGGCGGGGCGGTGTCGCTGGTGCCTGGGGTAGTTGAAGGTCGCGAAGGTGGAGCGAGCGCGTCCCAGAGGGGGTGCGTGACGAGCGCGCCGCACAGCGCGGAGATGTCCTCGAACGGGAGCACGAACGGCGGGCGCGTGAGTGTGGCGGGCTGCACGCCCGTCGGTGTGCACGCGAGGAAAAGTCGGATGGCTGCGCCTAGAACCGCCGCTTTTTGACCCAGCTTGACGAGCAGACCCTCGAGGGCCGCTTGATCTGCCCCCGTCTCAGAGATCGCCTGTAGACTCTCCCTCGTATCCTCCACCGCCCTTCTAACCACACCTCCACCATCCGACGCGGGCCCATCGAACAACGGCCTCAACGCCTCAATCGCCTGCGCTCGCTCCGCCTCGCCGCCCTTGACCCCATTGACGCGCGCCCCCTCGAGCCACGCGCTCGCCGCGTTCCACGCAGCTGCACACGCCACCTCCACATCTTCGCGCAATCTTGAGCCTTCAGCGCCAGAATCCGAAGCGACGACATCCGAGGGCGAGGCGAGACGACACAACGACGCAGCAACCGCACACATCTCCCCGCCCCACCCCCACCCCGCCACCTGGCTCCACAGAATCTCATGCGGCGGACTCGTCATATGCGGATCGATCGCGCCCACCGTCCACGCCTCGACGAGCCTCGCCCACGCCGTCGCCAGCGCGATCACACCATACGAATCCCGCGCCGACGGGGCGCCCGAAGCCGGGATCGAGGCGACAGAGTCAAGAGAGCCGAGAGAGGCGAGGGAGGCAAGAACGCGCGCAGCGAGCGCAGAAAAGTACGCCTGCGCGGTCGTAGCGACGCTCGCGTGCATCCCGTACGCCGCAAGCGCGGTGTACACCCCCAGCGTGCCCACGAGCAGCAGCTCTGTGCCCCGGCCCCGATCGCCCGTCAGCGGATCGTCCCCGCCCCCGTCCCCGGCCCCGGCCGAGCGTTCGAGCGGTACGGCGGACACGACGAAGCGCAGCAGCCCGTCCGCGCCCTCTGCGATCGCCCTCGCGTTGCCCCTACTCGCCTGTACGAGCGCCTCGAGCAGAGCCAGCGCCGCTGGATCGGCGCCTGGGCTTGTGGCGCTGTCGGAAGAGGTGGAGATGGGTGTGAGGAGGAACAGCCCGACGACGGCGTTGACCAGCCCAGGCGTGCTGACGATCGCTTCTGCGAGCTGTGTGCTCTCGCGCGCGAGGAACAGCAGCACGTCGAGCAGCTGAGACGCAGACTCGGGCGGGATGCTCCCGCGCGGGCGCGATAGGAGCGTCGCGAGCTGGGCGAGGAACTCGGCGGGCTGGATGGTTTTGAGGAGAGCGGTGGAGGATGCGTGAGAGATGGGGGCTGAGGTGCCAATACAGCGAGCATCCGCCTTCGTGCCACCAGAACGCTGATTCCAGCCAGGCAAGCACGCCCAGACAACATCGATCGCAGCAATCCCAACCCCCCCGCGCTCGCCCAGCGCTCCAAGACCCGCAGCCAAAACACGGCTCCGCAGCTCGCTCTCCTTCCCAGCGAGCTCCGGCACCCCGTCGTCCCCAGCGCGACTGAGACGCCTGGCGATCCGACTGAGCACGGTCAGCATCGTCGCGCGCTGGCTCGGCACCGTCGATCTTGCCAACAGGAACATGTCGTCGAGCGTGTATCCCGCGCGTCCTTGCGCGTCGGCGTGGTGGTGCAGACCCAGATGCGACGGGAGCGTGGACGCCGCGGAGGGCGGGATGATCGCGCCGGTTAGGTCGAAGCGGGGTTCGTCTGCGTTTGGCTTTGCTGGGGATGATGATGACGATGACGCGGGAAGGCCGATGGGGGAAGGGGAGGAGGAAGAGAGCGACGACTGGATCCACGCGAGCGAGGGGTCGTCCGGTGGGAGATGGGGGAAGAACCGGCGGCGGATGTCTTCGGGGGTGCCTTCGTCGGGAGGGTCTTCCAGTGGTGGAGGCGGTGGATCAGAAGGCGAAGGGTTCGAGGGCTCGCTAGAGGATATGGGGGTGGCGTCGACCTTCATGGGCGACGTTTGGCCGTTTTCATCCCCAGCCGCGGATGCTTTGAGAGCGTCTTCGACAGAACGAGGGTCGGGCACAGTGCCCTTGAACGTCCCCAATGATGCGATGCTTTTGTCTGAAGCATCTGGCGGCGGCGGGAGCGCAAGTGCGGCCGTGCGAGCCTTTGGCGACGCTGGCGCGGACTCGTACACATGCACATCGTCGGAAGACAGCTGGGCGAAGCGCAGCCGTCGATTGGGTCTGCTTGGGGTGGAGGGACGTGTGCTGCTCGTCGAGAGGATCGGGGGCGGGGAGACTACAGTAGCATATGTAAATTGAACAGGCGAGATAGCGGACGGAAGGAAACGCACCTTTTTCCGAGAGTTCAACGCTTCTTGAGCGCGGTCGTGTATTGACCAAGGGCACTTCGACGTTCGGGTCGCTCGTATCCGAGCGTACATCGTCTTCATCGCCCATGGCATCCACATTCATCGGGCTGGCAGCTTCCGCCCTGCCTCCCGTCGCACCCGAACCCTCCTCCTTCGCTCTTCTCTCCCTGGCCTCCCGTACCCTCTTCAACAGGTCACTTATCCCGGGTCCGAACCTCTCCACAACATCCTCCTTCTCCTGTTTCCTCTCCGCGTCTGACATGGCAGCGACACGATGCGCATTTTCTTCCTCTACCCGACGGAGCATCTCTGCATCACCAGAAGCCTCATCCCGAACGCGGCTCGGCCCTGGCTGGAGTATATGCGTTGGCTGTGTCGACGACGACGGTGCAGACGAGGTAGAGGCGACCGAAGCAGAAGGCACGACAGCAGGAACGTCTTGCGGCCTCGTCGAGCCACCAGCGGCATCAGCAGCGGCAGCGGCGTTTCGGGCCTCGCGGGCCCGAGCGAACGCGCTTTTCGACCGGTGTGTGGCGGCTGGGAAACCGTTCGGGGTGGGTGACGGAGCGGGCGACTTTGGTTGTGTTTTGGAGGATTGGGCGTTGCGCTCGAGGACTGAGCCGATGAGTGGGCGTGCCATTGTCGTCGCCTATGCCGCCAGTGGTGGTTTTAGAGCCGTCGTGGATGGTGTGAGGAAGACGAGGGGGCGGTGGTTGGAGGGCAAGAAACGGAGAGGATATTGGGTCAGGGGTCGCGGAAGGTGCTAGAAGGTCGCGAGACGCGTGCACCGAGATAAGATTACGCGCGTCCACCTCTTTCCTTACAACGATCATGTCCCTCGCTAGCCAGGCAAAGGATGTGGCGTTTGAAAGTACTGCAGACATCACCACTCTCGCCTTGTCCTTCTGCTATAACACTGAACACGCGGACGGGATGGGCACACCATCCTGCTCACAACTTTTGTCATTGTCGCCTTGCTTCCTGGTTTATTGTGAAGGAACGACTATCTCATGTCTCCATATATGAGCAGGTACAAATCAAGAGATGCTTATTTCTAAACATATTTCTAATTCCTTTTCTCAACAGAGTATTGGTGGATGCCTAGCCCTTAAGAATGCACGCCAAAGCAAGCATGGATTCTCCAAGCATGATTTGATCGCTTTATGCCCGTGCGTGCTCAAACGCCATTCTCAGGTGTAACAACGTCACGAGACAACGCAAGATCCTCATAGAATGTTGCGGCTAGTCTTGACGTTGTTCCGGAACGTGGGCCGTCGTGACGCATTGACAATGCAACTCAATTGACGAGTGCAGGGCAGCGGAATGGCGCGTACTAGGTGCGGTAGTGAAGTTCAGACTGACTGCATCGCAGATCAAGTATCCAGCCGTGAGCAGTAATGTGGACCAGATTCTTCCAAAGTGACATCCTCACACTTGCACTCAGAACAGACTACTGGTGCTTCTTACGAGCAGGAAACGAACATGCAAGCGCTTGGAGACGACGCAAATGACACTCATTTCGGCTCTGGGGTCTGATGGTTCCCCATCTTGCCAATATCCACGACCCTGGTCTCCACCTTGGCAGGACTTCACGTTTGCTATGGGCGTCTGGAACGATCCGGAAAAAAAACAGACGCTTCGGATCTCGCATAACCATTGGGTGGTATGAATAATTCAATGGCTCCACTTGGACTGGTATGCTCATTTTTATACCCGAGAGCTGCTTGTCTTACTTCCACCTCCTGGCCATGGCACCTCAGACCCAGTCTCCCACAGACACCTTTGTCGGTACTTCAAGAGACTCCTCGCCCGATACGAGGACAGAAAAAGAGCCATACGTCGTCCGATCGAGGGACTTTGGCTTCATTCCCATTCCAAAAAGACTGCAATACCACCCCAACAAGCCGTTCAAATTTGGTCTCGTCATCAATATTTTGTTTGGTGTAGCAAGCACATTCAGTGAGCATTCAAATGCTTCGGTGTACCGGATGTCTTCCTGACTGAATCGTTGTAGCTGTTGCAAATCTATACTACTGTCAGCCTTTACTGAGTATGTCTCGAAGTCACTCACTTGTTGTTCGGCTTCTGAACGTTCTTCTTCAGTTCAATTGTCTGAATCCTTCCATGTCACGTACGAAGAAGTGTCTTTGTGAGTGAACGTCCGGCGGCACGATCTTTTGACTCGTACTAACCTCGTTTAGAATACCGACGCTCATCCAGGCAGGGTACACACAGCTTCTTTTTCATGATTAACGAGCTGACCCGGTCCCTTTGTTCAGATATGCCGTGGGCCTCGTTCTCATCACGCCCCTTGGCGACATCGTCAGACGGCGTCCACTCGTCCTCGCCCTCGTCCTCATCTCGTCCTCCCTCACCATCGGATGCGCAATAACATCCAACCTCCGCCTCTTCGAAGCCCTAGGCTTCCTCATCGGCTTCGTCAGCATCGTCCCGCAGATCCTCATCCCCCTCGCCGCCGACCTCGCGCCCCCCGAACGGCGCGGCTCCGCGCTCGCCATCGTGCTCGCCGGACTCATGCTCGGCATCCTGGTCGCGCGGGTCCTCGCGGGCGTCATCGGGAACTTCACCTCGTGGCGCGTCGTGTACCTCCTCGCCATCGGCGTGCAGTCCGTCGTGCTCGCGGGCGCGTACGCTGTTCTGCCCGACTACCCTGCGAAGAACACGGGCCTCGCGTACTGGCGCATTCTGTGGACGATGGCGACGTACGCGGTGACGGAGCCGGTGCTGATCCAGGCGTCGCTTGTGAATGTTGCGTCGAGCGCGTGTTTTAATGCGTTTTGGGTCACGTTGACGTTTTTGCTGGGTGGTGCACCCTACAGCTATTCCACGTGAGCATTGGCGATTGGGCGACGGCTTAAATTCAAACTGACGCGCTTTCTGATTACGCATGCATGCAGGCTTGTCATCGGGCTCTTTGGCCTCCTCGGGATGCTAGGCGTGGTGGCGACACCGCTATGCGGACGCCTCGTCGACCGCCTCGTGCCCTGGTCGTCCGCGCTCTTGGCCACCGCTGGCATGCTCGTGTTTGCCGCCGTCCAGACCGCTGGTGGCGGGATCAACGTCTCGGCCGTCATCATTGCCACGTTTGGGTTCGATGTATTTCGCCAGCTGCAGCAGGTTTCACTCTCTACGACTGTTATGAAGTGGGTAAATACGATACAACATCCTGGTACATTTATGCTGACTTGATGGTATTAGTATCTCTAGCGAGGCCCGCTCTCGCATGAATGCAGTGAACATCTTCGCGGTGAGTCACATATGTGACAAGACAAGCCTTAAACGCTCACAGACATACACGCAGATATTCATCGGCCAAGTAATGGGCACAGCGGTCGGCACAACCGTGTTCGTCAGCTACGGCTGGCGTGCACTGGGAGTCCTGCTCGTCGGGCTTTGCGGGTTCCAGATTGCGACACTGCTCATTCGCGGACCGCAGTGCGCGCGGTATACGTGGTTCGGGTACGAGGGCGGGCTTAAACCGCGCAAGGACCCAGGTAAGAGCGGATCAGAGGATGAAAAATCGAATGTAGAGGCTAGGCTGGGTGTATAACGCTTTCGTGGTACCGGTGACGACCATGCCGGGTGGATTCCATCTGGCTACGTCTGCGTCTATGTAGAACATTTGTAGGTGGGTCGTCCGTCGTATTGGACATTACCAATGTCACTGGTTTCCGTTTGGACTCTCTGAGCCTACATGCAAGACCCGCCCCCATACTGTAATTCAGTTACTTAGAGCTACTGTACCTATCCTCTATAACAAGACACGACGTCGCGTAAACGCTCCGTCCCCACGCTGTACAGGTGTAGTCACACGTCGTCGAAGTATTTTTTCATGCAGGCCATTTAACTTACCACATGGACAATAATACTGTACATTTGACTTCGACAAATTACATCAAGTTTAATGATCTGAGAGGGAAAGTTAAATGAGATTGCACGAAAGATAGCGTAGTCATACCTGGCCGCGAGAAGCGCTCTCGTAATAGCCGGTTCAAGCTCAACATGAGTGGACCGACTGAGACTGTGCTTGACAGTTATGTTCTCTTGCATGTGGCAAAAAAACTCTGCTGAAGTATCCAACGAACAGTCAATGGCTACGGACTCGAATGGGTCTTCGAAGCTTTTGGTGAAAACGATAGTTCCGGTGGAGCATGAAGCTCCGTCGCGGGTGACGCACACACCAAATACATTAGCAGAAGGCATGAACCAAGTTTGAGTGTGATGGCAATGAGGGCGAAAGTGTTGAGTGGAAAAGTGATAAGATAATGCAGCTAGTCGGTTCGCAAGATCATACCCTCCCATGACATGAAAATGAATGCAATAATCCCCTTGTCTGTTGTATCGCATGTGGTGGGATGCCCTTGCCCGAACGAGAAGTATCTTGAAACCATGCGCAATGACATCTGTCTCAGTGGAGGGGCTCAGCACATACGTACGTATTCAACGTTGCGCATCCCATCTTCAAACGTGGGTAAATATGTGCAAGCAGGAGGGACCCAAGAGCCGTCTTTCCGCGCAAAAATGATGCCCGAGCAGAACGTGAGACAGTGACAATGGTCGCATGTGAGAGCACGACGAAGTTGAATACACTGGGTGGGCCAGGACCCCCACCTAGGCCACATATTGCAGGCAGCCGGCGCCGACAACGTCATGCCAGCGGACGGGCCATTTCAGCGACAACGTCGTGCCAGCGGACGTCCGCGGACGGCACGACAACACCGTGTCCGCGGACGGCCGGCGCGCCGATGACACACAGGATGTCAATGTGTGGGCGGCGCGCCGACGCCGTGTTCAGGAGGACAGCGAACGGTGTGGCGCATCGTGTCCGCGGACGGCGCCAACAACAAAAATACTGTACCATTTCGACCATAGGTTCGCAGTGGCGTGGGAAATCGGAGCTTAAAGTGACTTACCATAACCGTTTGTCCACCCCCTTAGGTTCGGAGGGCCGAACCGGGGTGGACAAGGTTTGTCGGCTAAATCGGATGCTGTTCACCCCTCTCTCGAGGCACCACGCCGGGTTGATGCTGCCATGAATGCGCGAGGTATGTCTCCGTACTTCTTTCATTTTGTGCAGCTTCTTAGTCTTCTTGATGCCCAAATGGAGTCACTGACGTGTTTTCACGCCTTGTAGATCTGCCTCTCCCTGCTTTATCCTCGCCATTTTGTGACAAACCCGGCGAGCTAGCCTAGCGAGCCGATCTGAGTACGACATCCATGTCGTGTTCTACTCGAGGAGACGTCTCACTGGTGAGTGAGCTCGCCGACCTGCTCTCTGCTTCACTCAACCACTTCCAGGCAACGACACCAGCATTCTTCCCACTGTGCCAGGCATGGCGGACGACCCCGACATCAACCTAGAGGAGTTGTATGTTCCTGAGGAGGTCGTTTTCGGTCGGGGAAAGCGTCGCAAGGTTTCTAACACGCAGTATGAGGGGTTTTCGGGCCATTAGAACATTCAGTAGCACATTGTCTTAGCATAATCACTGGAAATTACAGGTTTTTTGTGTTTCTACCATGTGTCCACCCCCTTAGGTTCGCAGGGGGTATCAGGGGTGGACATGTCCACCCCGGAGGTTCGGGTTCGGAGGGGGGGTGGACAGGGGACCGAACCTATGGTCGAAATGGTACAGTAGACTGCAATCAGCATAGTGAAACAGACTAGACAATAGTACAGTTACCCATTCGTATCCGCGGATGCCAACCGCCGAATGGCGTATAATGTAACAATCATCGGCGCATGCACTTAAAGCATTGATCGTGTCAGCGGACGATAAGTGAACGGTATAGTGCTATTCTCCGGCGCATGGAGCATGTAGGCTGTCGTGTGCGCGGACGCGGTGATAATGCGCTCGCCGGTGCCAAGGACACTGGGACCAATGGGATGCAGCACGCTTCAGATGAACAGGGTCATGATCTTCGCCGAACAAGCGTAGGCCGTGTGTATTGTGACAGAACCCAGCTGATGTTACCGCGCTCTGGATTCCTGCACACCAGTTGGGCGCCGGTTGGTGGTGAGTTGCTGATGGCATGGTCCGGCGCACATCATGTGACAGACGCCGATTACACATCATATTATATCCTTGCAGCGGCGCGTGATTGTTAGTGAGTTGGATGGTCACGTGGGTAGCGCCGAGTGCAATTCATCCGTTACCAGGTACATCACATCCACGCGCCGATGGGAGACACACTTATCGCAAATGATGAGCGCCGGTCGTAGATACACCAATTGATGTCCGGCGTCCAACACGTGATTCAAAGCAAACACTGGGATGAATCCCCAAGCTTGCGCCGTCCAGGCATGGGGGCTGCGCCGCCGGCACTCAAACCTTTCAAATTGTTCACGGCGTTCACATCCCATGAATCACGCACCCAGCGCCGAAGGGTTGTGCAGGTGCTTTTGGGATTT